ACAAGGTTCAACCCTCTGTATAACCAGCCATCTTCTTGTTTATCACACCTAGTTGTCGATACGAGTGTTGACCCTTTTGAACATAAGAAACTTCAAAAGGAGGTCAACACAATGCTGATATGAGTTGATACTTGATGAGCCAGTACATGGTTTATTAGTAAGGTTCAACTCTTAATTTGGAAGAGTAAACAATTTAGACCTAAAAACCAAGATAAAAAGTAAACCAGATGTACTTATATGATAATGATACAACGTAATGTTTGACTAATAAAAAAAAGTAACGTCAGCATTGGTCGTTGTTAAATTTGACTTTGAAGAAGTTTTCATTATTTTTTTCTCTAGGAAGCATGAAATTTATGCTGTTTTATAATTGTGGGAAGTCCTCTCTTGAATATTATACTGATTTTAGTGTTCTGCGGAACTTATGTACAATATTTTATATTGATATGTACACATAGATTGATATTGGATATATTTTGATGTTCTGAAGAGATGATCGAGAAAATAGATTCCAGGCTGGGAGAAACCTCAGTATGCCAGTGTCATATCGTCAAAGCAGGGATGGTCGTCACCATCTTGGTACGCCTGACATGATATTCTTGATTACTTTTATGGTTCTCTTATCTTTTTGGGATTTCATTTTATCCTCGAGCAGAATATTGATGAAGAAATTGTGTGAAATGGTCTTCTGGTGCAGCCAGTGTACGTGAGGAGAAGTTGGAAGAAAGAATTGTTCAACAGAAAGGGCGATTTAAGGTTACCGCAGCAGATGGATCATCAAAGGTACCTTGATTGATATTCTCCCAGGATCTTGTCCATTGGGTCATTGACATTGAATTGATTTTAGGCATGTGAGTGACTGGATGTCTTTTGTGAGATACCTTTGTCTATTAAAACGTGAATCTTTTCAGAGAAACGTAAATGGTTGTCTATTTCACAAAGCTCCCAGATGCACTACATCTCATTTTGGAGAAATTCATGTCACTTTTCCTCAAAAAGGCATAAAAAACACAGTACAGACAATATTTGTCCGTTTCTTATCCTCGTTTGTTGATGTGCAAATGTTTTTCTTTAGGTTGAAAACTATTTGCTACTAGTGATTCCCTTTGGGCGGTACTGTGATTGTACTTGGAAAGAGTTCAAACTTTTCTAGCGTTGTTTGTCGCTGAGCACTTTACTAGCTACTGCATAAGCTCCCATAGTGCAGAGTCTGACAAGATTTATATTTTGTGCCACAGGGTGGCCGGTCGCCCAGAGCCCCAAGCAACATGGTCGCTGGATTTGCGACAAGTTCGACTATGAATGCTGCAGTTGTTCTTCCATCATTACAGCACATCCTTCTGCAGAATGCCATGCAAAGGGTTTGCTTTACAACAGCATAAAACGGACATGTATATATGTTTATTACCTTATGTCAAATATGTTATGTGACTTTTTGATTTTTCTCACAGGAACAGCTAACTAAGTTAATCCAAAACATAGAGCAAACACCTGGTACATTTTAACACTCCTATTTTGTATGTCGGTTTACTTAATACCTGATTTGTCAGTTCATTTTCGGAAACTGATGCCATAGCTGAAACGTTTTATATGAAACACAGGGCAACAGGTACGTCTTGCTGAGGGAAGTAAGAGTGACCAAGCACAGGTATGATAGCTCTTTTACATTCATTGTTGAGAAGCATAGCTAACAAGTACCAGTGTTGTTAAATTGCTTACTGTTTACTGCTAGTTCAAAGAGTACAAATTTTGTCCCCACTTCGCAATTCCTCTTTCATAATTTATCTGCAGTTTTCCCCTCCCAATCATATTCTATGCGATGCATATAGGAAGTATGTTCCACGAACTGATTGACGTAAACAAAGTTTCTATGTAACTGGCTTTTTCTTAAATTGACTGATTTCAGGTCTTCTCTCATCTTGAATCATAAGATCATTGAGGGAAGGTTTATCTGAAGTTTCACTCCTATTCTGCCGCATCTGCATGTGCAGTCTATTAACCACACTTTTTGAGTGTTTTTAGCAAACAAAAAACCAATACCTGTGTTTTTTCAGTTTCATTTACTTTCTATAAATCTACTGTACTAGCATCGAAATATGACCTGACTTTGGAAAACAGACTTCCTTTTCTTCAGAACGAGGAAGAGAACTTCAGTCATACGCAGCTCACCTGCAGCAGTGGTATGCTTTTGTTTCCCTTTGATCACGTCCAATCATCTTACCTATGCATGCCAGAATGACTCTTTTGTTGCTATTAGCAATGCCGATCTTGCGGAGGAGCTTCAGAGGCTGAAAATGCAAAATGCCCAGGTAATAAAAACACCTAATACGTCTGTGCTTTCTTCCTGATCTTGCGGTGGTACGATTCATCCTAGTTCTATCCTCCACCCTTCATGAGAATCAGTCAACACACACACACACACACGGTGCATTTTATTATACTTAGAAAAGATAAGCAACTCTATGCTTGATGACGAAGAAAGGGGCGCCCCTGTTTCGAGACTATGTGGTGCATATTCTTATCGAAATCATAATTATTTTTCTTAAATTAATTGTTATCAGTTGGAAAGGCAATTGAGTGCTCTGTCAAACAAGAAAGATGAGGGGGAAGAGGACGGGCAGAGAAAATGAACCATGAGAAATCCTTCCAAGAAGTAGCACCAGCTTCCGTTGCGTGAGAAGTTCTATCTGATGCTCCATATAATTCATGCAATGGTGGCTCCTTTATTCAGTTTTTTCCCCTTTTCCTCCTGGGTGATTTCCTCCGATTCGTCCATTATTGTAAAACGATCATGCGGGCGCCTCAGCCCGATTTTGAGTTGGTCCGGTGAGCTCCCTGTACCATTTATAGTGTTTAATTGTTCATCAATATGAATATTCTTGAAGAGCCATCTCTCGTCAATAGAAATCAAGAGTCTTGAGTAACATCGATAAAATGGGTAACTTGGTAGTTTACAGAGCCTTAAGTCCCCCCATGATGAGCAGCCGACCTCCACAGCCCTGCAGGCCTCCTCATCGACAGCCCACTGCTGCCCGCCGCCACTGCCACCAACACGGCCACTCCCTCGTTCCCATTGCATGGCAAGTTCATCTCCGGCAGCTCTTGGCCCAATATCTTGCTATTTTAGGCAAACCATTGTGATGTCTAAACCTGCGTGGTCTAAACCTGCATGATACATTTTCGTTGTATATATTTTCAACTGTAGTTGACCAGGTGGGTCATGGTCAAACACCTAAAAAAGTTAGTATAGGAATATATTGCCATGATTAAATAAATAAATAAATAAGCCAATTTTTGCTTCTCTTCTTATATCCGTTGCTAATGCCATGGGGATGGCTCAAAGCCCCCAACTTTTCCGCTTCGTGATGGCTCCCACCGTCACTCAATTGACATGGAGCACAACCACTCTCTATCTTGCCCAAAGAGAACATGCATTTACCTAAATTAGAATGAATCAGGGTTACTCTCTACTTGGTCTCACTCTCCTCATATGGGAAGATGGTCTCTCCCATTGCTAAGAGGTTCACTACACTTTCTACGTTGTCTTAGAAGACTAAATCTTGACTAGTGGGATCACATGTTTCTATCGTGGTGTTTGAATGCGATGTAAGTTGTCACCATGGCAATGAACTCATGAATCATGGAATTTTGGAGGCCTTTGTGTCCACAGGGATTAAAACAATGTCCTCAAATACACAAGGGTTGCTTTGATATCACTTGAATTGAGAATCATCAATCTTTGAATCTACTAGAATCTACAATCTTAGAATTCAAAGGAGGTGCTTGAATTCACATGCAAAGAGAGATTTCAAAGTGGATAGAATGAATAATATCAAATAATGAAGGGAGAATTATAGTATAAGGGCCTTCAGTATATTAAAAATCATTTGCCTTTATAAGGTATGAAAAATTGGTTATTACAATTACAAAGCATTGTAAAATAAACTCAATAATTCATGAAAAAATAGCAACACTAATCTCTATCTCACATGTTCTATTAGGGACTTGATTTGATTTTGAGCCATCTCATCCTTGTAGCCCTCCTTTAAACTTGTAGAACATCAACTGACTAGGCCACTTGGGTCAAAAATCTTTGTCTCTAGCATCATGGACTTTGTATATGTCAACTTTGAAGCATATAGTGATGCAATGGTTCATTAGTGAGTACACAGTCATATTTTTATTAATGAGATATATCTAGACATAAATATATTATTAAACCCTAGAATAGTAAGATAAATATATAATTTTATTTGTAGGGACTGATAACAGTCATTCCCACTTGAATTACTTCTATATTAATAAAATTATATTTCACATAAGTATATAGTTAAAAAATTTTAAAAATGTGTTAAATACACTCGATAAATTTAGCATTGGCGTTGACTTTAGAAACCTAAACATCATTATTATTATTTTTTTTCCTTACACTCATGGTTTGGGGGAGGGGAAAAAAGCACTGCGTAATTAGCCTCATTGCTCCTATTTTTCAAAATGAAAATTTAACGTAAAATTTGGAATTTTCACCACATGTTTTTTAGTCGCCGACTTCCCTCTCTAATTCATGGATTTCATTAATGGAACCATTTTATTCATATGCCCATCAAACCAATAAATTTGTACGTTTACCCCGGTAGAGGGTTTTTATGAAAATCATAAGGTTCTCGTCAGGATTTACGCAAAAATCCGTGTGAGGTCTCTCAGTCCCCCGCATACGCCTGGGGTTTCTCGATCATGCGGCTTCAAAGAGGTGATGGGTTCCTCGTCGGTGGACGAGAACCGTTGGATCTGGTATGTCCTAGGGTTTTCATGCCCCGCTGGGAATATATAAAGCGCCGCCCTTCCGTCTCCAGCCCCGGCGGCGTCACTTCCCTCTTGAGTTTTTGTGCAGGCGGCCAGCGGGAGAGCTCTGATGGTAGGATGACCTCCGTTTCTTCTTGATCCTGCTGCGTCTCTCCGCCACTCGTTGCCGGTGTTTCTTCTTTCTCGTGCTTATCTTAATGGCGTTGTTTTTTTGTCCGATTTATTGTTTCTACAGGCGTCCGAGAAGAAGCAGTCGAATCCCATGAGGGAGATCAAAGTGCAGAAGCTCGTTCTCAACATCTGCGTTGGAGAGAGCGGAGATCGTCTCACCAGGGCTGCCAAGGTGATGGTTTCTTCCGTTCATTCTTCTTGTGCTTGAATCCCCACTGTTTGTCCTCGACGGGACGCAGAAGATCTGACCTGCGCATGGCTTATTGGTGAGGAATATTGTCATCGTCGAGGTTTTTTTTAATGTCTTTCAATGTAATCTCCCGAGACTTTAGTGAAGTAGCTTCCCTGCAGGGAGCTCAGGGTTCATTCACGTCCTTGGGATTGGATATCTACCAGGAGAACCTTTGTCGTTTTCGAGCTCTCCAAGTGGGTCGGGACTTGAGTGGTTATCTTAGGGGTTTCGTCTGCATTCCGTCGGGAATGTTGGGTGGCGTCGTTTCAAGTGTGTACAGCATTTGGGAATTTAACGGGTTTTGGAATAATCAACACTTCATCCTAGTACTTTTGGTCGTGCTTCTTGATCTGATTGATCCTAGATTTCAATTAGCTTCAAATCCTTACGCGTTTTCATTTTTTCCCCCTCTCTTATGTAAATTTTGGGGTAAAATATGCGGGAAAAATGTCATCTCGTAAACACATTCTTACCTTTTTCTATCTGTTTTTTTTGCGTTCTACAGGTGCTCGAGCAATTGAGCGGCCAGACCCCTGTTTTCTCAAAGGGTAGGTTCTTTATTTTTATTAAAACTTTACACCTATCAAAATTCTTATTAATACGATTTCTGATGCCGGCCATTGGTTTTTGACAGCGAGGTACACTGTTAGATCCTTCGGTATCAGGCGTAATGAAAAGATTGCTTGCTACGTTACTGTCAGAGGTGAGAAGGCAATGCAGCTCCTGGAAAGCGGTTTGAAGGTGAAGGAGTACGAATTGCTGAGGAGAAACTTCAGTGATACTGGATGCTTTGGCTTTGGCATCCAGGAGCACATTGATCTTGGGATCAAGTAAGCATCCCTCACCAGTATCATCATTAAATTCTCGATCGCCATCTCTATTGCAGATTTGAGGTTACTCGTTCTCCTGATCTCGGGATCAAGATAACGCCTCAGAGAGTTGCTACTCTGCTCATGGATGGACATATAGAAGCTTCAGAAGTAGTCTTCATCATTGTTCCTCACTCCACGCCACTTTCATGCCGGACTGGTTTCCATGTTAATCAGTCTAGTATGAACGTAGTATGTTGTGGAAGAATTGAGATGAGGATTGCTTCCCCTGACATCTCTTGTATTGGAAGGACACACTCTTCTAATGGTCCTTCCACGAGCAGAGTAGCCACTCTTTGAGACGTTTTCTTTCATTACAATGCTTTTTGCTTTCTGTCTTACAAGTCAACTTCTCTCAGCGTGATTTCTCTCGCCTCATTTCATTCTACGTAAAGCAAGCGCCTGAATGAGATTCTTTTCTTTTTTGGTTTGATTTCTCTCCCTCAGTATTTCCGTGTAAAAAAACGCATCGGAGTGAATCTGCTCCATGCTTGACTTTCTTCTATGAAAAGGACAACGAAGTCAGAGTGGCAACTAACTTAGAGATCTCTTCCACTATCTTCTCATGGTTTATCTCGAGCAATTTTGTTTGACTCTCATATGTCCTGTCACATTCTTCATACCGTTTCCATCAAGCAGTCCACATTCTGGTCAAATGGTCTCACCGTTAATCGTAAAATCATTTGACCAGTTTCTAATCATGGGTGCCCCTGTAATTCTTTGAGTTCTGGTGTTTTTAATCAGTCAGAATAGTAATCCTCTCCCCTCTCCTTGAATGAACAAGGAAGGAGCCTTTCAATGGGCACCCTCGCGATGCTGATTTTAGGCGGCGGCGTCGCCGCCGTCTTGTTCATACGGTCAACTGATGAGCGCCGCCCGAATCTCTTTGCAGGTACGACCCGTCAACGGGCATCTACGGCATGGACTTCTACGTGGTGCTGGAGCGCGCCGGCTACCGGGTGGCGCGCCGCCGCCGCTGCAAGGCCCGTGTGGGCATCCAGCACCGGGTCACCAAGGATGACGCCATGAAGTGGTTCCAGGTCAAGTACGAGGGCGTCATCCTCAACAAGGCCCAAAACGTCACCCAATGACCTCTCTCTGCCTTCTCTCTACTCTCTCTCTTTCTCTCTCTCTCTCTCTCTCTCTCTCTCTCGGACGGCATTCCTAGGCTGCTTGACCAGTTTTGAGCAGTGTTTGACTTTACCTTGTGGGCTTCCAGATATTTATCTTCCTCTTTTGTTTGTCGGAAAGTAGTCAATGAGCTGAGCCTTGCGATGGGTTTTTGTTCTTTTTAAAGCTAATCGCATCGACATCTTCGGACTGAATGTTGCCGTTCTGTGTTATAACCTTCTCCTGTCGACTCGGGGGCCCCCGCCGTTCTCTCCTGCGAGTCGGCACTCGGTGCTTCCACCTTGCCACGTCACCATGGAACCTTCGAATGCGAATCTTATCCGACACGTAGAGAATAGTTGGGCCCCCACCGGAATCGGCCTGCGACCTGGTTGACCTGGGATGTATATAAATCTGAGTTGGGGAGCCGAGGGAGTAGGAGAGAGTGGGAGGAGGAAGATATGGAGGAGGAAGTGCCGCCGACGAGGATCTTGATAGCGGTGAATCCGTCTTCTATAAAGGGGTACCCGCACGCTTCAATCAGTAGCCGGACGGCCTTCGAGTGGGCGGTGGAGAAGGTTGTTCGCTCCAATACCCGCGGCTTCGTTCTCCTCTTCCTCCACGTCCAGGTTCCTGATGAGGACGGTATGCGGTTTCCACTTTGGGATTCCTCCCTCCCTCCCTCCATTGCCTCTTTTAGGCGGTTAGCTTCTGCTTGCGTTGTTGTGCCGCGGGATCTAGGGCTCTCTAGTTGTCCAGCTTTCGCTTTTTGATCGTCTGCCTGTATTCGTGTGCGGCCTCGGTTTCGTATGTTAAAAGCCCTGGAACCTTGATGATTGAACGTGTCGTGATATAAGAGCAAACCACGTTGACGATTATGAACGGAAGGAGATCTTAGAGCCAAGTTAGGTCATTTGTGCTTCTGTTTACAATTTTCACTTTGTATTGTTCGCACATTGTAGCACTTATTCATTTCAAACATCACGAATAAAAAAAAATCATCAAAATTTTGTCAACATGTTGAGAGTAGATGAGGGTCCTTTACGCAAAGAAGCTACTCGGACACGTATTCCCAGTTGTGCTAGATGGTGCGTTCCGACTATTTCTTTCCTAGTGAAGAGTTTAGTAAAAGAGGTTTCAATAAAAATTGAAAAATTTAGAGAATATGAACTCGAGCCTTGTGCTAGAGACCGTAATAATACTCATGACGAGAAAAATAATGATGATCATAATATGAGAGAAATTTGATTCCTAATTTCTGGTAGTCTTTTTTATCCTTTTTTTCTTTAGTTGAAAGATCATGAACATAGATGGAGAAAAGATTGGTACCAATTACTGGCCGCTTGAAACTCTCAAAGCTTTGGCGGCAACTTAATTTACCTCCCATTGCATTCTGAAAATGAAAGAATTAATTATTCGTGAATTTAGCTCGGATGAGCATTTGGCTTCCTTGTGATGAGGTTTTTTGGGGGAAAAAAGAGAGTATCCTTGCTGTAATTTAGTTCACTCTCCGATTCCTTCTCTTCGGATAGGCATGCTAATTAGCAACATAACGCTTATTTGGAGGAATGCACACACACACACACGTATCCCTAGTTAGGTAGATAAGGAATGCCCTTACGTCTGGAAAATTATCCACATCCTTGTGAACAAACTAAGATGAATACACCTTTTCTGGATTCTTTCTCTGCATTGGTATTGATCCCAAGTATCCACCTTAGAAAAAACTTTGTGGCTTTCCCGCACATTGCGAATATCGATTCTGTACCTTTCTCTATCCATCCAAATTTTGTTGGGAACTTGAATTTAGCTGCGTCTCCTCCTGGGGATTAGCATTCACATGGCGACATATTCCCCAGATAGCATTTCGTTGGAAAAAAGGAGATTTACAAAGGTCACAGCGGTATACTCTATAGGAGCTGTGACACATGCAAGAACCGAAGTGAAATCTACTGCGTCTCCATCTAGATTCCTTGCTGTCTTCTAGATTAATTGCAGATTACTGTTGGCAAAACTCAGTTTTCTTTGAATTCCTCCCAATTGATATACTTTTATTCTATTAACTGTTGTGCTTCCATTTTATAACTCTGGGTGCGGATCACGGTGCATACCAGCTGACACTACATTCCTCATATCTTGCCAACAATAGGATTTGATGATATGGACAGCATTTATGCATCGCCTGATGATTTCAAGCGCATGTCGGAGAGGGAAAAGACACGAGGGCTTCATTTGCTGGAATTCTTTGTTGAACGTTGTAATCAAATTGGGGTATTGGAAATTTCTCATTTATTTGTCTCTTGTGCTCCCTCGTTTTCCCATACAAAAAAAATTTCCTGTCACCAAGTTTTTGCATTTCTTGATAGCTTCCCTGTGAGGCATGGGTCAAGAAAGGGGATCCCAAAGAAGTCATCTGCAGCGAGGTGAAGAGGGTGCAGCCGGATCTCTTAGTTGTTGGATGTCGTGGACTTGGACCCTTCCAAAGGTAAGCCATGAGATGTTGAACTTGCATGCGATTTTTTCGCTTTCATCTTGGAACTGGTTTCCCCTTTTTATTTATCACGTAATTAAAAACATTATGCCGGCTTACTGATAATAGTATTTCAAATAGAGGGTGGGATACCGCAGTTTTAAGGAGAAATGAGGCGAATTACTCTAAATAAAATGATTTTTTTTCCGCACCACCAAAGTGAGGCTGTCAACCTCATTAAGAGATACATTGGGTTTACCAAGAAATATGTATGCACTAAGATCATACGGTTTGCAGAACTCTGCGTACCTTGAAATTGTGGCCGTCTACTGGTTGATCATGGACTGTAGTATACCACCCATGTCCTTGACATCTACATGCCACAGCAAGGACAGTCAACTGAGAGTTTTACTGTTTCAGGCTTCTTCAGCTCAACACATTAAAAAAGTAAGCCTTCTACTCGACTCTTTCGAGTATTTCTGACTCACAAAGAAGAGGGAAATGATCTAATTATCCAGAGATACACCAACTTGGATAATTTAGGCTTCAGAAACTCAAAATCGTCCTGCCATGCCTCTTAGCTTCCGTCTATTAATTATTTTCTGCATTTTATGCATCCTCCCCTGTTGCTTCTGAAATTACGATTCGCTGTACTTTTTTTTTCTACGAAGTGTGTTTCAGGCTTCTGAAATTACGATTCGCTCAAAATATATGTTTCTTGTGACTGGGTTGGTGTTGACATTCCCAGGGTTTTCGTGGGCACTGTGAGTGAGTTCTGCGTGAAGCATGCGGACTGCCCAGTGGTGACCATAAAGAGGAAGGCAGGAGAGGCTCCACAGGACCCAGTGGAAGATTGACATGAGATCCATCACCTTTTCCACACCCAAAATAAGAAAAAAAAAAAGAAGAGAAGAAACCCAAATGAACAATGGTCTGTATAAAAATGGTTTCTCATCATAGACAAGCGATCACTTGAAATAAATAGCAACATCGAAACTTTCTTCCTATCCACTGGGCTCGACCCCCTCCCTCCATATCCTGTCGACTAAGCTGGGCTTTTGGCGGCGCCGGCGCCTGCGGCGGTCTTGGCCTCTCGGGTCGCGCCGGTCATGACTGGTTTAGCCGGAGAGGGAAAACTCATTTCGAAAGCCCCGCCTTCGAGATCGCCGGAGACGGTGGCGGCGTTGGACTGCCGCTGTGAGTATCGGCGGGCGCAGGCTCGGCTGAGGAAGCATGCCACCAAGGCAAGGAGGGTAATCACAGCCAGGACGATGAAAACGGGGCCGAAGGAGCCCCTCGCGTGCGGCGGATGCCCCGGCAGGAGACCCGGGTAGGCGGCAGCCGGCGGCGGCAGCAGCGACGCCATTGACGATGACGGCGGGGGAGAGATCCTCGGCGGGTTTTAAACGAAACTCAAGCAAGCCAGCGGCTCTCGTTATTATTGCGAGAGAGAGAGAGAGAGAGACGCACACACACACACACACACACACACACACACACACACACAGAGGAGAGAGAGAGAGAGAGAGGTCTCGTCTTTGGTTGATAAAGAGGAGAGATTCTCTCTGCCTGTGAGCTGGTGGGATGCTTCGAGAGGAGAGAAAGTCGAGCTTTGGAGCTCACTCGGCATGGATCTGAGCATCCCCAGAACTTCAAAATTTAAATCTCCGCGACAGGGCCCAGCGTTACTCCTGCTCCCGGCTGCCGGTTGAATGCTGTCGGTGTGGCCCCGAGCTTCTCAGTGACGAAAGCTCCTCCCTCGCTTTCGATGGCGTACGTACGCTTCACATGCTGCCGTGCAGAGTTTGCCCCGGATCCGATTTTTCTCCGGGAGAACCGACCGGATGTTCTCGACCCATCCATCATACCCATCATGCATCGATTAGTTCGCCGGAACAAGCTGAGGGAATATCGTCCTCGAAGCTCAGGTTTTTAATGAACAAGGACAGAGGACAGTGCTTGGTCCAGTGATCAGGGGGACCAGCGACGCAGGCCATGGCTTTTACTGTTTCTGGTCTCCGACTTAACTCTGCTTGGTTTTGGGCAACTCCTCCTTTGCTCTTCTTTTCATGCGGATGGGGACCGGACAGGCAGCTCTGACGCCGTCCCTGACGGTTGGTCTTCATCTCGAAATCTTACGGAAATTTTCAGTTTCTTCTTGCACAAAGCAGTGCCTGTCTCATTCTCGAAAAGGCTTTTCTGGGAAAAAAGAAGAAACAGAAAATAAATAGTTTTGCGCTGCAAATTTAGTGTTATAATGGTTTTAGAACACAAAGGTCGTCGTCTGCTTGGTCAGCCTCCTTTGTCGTCGGGATAATAATGGTACTGGGAGGGATGATGGTTTTGCCCCTCCCTCCCGGTTTGAAATCTAACTGCTTGAAGTTAGTCGGAAAATACCTCAAGATGGCCTCCTGAAATCTTAAAAGACGTTCATGGCGACTCGTATGCTGCTGAAACAATACTTTCCGTCACATGGGTTGTTGTACAGCTATTCCCCCAATAAAAAACATCGATGAACTTTGATGATCCCCTGGTGAGCCCTCTTGCCAAAGGATCTTGATCTCGAATGAATGTCCCCGCGAGCTGAGCGAGTAGGTGGTTTCTGTGTGTGTACGGACTCCTACTGCGTTTCCTCTGGCTCTCGCCATCGGTTCTCGGGTTTTAGGTCTAGTAAATATCTCAAAGTTACTGTCTTCCCAAGAGTGTGATGGTGGGCGCATCTAGGAAAGGTTTTAATCTGCATCCGTTTTATAGTGTCTGATGAAATGCCATATATCCTTCAGATGGGCAGCTAATTATATGCCTGACGAGCTGGTCGGTTCCAAGCACAACATTCCGCCTGTGAAATGATGCTTCGACTCGGGGAAGAGAACCCATCAGTTCCATTAATTAGAATGATGGCCTCCCCTACGGAAATATTTTGCTTGCTTGACTTCTGAGATGAGTTTCCATGGACTTTCTACGTGAAATCTCCTCGTCCTACGGACGATCTCTAGAGAATGTCCAAGGAAGTTGGGGTCCAACAGGACTTACCTGTGCACACTTGGAGGAGGAGGGCTCTCTCTCTCTCTCTCTCTCTCTCTCTCTATGATGCTCAACTTAGGGATAGAATGGAGGGGCACGGATTTTATTTAATACTATGACGGAAGAGTCAAATATATATATACACACCAAACTACGTAGGGGGAGGGGGGAGGGGGGGTGAAAAGGAAAGTTTTTCTCACAACCATGCTGCCCAGCCTGGGAACATCTGGCACAATCGTTCCGTGTCTGTAGCGTCCTGAATGAGCTGTTGGACCTGCAAATGTGGCGAGAAGCTAGCATGAACATGGTGATGAGAGGAGAGGCACGCGTGAAATCAAAACAGGATACTAATTTCCGTTGCCAAAAAAAGAAAAAAAAAGAAAAAGAACAGAAGGCCACGGAGAAGTATCCAAACACAGGATTCTCAATCGTGTTTGTGACTTGCGAAAGAAAAGCAATAGTTCTTGCTAAGGCTGGATGTTCAATGAATGGGAACGTACCTGGCCTTGGACGCTTCTCATTTCAGCGTCCTCATAACCATCAAGCTTCTGTTTGACACGAAACAGGGCACGTGCTGCATCTTTGTTCCCCTCGCATGCGTCTTGTGAGTCCTCCAAGCTTGGCTCAGCGTCCTCGTCAGTTTCCTGTTGCAGTAGTGAAAGGCAGCAAAGAAAAAAAACACATGTGAGTGCTGGGAACAAGCGGCAGGAATCACCAGGCAGCAGGCGGCAGCCAGATAGAGAAGGCTGGAGCAGGAAATAAGATGGTGTTGGATGGCCAATATACTCGGAGAGAAACATAATATAAAAAGGGGCATCTCGCCATACTAAGAGCTTGAAGTGCCGCCAGTGTGAAGTAATTATATGCGGTGAGATTCGTTTATCAAGGAACTACTAATTAGTAATCTTATGAACTTGATGGAACCATAGATTGATCAGGTATAGCCGTCTGTTATACCTTCTGTCGTTGTAGTGCCTTGAGAGGTGATAGAGCCCACTTATACAGAGGATCGTGGATAAAGACCTGAAAAAACATTGTTTCAACAGTGATCAAAAGAGCCAAGACTCTGTTTTTTCTTCATCTTCTTCTTCTTCTTCTTCTTCTTTTCTTTTTTTGGTTAAAATGGAATTTCGACGGTTAATTGAACCTCAACAATGGTCAGCAAGGCTTCCTTATTTGTCCTCATTACAGCAAGGGTTTCTTCACAGCATCTTCTGAAGACGCCCTCCACCCCAGTGACTCCCATGCCGTCAACAATGTCCCTAGTCAGCCTAAAAGGGACCTGAAAAACAAAACATGAAGCACCAGATGAGATTTCTGTGCTGAGACCGGGTGACGGGGCTTTTAACTCTTTGATTTTTCACAGCAGACGAGGATGACTAATTCTGGCAGCATTTACGAACCCGTTCTGGAGTTTTAAGCATCAGGCCCTGCTCGAAGGCGACGCCAAGGTCAATGTGAACCACTTCAGCGCTAGATTGATCGATGAGGATGTTCATAGAATGTCGATCACCAAGCCCAACGATGTAGCCCACCTGAACTTGTAGTGCAGATCTCTGAACCATTAGATCTGTAGGAAACACCAGAAGATCTATCTACAATGACGGAAGTGATTTGGACTGACCATCGAACTAGCTGCCACACTTCGGGTGTAAGATAGCCTCTTTTCGAACCAGTCAGAAGGCAGCAAGAACCGCTCCAGGAAGAAGTGGTGCATTACTGGCCTGTTAAATTGGAAAAATTAGGCACAGGCTTCCTTGACATAAGCTGTACGGATTCACGATAATGACCCAATAAACTCTCAGAACCTGAAGTTCTCACAGACTTTGTGAAATGCCTTGCGCTTGTCTTTTTCCTGCGTACAAAATTAACTTCTTTAGATATACGAATCAAAGGCATCCAAAGAATAATAAAATATGACTAGTTCTCGAACTTACTGGGCCTGGAAGTTCTAACAGTGCGTTTTCTTAGGCAAAAAGGCAACCACAGCACAAATTGAGAAAATAAGGATAGATGAAAATCTCCAGAGCCCTTTCTAAAGAGCCTTCCTTCCCCAGCTGAACGGGCACAGCGTATGATCAGCAACCTCCCATGGAAAATGACACTCAAATGCCCATAAGACGCTCTGTATGCATCTCAATTCCCCTTTAGAACCCCTAACTCACCCTCCTATAAAGGAAAAAAAAAGACCAATATGTTGGGAAGCGGAAAACTGTTGCCAAATATCTAAAAGAGTAGACTAGGAATATGATCCCTGGATGTTGTAATATTAACCAGTTGGGTGTCCCCTTTCTAACGCTGAACTCATCTCTTGGCCATAAAAGCACTAGAGTTTTTCTCTGACGTCCGTCAATGGTTGTTATCATGGGAGGGGTAGATCACTGCACGTAGATGGACCTCATCAGAAGCCCATCATAGACTCCTTTACGTATGAAGGGTACAAAGGGGGAGGTGAAAGTTGACAGGGGAAAGCTAAAACTCTTCCCCAAAGGCAGCCCTGAGGGAAGTATGACATCTGCTCCATGCATTTTACAAATATCTTCCAATAACTTGAACATAAATACAGACGGTCATAACATGTAATGCAGAATTCATCTAGAAACTGACAAACAAAAGAATGATAGTACAGGGGATTTACATTGGTCATGTGTTCTCGACAATGAAGAAATGACCAATTTCCTTTGCCATAACGTCCATGTGCTCCTCCATTTCTTGAGCTGAAAGTATAAGAAACACGGTCAGACAAAATTCAAACACGTGGCAAAAGAAGTAAGGTGTATACATATAACCTAACATGACCTCGTACCTTCCTATGAGGTATTCACCAAGTGGGACTGTTTGATTAACCCACTCCAGTACTCCAGCACTTGGAGTGAAAGGAACTACCTGTTCAAACCAGACAGCCAATTTAACCAGGAGGTTAATGTAGTTATGAAAAAATTAAACAAAATATCAACAAGCACTGAAATTCGTTATGAGCAGCACCAGAAATACTAGACATCCAATTAGCTGAGACAATATGCTTACACAAGAAAAGAATATTATATGCTCAACTGAAAACATATTAAACCAAATTCGTTACTCAGCAGATTCGGCAAACACTGAAAAGAAATCAAACCAAATTCGTCGTTCAGCAGATTCGGTAAACACTGAAAACAAATCAAACCAAATTCGTCATTCAGCAAATTCGGCAAACACTGATAAAAAATCAAACTAGATTCGTTATTCAGAATGCTTTCTGAATAAAATAACAAGCTTTCTTTCAGCAAAATAACACAAGAAATTATGCATAATTAATTTTCTTCACAATTGGTCCGTATTTTTATGTTTTTAACCGTATTTAATCCATAAAGCATACCTTATAGGTCCGTATTTTCAATCTTCGTTTCCATGTATCCCGATTACCTTGTAAGAAGGTGTTGACTAGACCAAAGAATTGTTCCATAACCTATATAATTCACACAATAATCAATAGAAAAGGGGTCAGTAAAAAAAATTCATCGCACCCAAATAACGTAACTGAGTATAATAGTGCGGGTTCGAGATTTCAGCAGAGACCCCATAGATAAACAATTAAACCTTCACCCAAAGTAAGTAAAATTGAATGTGATACATAAACCAGCTGAATAAAGACCTCCTTTTCATTCTGTTCTGATGGTAAACAGAATCTCAGTGGATGCGCACAAACAATAAAGTTTTCCATTCAACACCAGGAACTAGGCAAAGGCAACAAGTGTGTCATAAAATTACTTCAAATATCTTTTTGTTCATAACGCACTTTATCGAGAAGGAATTCCTACATAAAGGATCTGTGATATATTTACCAAAGAACTGATTATACATACTAAGAGGAGGGGACAGTTCTATTATCACGACTGTGCACCAGAATGATTGCATCGTATACAGTAAAGATGGAGGCATCCTAGGCATAAATGAAAAAAAGAAATGCTCGTGTAACATCTAGGGAGACTGAAAATTTTCAAACTTTCATATCCATCAAATAAATACAATTGCATGCCAAATAAATTCCCCCATAGTTTAGACGTGCGAGTTGCCTAGGTGTGAATAAACGCGCACCTCCACAAAATGCCACTTGACTGTAATCGAGATGCCCTAAAATGGTAGCAGAATGGACCCTAGATTGTCGCTAGAAGGGAGAGGAAAAAATTAATGGTTTTCTGGAAGGCATTATGATAAATGCCGACAGGAGAAAATCTAAAAACCTGAAGAAACATGTATGAAGAAGGAAACTAGTAATGACATCGCGGAAATGGACTGCAGGTCGACTATTGGTGATCTGAATAATTTCCATGTACTAATACTATTAAAGGGAGATTAAAAAAATATTTTTATCTCATGGATGCAAAATTTTGCAGACTATTCATAGAAATTGTAATAATATATTTAATTGATTACAGCATCTTGTCTCAGGTCGTCATTTCCAGATTTAGCCAGTTGGCGGTATTTACAACCGTCTGAACCAAGGCATTCGACCACTTTTGGAGCATTGATTCCATTCATCACCCTGCAAGTTTCAAAGCTCAAAATTAAATCATTATGTAGTGCATAATTATGCATTCAAAACCAAAACTTCTCAATCATCAATACGCACACGATCGAATCTCCTAATCCCTTGAAGTGCGGAAAAGACCCTTCACCATACTGGCAACTTGGGTCGACTGGAAAAGTAGCAGTTACAACAGGAACCTGAAAGTGGCAAAAATATGGATAGATAACTATTATTTTTGGCAAAATAAATACAATACAAGGTAGAAGCACAATTTTTTTCACACAAATACTAGCCTAAGTTGGAACCAGAAAAAGGAACGTCGTTTATCAATATTTAGGTTGTTCACAGATTTCATAATGTGAAAGAAGGAAAAAATAGCTTATATGCAAAAATGATGTCTGCATCAACTGGTCCCCATCTTAAAATGATTCCTGAACATACACATGCAACTACATTAATGGTATACATCGTCTCAGTTGGAAAGAATACCTTTTCTCTCTCTGCGAAGTATCACGTATCTATAGTCAGAATAAGAATCACTTTCCCCATCCATCTTTGCATGTGACGAATTTAATTATTGACCGTATCGCCTTTAATTTTTCCGGACATAAACTACTTTTTTCAATTTATGTAGATATTTCTATTACCACCAATTTCTCCATTCTTTGGTACAACACTTAATGCTTGAGCCATGGGAACCAGTCATAAATTTGACATCAAGATGTACAGGATATCTATCAACAAAAAAATGGTCATATGTATGGAACTCACACAGATTTCTTGATGCTTTTAGTATCAACAAATATGTGTCTTAATATAGTTCGTATAGATCCTCAGAAACTAAAATCTTGGCGGAAACTATGCACCTTCGGCTCCATTTCATGACATAAAAAAACTACAGATTATACGAAAATAGAACAGATAATAATATTATCGTACATTAAGAGATGGCACAGGTGCAATGAAATGGAACGTGGACACCTCCTCGAGGTATAACTATCATCACCGCTGTGGTCTAGTTCTAAAATGAAATTGGTCCATCCTACAGCTCTAATGTTTATGTTAGAAGTATACACATGACTTCTACATTGTCAAAAGTTCATGATATTAAACATCAATGCTGATTATAACATTAGTACAGAAAGGACAGAAAATCTGGGATCTTGAAAGCTCAAATTCGAAATGAAAAAAAGAAGATTAATATTTATACTATTTAGGTACAACAGAGAATTAGTCTCACAAGTTCAAGATGACGAACACTTCGGATTTCCCTCGGTAATGGGATCCGTCTATTGGTTTCCTGTTGATAAAGAGTGAACTGCATTAAGTTATTGTCATTTTGAAATCCTACTGAAAGTTACAAAAAATAAATTGTGACCAAAAAGGCAAGAGATATGGCAATAAAGAGGATTCACATCCATACAAGGAAATCGACAAACCTCTTTTTTTGTCTCTACTTCTGCAAGCTTGATATAAATGTCAACCATCTGCTTCATCTGCAAGAACCAAATCATCATTATAGACAGCCTCAGTGTATATAGAAAATATCATTAAATTCTCTCATTCACTGTCGAAGCTCAGTAGGCATGATTCACCATCGATGGAAACTGTTTTTAACTTGATGCCTCCCACAGAATGACTAAGTAGAACTAAGCCCGGCTTGAATGCAATATTACGCATGCATGGTGGTGGAAGTAGACCATATTACACAGGTTTTAAAAAATCCATAATTCTTCCTAATTTTATGACCAACTAACCACTTTTTTTGATTAAATTTATCGTGAGAATTTAACCTATTGAAGAAACTATAATTCTTTGCAAAGCAATGTATAGAACGATGACACAGTGAACGAGAGAATGGTTTTAAAACAATGGAAAATACCTGTCTTATTATGGGTCCGTGGTACGAGGACAACTCATTCAAGAGATTCTCTGCGGCCAGTTTCTTGTCCATATCAACAATAAAGGAATTTCTACTCCGTTGCTTGTCCTTAACACGGTCGCCATTTGCTAATGCTAGAAGCTGGACAAAGTTTCACAAACAACTAAATAAATCCTTTAAGCATAGAGAAACTAATTTCGAACTGGAATAATCCCTTGTAACGGGCTTAAAGCATGCAGAATCTTTGATAAGCGAAAAATCCTGTGATCTGTGACACTTCATCATTTCCTTATCACAGCAGTGAAACTTCATCACTACCATCAGCCTTGTCACCACAATCCAGCCAAACATTGCTGGTAATCCACCCAACCAATACCATTCAATATCCTTCGAAATGATAGTTTTTTTCTTGGCATAGCAGGTCTAAAACATTCATACTGAATAGGATACAAAACATTAAGCTACAGAAAGGAGAGACTTTCGGTGCACCAGTGAAGTGGTAGAGAATCCAGAGGGTAAATAAGAGGAGATAAAAGCCAAAGGGTAAAGAAGATAAAGACTGCAAACTGTCCAATCATTCAGTTCGTTTCAAATCCTCTCACTAAATGGGTGCATGATAGACAAAAACGTTAAATAGAAACATATTTCCGTTCTCCAAGCTTCGGAAGATCTTGACACTAAACTGTTATCACTATGACCTTTTCCACTGCGTACATAAAACAGAGACAAAGGCACAAGTTTCCCTACAGTATCTTAGGAAAACCATCATATTTTTCCTTCTATATTCAACTAAGAGCACGCTGGGTCATATCTTTGTAACGTTTGCCAGTTCTCAACCATATGTTAGAATTTTGCACAAGGCGTATAGACTTATTAGCAAATGTTGAGACTATAAATACTAACTTCCTTACATTTTCATACTAGTCAAGTGTAAGGAACCAGCATTGAAAAATTTAATGAGCAGTTTCACGTCCATGATATAATATTTTCTTTTAATCAAGACAACGAATGAATAAATTTGTTGCGTAGTGAAGTAATATGATTTATTTCTCATAAAAAATAGTTATAAAAGTTAATGCACAGTTAATCTTGTCTTTGACAAATGCTTTTAGTTCAAGTTTTGAGATTGGACGTTAATAAAAAATGTTCCCGATAGTGTAGACAATGTGACAAGAGCCCAAGACGAAGTGCAATTAGTTTTAGATCAAGGTTCAAAGCAAGGAGAGATGCCAGCTTGATTTTTAGATGAAAACAAGTATTGCCCTTATGGACTTACATAATAACCTATGATTGAAGACCATATAATAGAAAAGCTGAAAAACATGAAGTGCCTAAGATAATGGCTTTAATACCTGAAACAAAGTATGGTATGGATGGTCAATGGCCATTTTCTTCACAAGAGAGACCAAAACAGCCTGAAAACGCAAAACTAAGTTATTAAAGAATAAATTTAATAATATTTTACAATTAAAGTGATCCATCCAGCTTTCAACCTGGAACGTAACTGGTCCCTTGCCTTCCTTTGAACTACCCATTCTTGAGGCGATTTGATATACCAGTGGTATGAACTTGTGTGATTGAATCTGAAAATCCATCAATATAATATTTCACACTCTATGGAACAAGCCTAGTGAATCACAAAAAAGTGCATTTTTACTCGTAACAGGCTCATTAAATGTGTTCACAATGTTACCTCGTTAACAGCACGGAGCATGCTCTTAACGACATTTGGTCTTGAAGGAAAGTTGAACCAGAGGGAAATAAGTCGAAATACCTGCAGAATGCCATTTTTCCTTCCCAAATGAGAAAACATTTGTGTAATGTTAACGTGAAACTAATGCAACAGTTCTTTTTTCACAAAAAATCTTGTAGCTTTAGTCATGAAAGAGTTATTAATGTAGGTATAATGATGATAACAAAGTTTCATTTAAAAGGCAGCATCAACGATAGTATAAAAAATAGGTTCATAGTTCTTGACCCAGAATCTGGAAAGTATAGAAAACACCCTATTGAGGATGATCATAATTAATTTTACATATCATATTCTCTGTCCAAGGTAAACCCTTTCAACAATAAGAAATAGTACTAATTATTTTCTCAAAAATCTATCTAGCAGGTTTTGCCATGAAAGAGTAATCAATTCTAGATGATGGGGACAATTATAACATTTTATTTATGAGAAGGTATTTTATTTGAGATCCATCGTACTTGATCCAGAATCTTTGAATAACAGAAAACATTTAACTAATAATATAGACTTTTAAAGTTCTATATTATATTCTCTGCTCCAGGAACACCCCATTTCACTTCCATCATTCAGTCACATCTTTGCACATTCATGTATAGCAATGCACACATTTTTCTACTTGGCCAACATATAAATTGAATGATGTGAAATAGTGTGAACTCTATTTAATTTAAAACAGTGAAAGTTTGGTCTGACGGGTGAAGTTGCTTTGCCAAATTAAAAAAAAGATTCAATAAGAGAAAAACTTGGGAAACGAAAACCTCCGAAGGAACTCAATCAGGATAATATAAAAATAAAAATAAATCATTAGTTAGTCGTTACCATTTTCTCTTAGTTAGCTCTTCGAGTGTGAAAATAATCCACAGGTAGGAATCAGATATACATACCACCCGCATGTCATATTTGCCTCCTATGGAAAGACAACGTTGATATCCATCCAGTGCTAGGCTAAGGAAGTTATCCCTGTCATCCTATAGATCGAAGGAATTCTAGTCAGTCAATAATGAGCTACTAGTTTGATAACCAATCCTAGAAGCAATTCAAAGTACTTTTATAATGGCAATGAATACTTCAGGAATGATGCTACATGATCCAAAATCTGAATCTCGGCAATTCCTGGCTAAAGGCAGTCACAAATGATCAGATTGGGCTATAGATGAACTGACAGATCCTGGTTAATTACCAAATTTATGGGTAAAATAAATACAAATAAATTAGTTATCACATGGAGGGCTAGAAAAGAATTCAGAATCGCAAAACTAAGGGTAATTTGATATTTCCTAGCTTTTTTTTATCGCTCATACCATACCTTAATTTTTTTGGACATTTCATTACGAAAATAAAAAATATTCTAAGAAGATCCTTTGACAAAGTCCAAAATAATATCCTACCTGCAACTTTTCAGCTTCTTCCCTGTCCATGGTAAGCTGTTTCTGTAGCTCTTGTATTTTTGCTGAGTAGTCAGTCTTATCACCCTGGCGAACAGTATAAATGAGGATGATATCAGAGGGGTAAGATGCGTCCGGACTTTATCCCTATGAATGACCTTCTCGTGTGAAACAAAAAATGAAATATATCCCCAGTAAAAGATGTCCACCTTTGCCGAACTCTTCAGTCTTCTAATAAGCGCATCCAGTTCTCTTGTCTGCAGAGGGTAGCAAACCACTAAACTATCTACTCCATGTGACAACAATAAACACAGGCACATGCAAAAAGTTGATTGAACATCAGCTCTTGACAAGCTACCTTGTGTTTCCTCAATCGCAGAGCTGCCTGCCATTCACTAGAGGTAAGCCTTGCTTCATAGCTTTTAAATAAAGCATCTGTATAGTGTGCAAGATGGAAGTATGTTTGACATTGTCTTGATATAGATTTCTCGTCAACATTCTTATTTAATTCAGCAAGTTCCACTGAATGTTTCAGGTACTTTTCCAAGATGGTTCTTGAACTACAGTCAAACAGGGAATATGAGAGCTCCAACAAAGAGAGATATTGAAAGTTGAATAACATTTGGTAACATCTTTTCGTGATGTACCTGCTTGATCGACTCTCCACCAACCATTTTCCAACAAGACGATTGACATTTGAAGCTTCTTCTGCCAGCTGATAATTTTCAAGAATATATATTGCCAGGTTGATGGCCATCTCATGTTGACCTTGAGCTCGTAAAATTTTAGCCTCTTCGATCTACCCAATACATAAAGATTTGTTCTTTCATGGAACAGAAAAATGGATTTCTTACAAGGATGTCAAAATAATTGTTCAAAGTATTTGGCATTCAAATTCAATATGGCACACATGATGAAGCTTATACATAAACCTTTTAAGGTTACTGCGACAGAAGTGTGTACATAGCTGCAGGTTCATAAGAAAAAGCACCTCTAACAAAATCAGAGGGCAATATCCACGTATGAGAAAAAACTCAAGTTTACAATCAAACAGTTAAACCAGAATCATAGATGCGCAGAAAATGAAATATGCCTACCAATGTGATCCCTGTCATGAAAAGATTCCCACGGCCCCCAACCAGTTACTTTCTCTATTCAAAACAATTACTTTCATCTAAAATGTGGACTAGTTGCCATCTGTTTTCCTGTTATCCTTTCTTTCACCAGATATATTTGGTACACAACAGAAGATATATACCCTTGGGGCGGTCTGCAGTAAAATAACGGATCTCATATTCTTCAAAATGGGTAAAATGTTGCATTAATATGATAGACAGGAGTGTCACAATGGAAGTTATGACCAGAGGAACATTTTATAATGTACTTATGCAGAGCATTGAGACTATATACATTGTTTTTTTTGGGTCGCGGTGAGATATGGGGAGTTGAACTGTTACCTCTTTCGATCCTTTCATTTTCCTCTCGCGAGATATGACAGATTACACTTCAAAATACGATCCCAAGATGCAAAAGTATAGGAACGAACGTATAGTTAGGAGTTCGGCTCTTAGTTTGTCAGTTTCCAATTTTTTTAGATAGTTTTCTTATTTCGTGTCCTTGTATAAACAGTCATCTATGATGTGAATAAGTAGAGATTTTTCCCACTGCATATCCTCCTAGGGTTTCCGTCACTACAGTAGGTAACTAAAAAGAAAATGGAATGAAATTTGTCTCTAAATAAATAATAGTTAATAATATACCCTCCCAAGGGGGAAAATGTACGAGCTTGGTTCTTTTTCATCTTCTGCAAAGAGTAACTTAAATTCATGCATAGCTGCAGCAGCTAAAGAAAACCTAGATCCCTGGAAACAAGAAAGAGAAATAAGTTAGAACTAAAAATTCTGATAAATAAATAAGCACGTTCTGCAATAATTACCTTGCGAAGGGTGGAAGCTGATTCTAAAAGATGCCCAGCAGTGCATTCCTTGCATTGCAAAATTTGTAGAAGGGCATGTCTGAATGCAATGAAAGGTTCCAGCAAATTGAGATGTAACTGGGTTTGTTTGAGTATCAGCTTCCAGCCTGCATTCATGCATTCCAGCTGCAAAGCATACTTCAAGCATGAATTTGAAGGTTGACAATAAATTTTAATACGTGAAAAGTGCAATTCTTATCATTCTGAAATGAATTTTGCGAATTCTAAAACCAATCTGACAATATTTGAAAGCCCAGGAATGTCTCTCAATACTCTCAACCATCTTTGTTATGGAGACATCAATGCAGATGTGAGGTTTGAGAAAATGGACACTAGAGTGACTCTTATAAATGGAAAACCAGACAATTCACTTACATACTTTATGTTCAATGGTACTAACCGCTTTCATCATTCTAATGGAGGTACTAACAAAATCTGACGATCATCTATTAGCACAATCATCCACATAAGATATAGAACAGAAAACGGATAGTGAAAAAAGCATTCAAATTTTTAAGAACAGCTAATAGCATTTTGTTACCATCTCCGATAATGTATAACAATAATTTTAAAAATTAAAGTTATAATGGGTGATCCTTTTTACCAATAGGGAAACATATATATATATATATACTGTTCAACTAAGAAATTCGAAATCCTATTTGATATTCAGTAGGTGATTAGCTCTTTGATGCCAACAAAAGTAGTTCTCGGATGTTTTCCTAAAAGTTGGATGTTTAGACCTATAATCTGAGGTAAAGCATGCTCCTAGCTTCATCATATTTTCAGTAATCTCTTTGGCAATCTTTGTTTTTTTATCAGTATCTTTGTTTCTTACCCAAATTTTCATGATTAGGAAATCTACAATTCACTAATACTACATGTTCTAGTGTTATTGAACACGCCTTCAAAAAAGATGATTGTGATGGAAAAATGTAAGCCACCAAGGTGCTAAGGTCACAAAAACAATCATCTTTCTAGCCTCTCTGTCTAGGCGGCCAAACCCTTTTTTATATGTCTATAATAATGATAATTGGTTGAATTGGAGAGGATACATCTCAACTGGTATTGTTATGTATCTATACAAGAGCCCAAAGAAGCCCAAGAAGAGAAGAGATTGTACATGAACTAAGTATTCTCTTTTATCATTATTCAATAGTGCTTTTTCACCTAGACTTGACCTTGAAACCAATGGTAGATGGAATCACATGACTAGGTGTGGTATATGAACCGGTTAAAAACAGATGAAGTTAAGCATGGTATAGGCAAAGACTCAGGGTTTTGGCTAAAACACTAAGGAAGATTCGGGGTATTGACGAAAATTGTTTTTCCAGTTTCTAGATTAGTTTCGGTTGGGTAGATTACTTGAATCCTCACTAAAAACAAAAGGAGAGCCACTATCACTAGGTAACAGAATTCTTATTCACATAAAAAAAATGGTGACTAGAGTACTGTGCTCTAGCAAGCATGATGCCAGTCTCTTATGGCACACGGCAGCTACCACATCAATACAATGTTAGAATCTACAAGTAAGCCCAGTGGCTGGGGTGCTCGGTACATGAAGGGCAGGATTAAAAAGGACGAAACTTCTGGAATCGTAGACTAGAGAACGTTCACTGTTATGGGCTCGAGTAAAGATCACATCAACAGTCATTGTTTTCGTTTGTTCTCTCTAACGTACGATTCTAGCTATAGAGAAATCAAAAAACATGATACAAGCGTGAGAAGGGAGAAGGGTATGTAGATAGATGGCCTTGGCATGATGCTCCACAGGAAAACCGGGACCCTGCTATTTCTGCAGAGTTAAGACGTCCCACACCACACCCTCCGGAGACGAGTCCACATTTAAGGGGACGACAGAGTCTACTTTAACTACAGTACAGGTAAAACGTGAAAAAAAATGAGACCTGGCTTATGGTAGGAATAACGGGCTCAGAGAGTGTCTTCTTGATTACTGTCTGCGATTCCCCGCATTTGTATGTATGTGGCTTCCAACGTAAATCCCACGCTCTACCAAGATGGTCTAAAATCTGCACAAGAAGCATAATAACCAAAGTATTAATGGATCAGTGCTTTTCGCAAGATGGGATCATAGGTGAACTTCTCCTACCTGAAGTTTCACAATTGTGGAATTGATATATCCAGTACTCTCCTTACTTGCATTGCAGATAGAAATAACAAGTTCCTAAAAATCAATAAACAAAGCAATAAAGAGAATGGCATAAAATCGATCAGTTCAACTAAAGAAAACAAATACCTCCTTAGCATCAGTAAGATTGGCGTGAAACTCATTGCAATCTCCATCTTGCAAAGCCCTCAGGCAACTGTTTAACAAGTGACGAGGACAACAAATTAACAATGGATGAAATTTACGAATGAAAAAAATTTAAAACAGTAGAGATGATTTGATAAAATTGAAAAGTCGACCCTACAGATGTGAGAGAAAAGAGGAATACAATAATGTAACAGAAGACAACGGTATTCTTAATGGACAAGACAAATTCGACTTAGTAGATGGTTCCAAACTAGTCTTTTGGGAAGAAAATTAATCTAGGTGTCAAATAAAAATGAGAGATGCCTGACAGCTCTTGTGAAACCTTTTAATTAGAGTGTGGGACCAAAGGAGTCATTTTGATTTACAATATACATTCTTGGTTGATTTATATCTAGTTTTTTAGCCCTAAACTTGTTAAATACAAAGGCAAATGGTGATAAGCGATTTCTCGGAGAATCATGCATCTGATCCTGTGCTTTCTCCGAGCCTAGATGTAGCTTCTGTCCTACGCTACGCAGTCAACGGCTTTCAGTGGTTGTAGAAAAATCAAGGAAGCTTTTGGGTCATGATACTTCAGAAAAGGATGCAGCTTCTATATCGAAGCTTGTGCTTAGTTTGACATTTTGATGTTGCCTGATAAGGTCGTGCGTAGAGATATTTTGAGCGGATTCCTTGTCTCCAGAACAGTTTTGGACAGTTAGGATGGGATTAGCCCAGCAAACATGGATGTATTTCCTAATTTTTCAATTTAACAGAACTGATTTCATTACTAATTTTCATCCCAAAAAACTGAAAGACTTCAAAATAATTGATGCGAAAATGCTATACGCGTAAAGCAATGATAGGAACACATTAATTCACGAGAAAAGCAGTTACTCATGCATCAGTTGAGAACGTTAAATATAGAACACATTGTTGTTGAAGTTTAAAGATAAACCTGTGCAGTTTCTCGTTAAAATGACTATTCCGTAAATCATTTCCAGAATGTGTAGGAGGAAGATCTACATGAAGTAACGAAAAATCCCAATTACCCGACCTCCAAGCAGCTTCATACTGTACAAGAGGTACAAGTGAAGAGCAAACTGATTAAAAAAAGCAATGAATTGACCATTTAAAACAATATACATCCAAAAGATTGCAGCGAAAACCACCATCTTTTTCATAAACGTTTGCACGATTCAAAAGTAAAAATGAAGAAACTTTTACATTGATGGCAGGTTCAACTAGCTGCAAACCTGTAACTCAGTGAAGTCCAAGTCATGTTGAAAATAGCAGTTTTGTTTAGTGAGACCCTGGAAATATACATCCAAAAGATGAGAACATCCAATTTGTTGTAGCGACCTCATGAGCCCTTTATGTAACTTCCAGACTCCCGTTTCTTTCACTTCTCTGGAAGAAGAGACATGATTAAGTCCTTGGGCATAAACTGCTTCATAGTCCCTCGACATACCACCAATTTTTCCTACAGAGGCTTTCCTTATCAATAAGTCATAATGTTCCAAAGCTTTGCTCCAATTTCCCTCGTGCTCGTATGTAATGATTTGAGAAGACACCTGATCGAAAATAACATCAGTAAAATGCTAACACATTGGATGGAAAAAAAACTCCAGAAAAAATCTGCTCCACTGAAAGGTACTGTTAGGCCCACGACGGGCCAAACATATTCCAGACACAGGAAAATGGGTCCAGAGCCCATTTTACCGACTGCGGGTGACGATTCTAGCATGGGAGCGATTAACGCAAGTGCTGGAAGGGGTGAAGAGGGTAAATGACCCTGTAAGGTTTAATATTAGGCCTACCCCCCCCGGAGAGGGGGAACAGACCTTATTTTGGTCAAGTCCAGGAGAGTGGGGCCTCTCGAACTACCCCAACTGTTCTAGGGTTCCAGTGGAGCCCGGTTACTCCCGGTTACTCTGTGTTATCCTTTGCTTCTACTGTTCTTTCCGTTCTTTCCACTGTCTCTCGCCTGATCTTGGTCACAGGAAGTAAGGGACCCTACCAGGTACATAGTTCGGAAATTTTAACAGGCACAATATTTCGGTCCAAGTCAGGTCTTCCTCCTTTCTTTTTTTTTCTGGCAACAAAACAGAGGCTTTTTGAAATATAATAAATAAATAAATTAAGATGTTGGGCTCATGCCAATTGAGAGGTGGCAATTGTAATGTGGTAATAAGTTACACAGGTTCTTCGTAATATATAAATATAGCTCAGCTTGGTTTTACAAACTTGCATATAATCTTTTCTCATCACAAGCCACATTTTTTAGAATTTTCGCTGAGAAGCTGCCAGCTGACAAGGAATTTAGCATTCTAAAAATGGTTCCCCCCAATCTGACTATCTGGCTTATGCAAAGTTTCGGGAACAATAAATGGGAAATTGGTAACAAGCTTATTGAGTGACATTGGAGGAAGTCATTGACATCATCAAACCATGAACATAATGCTTGATGTTCATGTTGGCATTTCCATGGACATCAATCATTCAAATTCCCGATAAAAAGACGTACATATCTAAAACATGATTTTTACTAAGCTACAAAAATAATAATTTTAGGTCGGAGTTTTCAACTATTACAACCCTGATGAAAGATACTTATGATTATTACTAAACAGAGGCCATGAAAGATCAGTATACGACCCAATTTCAGTAACATGTTAGGCAAAGAAGAATGCCAGAAATTGGATTTATAGAAACTTTAGGAAAAATATTGTCTTTACGTTCAGGTGAAGAATGACAGGTGAAGAAATTGGCTATAGAGTTTTCAAGAGCATTAGAGTTTACAGAAAAGAATACGGCCTCCACAAACAATGCGCCATACCTAATGTAATATTTCGATCCAATAAAAAATACTAAATAAAAGCCTAATAGTCACAACAACAGATGTCCTTTTCTCTTTTGATTCCTGCGTCCTCTTCAAGATCAAACCACAAGGTGCTTTTCAACATTCAAGTGAAACCAATATTACCCCCATATTTTTTAGTTCTGGAACAGACAAACCTTATATGTCTGGATTATGCCGTATAAGCTATCAGGTTCGTTGATCTGAGTGACTGCCGAAATGAGTAGCTCGACATGTGGTGGAAGCTGAAAACAAGAAATATCAGTTATTTCGTTGGATGATTGAAGTGGGATGATAAATGGTAGTATAGAAAAAAAAATAAAATCAGTCTGAACAAATGATTGTAGACTTCAGTTGCTAAAAAATGACTGAATTCAGACCAATAAATGTGACCTCTGAAATGGAAACTCTTAAAGGTTTAGGCTGACCGATTCGAGATTCGAGAAGTCTGGGCTCCCCAATGTGAGACAGTTAAAATTCTCTTCACACCAGTATTCTACATACATTACTGCAGTGAAGTACGAGCCACAGTGCTGAAACATATTAAGGAAAGGTTAATTTAACATATTACAAGCAAGGTTTCATGAAAAGCAAATCAGTAATGAAATATACATAAACAGTTTTAAAATAAAAATATTGTTCAATTAAAAAATTAATAATGAATCAATAGTCTAACTGAAAATGACATTTCAGAGAGTAGTCCGGAGTGTATGAGTTGGCCAAGGTACTTTGGAATTAGCGTGGGATTATGGATCAAGCAGATCTGATCCTTATTCAGATACTAATTGATCAGGTTGCGGACTTAGATATTTTTTACAATTTCAGAAGTATATTTCTTAGATGTGAAAATATTGCATAAATCTACTTGACCGTTAATCACCCCCATCCAATCAGATTAATGTTTTGCGCACACTTGGCAAGTGAAAACAGTATAGGGAAAGACAGACAGGTGGATAGTGTCATCTGAGACAACCTTTTTTTTCTTCTTTCTTCCTCTCTCTTTCTTCATGTCCTCTTTCCCCATACACCCAAGTCTCCCCACTGATCTCGGAAGGAATATTCAAATTCTGAAAAACATGGACCAACATGGACCCTATGTCTTGGTTAAAATTAACCCTTTGAGTTATACTAATCTATAAAAAAAAATTACACGACTAAATTGGTCTCCTTTATTAGTGATGCAGTTTAATTCAAAATTTTGATAGAATTCCGTACCTTACTTTGAGCTAAGTTTCTCGATAATTCCATGGTAAGGTGTTTTTATTTTTTGACATTGGGGAGTTACAGTTGCCTAAGTTTACTCCATCCACATTGCAGTTTACTTCTTCTCCGATGACATTTTCCATCTAAGCAACTGACAAGGAAAGCATCTCATTACACCTCCTCAACTTAATAATTTCTTCCAGCTTGTTCTTTTGAAACTTTTACATTATTAAGACCTCTTCTCACCCTCTCTTCAGTAAACATTTAACTCTTCAAGTTCCCTTATGCCCACTATTGTGGATAAGAAGGAATCCCTTATCCAGTGGTATTCAATATAACTTTAAGAAAAAATAAGAAAACTTATAACCTGGAACTCAAAACAAATAGTTAACACATTTATGTCGATATTGGCACAAATGAATCATTGGTACCACGAAAAAATCATTTTTCTTCAATAAAAGTACTACATAAAAATCAGAAATATCATCAACATTGACACTCCAGAGACATGCGATTCCCTTGTTTTCCATTCAACTATCATGAACCTATAAAAGGAGATAATGGTACTCACAATTGCAGCCTTGGCAACCACAAGATAGTCAATGGAGAGCCAATATACCTTCAAGCAAAGCAAAAGATATCAGAACATCAATAACAAAAGGAATAAAATTGACTGTTACATGAAACCAGTGGTCAAACATCAGAAACGTGTTAAATGCATCTCAGACAATTAGAAACCATTGTGAGAAGAAGACCACAAAGGCTAGAAGTAAATTTAGGGACAGGACTGGATACAACAGAATAGAAGGTGGACCACTAAAATCAGCTGCTGTCCACTGGGGCTTCTGATCGCTAATACACTATTTTAGAATTTAAAGGGCAACTAAGCAAAGTAACTGTTGGAAGTTCTAAGTCGTTAGGAAATACTGCAAAAAAACGAGGGTATTTTGGGACAGTTGTCTAGGGTTCCTCCCTATATAAGGGATGCCAGAGGTGAATGAAATGAGAGGCGGTTGTCTGCCGTTCTGCCCTCTGTCCTCAGTGACAGAGGTTATTCTCCCTGTGTCTATGTTTCTCTACAGTAACATTATTACAGTAGGCCTGCAACCTACAAGCTGAATGCTAGGGAGATTTCTTTGTTAAAATGTTCTCTGGAACATTTGAATTAAACCTCCTTTTTGGATCCAATAAAACAATAAAATGTTAACCTCTAATTGAATTGGGTCGGTCAGTAGCTTGTAAGAGCCAGTTCCTCCGAATATGACCAGGCAGTTTGTCTGTCTCAATAGAGATTATCAGCACAGGGCAATTTCCTTCGACATCTTATTTCCTTAAGATCGTGCAAAGTTTACTAGCATGGATCAAGTGCTTCACCAATACGTTTCTAACACAAAGCTACCTTTGAATGAATAATAGCTTCTCTTTAGAAGAGCACGGTCCTCCAGGAGAATTACTGCACAAGAACTTCATTCAAATTTCCTTGAACAAATTAGTACACATAACTGAATCAAATAATAAACAACCAGTTGATCGTTGTCACTAGTACCTCTGCATTGAAACGAGCAGTAACAGGTAACACTATGTGTGCTTCTATTGCCCTTCTGTTCCACTTTGGAATACCAGTTTTTTTAAAAGAATTGGATTCGCATATTATCATGTGATTCACAGAATCAAAAGCTTCTTCTACTCATTTTTCCTCCACCATGACTATATGAACTGTCGTCACCTTAACCCAAAAGGAATTTCCCTCACACCAGTTATGCCCAAAAAAAATAAAGACAGAATATGCCCCTTCGAAAACAACCTAGATCAGTTATGGAATCGAAGCCCACCAAGCTAGACTAGGATATCAGCCAAACCTTTTGGATTGAGAAGCTTCAAAAGCTGAGACTACAAGAAAGCACAAGTTATAGGAATTATAAATGACAACCCAATGTTGACACCGAAACCTACGATTATGATTGATCCGGTGCTAAAACTTATATTTAAAAGTCCAGCAGCAGATGATCAATCTGAAACATCAATGCACTTTCAAAGCAATATAATTTCAGGGAACAATAAAAAAAATGACATGAATTACAGTTTCACCACCAAGAGTTTAAAAGATGGCGAGACTGAAGAAAGGAGCAACGATAATTATTAAAAAATGAATAGCAGTTCTTACTGGCGACACATTTTTCAAATATTACCTTCTTCCACGAGGAATTTGATAACAACTCTACATGCAGCGCTGGTGTATAACGGGTCCTTGGAACACTTTGTCTACCATGCTGCAAACAGCTCATAACAGAAGTTAGAAAGAATAAGTGATAGACGAACGGAAGCAGAAAAAACAAGGAAATAAAAGTGTATTCAGCCGGAATGTTCAGAAAAAAACAGAAATTCATCAAACTGAAAAGGGTTGATGGTGGAATTATTTTCATATTCTCAAATTAAGCATTCTATTTGAAACACATTAACATAAATTTGGAAAATTAAGAACAATATTTGGTACAACGCCATTGTAGATGCAAACAGCTTCAGGTACTTTAAAGTCTAATCCAGTAGCAACGCTTCACAGATATGATCAAAAGGGTCCATATCAGCTTCTCTCTCCAAGAAACCAGTTTTACACCAAGTGATTCTTCCAAGTGGATTGTGCCAATTATACCTTAGATCTTGGTGTCATAGTACATGTCTCCTACATACTAGCTTCATCTCAAGTTATCTATCAATATAAATTTAGAGTAAAAAAAAACTCAAAAGTGGCCAAGATTTTGGTGCACTACATATGTGTAAGCCTTGAGATCCATTCATCTATGAAAGTGGATGGATAAGATTCTTTCATGAACCATAGCTAGGGTTGTTTACTAAACGTTTCCACCAAGAACTTTTCGGGAGCCACTGTATATTCAGATCAAATTATTGCTGCTCGTAGTTTTAAGGATCCGTACATGCTTGTTCAAGTCCCTGCACCGGCCCCTGACACGGGCCAAAACTAATGATCCAACAATGGAACACTTTTTCTATATCCTCCGTACAGTCAAGTCACATTACTATATGTTGGTGAAATCAAAATTATACTTGGCTAGAGAAATCAATAAAAAAGACAAGTTGAAAAAGAAACTTCTGATAGAAGGAAAATAAGTTCAACTAATACTAACTTAAGGACGTAATAAGCCAACCTTTGAGGTTCTTTGAAATGAGTGAGACATTTCTGTGTTGTCATATGATCGAAGAATGTTCAGCACATTCAACCAGATCTGGATAGATTTGATTGCATAGTTGGATTCAAGAAATATGTTTTCTTCGACCTGCCAGTAGAACGATTTATATATATATAATAAAAAATATTTAAGGCCAATTAGAACTATGTCAAATGACACTCAATACTGTAATCGTATCAGCTTATTACACTATAAAGAAGGCACGATAAAATGAAAACGGATTGCACAGGAAAATCACAAACCCATCTTCAGGCAAGTACAAAACGCAGTCAAATTTATCCAATATCTCAACACAGAAGAAAATATTTTAGTACAGTTCATGAGAGACTGAAGATTGAAGTATCATCATACAAGCTTAATAATTGAAATTGCAGACGAGAAAAGGGTGGATGGTAAGGCGAACTCCAAGAATCACAGAACCCAAAATTTGATATGGCAGCTAATATCCATAATGTTAGAGCATATATGTCTACACAGCATCAGGGCCCTAGACAGCATCCCACTCCATCTAGCCGTCCTAAGCCTCCCAGATCGTCCTTTAGGCATCTCTCTATGTCCGGCACCATCTTTTGCCATTCTGCCATCATCCCCTCATTTCAGCATTGTCTCTCACTGTTCAAAGAGGACGAATGCTTCGGAATCCCCATTTCCCCTCCTCCACCTCCTCAGTTTGGTTGTCCTGACATCATCTCGTGTAGTCCTGTGACATCTAGCTGTCTCACAGACCAACATTTCTTCCTGGTTCTGCTTGGACAACTCAAGTCATCGTCCAAGTGAGGAACCCTAATCAGAAGGGGGGATTGGGGCCACTGCCAAACCCTAATTCCTCAACAAACGTCTGGGCATCCCGCACCATCAACAATCAACGATCATTGGCTAGCAGAGGTGCCTCCGCACATCATGGATCAGGTCAACAGGTCAACAATCAATATCCCAGTGATGGGTGATGAGTTGAAATATATCATAATTCTACCATCATCAGTCATAGTCCAGAGGCACATAATCACTACTTAGGGGATTGTGTCCACATCACCTAAGTTATCTCTCAAATTAGTTCTTTACATACCTAAGTTTCCTTTTAACCTTATTTCTATTAGTAAACTTGTGCTCTTCAAGTTGTCATACTAATTCTTGTTTCATTCAGGACCTTAAGACATGGAGGTCAATTGACGAAGAATATGAGCATGGATTACTATACTATTTGGGTAAAGCTTCTCATTTCACGTGTGTCACTGCTTCACCACTTCAAATTTATAACTAATTGGGTCATGTGTCTCTTGGGAATCTCAAGTTATTGACTCCCAATCTTATTGGTCAAGAGCCATTAGAATGTGAGTCATGTTAGTTGAGTAATCACCAACATTCTAGTCATGTGTGTCTTTGATTTGGTTCATTAAAATGTATCGGTTGCTAATCATGTCACATCAAATTTGGATTCAAATGCTTTGTTATATTTATTGATGTTCACTCATAGGTTACATGATTATATCTCATAATGGAGATATATAAGGTATTCTCTATCTTTTACTCATTTTGTGCTGAAATGAAAAATCAATTGGGCTAGACCATCCACGTGCTACATTTTGACACTGCAAAAGAATATTTTTAACTCTTCCTTTTCACAATATCTACTCCATCATGTGATAATTTGTCAATCATCATGTTCTCATGCCCCTCAGCAAAATGGTGTTGTTGAGAGGAAACATGGACTTATCACTGAAACTACTCATACATTCCTACACATGCACGTTCCTATAAAATTTTGGGGAGATGTTGTACTAACTACCAACATATCTGATCAACCAAATGTCATCTTTCGTTTTAGAGAATAAAATTTATTACTCTATTTTTCACCCAAGGGAGCCATTATATAGTGTTCCACCTAAAATATTTGGGTGTCTATTTTGTCTATAAATTAGAAGTTGGTCAAGATAAATTTGGCTTAAGTCTATGAAGTGAATTTTCTTAAGATAATCTTGCATTTAAAAAGGGTATAACTATTATAACCCATTGCTTTATGGCACAGTGTTTCTGGCAATGTTAGCTCTTTTTCTAATATTGACCTTCATATAGTTGATAGTCATGTTGAGTCTGCTAGTCAACCCCGTGTTACAGAAGTGTACAAGGTAGAGAGCTCTCTAGACTTCTTTGGCAGCTAATAAAGTGTTCCATCCACAACCAATCCCCAATATGTCTGAAGGTCAGCTTGAAAATATTTCTGTCCCAAGTAACTTGGATATACCCATTGCCTTACGAAATATGAAACGGTTTTGTTTCCTTCACCTCTAGTACTCATTTGCCTTCAACCAATTCTGCATTTATCTTGACCTTATTAGATGTACCTATTAAAAATGTTTCAGAGTCATTTGGTCCTCTTGGGTGGCATACAACTATGAAGGAGATGATTGCTCTCAAGTAAAATGGTACCTAGTGTGACCGCCTCATAAATATGTTGTCAGGTGCAAATGGGTCTTCAATGTTAAAGTTGGTCTAGGTGCATGGTGAGGATTATTTAGATTCATTCTCTCCCCGTAATAAAGTTAGCTGTACGGTTCTCTTGGCCTCTTCATCAACTAAATATCAAGAATGCATTTGTTCATGGTGATTTATAAGAAGAGATTTATATAGAGGAATCTTTAGGGTTTGTTGCTCAAAGGGAGTCTAGTATGATTTATCATCCGCTAAAATCTCTCTATGATTTTAACCAATTTTCACAAGCCTAATTTAGCTACTTCAGTAGTAATATAGTTATGTTTGATCTTCAAAGATGTGGGATTGATCATGCAATCTTTTATAGACATTCATTTTCTGGTTGTATCTTACTAATCATCTATGTCAATGACATTATTATCACCTAACACGATCACAAAGATATTTCGCAACTCAAGGAATTCTTACAAGGACATTTTGCCACTAAAGACCTTGGTAATCTTAAATACTTTTTGGGAATTGAGATTGCTTGATCCAAGGAGGGTATTGCGATCAACCAATGAAAGTATGTCCTTGATCTCCTTGAGGAAATGGGTATGTCAAATACAAAATCAACTACCACTCTGATAGATTCTAACTTGAAATTATCTCTTGATGAGAGAGCCATGTTGGAGAATCCAGGGAGGTAGATGTCAAGTTAGTATACTGAACTATTTAACCATCACCCAATCAGATATTTCTTTTGCTATTAGTGTAGTGAGTCAGTTCATAGAATGACCACACACAAAACATCTGGATGTAGGTATGCGGATTTTGAGATATCTCAAGAGAAATCTGAGCAAAAGATTATTGTATAAGAACAATGGTCATCTTACAGTCCAAAGTACTGAATCAAAATATAGGACAATGGCATAAATTACATGTGAACTTATATAAACCAATCATCTTCTTGAAGAATTTGATTTCCTTTATCCTAGTCCTATGGAACTCAAATGCGATAATCAAGCAGCAATCTACATCATCTCTAATTATGTATTTCATGAGAGGATGAAACATATTGAAGTTGGTTGTCATTCTGTCAAAGAGAAGCTACAGGCACGTCTCATCACTACTGTGCATGTTAAATTTAATGATCAACTTGCCAATATTTTTATCAGGCCTCTGAATAGCCACCGAGTTGAATTTCTATGCGATAAACTAAGAGTGTATGATATATACACTCCAGCTTGAGGGGGGCTGTTGGAGTGCGTATGTCTAGGCTGGACCATCCATCTAACTATCTGGGCGGAACTGGTCCACCCAAGCCCATTTAGAGTCTAGTATATATGCTAGACTCCAAGATTAGGGCAAAGTACTCTTTCCATATCTGTCATCTCTCTCCTTCTCCTTCTCTGTCTCTCTCTCTAGTTGTAACACATAAAAAATCGAAAGTTATTTCCTTCTTTATGCCTCTTTCTACACATGGATCAGACTTATACATATGAGAATCAGCATTCTCGATAGAAAGATTGGCAGACTCATATCAGATATTACTATGATCATGTATTTGAATAAACTGAAGAACGTTTAGAACAAGATTATGACGACCGCTTGAAAATTTTACACAAGCCACAAACACAGACCTCTGCTTCTTTTATCCACTCTTCTGTCTGCTACTCGTTTCCTTTATTTTATCAAGTTCAGAAACACTCTAATATCCCCGAAATTGGCTGGAATCAAATACTCCCAACTCAGATCAGGCAGTTGGGGCTGAGATCAGCTAACTTCTTTTCCTCAGTTCTGATCAAAATATGTTACAGTACATTTTCCATGACAATTGACTATATCAAAGAATAAGGAACTGAAAAAAAAAAAACCTTTTCGTAATTAAAGTAATTTTTTAGAAAAAAACCTAACATCGAAATCGAACACCAATATGAAGCAGGAAATAGGAAATTAGAATTTTATGAATGAAGCATTTGTCGTCAAGCATATTCCACAAACTCATCAATATGGCAATGGCACGAAATTATTAAACGCAACAGATCAGATGATAAAGAATAATTGGCTCATTAATCTGGAAAAATGGTGACTCCAAATCTAAAGATAGAATCGGTGAAAAAATATGAATGAATATTAGAGGTTAGGAACATAAAAGGAAAAAACAAATATTTATTATTTACTGCCCTTTAAACTACAATTAGGTTCCTCTTAGCTGAAACAATTACAATCAGGATGAAACAGCTTCGCATATCATGTCTGAAAAAAACTACGATTACAATTAACTCAGTAAACACCACTGTGTGATTCTACAAGTCAACATTTTATAATCCATTATTGTGAAAGAAAGGAAACGATAAAAAAAAGTGTAACCACAACTGTACGGATAAATTCAGCACTCAATCTCTTAACACACCAACTCCTTGCTTAGAGAACAGCAACATATGATTAACAGGATCAGGTTCCCTCTTAGCTGAAACAATTACAATCAGGATCAAACAGTTCCGCATAACTTGTCTTTAAAAATCTATGACCATATTAAAAGGACAGTTCCATGAAGCTACAGGGGAACACAAACAAAGAGACAAAAGAAATACAGAAAATGATACCAACGAAAACAAAGAAAGACACTGAAGATGGATACATAATTGATGCATTTGACAACCTTCATTGAGATTATCTGACAAAGATCAACTACAGAATCATTCCTCCCAGATATGTTGACCAAGACACTTGGAAGCAAAAGCTCTGCCAGTTCCACTTTCAACAGTACAATGTCCTGACATAACCTGAAATTCTCATGGAAAATGAAAGGACTATTTACCAATGTCTAACAACAGTGCAGTTTCACTGACACCTAACAGTGGAAAGTTGGTGTTTAAGGAAGCAAAGCACTTCATACCTTAAGATTACGTCATCACTAAAACAAATGAGCGAGTGAACAAGCGAACAAATCCACATCTCATAGCTTTTTGAATGAGTTCTCCACAAAGCTGTAGCCGAGAGATCCTCTACGGTGTGTGTGTGGGAGGGGGGGGAGGGGATCATCATAAAATTAGAAATTCTAGTTCATATCGCTTTGAATAATTATACTAATAAAAAAAACATGAGGCGTCTGGTGTGTGAAAAATACAATCTAAAAGAGGGGAAACGCAGCTTCAGTGCATTGATCCTAGCATATGAAGGATGAAACGCAAGATGGTAGAACATAAATCAACATATAAGCTCAGACAAAAAAATTTACACCATTCAGCCAACACCAGGCATGATTATGAAAAATTCTCTATGGCTGCCCATGTATACAGAGGTTTATACAGAGGCTTATGAAACGAGAAAATCGTAGTCAAACATAGGGTTAAAAGAGAAATTTTGGACATAGGGTTGAAAGTATACCTCTTCTGCTCTAAGATTTTTCCCAGTGTTTCACCTCTCTCCTTCCATTTTCTGGTATTCGCTAACATGATATCAAAGCAAAATACGGTCCTAGAAAAATCCCAATCCTTTTTTATCATCATTAGGGTAGTCATTTAACTACGTCGTCCCCAAACCTAGTCTTCTGTACTAATGACATCTAATGGCAATAAGAAATCAATTCCTTTCAAACATAATTCAAACCATACAGGAACAAACGGTTGGGGAAAAAGCTCTTCTGCTCCTCAAATCATGGAACAATTGCTAATTGTATACAATAACCCTGGCCATAAAAAAGGAAACTAACTAGGTTAAGGAAACTGACCAACTAGGAAACTAACAAAATAGGAAACTGCTCTCAACTAGAAACCGACCAACATAAACTAACTCCTAAATATATGTTCGTTCCCACACTCCCCTTTAAGCTGGCGAATAGGTATTCTCAAGTCTCAATTTAGATACAATACTATGAAATACTAGACTAAATCCCTAAGTACATCAGCAAGTTGGCCACGTGTAGACACGTGAAATGTACAAATCAATCAGTTCTCTAACTTTTCTCTGAAGTGTCTGAAAATCTTGATATGTTTTGTTCGATCATGTTGCACTGGGTTGTGAGCTATACTAATTTCAGACCCATTAGCCATCCCACTTAATCTTCAAGTCTTCTAAGATGAACTTGAGCCAAAGTAGTTTACATAGACCTTGAACGATTGCTTGGAATTCAGCCTCTGCACTAGATTGTACTATCACGATCTATTTCTTACTTCTCCACATCATGAGATTGCAATATCTAGAGGTTGATCTCCTGTCAACCACTGACCCTGCATAATCAACATCTGTATATGCCTCCAGTACGAACCCTCAATTTCTACATAATGAACAGATTTCATTGTCAAGATTCCCAATGAAAGATCTTACCCTCTTGACCTCTTCTTGGTTGAGAGCACCTGACTCCTTCGGTGCTGCTTCATTCTGATGCACTGTCATGACATGAGCTCGACCATTGTTCCTTGGCTGCTCTCTTTTCTGTCCTTTTCCTCGACTCAAAGGTTTTCCATGGAGCTTCCAACATCGTTCAAGAGTATGTTGTGGCTTCTAACAGTAAGTGCATCATAAGCTATCCTTATGGTCAATCTCAGCAACCTGTGCTCTCTCAATGTTTGTGGCCGAATTATTGCCACCTCTAGCCACTATAGTTGACCTGTACATGCTTTGTGGCTCAAGCATCAAGCCTCTTCTACTTCCTCTCCTAGTTCGAATGGTGAGTGGGAAGGAATCTCCACCGTCTAGACAAAGGTTTCAGTATTATCTCTTGGTGTTGACTTCCTACTACTGCCTGATGTTGCCACCCCCCTCCAACAGTCTCTCTTTGGGTTCTAGGCTTCCTCCTACAGCCAAAAGTATCCTCCTTCCTGTCCGACAGGTTCTTTTAGAGTTCTGAGCTTCCTCCTATCACTGATGGTACCCTCCATCCTGTCTAAGGAGAAACGGTTTTCTCCTGCTTCTCAAATGTACATCTTCCACCCTAGGATTTTTCCTAGTGTTCCATTTCTGTCCCATTATTTGCTAGTTTTTGCAAACATTTTATATCTTACATTACTTTCATCTCAAACTAGAAACATGAGGGAGAGTCTGCAAATGAATAATTCCAATACCTGTAGGCTTCTCTCTAGAATCAAATATCAACTTCTCAACAACTTCAGAATTAACACCTTTTGAATGAACCTAGAAGAAAGTGAAGAGGTTAATCCTGAAAAAACATATAGGAATTACAGAAACAATACAAATGACATATTTTTTCTGTCATAGTATACATACAGAAATTAAAGACTTGTCGTAACCATTGAAGGAAGAAAGAGCACACTGACCCATCTCGGTTGAAAGAATCCCCTGGTGGATTAAGCAAAACCTTAGTGAGGTTCAGAAATGTTTAACAGTGAGTTATTTGCTTCCTATTGCATACAATCCACAGCCAAAATTTACAAAGTTAGGGGAGGAAAATAAAATAAATTGACTATCTAGCCTAAACACTTCTGACCTTACCTCTGCCAATACAAAAGAAACTAGTGAAATACTCTGATAAATCACCTATAAACAGATAGTTTTCATAATTATCTTGCATTGCTTTATTTTTTTTCATCCTTCTTATTGCCTTTGTACCCCGTTCAAACATACAGAAGCAAAAATTCAAGTAGCCTTACATACCTGATGTGCATGGCAAGAGTGTGAGATTTTCATAAGTGACAGTATTAGCAAAAAAAACCATTACTTAAGATGATATTCAACTCGTAACCTTGGTAAATAGATATCAACTATGTCATGCAAACTTTATCACGAAGCCATCTGATGGTATAGTCCGACATAGAAAAAAAAATCTAGTGATCATACAGAACGGCCTTCTCTACTCAACGGCGACTCATTTTGAATTGGACAGCACAATAATTTTCAAAAAGATGAAACATGTTGGTGTGACCATCTCAAGTGGCTTTTAGCTTACTCGAATGGCCTTGCCGCATCAAAATTAAGACATTGACACCATTCACCAGATTTGACTATCTCATTTCAATTGACTCACCTGGAGTGTACGTGAAGTCAAATCCACCACTGTCACACCATCATCAAGGAAGTACTTCTTCAATAATCTAATAAGACTAATCAACACTTCTTCCGAAAAACCCACATCACTAAGAATGCTTTCATTGCTAACAATACTGCCGCCATATTTTGAAAAAGTTTCATTTCGCGCTGTATCTCCTGGCAGATGGAAGACGATACGATGAGGATCCCCAATACCAACCTGGACATGGTCAAATAATTTCAGGAAGTAATCAGAAAAGTTTTAATAACCAGAAAAGTTTTAATGAAACAAGAACCTCAAACAATGAATTAAGAAGGTACAAAGAAGGAATAGCAGTTCACTATGTACAGAAAAGTTTTTTTTCCCAGTCGCTGTTGAATACACACACTACAACAAACATTATGAGAATGCTCGAAACAACAAACCTGAGAAATGAAAGCAGAAACCAGAGACTTGATTTCTTTGGCATCACTAGAGCCGCAAATTCCAAGAAGAGCCCAGACACCAGAAACTAGTTCAGGGTCAGAATTCCAAAGATTGAGTTCCTCAGATATGCCAATAGCGTTCACCTCAAGCTGGACACCCTTTCTTGTTGGGAGATTTGTGGTCAAAGTGCGGAGACTGAAAAATAAGACACAAATCCGTGTTTTGATATTGAGGAAAAAAGAGAGACATTCATAAGCACAAACGTAGTAAGCATGAATGGAGGTTACCTCCAAACGACAAGTGTCTGAGGAAGGTAGCTAATTTTCTTCACGAGCTGGGAAACAATAAGATCGGAGTAAGATTGAAACCTATAAGAAAATATGAACACTCTGGAACTAATGGAGGATCATTTACTTTCAAAAAGTGATCCCGAGGGCAGTTAGCCCTACAAAGTTCATCATGGAAGCTTTTGATTCTCTCAAAACAAGGAAGATCAGGAAAGGGTTCCAGTCCCTGGAATCATAGAAACAAAGGCATTAAACTTCATGGGGTCTGTGCTAATGGAAAAATTCAGAAACCTGAGACAAAACATCTACAATAGAGAAACGAATTTTTTTCATACTCTGATGTAGTCATAAAGAGACTTATCGGCATCCACAGTTAACTGTTGGAGCAAAGATAGAATCTTAGATGATGGAGAACTGGGACCCTCTCTCGTCTCATAAGGAGTACAGCAAATGACCAATTTAGAGACCAAAAACTGCATAGTCAAAAAAATCAAAAATTACAAATAAGATGAGAGAAACAGTGTCAACTGAAGCTATCAGGGCACAAAAAGAAAACCTGAAGTTGTTCACCAAGTACATTCACATCATCTTTTGTAGAAGAAATTTGAAAGGCTGACAGTAGCATGGACAAGATATCACAGCACTGATCTTGCAAAGCAGGATCAGTAATAAATTGCCCAACTAAATTGAAGATGTAACTGCCAACACAGATTGAAACAAATTAAAGAAGATACAGGTTAGGAAATAATAAATTTCACATTTTCTCCGACAGAATTGATACAGAATGATCATTGGCAATAAACAGATATAAATAGGACGCAGATCATTGCTCTAACGACTAGATCTTCCATAGGGCTCTCATCCACACTTTTTTCTACATGGAGGTAAAGCAGGAGGTGCCTGATGCCATGTTGATCAAACAATTGGTTGCATCAGTTGGAACCAACTGTTTGATCAAAGTTGGTCAAATCAACAGCAGTATTTTCAACTTTACATTTTCCTGTGTGACACTATCAGCCAACTATCCACCAAAATGATTTTTACAAGGTGCAACATAAGACATCAAAATTTGAGCATTTCTTCATAACCTATTGACAGAACGCAATGAATGAGAGAGACAGAGGAATATCAATCATCAACAACTTGACTTCTGAAGATCCATAGGTTTCAACAATGTCATACACAGTGGTTAAGTCGCCGACATCAATGTTATAATATGAAATTGATATTTTGTGATCTGCAAAATCTCAGGATCATCCACAAAACAAGTGAAACATGATGTTGGACACAAGGAGGTTAATAAATACGATTGAAGCCAAAACATACTCTAACCCTCTATAATCTACATGGCCAAGATTCAGTTAATTTGAAGTACAGTTAGATAAAACCCATTTCCCACCCTTCAACTAAGCAGATAAATTGTGTGACAACAGACCCTAAACGGGAGTGTCATGCCAAGCATATCATTCTCTTCAATTTCCAATAGGAGGAATGCTTAATCCAATTTTTTTCTTGACAATATAAAGGGGTTTGCCAAACAAGAAGTGTTTAGGCTAAAGGAACTTTTGAAACAACATGTTACTGAGCCATTGACCACGAACTTTTGATGCCGCACCAAGGTGGCAAAAGGAATGCCAAAGTAGCTGGTTACTTTCAGTTTATAGAAAAACAAACAGCATATGGCTCCAATAAACCCTATGAGCTGGATGACGACAATGTAAAGCATATAGGCTCTAACACCATGTAAAATAGGAAAACTGAAACTAAGCCAAAAGAAAATAAATGACAGAATAAAGAATCGTCATTGTTCTATAGGATGCAGTAAATCAAATAAGACCATCAATTTTTTAGGTACAAGGAAATATCTCACAGTGAAGTGCTCGAAACGGTGGCTTTATGTCCAATTGTTTTCATAAGAACCTCAACACTAGACAACACATGACGCTTGTGTCGATGATGAGCAGTACTTGTTATCTGGTAATGAATCTCTAAAAGAAACTGCAAATATTGAAAAGGAATTGAGAAAAGAACGTACAAGCAGACAGATCAAACAACAGGTCATACTACTAGCCGATAAGTATCACCTTAAATACCCTATCCGGACGAAAGACATTAAGTTTATCAATAATCACATCCGCCGTACTAGAATCATCTCTGCAGTATTCCAGACCAATACATAATAAATTTTTGAAGTCAACATCAAACCGGAGGAAAAAAGATAACTTTCAATAAAAAATATATACATCTCTAAGAAACCATCAACTACTGTTTTTATGCCAGATGCGATCGTCTCCATGGAAAAAAAGGGTATCGGTGGGTCTGATCCACAGAAAGTAAGCGACAGAAGGCAGCTGACAATTGACACCTATACACAAAAAGGACGAGAATATTAAGCAGATTACAAAGTAATGCACCAACTTGGCAAGTTCCCAAGTTCACCATGAACAGCATGCAAAACATGAATATAACACTGTTAAATGACGTAGAAATCAAGGAGCACGAATGATATTGGATAAAATGATATGAATAATGCAAGCGAGCATTTACGAGATGCCAATAAAGATCTCAAACTTATTTCATTGCACATATAGCATATTTAGGGTTATATCCATGTTCACTTTATCAAATTGAGCTCATCTTATTTACGTACCACATCAAATTATTTCCCCTGAACAGACTGATCGAAGTGATGTGATCACAATCAGCTCAGAATCTAGCTGCGAATTTAGACAGCTATTCATTCTGATAGTGAAATAAGTAATAGCATTGAATTACTAACACACTTGGTAGACAGCGCGTTATCATCTTACTACCCACCAAAACAAATAACATGAAATAAAAAATGGTATACGGGAAAATCTGATGTTGAACACAACTCAAGCGAATAAAATACCCTGACAGATGCCCTTATGCAAAAGAAAAAAAGGTTTTCAAACAAAAAAGATGGCATATATGATCTAATATTTTATATAAAAGGAAAAAAGAAATCAATATATTGTTTAAGTAAAATGCAAATATAAACAAACAATAAATTCAGACCATGTGTTTCTTTATAAGGTCGTCACGTTCATGCTCAGAAATCTCAGCAATGTGCAAAATTGAACTGGACAATACAAATTCTCCTGCTTCATTGTCCGCATTTGCACTAGATCGTAATGCGATACAGATAGAAAAAACTTTAACAAAATGCTTTTTCGAAAGAACAGCTAAAGGCTGACCAGCAACCTGCATCCATAAAATTAGACAAGAAAAAACATTCAGATGACAACTAAACAAGCTACCAACTATCAACTTGATAAGATTCTTCACGATGCTGCACTTGTTCATGAAAAAACCTTCAACTTTCTACTTTTATGTCATTTCTGATCCACAGGACTGTGGTGTACGGTAAATGACTGAATTTGAATTCCAATTTTCCGTTTTGGCACTAAATGAAAAATTGTGTTTGCGAATTCTCTTTGTCCAGGCATTGCAGTCCATTTGACAGCAGAGTAGGCCCCAACCAGTCTTGGAAATAATCATTCACGAAAAACGGTATTAGAAATTACGTCGTGAATAATACCTAAGTTTTAGCAAAATAACATGGCAAAGACATCATACAAATGACAGACCAAACAAAAATAAAAGAAATAAACAAAGATCACAGATTGTAATGGCCAAAACTCTCATAGTTTATAAAATTAAATCGGCATAATTATAGAGCTTTACCAAAGTCATGGTTTCCAAAACTGGTTATGAGCATGTGCACATAAACATGTGCTTCAATTAACAACAGAAAATGCTGCAATCCAAGGTCTGGAATAGCGAAGCCTCTACTCACCCATAGGCATAGTACATCTTATTATTTCAATAGTGTAAATGCCTAAACCGTTTAGAGTTTTAAGATAACATTATTCCTTCCCCTAAAGGAAGAGCAATACACTAAGAATTACCAAAACCCACCTAAATGTAAAAGATAGGAGTTACTCTGGTGTAACCTACATATTGACCACAACTGAAAAGATATTCCTCATAATCAGCATCCTAGGGCACAAGTAAGAATATAATGGTCAAATACAGCGTAGCAAACACTAGATGCATGCAGAAATAACCAGATTAAGTGATGCATGAGCTTCTAAACAGATTCCTGTACGTACCGAAGAAATAAAATTAAGATTAGCCAAATCCTGCCTAATAAGTAATAATGAGATAAGCCATGGGCAGCAGAACTGTAAAAAGGCCTTTGGTTCTGCTTTCACAATGAAGAGATCTCGAACCTGAATGATAAATATACGCAACAATAAGTATTATCTGGAAAATAACTGCAGAACGACAACATCGCATAAATATACATCATCTGAGAAATGAGAGAAGAAACAAAATCATTTTAAATGCATGTGAACGATGCTTTCAGTTATCACTTTTAAAAACATTTAAATAGGCTGGTGAATACTGGTCCTTATACTGCTGATCTGAGAACACTAAATGCTTTTTTTGTCTCAAAAAAGGGGAAACATACCAAAAACTCTGTAGATCTTAAAAGAAGCTTTGAACTTACATAACAAAACCAATAACATTGTTGGAATGAGTCCTATTACTTTATTTATTTATTTTATTTCCTTTCTTTATTGTCTTTTTTTCTTTTCCAGAGTTGTATTGCCTAGTGTCAAACTAGTCTTGTATTTATACCAGACCCAAGCATTTTATCCATGATTTAGGATTTCTCTGCTCACAATTTCAGCACTCAATATGGTATCAGAGCTGAAGGTTTGATCAGGGACCTCTGCTAGCTTGGGACATCTCCACCACTAGGCATCCTTATCATGTATTCTTCACATTTACGTCGAGCCTCTTTTTCTTCCTGGCTGTCAAGCCTCTTCTCATTTCCTGGTGTTGCGACACGAGCACCTGGTTCATGCATATTTATTCCTCTCCTCCTGTGCATTGGAGGCGAAAGAGCACCAGGAATTTATGTCAGCTCACATATGTCTAGGACGACTTCTACATCTAGACCTTCACATGGGAAATTACCAACTATCCAAGCTAGGAGATTCTCTCTTTGAGCTGGGGATGGAAAAGATTCTAGGATTATGACACGGATGGAGCGTCATCATACCAGAAGTTAATAATACATACAGATTATTAATAACCTAATCTGGATAATAGGTCTAGTGTCCTAATAACCAGATTAAGTGATACCAGACATAACTCAAGGTTAGTAATACAAGCTCTATAGAAGTAAGTAATACAAATTAGTATGACATGGTTGTAGGATGAAGAAGACGCTATAGCTAAGGACATTTAGGATAATATTTATCAGACATTCCAGAGCCAGACATTTAGGATAAGACTGTAATGGAGTACGTGAATCATTTTAATATATTATTGAAAGATAATGATCAATATAAGGCAATTAAGATGAGATATCCTGAAGATAGAATCATTCTACGAGAACTTCTTGTTGATCAGTCCTGAGTTTCATCAGGTGAGAATCCAGATCCTCAGCTGAGAGAGAGAACCATCTTTCAGTGAGGTGGTAACCCTGATTAGGCGTGAATAGAGTAGAAGAGGTCTAATGCCGTGATATCAAAGCATAGACAACAAAACATTTGTGGCTAGAGGTGACAGTAATCCAACAGGAGCAGTCAAGGTCACTTGACCACCACCTCTACTAACACAATCAAAGAATCCAATCCGTGACCATAGGGATACCTTATGGTGCATCTACTGCAAGAAGGCAGGCCACACTTATGAGTGATGCTAAAAGCTTCATGAGAGACCTCAAAGTCAGGAGTGGGGACAGAAGGGAGAGCAGTCAGGAGAGGTGGTCACACTCATTTAACAGTTATGCAGTCGAGTCAAAATAACACCACATGAGTCGGAACATATCATCCAAGAGGTCGAGAAGGTGCAATCGTCTATAGCCTCATGCCCATTAACACATTCAGGAGAATTTTCATCTTTTGTTGGATTAAATGCCTCAAATACTCCTTTTTTGCTTCTTTGATCATGGATGTAAGAGCCACCGAACATGTGACCAATTCGACAAAATTTTCTTCCACATATTTTCCCTATCCAAGAAATAAGAAAATAACCACGGCTGAAGGGTCCTTAATCAATGTAACTGGTGTAGGGAATGTTTCCATTACTCGTTCCTTAACCTTGAGCTATGTCCTTCAGATTCCTAGATTGTCTACAAGCCTCGTGTTAATTTAAAAGCTTGTTTGTAGATCTCTGCTGTAAAAGTGATTTTTTATGATAACTATTGTGTTATGACAAGGGATCAAGGAAGAAGATAGGACATGCTAGAGAACAGAACGGACTCTACTACCTTGAAGCATCAAGTCAATCGAACATTGCAAAGGGCAACCTATCCTTTGAACCCCATGGATCAAACATGGAAAACATTGAGCTTTATCATCAGTGACCTGGCCATCCATCATTTACAACCAAAACTCCATCATCCCTCTTTCAAAGCCTGAGTGTTGAAGACTTTAAGTATGATGTATGCGAATTCCCAAAACATAAATGTATATTATTTCCCATCAGTAATGAAAAGAGTATGATTCTTTCTTTTTCATATTCATAGTAATATTTGGGATCGTACATCTCAAATATTTTGTGCTAGATCGTTTGTTATCTTTATTGCCGACTGTACATGGGTCTCTTGGATTTTTTTGATAAAAAATAAATTATATGTTAGTGTTATTCTTTCATAATTTTGTTCCTTCATTAAGAATCGATTTGGAGTCGATATCAAAATATTTAGATCTCATAATGCTAGGGATTATTTCAACCAAATAGTAATCTCATATTTCCAAAAGGAAGGAATATTACATGAATTTTCGTGTGCCAATGCAACATAACAAAATGGAGTAATTGAAAGGAAAAATGGTCATCTCCACAAGGTAACGAGGGCTCTTTTTCAAAACAATGTACATGAATTTTTTTTTGGGAGATTCAACTTTAGCAGCTACTCACCTCACAAATTATCTACACTCTAGGGCCATAGGATTAAAAAGTCCCATAGAAATACTGTCATTCTTTTATTTAGATGTTCCATTAAAAACTAATCTTGTGCCTAACATCTTTGGGTGTGTATTGTTTGCTCTTATTCATGATCAGCATAGAGGATGTTGACCCTTTTAGGAAAGATTCATGAGATTAAAATTGAAAAACGTAATTGTGGATATTAGTGAGGAAAGAATAATCGCAAAGAAAGGAATCTTTGGGGTGGTATTCAAAGAAGAGTAAAAAGGAATCTTTTTTAAAAGGGCTCTAAAGAAAGCTTTAAGGCTGAAGTACAACAACTCTTAAAGCAATCATGATCTCACGCACTAATCCCTACAGTAGATAGAGCTGTATCAGCACCTAGTAGGAAGAATCATTTGTCTGTCTCATACATGAACACATATAACATATGCAATAAGTGTGATTAGCCAGTTCATGCACAATTCAAAAGAAGTCCTGTAGGCAATTCACCAAGTGTTACAATATCTCAAAGAGTCACTAGGAAAAGATTTTATTTAAGAGAAATGAAGAATTGCTGTTTGAGACATACACAAATGCTGATCATTCAGGACCAGTAGTTAATAGGAGATCAACATCTGGATATTAGACATCTTTTGGTGATAATCTTGTGACGTGGAGAAGTAAAAAGCAGAATGTGATGGTACTGTTTTATCGAGGACAAAACAGAGGATAATGTTATGCTGTGTAGACAGTGGACAAAAGCGAGCTAAGAAGAGCCCAACTTCTTCAACTTTTAAGCACGAAGATCGACCACATGTGTGAATTAAATATTCCAATGATGTCATCATTGGATAATGATAAATAAAATCATTTTGATGAATTAGAGTCAAATCTACCAACAAACTCTGATGATAACAACCAAATATTAGGATTTCCACACAAGATTTAAAGCAAGGAAAGCTCATTTTGTTCTGTAAGTGAAAGTATGTTTGCATGACAAAAAGAAGAGAGCCAGCATAACTTTATCAACAAAGAAGTTGAACCACTAAAAGATGATGAAGCATGCTTACATTCAGAAGAATGTATACATTAAACAGTATCAAAATGCATAATTTATTTCTGAGAAAATGGCATTCAACACGTCACATTTCAACGTGTTAAAATGTTTACCTCCACCAGAGAAACTAAACTTAACTCACAGGTAATCCAAATATAAATGAGTGGACCAAGAAGCGCCTCAAAATACTACAAAAAACAAAACAAAATAAAACTCAGGATTTACAGAAGATGTAATAGAGCACAATAAACGGTAAGTGGAACAGTTTTCCAGATAGAAAAAAGTAATTACAGAACAAGATATAAGAATGCAGTGTTGTCAAATAAAGAACCAATGCCATAGTTGCTTTTAAGTTAAAGCATGATTTTCAAAAACTGGCCATCCCATCTGTAAACAGGCTCCATGAACCTCAAACGAGTTAGTTGTAAAGTCAGAACAACCAAAAGCTCCGAATTATGAAGCACCTTGAACAGGTTAAATAGGAGCGAGGTGACCATCCATCAGTTTTATGTTATTTGAACCCACTTCAAGTTCTTTTACATCTTATCAATGTACAGCAAGCACAGATTTAGCCTTTTCAAAATAGTGGTACAATTTCCATGAAAAACATTGGCTGTGAAACATTGGTCAACTCCAACGTGAAGAAGACTCAGTAGTGAAATCTGGGTCATATAAATTGGATCACACAACTCAGATATGCAGTTATGATGGAGAAATGTCGTTCTCCACTTATCTCCAATAGCAATGGTGCGGGGAAGGGGAAAGGAGAAAATAGCCAGAGCCCTTATCCCTATTTCACGTTCTCAAAGGTAGGCTTTACATCAGGGCTGGTACTTATACCAGCTCCCTAATACAGAGGATAAGCCGGACCAGTCTGGACTGGTCCAGTTCAGCCATAACGAGAAAAATAAAGAACAGGAGAGAAAAAACATGATACTCCAACAAGAAATGTGGCCAACAAAAAAAAAAGATGCGGATGCGAAATCCAACAAATTGGATCCATGAAAAAATTCAAAATCCAAGAATATATGAATGTGTAAAAGTAAACATATCCTGCACAAAGTAATTTCCTAATTCACCTTCAGAAACAAACAAAAGCGTTCCTATGCTTCACAAAAAATAAGTATTCCCAACTAAGTAACAAAAGGATATGCTTCACAAATTAATTCAAATGTAAGGAAATAATAATCCGAATTATTGAGGTAGATAAGAAAAACTAATGTAAGAAAGTTATGAAGCAGTACCTTAGTCCTAGAGCTATACCATAGCCGTGTTGATAGATTATCAAACAAGGCATAAACCATATCCCTAAAAAAATGGCGCGACATAGAATGAAATACCCAAAGCAAACTGAAAGTCCAAAACCATCGAACACAATCCCACATACCTTTGACCTGGATTGATTGCAGCGATAGCACATATCATGAAAACAACCTGTCCAGTTACCATAATAGACAAGAAGAGAAGAGAGGAAATCAGCATTCTTAAAATAACTGTAGTAGAAAGGGAAACACAACTTCCGCAGGAATCCTTAAAAAAATGACAAACTTTGCCAGCATTACCATGAAGAATAGCCACGAAAAGAATGCTCGTCTCAAAAAACTTGCACAGCATTTTTTAAATAATTAACAAACGATTCTAATATGGTATCTGAAAATAATGAGATCAATGCTGCCACAGAAATTCAGGAGATGAGACAGCAGCTCATCACGGAAAAAATTATATAATCTTCAAAAGAATAAAGCTATAAATATCAGCACATTTTCATCTTCATGGATGGAATTTTGCAAAAGTGGCTAGATTATACTATCAACCATCAAAGAAATACCTACTGGATCTTCACGTGAAAAAATGATTTTTAAGGTAAGTGCACATGGTTCACGCAGGACTTCCAGACAATCAATTCCCTACCACCGGTGCAATATACCAGGAGAAGAAAATAACAAAGATTCCGGTTTGACCATTAAAAACATAATGACAGGACACAAATCTACACCCAAACCTTCATCCCAAAACCATAATTATGTCAAACAGAAGACAGGAATTAATTGAATCCAGTTTCGTATGTATACAGTCCACAAGGAAGAATTACAGTGAATGGCTGTACTACATTCACTCTGAGCGATGCTAGGAAACCATGGACATTAGTTTAAGGCACTGCTGTTGTTTCCATATTGAATAACAAGCAACCAGAAGAAAAACTTGAGACATCAATATAATAATGATGGCCACGTGGCTGACTTGAGATAGGCAACTTATCTTTTCCATTAACTGAACATAAAATCATCAGATATGTTAGATTATGGACTCCATTACGTCTGGACCTGATTGGCCCGTCTAGCCTTTTTGGGCCGATCCGGCCCACGTAGTCCATGTAGACACTGGTATAGATACCAGTGCCCGTAGCTAAGCGTTTAGTTTGTGTCATTTTTCCTCTTGACAAGATGGAACCCAGCAACAGATGCAGTATATTGCATGGAAAAAAAAATGGCACATGAGAATTTAACCATTTAACTCCTATATAATCAAACATACAAACCGTTGCTTTCTATCAAATATCTGCGTATTCATACCTTTAGACTAAGATAATGGCCAAAATCAAAATAAAGTGATAGCTAACATACAAAGTTAGGTGTACGACCTGTCCCTATAAAACCATTTATTGGCGACGTTTAATATACAAAAAAACAATAAAAAAGAAGCTGTTTGAGAACATGACACCGGAGAACCCAAACTGATTTACCTTCAACTCCACTTTGTCACTATGAAATGCAATGTGGGCGAGAGTTATGAGAGCTGTTTCCAAGCGCATAGGAGACTGAGAACCAGCAGCCAACACCTCTCTAGCTTTAATAAGCTTATCTTTCGAAGCCATTACTAACAGGATACCAAAATTTGAACTGAGAACAAGAAGCTAATCAGTGAAAGTGCTTATTTAATTTTTTGAAGGTCTTCAAGATAGCAACAGTTAACCCAGAGAAAAAAATGTAAGAGACAGATCAGTGGACATTAACACCTGACACCAATGCATGCATATTTTCCTTTAAAACAAAACCAACAAACAATAATGACCATAACATCATCTCCTTCACACCAATACCCTTGAATCGTTCACAGAAACCAAAGATTGAACAAAAACTGTGATTATCGCAGACAAGATTCACATATACTTGTAGACTGAAATTTCATATTAGTTGCTTCCGGATTTACTAAGCTTCAGCAGCTATCTGACAACTGTAGTGGCATTCTTTCCAGATTTTGCATGAATCAGATCTGAAAGTGGTTATGGATGTGATACGAATCAGAGAATATCAAAAACATGCCAGATGACTAGATATCATCATGGATCGTGAAAAGTGTAACGCCAGCAAAGTTAGAAATGAATCCAAAAAATTTATTACCATGTGGCAACAATGCAACGATTCAAAGAGTTTTTTTCCCTTTCATGTAGAACCTATACAATGAGACCGACAAGCTATCATAACGGGAAACCAACTCATTGGTGAGTTCCTTAAGACATTGGTCAATGAGCAAGCCAAATCCCGGGCCTACGTAGAAACAGGCCTCTACGATAGCTTACTGTATCCTGAACAAAAGCAAACTTTAGCTAAAGGAGAAATTAAAAAGTAGAGAACATGGATAATGCTGCAGGTGGCGAGTATTTCATCATCCATCAAAGAAAGGCATGAGTTAATTGATTCGGACGGAATTACATTCTCCCTAGAGAGTCCATGACTAACAGGTCATCATTTGATTAAATCAACTTTCAGCAGCCATGTCAGCGGTACAGTAAATAGAGGTTGGAAGTCAAGATGACAGTTAAGAAAGTAGCTGCTAATCAATCGTAAATGTGGGAACGTTGGACCATTCTAACACCAACTAGCAATTATCAGTCCTATCTTTGGGCAGCTATTACCCAATCATACAGATGAATTGTGACATGTTGTTCCCATTTATCTTTGCTGTAATGTAACCACAAGGTATCCTCCAAAACCAATAAAAAGTTTCACTTCACAATAAATCCAAGTTGCGCATCATATCCTTCAGTTTTTGGGAATACTGCCATTTAACAAGCTGGCATGTGGATGACATAGGCTTTGGTTCCTTTCCACAATAGACAAAAGTTTCCTTGACAAGAGGGAAATTTCTGGTCAATGTGTATGCACAGTAGTGATCTCCTGTGAATTTGGAAAAAACTGACTTAACCCTTCTCAGGGCAGTACGCCAGTATTTATATTGGCGTCTAATAAACCTTTCCAGTGTTACGGAAAGGTCTAATAACAGAAACACGAAAAAGGAAATACATCTAATAATAGGAAAGAAAGGAAAAATAGAAGGAAAGCCTAATATAGCAAAAAGCTTGTTCTGCGTAACTTCCATTCTTCATTTTTAGCATAGAAAATATTCAAATATATATTCAAGTGTGAATGAATCAGTTTTATCAATACAGTATTAACCACCAAATGAAGAATGCACCAAGATTACTAATAAACTTTGACATAAAAGTTAAACTATATGGAACAGATAAAAACCACCAAACTGCGACAACCCCAACATTCTTTATCCATACTAACAGGTATAGATTTAAAGATTGAAGAAGCTAGGAGTTCGAATACTTATGCTGGTCACCTGGAAAATGTATTAAGAAATGTATCTCGTAAATAATATTGGCTGATCAATAAACCAGTTGCTGATAAATACGAGAAAAAGAATGAGCATACCATATATCTTGCAGCAATTCTTCATGCCCATCCCATGTCTGGAAAAGGATTCCAATTCGTCTTGCCAAGAAAAGCCTAACTCTGTAATCAGGATCTTGAAGCAAAGCCAGTAGCCTAGGAACCATTTCCTATGAGAAGGAAATCACAACAATTTGTACAACCAACAAAATAAAGAACCAGATCAAATAGACGTTAGAAATATTAATTTGGCCTGTAAAATTTATCACCTGGCCAGTAGAAGGGTCAAGCAAAATGAAACCACAAACGCACTCAATAAGTTCAACACGGCCAGACCAATCTAGAACATCTGTATCTCCAATTCTGTGTACCAAGGCTCCAAGAAGGGCTAAGTCCTGCAATTCGAAGTCAGCTGAACTTTTGACTGGAGCCTACAGTTATTATTGAAATATTAGCATATTAATTTTTTAAAATGAAAAACAGTCATACTTAAAATATGCAAACAAAAAACTGAAGCATAAATATTTTATCCTCTACTATTATGACATTCCCATCTAATATTCCCTTGATTCCATCCTGATTTCCATAACACAATTATAGGATAACAATCACTCAGCCCCTCATCAAGTTTGTACATTTTTACAGTAGTGAAATGTTTAACACTTTTGTATTGCAAAATTATGTCTTTTTCACTTTATATTCTGCAGTTACTAATGAACTTCCATGTATGTTCTCTAAGATCACTACCACAGTAATAGATTACAACTGCACAGTTATCAAGGATAAGATCACTAATCTGTATGTAAAACTGGTACCAATGCAGATACTTGACACCATATGACGCACAAGCTTTCAAAATGATATAAGGAAACAAACTTGATATTGTCAAGCATGCTACCTGTTCTGAAACATTCTGTCTCTTAGGCTGCCAAAGATGACCATCGTTTTTCCTGTTCTTGGAGGAGACTGACCTCAGTAAGCTATGAATAGCAGTTAAGATGTTAACGAAGCAAATGCTACGGCTTGCACTTGAATCTATCATCTTGTTCATCGAAATGACCTTAAGAGAAAAGGAACAATATACATCAATCAAAAACTGGCATGCAACCTCAAAGGAATTCACTAAATAGCATTACATAGATCCTCTACATTACCAATGGAGAGAGTGACCCTTTGGAGAGTGGAAAACACTTGCAGATATAAAAAATGAGACATTCAGCAACCTAAAAATATAAAAGAAAACACTCACAAAAGTGGAAAAATGAAAACCGAAAACCAATATAGTAAATATCTAAGCATAAACAACCTTAGCATCAGATGCATTTTCCAACAAATTAAGCATCACTTCCCACGTGGTAGCAGGTAAAACTGTGAAGAAGGATGAAATAGAAGAAATCATATCCAACTTCCACTGCAGAACAGAAAAGGAAACACCAGAAACACTATCCCCATTAACCGCTAGATCCTCAACATCTTTAGGGCCATCATCAAAATCTAATTCCATGTCAACAATTTTCATCCCGTCGCCAGCAATTAAACAAATATGTTGTGAGGTTTCTCCCTTCAAATCACCATCAGCCGTACAAGTTGCGAAATCCTTAAGAAGATTCGTTATAACCAGCAGAAGCTTCTCAATTGACTGACGAATATTCTCATGAAATTCACCAAGAACTGCACTTCCATCCCCAAGAACACAGAACAGTGGGCATTGAATAAGACAAGAAAGAGAAGACAAAGCAGATCCAGATAGTTCTGTGATAGAGGCAACACCCAAAGAGCCTCGTAAGTGAAGTTCTTTGTGTTTTTCCTCAACAGTGGAAATAATTAGCTGCAGTAATCTAATGATACACGACAGCACCTTTGAGAATAGTAATGATTTCTCATTCCTGAGCCTGCACAATTTAAATAAATTAAATCTACTGGAAAAGAATAATCCAAAGGAGACATAAAATATGAAAAATATAAGTCCATCACAATATTTCACAAAATCCGGACTAAAACTGAATTAAGGTAAGCAAAATAAATAAAGCGTATACATAGTACTTTAAAGGAACAGTGCTAAAAAGCGACTCTGACCCAACTTATTCTCATAGAGACAGCTAGAAAGTAGCATATTGAAACTGGTCTCATAAACCAAAAATGTGCATACCACAAAATTTAAAAGAACTTCGTAATTACATTATTAATTCAAGAAATTAAATCTTCACCCTACAATCCATATTTTGGCAAGTCATCCTAACCAACATTTTTATCAGGCAGCTAAAGATGCTTTAATAAACTAGAATGAAATCAACCTCCAGAACTCATCCATTCACCCCAGATACCTCTCCAGAGCTAGGAAAAAGTGCAAAACGCGTTTTAAAAGCTTATAACAGATTAATTCTGTTTCTTTTTTTAGATGAAGGATATCCAATAGTATAAGATGATAGAGCTTATTGTTCGGTGCTCAACTATATGGAATCCACGAGAGATAAAAACTAAATAATCTAGTATTTATCAGATAATTGCCCGCACAATAAAATTAGGATTCCTTAGAAGGCCACCAAAGAATCATGAAGATGCTCAGGTTCAATCCTGAACGTAGAAATAACCAATTTAATTAGTACTCATTTTAAGAGAGGGCAAGACAGATACTACGATTCTTTCTTGGGTATTTGATCAGATCAGAGTGTGGAATGCACGTAGTGTAAGCAGTACAGAGATGAGTCCGTAATTTTGGGGAGTCTGTACTTTTTACTTTGGTCTATACTTCGTTGGTGTAGATCCAGCAAAATGATGCATAGAAGGTTGAGATTTTATGCTGCACACCCTTGCAATTTCGCTCTTTTCTATGACGAAATGGCTATGTTGGCAATATCTACTTTCAACAGAAAATTATACTTTGGTATGCAGTCTAGAGAATAATGCAACAGGGGAATTCATGTGCCACCAAAGATTTTCTTCTTCATCTGCAGGAAAAATAATGCATGCTCCATGAAGAAAACAAAATCAGCAAAGCCTTGCATTATTAAAAAACAGCAACTATCAGTTATTGACAAGTACATAACCAATCAAACAGATAAATCAGATGTAAGGCCGCACCAACACAGGTTTAATTATTTATTTCATCAGAAGTTGCGTCCAAAGAGGTCAGTAACAACGATTATGAAACTGTCAAAACATTGTTGAAAACTGATTAAACATAAAACGAAGACTAGTATGGAGAATAAACAAAGAGATTATAGGTTCACCCAAAAACACAGAAGAGACATACCGAGTCAAATTCAAACTGTAGATCAGATTAGATAAAAACAAGCAAAAAAGGGAGATATCTGATAAAGATTTCCTCTCCATTTCTTGATCGAAATCTGTAATCGCAAGAAAGTACTCTCCCATTTCATGAATCAATTGCCCACTTAAATCTCGTGAAAGACGTATACTCTGGCAATTTTCTGGCTTTGGCAGCTAACAAAAGCATACACAGATCTGTAAATTAACACAATAAATATGAAGCCAACAAAAAATCAAATGATTGATGTAGCACCTCAATAACAGTTTCATTGTTGATTTTTGCAAGAACTTCCACAGAATACTCCGGAAATCCTTCTATTTCCTTATGATCCTGAAACTGAAACGGTTTCATTGAACAAATTAACTGATTTCAAGGTAAATATGCATAAACAATTGCGAAATCATCTTTGCAGAAAAGTGCGATAAACACAAAATATACTTTCACCTTAATATATCACAAGTTTAACAAACGAAAAACAACATGATTTTCTGATTCAACATTTAAACAAAGGCCCCAACATTAAACTTAGACAGAAACTCAATCGTAAACTTACAATCAAACGGACAAAAGAATACCTTAGACCACTCTTCAACGAGCATGTGGCACATGGATGTGGGCAGGAAAGGACAGTACCCAGCACTAAGGGAAAAAATAGCAGCCGGCAAGACCATAGCAATTTGCTTATTAAGGAAAAAAGATTCCTGTACAAAAAATGATGAAGATAATTCATGAACAAGGTATACGGATAAGAAAAGTACCTCAACAAGAACAAACCTTTTAACTGGAAGGCACCACTTTGTACAGAAGGAATGACACAAATATTAATGTAAATAAATAAAACGGAAAAAAGTGAATAAGATGGAGGCCGCACCATCAAATGTGCCACAATCTACACAAAAATGAATACACAAAGTCGCCACTAAGACAGTCCGACTGGACCTGTTATTTTTGATAACTTGAACACACCACAGTCTACACCTTACAAAATCATTATATTACATGGTTTTGAAAACTGGCCATATTGAATCCAAGTCGACAAAAACGGACTGAGACTTAGCGATTCATGTCAGCCTTCTGGGAAAAACGTCGGTTTCTGCAGAAAAAAGCTGTCATTTATGAGATAATAAAACTTGAATGAAATCTACGGGCATTCTTTTGTGATGTATTATATTCATTAATACCATGGTAGAATAAGCTTTCAATTTCTTCATGATATTTTAAGTTCTCTGATGATTAAGTGAGTGAAAGCTTGCTTACTTTGATCTCGGAGTTATCAAAAGGACATGCAAGAGAGAAGAAACAAAGTAAGAGATGATTGGCACAACGTTGCACCACCTGTTGTTACAGTGCCAACTCCCATTACCACGTCCAGCTATTGAGGCTATACAGTGCTGCAGATACCGAGTCAAAGTCTATATCTTATGAGTTGATATTCCCAGATCTCTCCCGCATGTCACTTTCTTCGTTTGCCTTTCATCTTCCAACACTACCCTTTCCTTTATGTTTTTTCCCGGAATTTTACAAGGATTTGTTAGAATTGCCCCATCTGGCCCTATCAAGTGATAGAATCGGGATCAGGCTGGACAAGTTCAGATTCAATTTATGATTTCTTGGTCCACGCTAATTAAATGACGACTTTGAGAAAACGCTTGAATTCAGAAAGATTCTCATTAAAGTACAGTCAAATTTGTCATCATAAAAAAAGAACAGATGGCTGCATTAGTTACTGGAACATAAGGTCTCCATCCGCCTCATTATTAATTGATTTCAACCAAAAAAAAATCAGCAGTGAATTCAAACACCCATAGTTAGAAGTAGCCTTGGCTCAGTTGTGAGGCCATTGATGCAGTAATTGATGTAGAATAACTTGCTACAACACAAACTCTTTTAAGTAATATGAGAAACTAAAAGCATTCAAGCATTCATCAGTTGTATTTTGTTGGCTGCAGAGAAAAGGTAGCATCATCTCCTACTCGGTTCCACCAAAGAAATGGACCAGGCACAACAGCAAATGAAGGTAAAACAATCATCAGAGACCCACCCAAGTGCAGATATGTAACCGATGTCTTTTTATCATAAATACCACAGAAAACCACTAAAATGTATTGACGATCACGAACAGAGAAACATCACAAAAAGAAGACAACTGGATAAGGCCAACAGAAACCTGATGGGACAAATTGATGACAATGACCGTATATGGTTAAAAATTAATGCACTGTCTGAGACGCGAACCTTTGAATTAACCAGTTGCATTGATGCTTTGAGCAAACACTTCCTGAGATATAGAATATCATGAAGGTTTCCCTACATAAATATGAGAAAATTAAAAATTCAGTGTATGTATCCGTGATTAAAGGGACTTGCTCAACATTATACAACAAAACATCAGAAAGAAAAAGGATCGCATCAGCAATGGTTACAAGAAATTATACAACCACAAATGAAAAACACATGAATGCATTTAAAATACAAGTGGATACAAATGATGCATGACAGATTATTGTAACATAAATAATCAAAGGATGCAACGATGACATGTTCAGAAGGGAGGTTATACACACCTGAACACCACTCTTTGAGAAATAGCACGCAATGAAGTACAAAGCACATCTGGATGCCGTTACAAAGAAAAAAAAAAACAACTCAAGTGAGTACTAGAAAAAATATGACACGCATAATCAATACACCAACATTAATGATAAATGGAAGAATGACATTATAAGTTTTAAAAGAAAGAAAATGTGTGCATGCAATCCTAAAAGGCTATTTATGCACATAACCCACCATTGATACGAACCAAAATATCCTGGTAAGAACGTTGACGCCCAAATTTCATACAAACAGACAACATTACTTTGAACTCATGAGAAGCCTTTCCTATAACAATGGTCCTATCCATACAAAGCAGAGGATTTAAACCCATCGTGGGCCTAGGTTTCATGATCTCAACTACCTAAGTAATTTACTGATAATATGAATTTCAGACGTGACTCACTCAACTCAGATGGCAAAAAAGGCATTAACTAAAGCATATATCAAGCAGTGCTTACGTTAGCAAAAAGATGAAATTTTCAATGATTTCCTATGTTGTGAGTACAGTTATGTTCATATTCCAATGAAATTGTGTTTTAAACCAGGATTGTCAACTGTCCTTATGACCTATTTGTAAGGAGGTCTGGTTTCTAGGCAGAACGTAGTAATTTCATAATAACTCTTCCCTCCAAGGACTCGAATCGCCTGCAGTCCTTGGCGTAGAGAAGCGTACTCAGGACAGGTATAGACCAAGTTCACTTGACTTCAACTCAATTTTGGACAGGTTGACAACAGAAGCCCCTTCTGATCCCAGAAATTCTCTCGCCCACAACCTCCCGAAGATCACACTGAGAAGCCCAACCCTTCCCTATAACACCAGAAACCCTCCCTAAGTCACACCCAGCAGCCATCTCTTTCATCCTTCTAACCTCAGAGGATATCCATATGTGTAGCCTCCTTGAGCCGCACACAACAGCCTAACCTCCCAAAAATTTGTAATAATAATCCATAGCCCCCACCCAGCATCCCTTCCCTTCTACCATTCTAAACCCAGAAACCCAAGCAGGTACCCGTAACCATTCCCTACGGCCCGGGTCTTCCACCTTTATGAGCCTCCTTCATGAAACCTCTGTAAGCCAACTCAACATATCGAACCCTTCCACTATGATACCGCCATTAACTCTCCATCATATCACCACATTCGTTCTCCATTAAATCTCATTCGGACCTAGTAATTGGCTTCTGTGCCTGACTCAGCTGGACACTGTTACGAATGTATTACCATGTTACAAGATCTCCAAACGATGCAGGCAATCAGCACGTTGATAACTTTCGGGTGTGCCAGGTTTACTACTGAGCTGCAGAGGGTGATTATCCCGACAATATGACGACATTCCCTAAAATTTACAACCATCATACCTTGATCCTCACTGAAGAATTTTCATCAACACAATGCGAGCAGATTCCAGGGTAGGGGCCATCTGCATCATTTTAACCCTGGAACGTATAGCCTGCCTCAATAATAACTCATCTATTCCACCTCTTACTGCTTGGAATACATCAATGGCTGCTTCTTTTGGCAAGCATTGCATTTAATGGGCCCAACGGTCATGAGCTCACATCAGTGCCCCAAGGATAATTTTTCAATACTTTCATATGTATAGTCTACGATCTTGTTTACTTCTTTCACTCACATCATTATAACTCACGATGAGCATATGATCCCCAGCTTATCTGAATTAACCAAATCGAGTGAATTATATCTGATTTTACTTGAATCATACCTACTACAAATTGTTGCCATTTTTAGGGCCTGAATACAGAATATTAGAATGGCCCAACAAGATGGCCAGTCAAATGATTCAAGTACCAGTGCGTCCTCCACATAACAGATCAACAATAAAAAATAAAAACAAAGGAGAATAAATGCATACTTGAGAGAAAAAAAATGAACATTGCCGAGCAGAACTACGAAAAACATTACTGCTGTCATGTGAAAGAACTCAAATCAACTCAAATTCAATAAACTTGTACATTATTTTCAAATTTAATACGCTCACATCCAAAAGAGAATTTTAAATGGTGGCAAAAAAGAATCTATTACTTGAAAGTAACAACCAAAAAATAAATTTGTCCAAAAGTCAAAAGTTCGTTTATTTCATACGCTCAAGCTTGGGTTATCTAGATCCAGATTGGCCGATCTAAGTTAAGACTTAAAAACTCTACACATCTCAAATAATCGAAAAATAAACTTGGCTGGCTTAGGCGAACGTACCCAGATCAAAAACAACCAATTTGGACAAATTTTCTTCATTTAGACAATTTTGAAAAAATGTTCTATCCTGTGAAGTAAATGATCAAATAATTCTCTCTGAAAATCTTAGATAAATTTTAGCTTGTTTAAGCCTGATGTGTACAGATGCCACCAATGTGTATGGATGTCACCAATAAGTACAAATTTGATCAAGATGTCTACATATTTTGATCAACCCAAAACCATTTTCATTTCTCATATATTTTGCTCAGGCCCACGGTCTACCACTAGAGAAAGTTGGCGGATTATTGGACCATAGTAAAACAGGAAGTAGCATGACACATATTGATGGTATCCAGGCCACCTCGTTACAAAAGCAACCCAACTCAGTTATAGACAGAAAAGTGGATATTATCTATGCAAGAATAGGATGTTTTGTGAGATGATTCTTTAATTTAAAAGGTCCCATTTTTACTTGATAAACTAATTATTTTTAAGTTATAAAAATGAGCCCACTTCAGCTAATCGATTTTAAATTGGACGGCACAATAAATTTTCGTATTAAAGCCAATATACCTAATTACGCAGTCAAAGTGACAAAGCCTAAAAGTCACCCTGCATTTGAGGGGAAGAATGGTCCTATTTTTGTTATTACAAAAAAAAAAAACAACTTTTTCTGCAATAAAGTTGGACACACTCCACTCGCTCCCCTTGATTTTAATTGTGGCTCAATTGATTTATTACTACACATTCAAATCATGCCTCTTAAAATGGTTACAAGTTATATTGAAAAAAAATAGTACAAACTGCCAAGAAATCTATTACTGTACATTCAAATCATGCAACTTAAAATGGTTGCCAGATATATTAAATCAATCAGGAGTCACCAATAGGAGCATACACCATTCAACAAACAAAATGCCTCCAATACACGAGGAAAACTATCAATTAAAAGAAACAAAGTGGCACTAAAATGAGTCGTCTGAAATTTCAGTGGGCCATACACAGATGGAGTATGCTTAAATAGCTGAACTTCCCACACCTCTTGAGGCACAATCGGCATACTAACGAGATCCTGTGAGAAATAATGGAAAGCAACAATATCTGAACACTTCAAATTTGTTTGATATTTGTAACAAGAGCGACAGAAAAGTGCATGACACAAGAACTAGAAACTTGAACTTGACCTCTGAAACAATGCTGCCAAGAAGGATCAAAGCAGCATCAGCCTGCATATAAAAACCATATGGTGTCTAAAAAATCTATCATCGTACCTAAAAAAAATTTAAAAAAAATACAAAGAATAAAGTCCATGACAGAAAAATTATCATATTTCGTCACTTCAAAAATATAGTTACTTTCTGAGGTGATTATAAGATTCATTTAACCTCCTTACAACACTGAAAACCTGTGGGATCCAAAATCAGAACGAGAATCATGCTAGGTTAAATTAAGAGCAACCTTCCTACTGACCTGAATGTGACAAGGAGAAAGTGTTATTGGAATTGAAACACCAAGGGAAATCCCGTAGTGTGTGGCTCACTTCACATGAGAACCTTTAAGCCATTTTGATGTGATAATAACCACATTGTCAACCCGCTGAGACAGTGGATAAAAAATGGCAAATATCTTCATTGATGTACAAGAGTGGGCTAGGACATTTCGTGATGGGAGGAGAAACGAGTCTTCCATTTTTAAACTTCTGATCGTAGAGTTGCACGCAATCCCCAAGCATATGCTTCTTGGTCATGTATAGGGGGGTTCTCTCTTTTCAAGAGCTCATTGTATACATGTGTAAGTCTTTTCTCGTTTTATGAATAACACATTGGAAAAAAAAAATTACAAGGGAGAGAAGGAAGACGAAGAGAAGCAAAAGAAAGAGAAAATGGAAACAACTATCTCGACGTCCTGGGAATGATCCTTTCTGGTTGTTTTCTGGAAATTTTCATTTTAGGCAATCAAACAGTGTACTCATTTATGACAATATCACGACGACATCTTTACAACGTGGAAGGAACAAGGTGATTAAGTTTGTTTGTGCTGTACCCCACATAATTGATCTTAGACAAAAGGTTGAGAAACTTTCATTTTCTTTTCCCTGCTCTACAAAGCTATGGGCATCAAATGCATAGTCTCACGGTAAACGTTCAAGGTGACAGCAAACAAAAACCCAAGGCAAAGATAAAGATACTTCTTGCCTATCTATGCCAAATCTACCAGACTGCTCAGACAGCAGTCTGGAGGAATGATCAAAAAGCAGACTGAAATATAATAGAGATAATTTTACAAATAAAAAGATCATGGTCACATAGCCCAAGAATGCATGAAGTCAACAAATACGATGGGTAGACGAATTTAGTAATGACAAGCAAGACTGCTCAGACAGCAGCTCAATCACCTCTGAAAAATCAAGTGACGGTAAGATAATGGCAATTCCCAATTAAAATTACAACCTGTTCATCTTCCTAAAACACAAACTGAAAAATGCTTGTGTGTAGTAAAAGAATCTAACTTAAAACCAATTTCCATTAAGTCGAGAAGCCCATTTATGCATGATAGCATTATTAGTTCGCTTCCAAAAAAATCATTCCAACATGATTTTCACATGCAATGGAACGTGACAAAGAAGCCAGAAAAAGATCATCAGTTCCGGTGGGAGTAGAAACCAGAAGCACTGGCTTCTGGGATATCTTGGACAACAGTGCACCTGGATAAGAAAACCAGCAACTAATCGAGTGCTATGGCAAGAAGTCAAGAACTAAAACAGTTTTCAATGAATATTTACAAGAAAACAGGAGAACATACAACTTGAGGCACATTGCTGAATGTTGGAAGTCCATGCATTAAAGAGCTCCATACTGTATGCCAACCCTGTCTAACCTGGAACACCTCAAAAAGAAAAAGGAAAAATCAACCTAGCAAGAAGGATCCAAATGCATACTACAAAATAGCATAAGATTCCGATGATGGGAGATAAGCATCCTCCTCGAGCTATCCACAAAAGAGAAAAAAGTTTATCATGAAATAAGGTTGCTGCTGGTCATGTTAAAAGGCCAATTTTAACCCAAAATTACCACTCAAAAAAAATCAACCGTAGGAAAATTCTACGACCATAAAAAAAGATATTTTGTTGTTTGAAAGTGAATGTTGCCAAAGCCATTAAATTTGAAAAGAAAGAAACGTATGAACGATCATATTATCACTATACTCTAAGAAAACTTCTGTACGACGGCTACAATCTATTATAAGATAGCGTCTGCTATGTTAGTTAACACACCAAAATTACAGAAAGTTAAACTACTTACTCCGCTCCACATGACCAATGTCAATTCCAGGATGTCCACGCTTTATGGAGATGTCATTATGAACATGTCCAAGAAAAATCATCTAGATATGCCTTCTCAATTTACATAAGTTGGAGATTACAAGTCTCAGACCGAAAACCTTGATGTCAAAATAAAATGAAACGCATGATAACAAGCTAAAAGAACACAAACTTGTTCCAAAACGATGGAGAGAACTTTCCCTGAGAAATCCATTATTCCCCTCTTCTCATAAACCCTAGAGAAGGCAGGTAATATCATCTTCCATATAGATGACATCTACCTGGGTAGACAATCTAATCCCAGTCTGCATGTACATGCACCATCTTTAGAATCCTTGCCTAGTCTACAAATAAAATTTTAACACAATTTTCTTAAAGACAGAGCCAATACTCTACATGTTTATAATAGCATTAACAGCTCTGCAGATTTCACTAAGCCAACAAGGATTTCTCTGCGCTTAATTGTTAGAAGGTCTAAGTGTAATATTAAAAATGACTAAGGGTATTATGAGAATATGTATGTAGGGTTCCCCATTTAAGGGACATCAAAGGTGAATAAATGAGTGAGGCAGTTTCTGCCGTTCCTCCCTCTGTCCTCCGTGACAAAGTTTTGCCTCCTATTCTCTCTGTTTTCTTTCTCAACATTAAAAAATGGTGTGAACGCTTCTTGACAAAAAGGAAAGGCTGATTTACCTGATTTACTGAAGAATGTTGAAGAGAGAAAATACCACCATAACCGGATACATTGAGAAACTCCATAAACCACAGATCATCAAAAACTTTCTTCCCCAGGATTAATGAATGATCCTTCTGTATGGACTTAAATCTGGATCGATCATGTGGGTCAAAGGAATCCACCTAAAGATACACAGCAAGATGCTTGTGGACATCTAGAATCCCATTGTCAGTTTCCTATACTTTCGAACTCTACATGGCCACTTACTAACATCAGAAAAATTCCCTCCATCATTCCATGCATAAATGTTTTAGGAATTAGAAAAGTGAATCATCACTCTGCTTTTCCTTTCTTCAAAAACCAGCTAACATAGAAAATTAATCAAACCAAAATTTCTATCCACAGACAAAGTTTCATTATTTTTCAAAATAGCATTCAAAAGAACTATCAAAGAATAACTTAGGAGTACATTTATCTAGGCTTCGGAAAAGATATAAAAGGATATAAAAAAACAATTCATTACCTCATCTACAGCTGGAGAGGAGCTTTTCATCAACCGGGGATGTGAAAGCACAAAACAGAGCTCCTGCAAGCTCCTAGACAAAAAGATTAGACAAAACAAAGCCATTATATGAAAATTGATAGAACAGACAGAGTTGAACGAAATTGCTACCAATCAACATGAAATGCAAACTATACCCAATAAACTAGATTTCAAAATGTTGGAATTTTTCATTAAGTATTTTACCAATGAAGACCACCAAACTAAAGGTACAATTATAAGTAGTGATAACAAAAAACATCAAGTAACAGACCGCAAGATCCAAAGAATCCCGTCGTATGAATGTGTGCCATATGAATCGCTCAAAATCCTGCACAGATACTAGTCTGTTAGTGTCCCAACACAGAAATACATTCAATACGGTGAAATGCATTTCTCGCAAGATAAACGAACAGAAATATCCAGATTTTATGGATCATAGAAAGCAAGCTCCAAGTAGCCATTGATATTTAATTATAACAGCACTTCGTCATAATGAAACACTATCCATTAAGAAGGAAACATATCTGCATCCACTTCATAGGCAGGAAGTCTCGCTTTCCATGTCCAAAAAGGTGGGAAGGTGGCACATTTTGGGCATCAAAATGGGGGAAAAAAAGGTGTATATTTCTATGACTCAATTTGGTGGCAGAAATAGCCTAAACTCCATTCATTAAACCACAGAAAACCAAACCATGGAAGCGTCTGGACGAAAAAAGTGAAAATATCAAAGGAGCTAAACGAAAATATTCTACCATCTTCTGATGTTTTGGCTACACAATTTGGCTGTCTAGGAATAATAAATTACTTACAATCATGTCAAGTGGGAATAAAATTTATAGAGATCTTGTTGCGAAGTTTTCTACAAATAAATAGATCCAACTATTTCCACATCACTAATTGCTGAAATATTTATTGTCAAATAAAACTCAACAGTAATTTCCTACAAATGCTTTAAATGCTTCAAATGCAAAGGCACCATTGAATTCTATCTGTTTCCTAACCCTGTAACCACCGATGGAAGGGCAAAAGGTTGGTACAAATCAGTCAATTTATCTAATGTCCGTTCTAACCATCATTTATTAAGCATAAAACTTGTAAGACATAAATATAGCATTACAAACCTCTCAAAACTTTCACACAACCCTTTGAATAAGTGAGTTAGAAGATATTCTTCAATGCAGAAGCCATAGTTGCGAATAAGAAAACAAAATGCACCACTCCTGAAAACACAACACAGAAATATGGTCAAAATATTTGTGATAATGAATGTCCTATTGAGATTATTCTTGATACGGTTGATCGTTAAATTGGTACCAAAATGGGCAGGATATTTGCCCAACACTCACTGATGGTGACTAGTGAAAGTTCTTTAATCATCTGTTCTCTGGGGCATGTACAGGGGGGGAAAAAATTACAATTTTAGCGCATAAATTAACTGTTTGTGTCCAACCGATCAAGAGGAATAGAGGAAGATGATAGTCAATGGAACCTGAAAAAAATAACAAGGATAGGAGAAAACACTTCGTTCTAGCTTATTTCTCATAACTTTCCGCAACAACCTTGTCAGATGAGAAGAGAAGTTTTAGTGGTCTCCATTTATATTTTATACAATCTTGTAGTTTTTGGCTGCTGTTTCTACAATAGGAGTGATTCCAGCGACCACACACCATCCCCCAAAAAAACCCAAAGCTGCGTTTTCTTGGGTGCTCCTGCATACCGGTATTGTTGCTTTCTTGTTGTATGAAAGCATCCGTGGAATTAGATTTCCAAAGTGCACATCATGGGTGAAAAACAATGGTAAGTAACCACAACACATGGACTCCAAAGGATTCAGATGACAATGAAATAATTGGATATCATTATTGACTATCAATGAAAAGTGGGCACTAAGAAGAACATGGCTTTCATGCTGGTCGCATCCTAGAAATAGATGATAACTATCTTTAAAGAAGACAATGTTTACGAGAGAAAGTGAATTTTATGGAAAGCACTTGTGTCAGGACCCTTCTTCATTAATAATGAAATAATTCAAATTGTCTCAAATTAGGAATCAATAAAAGTTATCAAGTTAAACTTGTAATTTCTATTCTACTTGCTCCTTCACTTAGGATTATTAAACGGCAGATGTAAACGAGCACTAATTTTGACCTTCTAGATTAGCAATCTCATTCTGAATCGATAAAGAGACATGAGAAATCAGAACTGGTTCAAATTATAGAAGAATGCAGTGCAACCAGTAAAATGCATTGCTTGCTTTTCAATGTTCTCTTTCCGACTTGGTGAATGAGGGAGTTTTCTCAGAGGATTCCAAAGGGAATCCTATAAGATATAATATCAAGAAGGTCAGCAAACTTAATATCATGTAACAAAATGTGAAAAAAAATCAAGTCATAGTTCGACTAACTTTTGTGTGACTGAATCTATATATATATAGATATATATAATGCAGGCATACACACCATTTATAAGAAAACGCTTCATGTTAGGAAAATTTAAACCATATGATCCAGTGGACTCTCATATCTTCAACGATCAGAAACTCAAAAAAGCAATCCCAGAAAAAAAGTAATTCCAAGAATGACCGACTCAACAAATCGTACAAAGCAGGATTTTTATGTTGAACACCAACCATCCAAAGACAAGGGGCAAACACTAAAACAGTCAATGACGTCTAGAAAACTTCATGCATCCCCAAAAAACAGCCTAATCACCCTTCAAAGCCCTGATTCAGCCAAAGTCAATGAAGAAGCTGACCATAAACAATTAACAGTGAGAAGGGAAACAAGTACTAGAGACTCTTCATCTTTTATACAAGTGCAGAAAAACTGATGAACTAGAGCCATTCTCACCATAGCCATTTCCCCTTCATTAGTCCATCTCTTAAACGGTCAATAGCATCCGGTTTCTTCAGTCGTTTATCATTACCTGATACCTTTAAACTGTTCATACAGGCCTGGATGACAAAAAAACTATTTCATAGTCGCAGTATACAAGTATCCTATCTTGAAGACCTCAACGAATGTCACTTTCGTGGAAAATGGCATTTTAAGATATTCCGAATCCAATACCTGATAAAATACGATGGCAGACAGCTCCATCAAGCTTTGTTGTGAATTTGTCGACCCTACCTTGTCATCTCTAGTGGACTCACCCCTGAAAGACATAACATTAGCAGAAACCACATGCCACTATTATATAGCTGTATGCCTCAACATCTGCCAGAAAACTCTTGACGCACCAGGACAGGCCACCACTAACACCACAAAGATCCAATTCCTTCCCAATGACGTCAAGAAGTTGTTCTATGAGAAGTCCACTTTCTCCTTTCCTGATTAGCTTTAACTGGATCTTAGCGTAAAGAATGAATGAACTCTATAATTACAACAAAAGGACTCATGTGAGAAGCTTTTATGCGAAGTAAGATAAAAGATGGTCTGATCAATATGGGGAACCTTTAGCCCTCGATCGTGGGTAAGGAGCCAATAACGGAAGATGAAATCATGAATGGAAGAGTGAATTTCCAAAGCTTGGCTTCCTAAATTTGGGCCATCTTTGAGCAAGAATGTATTGACACATGCCATGAGTTTACGTGAAATCTTTCCCTCCTCCCTGACAATGTTTCAAGAGAGGAAACGGTCAGAGGACGTCTTGCTCTAGTATGTTACCAAATCAAGTTTTTGAAAATCAAGCATTGCAGAGAATCTACCTTATTTGCGAAAGAATTTCAACAAAACCCTTAACAGCATCTGCCCTGATATTGTCTGGAAAATCACCCGGTGGATTTTCTAGAAGTGCATGGAGGGTCAAAATGCACCGGAAAGCTTCCTCTTTAGTGCTCGAATGGATTTTACTCTCCCCCATTAACAGCGCTCCTATCTTCTTCATGTACAGGAGCACTAGACCTGTTTTTCAATGGACGACGATAATCAATTCGAGGAAAATAAATTTATGGGGGTACGTACAGAAAATGTATCACTGATTATTGATTCATGGCAACAGCATCGTAATTTAAAAACTTACCGCTATAAACTCGCTTTCTCATCTGATAGCGATACTCCTTCACAGATAGAAGATGTCGGAGAATTATTCCATATTCTGGTTGGAAGCTTGGAACATCATTAATGATGTCCCATGTATGATTAAAAAGAAGCTTGATAACAGAATGAAGATGCAATGTCTTTCCTGAAAAAAGATGTATACCACCGTATTTCCTGTCAGTGAGCAGATGCATAACCACTATTAATTTCAAGTGATATTACAAGTGTAGGTACTTTTATAGTATCAGGTGATGTTGTAATTTTCCCTGATAGACTTCAGGGGATGGAAGAGTTATCAATTAAAAACTTAGTTCAATGAAGCGGATGAATAGTCACTTCCTTAATTAGACCATTTCTATTCCATTTTAAGATATTTTTTATTCATATAAGAACCGACTGTGCAGAATCCTACTTCATTAACCTACGCGTCCTGTTTATCCATCCGATGATCCAACCGAGATGTGTGGCTTATAGCGTGAGCTAGTGAACAAACAACCTGAACATTTGGGATCCTCGGCATGCTGAACGACGATTCGAAGCATCTTTGCCCATATCAGCTTAGGCAGACTCTTCTTACTCGCATTTTTCTCCAAAGCAATGCACTTCGTTAGGAGAGTGACGAGATATGGCCACGTTTCAGCTGCCACAAAGAAGACCAGCAGTATAAGATAGTTGAATATGTTGCAGTGAAACTGTCTCAGACGATCCTACCCTACCACGATAATTGGGTCATGAAATGGATCTCACCGTGAGGAACATCATCCGGTCTCATCCGGGAGGTATTCTGGCCGAGCAACCTGCAGAAACTGAAGGACCTCTCTCCTACCAACCAGCTGTTAAGCAGCTTCGCTCCTTCCTGCGGACAATGATCGATTGATGAAACATGATCAGCATGACTGGCGATGAAGACCGCAGTATACATTCTTCGGCTTTACCTCACGTATTTTGGCCTTGTTTGAGGAGAGCCTGGATACGATCTCCTGCACGTCCCTCGATGTCGCCATGTTTCCTCTCCGCTGCCGAGGATCTGGGACAAGGCGCCTCCAGCCTCGGTGCGCCCCCTTCCCGTGCAACTAGATCGAGAAAGCGTAAAAGAAGGGAAGAAGGGAGAGCAGAGGTTTCCCCTAGGAGGTGGAGGTCACACAAACGAGCGGGAAACGGCCCTCGTACGCGGAAAACGGTCTCGGCAGCCGAAGAAATAGCGTCAGAGAGTGAGAGTACAGGGAATTTATACAGTCTACGGTGAGGCGGGACTTCGCGGTGGGCACTGCCACCTCACACGAGTCGGATTCTTTCACACGTGCAAAACGCGAAAAAATAGCCCCCCTCGGAATCAAGTCTACGTGTCGTCTTGACGAATTACCTGCGATCGATTTGATCCGTGGGGTTTCCCAAACTCGCCCCAACACTAGTCCTCACCTCCGTAAAAAATGTATGGCGAATATTCACAATGTACAGCACCCTCTTACATGTGATGACAAGTCTAGACCAATAAATAACTCATAGGTTACAGGAATGCAGACGCCCCCTCTCTCTCTCTCTCTCTCTCTCTCTCTCTCTCGCTCTTCTTCCCAACTTTTGAAGGAAACAAAGGAAGGTGAACCCTACGAGAGCATACGGATGTTAGCATAAAAGCGCCTTTTCATCTTAAATAATATTGTTCTCTTCATAATTTGTAATGTTCTGCGTGCGTACGTGGAGCGTGTACGCATATGAGTAAGCAGGTTAAGACTTCAGCGGTCAAAGTGCATCGAACTTTTTCGCATTCGGCATGATGATAAAATTAATAAGTAAATAAAAACCTATTGTTGCAGCTTGCTCTTCCCCTCTTCAATCTTCGTCAAATATGATAAACAGGTAGATTCACAGGTGTCTTTTTTTCCTGGATTAGTTTTCTTGTCACATGGTCTACAATTTAGTAATCTTTTGATTTTGTTTTAGTACGAGTCAAAACACTCGCGTCTCCCACAAAATCTTGTCCTCTGTCTTGTAATACTTCCGACTTTCAAGTACGAGGTCTGGTTTTTTTCCAACAGAAGCACATTTATAGATGGCATTAACTCCTAATCATTCTAGTTGGCTTCTTCGATTTTCCTCCAGGGCCTCTCTCTACGCCATCGCCAACACAGCGTTAGCTAGCAAGATCAGAGCGCCCAGGCTCGTATCCACACGGGAGATAGGACGTGCAGCACATTTGAACCAGTATCTAAAGCCGGCATTACAAACAAGTGGGTGAGGAGGAACCAGGGGACTCTGGATCAGAGCATCTATCCACAACAAGGCAGAGGCACCAAGGACAGCTCAAGCGGGGCCAGAGGCGGTGGATCCCGCCATCAACTCGTCGACCTTCTTCAGCAAGCCGTTCATCTCGCAGACCAGGTTCTCCCTCGCCGCCGGCTCCAATCCGTCGGACGGGTCCCTAGTAGCCTTCCCTGGAAGGGGAAAAGACGACCGGAGAGCCGATATCATGCCCTCGAGGCTCTTCTTGATGAACTGGAGGGGAGGCTTCTGACCAGTAGGGGAGACTGTCGGGCCGCTGCCTAATGTCAGTTGAATTGCCGCCTCGTCGTCCCCATTAGTCTCATCCTCCTCATTCCTCTTCGGCTGCATAATCACTTTTTCAGAGCCGGAGGTCCCCTGCGCAACGGATATCGATTTCTCCTCGGATTTAGAAACACCGCTGTCGTCTGTATCACAGGACAGGGGTTTCTTCCTCCGTTCGGGAGTAGATTTACAACCAGAGGAGGCTGGAGAACGATATGGAGCTTCAAAGTCTACATTCGGCTCAGATTCACCGTCCAGATAGAAGTTGCACCTTCCATCGTCCGGCTCAGATCTAAACTCTTCTATGCCACTCTCACCATAATCTGAAACACTGGCGTAGGAGTATCCCCTGAATCTATCAAAGAACATCCTGAACCTCGAAGAAGAAAGATCACCTTTCACGCACGTAGAATCAAGCGCAGCACACCAGAGTTCAAACAGCATATCCTCAGCAGATGCACCACCGCCACCTTCAAATGTGGAAACCATCTTATCATCCGGGGCGACTTCAGTACTGCATTTCGAGAAAATCGGGTGTGAATTCTCCATCCTAGTTTCGGAGTCCCCGGTTTCAGAAGCCTCAATATCTTCCTTCGGATGATCTACCTCTCCGTCTTTCAGGAAGACTGAACTATGGTGGGCCCGCCCCCTCATTGTTGTGTAGGGAGGTGAAAGATATCTGCTCCTCTTGCGTTCCCTTCTGCCCGAACCCGAGCCTTCTTCACGCTCTACGTCGACATTCTCAGAATCAGAAGACTTCGCCTGGCTCTTCTTTCTCTGTTGCCGGCCCAAGGAATCCAGTTTTTTCACGATAGCAGGCTTCTCCTCCCGGTCAATGCCGTCTTCCAACTTGATCACATCCATGTCTGTCTCGGCGATGAGCTCAGCCATACTCCTCACTTTCTTCCGATGAGACAACTTCCCCCCCCTACCCCGCCTTTTGGTAGCGTCGCCGCCTCCCCCGGCAGGTCTTCCTGGCTCCACTTCTTCACTAGATTCCATGGCCGACACTCCCAGCGGAGGACCACCATTTACATTAGCCCTCTCCCGATGTACAACCTTCTCGTCTTCAAGCTCCACCGGATGCTCCATACGCCAACCCATCAAACGAGCGAGGGCCGAAAACCAAGATTTGATCGCCGTTATCTCCAGCAAATCCGCACAGGAAACATCGCAAGCTACTTCGTGAAGGCGCTCGAGCATCTCCGCAGGCATCTTATCGACGATACTCAGCCATTTCACACGACCTTCTGGACCAGTCACCCGTTCCCTAATTCCGGCATTCACAACATGACGAGCAGAGAGGCTGTTGCCAAGGATCTCCGATTCTAAGGACCCCTGGATCTCGTCCAATGCTTCCTTCAGGGCGCCGAGGAAGTTCTTGGAGATGCTCTGATGCGCCATCTCCTCGAAGCCCTCACTGAAAAGCCTCAGCTGAGACGGCTTACACCAGGCGAACGTCCTGTCACCGAAATATGCCACCAGAACACACTGTTCGTCCCTCCGGCGCAACTTCTTAGCGTACTCCGACGCATCGGACGAGTCATACACCTGGCCTGGCCACCAGGGGTGGTGTTTGATCTTCCCCCATACGAAATCACCCGCCAAGAACTGGTTATCTGTAAGTCCCACACCGAGAAGAAGCTCCCCTTCACCTCCATCGCCTTTCTTCGGTGCACCGTCGTCCTCAATCTTGCCGTTCGTCGGACCTCCCTCCGCTTCCACCATCTCCGACTTGCCCCGACGCAAACTCAACTCTACCTCGTGGATAACCTCCGCGGAATAGTGTGAGCGGGACTGCAACTCCGGACCAGGTCTCTCCCCGTTCTCGGCAGCGCCGCCGAGAGTTTCCTCGGGAACCACGTCGGAGGGACCGGAAACCCTAGACTCCTTTACATGGCTCCCGACGCCGGCGGATGGTGGGGCAGGGTTTCTTGTAGGTTCCTCTAGGGCTCGGCCACCGACAGAGTCCTCCGGCGAAGGCACGGAGGATTCCATTAGCTGGAAGCTTCTGCGAAGCACGAGAACAAAGAACGGAAGCACCTGGCCGTACCCACGAGGAACTGGTAGAATAGGGGAATAACACGGAGCAGAGTGAAAAGATGGAGCGATCTACCTGCCGTTAGCGAGAGAGAGAGAGAGAGAGAGAGAGAGAGAGGGAGACTGGGCGAGGGGTCTTCGTGCGAGGGACGGAGCGCGGTGTGCTGAATGGGGTCGACTGTCTGGTGCTGAAGTCGCGGGTAACAAATGCTTCCAAGTACGGATGAGCTTGATCGACGGCTGGCATTACAACTACTTGCTACCTTCCACGTGGGACTGAATCCCACGCGATCTGGGCCTGGAGGCTCCTCCATAATGGGCCCGACTGCTCCTCGAAGCCCACGATTCCTCGTCAAAACATGCAGACGGTTCGACAAATAAATACGGACATTCGAGCACGATTACAATCGTTGATAATACTTTGTGCAAAAGAGAGTAATGTCAGTTTTAATAACGAATGATAATTAATTCTATTTTTATATTATTAACCCTAAAATTATAAAATACTTGTGAATTAAATCGAAATATCGAATAATCAATTCATGTTTATCCGTGTAGCTACATCTTGTCTCCCTGGAATCGGTGGTGTCCATCTCCCAACCCACGTAGGGTCACGGGTTCGTAGTCTGTCTGGTTCGACCATGACGCCTTCCTGGCTTGACAGGCCCGTCTTGGTCCGATGACCTGTCGTCCGCTACGGTCAACACTAACTAATACGCTCACGTGGGGGGCAGACGGAAGAAAAGTGGGTCTAGGGGGGGCCGCTAACGACCCGCTGTCTCTCCGGAACGTGATAAGGCTGGTTGACAAAAGCCGCGCGCGCTGATACCGTGGAAATCGGGGTTTAATTGTCAATATGACTGTTTTCTGGACTTGAGAAAAATATGACTTCCAGCATAAAATCCATAAAAGTAGGCCGGACACCGGCGGACGTTTCTTCCCATTCATTTTCTTATTCACGTTAAATACTGTGGTTTTGTCGGGAGCTCATATTGCGCCCGAGGTACCCGGTGGATTGGGCTTGTAGTAGGGCGCTCTACGGCGGGGGTGGCTGTGAATTCTCTGCCTTTTTCTGAACAGGCATTTGTTGAGCTCGCATCCGTGCATTTCTAGGTGAGTGTCTCGCTCTCCTGTAGCATGTATTCGCGGACTTGTTCTTCCCAAGACCAGGTAGCGTTGTAACAGTAGTTGGTTCTCGTACGCGGAGAATGGCTTGCTTCTTCTCTCTTCTCTCGTTTAATCGGTATTTTTTGGAGGCATTTCACAGGTTGGCGCTGATAATCTCATTACCTGGAATGATATCTCGATTATAATTAACCAGTATTACGTAATTTGCAAAAAACCTGAATGATCTGTCGATATGCCGTTCTCTTCTTGATACTGAAATCATTATACCTCGTGGAAGGATTGTGCCTCTGGAACTCGTCGGTTTGGACAGGTAGTAAATAGGAAGCTAGGTGGTTTTTGTTTATCAGTGTTCAGTTAAACGCTACCCCGTTTAAGCTTGGATCTCGTCGGCTGTGGTTGTCAGGAGGGAACGAACAAGTCAGTATTCAGTTAAACGCGGTCCCATTTAGGCCGTTCTTCTGGTTCCGTTGAAAATTACCTTTTCTGACTTATCTGAAGTTTCGTTGGCCTCAAAGATGTATGACCACGCGGCTTCAGGATTCAGAATCACACCGTAGGCTTGGGGAATGAGTTCACTTGGAAAGAGACGCGATGATTTTTGGCAGCAGTCTAGACCATTCATTTTGCAAACTGGCCAACCGTTGCTACTCGTTCTCACATTCTTAGGCTCTGTCAATGGAGTACATTTTCTGTTGTTTTTTACCCTCTTTGTACGAATTTAACGAAGAAGAAAAATAAGAGATCAAGCAGGTCCATATAACTTAATCATGATTCGGCTTCTTTTCCTCTTTCTTTGTTGGGGGAATCTGACACACGAAGAAAAATAAATTGTTAGTGGCGGTCCCAGATAATGGAGTCATCAGACAGTAAAATAAAATTTTCTTTTCTGAAAAGAATCTACCTTCTCATCGGTTCAAATTTGTTGACGTTCCTGATCACGTCTAGATTGCTCAATTCGGTAACGTTGCCAAATAGTTATCATACCAGAATTCTGACGAGTTTTCATTAACCCAGGCATTAATGGATCAAAAGAAAGAAAGAGGGGACCTGGATACATCTGGTGGTAAGAGGATTGGACCGCCAACGCTTGGCCCGGCATTCAATTTTATGGTGCAGTTTTCCAACAGGGTTCAGAGCTGTTTTAAGGTTATAATTCAAAGCACTCCAGTTTCTGGCTGGCTAATTATATTCAGTGAGAAATTTGCTGATATATTTGATTTTCAGACGCAATTCAAGCGATCATTCAGAAATGACGAGGGAGGCAATGGCAATTCGGCATTGTTTATTGAAAGAGAAGCTGACTCTTTGTGGAAACTCAGCCTAGAGAAGCAATTACAAGCTTGGAGAGAAAATCCTACGTGGGATACTGAAACACCTGAAATAAAGGTGACAAATAGCCATGAGATTTACTAAGATTGTGCGTAAAATATTATCTTAATAATCACGAAGGTCTGTTTATGCGGGAAGGCCTAAATCCTGGAGTGCCAGATATCTGAATAAATCCTGAACATATGCCATGTCATATGTGTTCGTCCCCACTACTTTGATCGCATTGCTCTCATTTGGCTTTATGTCTGCATTCGTCACTTTATCGGTGAACCATGGAGGATGCTTCATTTGTGCAGAGGCTTAGATCAAATAACCCTAGATTGTCAGTTGCCCCTCAGGGTCTGTCGTAGGTGCCTTTGCAATCCAGTGATCACATTTGAGAAGCAACTGATGTCAATCGAAAACGTTCAGGAAACCTTCAACTTTAAAGTCATTTCATAGCCTTTCGACAAGAGTTCATGTCAATGCGTGGATCGAATACCAGATCGCTGTAGTCACCTCCTGTTTTATAAGGTTTTATGTTATGGTTTAGTCATAGATAATGGTGAGCTCTGTCTTTTACTTATCTTTCACGGAGTAAACTAAAAATCCTGATTCGATTCAAGAGTATGCAACATAAATTGTTGAATTGTTTTGTTTTCAGGTTACAGTTCCAAAAGGTTCTCTCTGTAACCTGAATGTGAAGTTTAAAGTTGGCCTGCCACCAGATGCTATCTACAACATTGTTATTGATCCTGATAATAGAAGGGTATTCAAAAACATCAAGGTTTGGATCTCATCATCGAGTACAAACCCTATCCGTACATCGTTTTCAAGTGAAAACTATCTAGTTGTGTTTTTTGTTGTATAATATTATTGAAAAATGCCCCTTCATTCCGTCATTTATATTTTATTCAGGTTTTTATTCTGTACTTATGCTTTTTAGTATAGTCTCTGCAGTTTCATTCGTTTGTACCTATTTTTTCTGCATTTTGACATTCATAGAAAGATAAAACACTTGAGAACACTAGAGTTCAAACGCTTCTATTTATTAACTTCTCGAGACTTGGATGCAAGGAGTCTGCATGTTCTTCATGGATGCATCAGGTGACTGGTTCTCAAATTGAAGTACTCATTGGATCTCCATCTCTCTTGTTTAATATTTAAGCTTTAAACCTGTCTGCGAGAATAGTCTGAAACATTTCACCCGTATGCCATCCGTTTACTCATCAATGATGGATAGCTTTTGATTAGTTGATTGAAATGTTGGAATCTCCGGTGGCTGCAGTTATTGATTGCATCTTTCTCCTTTTATGACTGTGTTTAACATCGTATTACTTTTATGTATGACATCAAGTTATTTGATTAGTTACATCCTACACTTATGCTCGATAAACAACAGAAATTTGTTTTCCCCATGCTTTCCTGTCATATTGATTGTTCCAATTTCATATCATTCAGAGAGCTGGCATTTTATTGAGAAACTTCTCGTGTGTTCTTCCCTTTTGTAATTCTTTATTCAAAAACATTTATCGGAAAAATTTGAATAGAATATGCGCATTCAGTGATCGTAATTGTTTCAGATACTCCAACTTATGCTTATTATTTCAACTATTATTTTGCAAACTGCGGACCTAACGAACTTTTGACCATGGATACTTTTGGGAGAATAAGCTCTGTTAATGTCCCTGGGACCAGCTGATTGTCTAATTTCGTGTTTTTTTCAGCATTATTTTCTTGTAGCTCTCATCCATGCATCTCGTTTTCTTCTTTCATGTCGCCTTGCTATTTGGATTAATTTTCTGATATGGCAGTCGAATTTTGTCCCTTTGGTCAAGATTGCAACGTTAGTTCTGTCTAGTCCTATGTTTTTTTAACTATGAATGCATATTGGTTAAACATTCAATTTTTGACTTTCGTTTTCGTCTGACATTTCAGGAAGTGGTATCCAGAAAGGTTCTGATCGACGAGGGCTCGAGGCAAGTAGTTGAGGTGGAGCAAACAGCACTATGGAGGTTCCTGTGGTGGTCTGGGACCATTTCAGTTCATGTTTTTGTCGATCAGAGCAGAAAAGATCACACGGTGAGGACACTGCCTTTGGCTCCCCCTCTAAATTCTTGTAAAAATATCTTCTTCACTATTTCGAAAAAGCCTCCGGGGTTGGAACGCGAAGTAATACAACATTATGAAGCGGTGATTTTAGGTCAAATACGTTATAGTTTATACCCTCATTCGATCCTGAAATCATCCAATGTCTCCTCTGCAGATCAGATTCAAACAAGGCAATATCGGGTTCATGAAGAGGTTCGAAGGTTGCTGGAGAGTAGAGCCTCTCTTTGTCGACGAAGAAATCTGCTCTCCGCAGCGGCCCAGGACGCTTTCGGAATACGAGTCTTGTTCCGGGCCCAAAGGAAGGGTCGGGTCTCTGGTGACCTTGGAGCAGCTGGTTCAGCCGACGATCGTCCCTCCGCCGCCAATTTCATGGTATCTGAGGGGAATCACCGCGAGGACCACCGAGATGCTTGTGACCGACCTACTGGCGGAGGCTGACCGACTAAGATCCTTCTCGGACGGTTCTGATTCACCAGAGGAGGACAACGGACCAGGCTGCACCATCGTTGACTCCCTCCCCGCTCGTGACGCCGGCGAGATGATTAAGGAGCGGTGGCGCCTAAGGCGTCGAGCGAGGAAGAATCCCTGAGAAAGATACACTTTTGTGTTATCAGGCTTTGAAGAAGCTATTGGGCTTACTAGGGCGAAGATTGGCCCAGTAAATCATCCTTGCTTACTTACGGCTTGCCATCTGTTCCCTGTGCCTTGCGAGTCCACTTCTCCCCGTGATGGGACTTTTACCCGACTCAAAAGCATGGGGCCCGCAGGCACGAGGCCCATAGTTACCCCACACCACCGGCCCACTAAACCGGTCCTTTCTACTTTCCATATCTGGTAATCTCCTCCACTAGGCGGAGAAAGCAGGCCACCGCGGGGAAGCCCATTTAGATGGGCGAAAGAGACAGCCGGCCCAGGCCCACGTCGCCTCCCTCTCTGTCATTAATTTCTGCCGTGCGTCCGTCCGTCTCTTCCTCCTCGTTGTTAGGAACACGGATCATGTGGTGGGGGGAGGCCGCGCTATGATGGGCCCCACTTACTTGGTTAGGCCCCAGATCGACGGACCTGGTTCGTCCTCCCGGACGACGCCGTGATTCCGAAGGGGTCTTCCGGGCCGCCGACGCGCTCGCATCGCTGTCGGGCCCTCTTCGCGCGCGTTGACGGCCCGCGCCGCTCGCCGAACCTCGTGCTCTAAAAAGAGACCAGTCTATAGAAGAAAGCCTAATTGCCCCTGTTGCCTTCGTGGTCATTCCACGTGCGCCTGAACAAATATGGTGATCTTGGGCAAAGAACTTTGATAGTGGGTTATTCCCCCCATTCGTCTTAATCCATGATTGTGTGTGGCCAGAGAGAGAGAGAGAGAGAAGCAGAGGATTGGGAGCATGACAGCTGCACTGAGCGCGTGATGTCGACAAGTCTGCGGCGGTCTCCGTCTTTGTTATCAGGAGGAAGAAGAAGAGGGGAGGGATGGATGTGCGCAGGGACAAGACGGTTGTTAACACAGAGTATCTGCATGGGCATCCTGACCCCGATCTCCGGAGATCAAACGAGAACCAGAACCAGGCTCTTATTCGACCTACTTGGTCTACATGTGCACAGAGCATGCGGTGATCGATCCACACACCGAGGCTGATCCCAAAATATGTGTAAGGTAGTATGATAATCGTGGAGGAGGAAAGTTTTCAATTAATAGGGTCGCTGCTGAACATCTGCATGGACCAGAAGTCCTCCAAAGTCCAGAAGCCATCGTTGGGCTCGCCGGAGGGAGTACCCACCAGCAGGCTGCCTAGGTCGTTGTTGATTGTGTTGCAGACGGGAGAGCTCTTGCCGATGCCGCTGTCCTCCACGCTCATCACCTGATCGCCGGTGCTCCCTTCGAACGCCGGGGCGGTTTGCTGATAGTCAAAATGGTGATCGTCCTTGATCTTCTTCTGGATTCTCGTCCGCCAGTAGTTCTTGATCTCGTTATCTGTTCTTCCGGGCAGCTGCCGAGCGATCTTCGACCACCTGCGTTCAATTGACGTCAATGGCGAATGCTGTAAATGCTGATGATTTCATGGGATATATACGAATTATTTGAGTAACCTCTCCTCGATAAATAGTCTCCCCAGGGTTAATAACCTCCTCACCAGCTTCATACGCGCACTGTGTCATCTCTCTTCTAAATTTCCAGACGCGGAGAACTTTGAAAGGGAGGATCGATTGATATATAGATATATATATTATCTAGAGAGAGAAAGCGAGATCATTGACTGCTGGGATTCAGAGAGAAACATCGACGATATATGTGTATACGGCCTAGATATGATGTGGAAGCTTCGTAGCATTCGTCGAGGAGGAATAGGTCACCTGTTTCCCCACCGAGAATGGAGCTCTATGATGAGAAGCTGCTCCTCAGGGGTGATGTTTCCCCGCCGGACGTCCGGCCGCAGGTAGTTCAGCCATCGAAGCCGGCAGCTCTTGCCCGTCCTCTTCAGACCTGAACAAGAAGGACCACGCGGCGAAGCATGAAGCAAGAGGAGAAAAATAAACAAGAGGAAGAGGCACTCGGGGGAGAAAAACTCCAGAACAGGCGGAGGATGAACCTGCGGAGCGAGCCAGTGTGTTCCAGACGCCTTCTCCGTGGTTGGTGATGTAGTTCATGAGGATCAGGTCCTCCTCTATCGTCCAGGGGCCCTTCCTGATGTCGGGGTCATGGCTGGTGCTGGCCTTCTTATCCATGGCACTCTTCGCCCACCATGCAGGATCTCTGTTAGATTGCGGGGCGGCTACTGGCGAAGGGGGAGAAAGTGAGGGAATGTTAGGGTAGGGACGAAGGGAAGAAGGCTGGTGTGGTCTTTATAGACTCTGCACGTCCAACGTAGGTTCTCTTAAAAACTACTGACCGAAACCGTACGCAAACTAGCCCATGTCTATCAGGAGGGAGGGAGGGAGAGATGTCCAATATGTCAGATAAGGTTCCATATCCCATATTTGCTAGGTTTTACCATTGAGGGTTGCTAATGGATCAGGTAATCTTGGATCTCGCTTTGAAGTTTTCCAATTTAGGTCCCAAAATCAATCATGTAAAGAAGAATGACCTCCTGAACTTCTTCAACTAGCACTCGTTTCGAAAACATAGATCTTGTTTTCTCTTATTACATGCTTTCCTAAGATTACCCACTTAATAATCTCTCTAGCCAATGAACACGGACCCACGAAAGAATGGAGCCTTTCTCCATTCAATCGACGACCCCCTTCAAGACGATGCCTACGTCATCGATCAATGCCGCCCTTCCAAATCAATAGACCACCTTCGCCCACCTCGATGCCCATAACTGAAGGAGCTCGCAACCTGAGTCGCCTCCGTCCTGCACTATTCAGCGATCAGACCGCCCCTTTTGTTCCACGCGGAAAACCCAACGTGCTCTGCTCCTGAAAGCCCCGCCGGAGGCCTTCCCCTTCTAGCGGAGGAAAGGATTACCGCGTCGGCTTTGATTGTCCTTTTGCCGTCATCTCCCCCGCTGCAACGGGCTAGCCCCTCCTTTAGCTGTGAGCCCCCGAAGGGGAAAGGGCCGCCGCCGCTAGCCCACCGGCGGCGGCGCCGAGAATGGCAACCACGTGGGGTTCCAGCCTCGTCCAGCTCTTCCGGGATCGTCGTGTCTACGTTAAGACCGCGGTCCGAAAATGAATTGTCGGCGCCGAAAGACGAGGTCGGCGGACGATCGGAGATGGAGAAGGGAGAGTTCGAGTGCTGGAGTGAGGAGGCGGCTGGAGGCGGTAGGGAGACAATTGATCGCTCTGCATCCTGGTTGGGCCCATCTCTGTAATTGGGTCAGTTAGATCAATTTCCGAGCCCAGTAAATTGATTTTAAGATAAATTTCGAAGGATTGAACTGGTCTATAATCATTATCTGGGCCAATATGTGGATTTGTGGTAGATATTGGGCTTCAAGTGGGCCTATCGATGGGGCCGGGCTCGGAAGCTGTTGGCGGGAAAAAAAGGAAGTGGAGAGCGTGTACGACCTCCACGCCGAGGCTGTTTCATAACTAACAAACGCGCCCCTCCTCCCCATGTCGTTGAAGGAAAGCATCGCATCATCGTCGTCGTCTTCCCATTCTTCTCCTCCGATGGAATCGCCCTTTCCTCCTCCTGCTCCTAACGCTGCTCGTGAGACTTTCCTCATGGTAAAAAGACGCTTACAATCTCGTCGTGTTCTTATTCTAGTGGTGGTGCCGATGTGTGCATGGAGATATAACGGTAGATTTCCATGTTGTTTCTTCTGATAGCTCCTGGCTTCGGCTGTTAGAAGGTGCAGATTGTCGGAGGGACTCTGCAGGCTGTCGATCTTTCTCAAGGGCGTGTACGCTTCTGATTCCCCTTCCATCAAATTCTCCGGTAAGAAAAAATGAATGTCAGCGTATAACATCTGGCGACTAATTGCGGCTAAGAGATCATACCTGGGGGCGGTCTTCAGATCTTGCTTAATTTTAAAGCGTTATCGTCTAGTTACTATCTCTTTCGCTGGCCACCATTCATTTCTACAGATTTATGCATGCCGGGTAGAGAATTCTTCTCAATATTCCGTCCCGAGTTTGGTCACTGCCACTTATTTCGTAGTTTTTAACGGCGGTAGTAGTTAATCCTTATCCACCGAGCTATAGATCCGGATGGGATGGTTTGTGAAACAACGAAACTCCATCTTACTCTACTAGTGCATGCAACCAGTTTCGGACACGGGCATCGGCAGCAGTCTGGAGGATTTCCATGGTATGGATGAGCATCTCGGGAGGGTCCCTCCCTCCGCTACCGAAAAATGGGGTAATTCTAATCATCTTAGAAGTTTCCGGATCATTCGGATGTTTCTATCCTCCCCGACACACCTCGCTTGGGTGGACTGACTTGATTGGCGTCGCTATTCTGTTTTCAGATGGGATCCTGTTCGTCACAACGACATGTAAGCGAGCCTTTCCTTCTGTCATTGTTTCCTAACTGTCCCTGCCAGGAATACTAAGCTCCTCTCGTGTTTCCCAAATGCTTCTTCACTTAGATGTGATTTGCGAATAGTTTTCTGGGTCGTTCCCCCTCAGGTATCCGTGACAAAGAGGTGTACCGCTACCGGTTGAACCTGATGGAGCAGGCAGGAACGGCCGCAAGACTGACGAAGCTTCCCTCTTTGTCCAAGAACGGCAATAAATTCAGGTGCGTCCTAGAAGTTAACCTCCGTTTGTTCTAATGTCTTGTATCTGGTTTTGACTTTCTAAGGCATTTATTTTGTTGTATTTTTGGCTTCGTTTTCAGCGGGACTGAGGTGTCGGTCTCCATGTCGGTGGAGGAAGGCGTTGGTGAATTCGCAAAGTGGGTGGGCGGGCTCATCCGGAAGGTAGTGTTTTCATTTGTTCGTTCATTTTGTGGTGGTCCGGTGGAACGTAGATTTGACTTTCATCCACCAATTGCAATGTTATCGGATTCTAGTAAGCCGAATGGGAGCAGCTCCCGTATTGCATCAGATCTGGCTACAGAGCAATATACTCCAGAGACCTATTGAGTCATATTTTCTGTTAGTATAAATGAACAGCTTAACCATATAGTTAATAAGCATCCCCAGCATTGTGATCTTCAAATATTTCAGGTATATCTCAACGCTTATGCTCTTTTGTTTCTTTTTGTAGGTTTCAATATTAAGGATTCCTGTAAGTTTTCTATGTTTTTCCTTGTATTTACATTTATTTCCAACTGTGACATGTTTTGATTCATGTTGAAGTTAGAAATAGTTCAACTATATCAGCTATCATGGTTTCTGTATAGTCCCTCACCCCCAAATGCCATCTCCACTTTCATGAATTATATGCATTCTGTTCTGACAAATGTTTGTCACTTTTTGCAGTTTTACATATTCTTGCTTTTTCATCGAAAATCTTCGTAGAGACAACCTATCATATCCAGCCATATTAGATGATCCAAACCAAGTTTAGTGTTATATGTCCGACAGTTTAGGTAAAAATATTCCAAAATTAAGATCCATGGTCTCTGAAGCTCTTACTAATCGCCATTGCGTTTTGGTGAACGCTGGGCTGACATTGTATCACCGTTGTATGCGGTAATATCTACCAGATATCCAGTTAACTATCGATCCAGGGGCTTATCCTGTCCATATGGTCTTCAATAAACCCTGTCGTCGTGGAATCTTAAAACTGAATTACCGGGGAATCCAAAATCTGAGTGCCTATAAGGTGACCCCAAACCTATCATCTATGGTCGAATATTTGGAGATATTTCTTTTGAGGTTTGTGAGGAACGAATTCCTTTGGTGCTTTCCCTCCATGATGGGTTCTCTCATGGTGAGGCTTGCGATAAACTTTAGGGCTCTTCGTCCAGTAAGGTTTTCTTTTATTTTCCGTAATCACTCCCGCAGCGTTTCTAAGACTATTTTCCTCCGGACCTTTTATCTTCAATGCTCTTCTTATCTTGTTCTCATTAGATAACCATTCTGTATATGGACCCATGTTGTCCACATTAGAACCAGTAGAGAAACAATTCCAATATTTTGCTTCATGTTCTATATGTGATCATATTGGTTTTTCTAGTGATTGCTTCTTTATTCTATTCCACTCTTGTGGGACATCAGCGACATCAGGTTGACTACACTCGAATCTCAAAAGTTCGGCATGTGTCTCTTTGGACTTCCAGCAGAACATCAACCTTCAATGACCTTGGTCAAGTAGTTTATATAGACAAGGTTGTGAATAATGGAGATGGAATGAAGAGGGCCATGCTTGATGTTTCCTCACTGTACTTGTATGAACGGCATCTTTCTTCTATTTTCGATAAGTTTGTCTGTCTTAAAAGGAAATCACTTGTTCTTACTTATGCCAGCAATGATAGTAGCAGGCATTAGTGTGTCAGATCTTTAATTAGAAAGAAAGTATTATGTTTACATTGGCAGAGCGACTGAAGCTGAACGTAGACAATGAATTTAACTCCACAGACGCTTTTACCTGGATACCACACCGACCCTGGAAAGTATAAGAGCTGATATCAATTTACTTTTGATAATTCAATAGTATTTTTTGCACCGTCATGTTGTGTTTTTCCTAAATACCACACTAACTCATAGTATTTTTCCTAAATGTTGTGTTATTTATTCTCTTGCTATAGAAGTGCTGCCGGAAAAGTAATCTGTTTGATTTTCTTGGTTGTTTCAGATAATCGCATTTCAGCTTAAAAGCGAGGACATAAACATTTACGGTTCAAATTATGAAAGTATTCCCATGGAAATCCGTACTCTTCAACCACTTCCAAGTTCCAACATTGAACGTCTGATTTCTGGTCTTGAAGATTATGTTCGTAGGCACGGAAATGTGTTAGGGAAGATGTGCCAGTCTTGCTTCTCAAGTGGGTAAGGTCTAACTTTTCGACACTACATGTGATAAGTTTTATTTTCATAAAAATTCTTTAATATTTTTAGTAACTTTAACCAAAATGACACTCTAATTTTTATTTTCGAGCATGTAGTCTAAAAGTTGTAAAATCGCCGCCTTCTATGAACCTATTCTACTAGTCTATGCTTTATTAGTTGGACCTGTCACAACCTTCATCTTCTTTCAAGATATGGCATGATTTTCTTAACTCAGGAGAATGACTTCAAAATTTTCATTTCCTGGTATGCCTTTTCTGATACATTTACATGATGGCGGGTATTCAGAGTCTGCCAAATAGCTCATAACTCTCCGGGGAGCATTGGGAAACATTTGGCTCTACTTCAGGCTTATCGAATGTCTTGACACTCATTTGTAGAGAAAACTTCATGGTCGGAAGTGGGGTCGCTAGCAGCACAAGAAAAAGACAAATCGTAGAGGTGGTTATACTATTCGCTCAAGTACCTGATTCATCGGAGAGCTCCTGCTCGTGGGCATCCTACATAAAAAACAAGGTCTCATTTACTGACGCCTTTATTTCTTTTATAGTCATACAGCGGTTAATTTTTCCAAAGGATCTAAATATGCCTGAAATATCTCAGTTCAGCCTGCTGCTCGGTGTTTTTTCCCCTCAGAAGAACTGGAGATAAACTAGACAACTGATCTTTTGCAGGTATTATATTTTCGCGACTATTTAGCTTACCCAGTCCCCGAACCGGCCTGGCACGCATTGGGGAGCACCGACTGGGAGAGCTATGGGCTCAGCCTGGGCCGAGATCCTCTTGACGAGGACGGCCACACATCTCTTAAATGTGAGACCTTGCCGCCATCTGTGAAGATCATTATTGCCATCCATTGCTACTGGAAACAATATCCTCCATACATATTTCTTCCCAACTCGTGGGAATCACATTTCTTCTTCACACCACAAGCAACACTAATCCCTTGACCAGGAATAAGGTTTTGCCACTACAAGCACTCCAGGGGAGTGGAGTCGACAAGAATCTCGTGAAAAGAGCTGTGAAGTCCGGATTGGACAATCTGAAGATGAAGCATAGAGGCGTTTTCCTTGGCCCTCGTGCTCTCAAGGTAAATGCTCTTTCTCTGGACAACTACATGGGTATCCGTGTCAATGAGCTGCATAAGCCTGGACGGCCCAGTCCAGAATTTTTGGCTTGGCCAGTACAGAAACAAATATGGGCTGGGCTGTATTGACTGGTCGATGATCTTTTTCCACCGTCCACCAAACCTTGATCTCTCCAGATCCAGAAGTACGTCCCGGATCTCTCCAGAGCCCTCGCGGGTCTGATCCTGTCGTCCAATGATCGAGACTTCCAGAACGAGTGCGCCTTGCTGCTCGGCCTGGACCCGCTGGACGTTGGTGTCGAAGGCAAGGTCGAGTGGTGCATCCGAGAGAAGGTCACCAGGGTTGTGGAGACGAGCGGCGGAAAGGAGCCCAAAGAGGGCGCTCCCTGCCTTTTTGAATGCCAAGGCCCCGCAGAAGCGAACTAAAACGACGCAGATGGAGCACCAGACGAGTACCCTTCCATCTACTTCTGAGGTACCTTCACTGGACTCTTCCTCATATAATTCTCGCTTCATAGCAAGTTGGGGGGACAAATCTGTAATGATATATTTCAGCGACAAGGACATTCCTATTTGTGAAAATGCCGTCCCCCATGGTCGGCAAACCTACTCAGAGGCAGACAGAGACGAGCGGGCTCATGGGTCTTGAGGAAATAAAACTTGGAAATTCCAGATAGACTCCTGAACGGCCTTTAGACCGAGGCCAAGACATTACATTCGACCTGAAGAGGCGAAGCACCTCTTCCTTTACGGTCTTAGGCGGCGGAGGGGACCGTGACCAAGGGCACGGAGGTTTCTTGCAGGGGCAGGTCGACGGGGGCCCTGGACAAGGACGCCTCCGCCTCTGGGGCCTCATCTGCGGGGTTGAAGTCCAGCGACTCGTCGTTGTAGATGTCCCACCACTTGGCCACCAGCATCTTGATGTCCTCCCGATCCATGTTGGCTTCCTTCCCCGTGTATCTCCACGGTTTGGAACCCTAGCGCAGCGCAGCACATAAGACCCAAGTCAACACCGAGGTCTCCGTTTTATTATGTAGGGTTACTGAGAGTGGTTATTCTTGGGGGATGAGGAGGAAGACGGATGCTTACGGCGGCGCAATAGTGGACGACTTTGACTTTCTCGAGCTCGACGTTCTCGGGGTGGCGCCACAGCATGGCCAAGACCAAGTTGTACGTCAGGGGGATGGGCTTGTAAATCTTCTCGAAGAAGAAGTTCAGGAAATCCTGCCGAGGGCCACACAACCAAGCTCTCAGTCAAGGCTTTCCGAAGTAGGAAATAGCATCCTTCATTGACCCCACCCACCGCCGTTGTTCATAGGGGTCGAGGATTGACAAGATAATGATCAAATCCAACGACGAAAGAGAGAGATAACAATAATAATAATAATAATAATAATAAGAAGAAGAAGAAGAAGAAGAAGAAGAAGAAGCAGAAGAGAGAGAGAGAGAGAGGTACCTGCTCAGCGAAGGGAGTGGGGGGGGTGACCTTGACGGTCTCGAGGAGGCTGTCGCAGGTCAAACGGCTGGGCTCAAAGACGAACATGCCGGCGTTGAAGTAGAGAGAGGGAGGGCTGCCCATGTCGGCGGGCCACGTCACCTTGTCCGGGCACTGCTGGCAGTACCCGATGGAGTACTGCCGCGAGTGGCTCCACGTCTTCTCGCAGAAGCAGTCCATAACGGCGTAGAAGTAGCCGTCGGGGTTGTCGAACAGGTGGTCGACGTTCTCGTACACCTGGATGTCCGCGTCCAGGTACACCATCTTGCTGTACTCCTCGAACTGCACCCACCTCATCGTCAGCCTCCCCCAATCATGCCAAAAAAAAAAGAAAAGTTCTCCCACCCCCCCACGTTAACTTTAAAGCCATGCAGAAGAAGCCCGTACATATATGTTATATACTCACATTCCAGATGCGGAGCTTGGAGTAGTTGAGGACGTAGTAGGCCATGGCGAACTGGGTTTGACTATCTGGGGGGTAGACGGGCTCGATCTCGCGAATGACGCAGCCCTGCGAGCGGAGCAGTTGGCGGTGCTCCTCCGGCACATCCGGCAGCGCCGCCACCACCAGCGGGTACGCGCTCTTCACCTTCCGCAGCCCCTTGGCCAACCCCACCACCCCCTTCACGTAGTCCCCGCTACCCGCGAGGAAGGTCACATACGCCTTCTTCGAGTACCCCCCCTTCCCCGCCGGCAGCTTCCCGGCGAAGGCCTCGGCCGGCACCACTGGGGCCATCGGATCTCTCTCTCTCACACACACCCCCTCTCTCTCTCTCTCTCTCTCTCTCTCTCTCTCTCTCCCCGCTTCTCCTCGTCCTCGTCGCCCCAACTCCACACACAGCATGGGAGGCTCCCCGCCCTCATCTATATAGCCCTCCGATGGGGCAAAATGCGAGTGAAATGAAGCCCAAATGCGAACCAAAAAAACTCACCGAAGAACGTTCTCGGGCCCTCCGATCCGTCCCTTTCAGGCTCTGAAAACTGTTACTAGTTGAACAGTGAAATCAACTGTATGTAACCCGTGAATGAACTTGCTCGAATCATATAAAATTGAACCAGAGTCTGTGGCCTTGGTCTGCGACCCTGGAGCTCACTCGGGCGTTGAATGTAATTCGGGATTTTCCTCCAAGACGTTAAATTTGGCCGCGAGACACAAAACTTCCTTATCCTGTGGCGTTTACTGGGGAAGCGAACGAGTGGGCAAGGCCTGTCCCTTCTCGGGCCGCGGAGATCCTTCGAGATCTTTACCGAGATGAGTGGCCGAGGTGGCTCGTGTGCATAGATCGGCAGTGAGCTCTACCGCCGGTTTGCCACATCCATCAAAAAGAACCTTCCCTTTCCTACCCTACTATTTTCGAGAGAGAGAGAGAGATGCTCCCTTCTATTAAACCAGCCCTTGTGGAGTCTAAAGGGTGTATTCCTTCAGATCGATCAGTTTCTTCTGCAACCGATTCCTCATAATCATTTGAATCGGGCCTAATGAAGGCGTATATGCCTCATAATCATATGTGATCGCTTGCATACGTCGAAAATATTTTCCCTAAATCGGAATCGGAGGTTATGGATGGACCTTAGGCTTTGGTCAACACAAAGAAAGATTTGATGGTCCCACGTCCCATCATCCCCTCCCTCCTCTTCATCTCGTCGCATCAAGAAAAAGACGTGTTGTACAGAAAGCCAGCCCATCGGTTCATCCTTTATTCTCTATTATCGCCGGCACGAGGACGACCAAATTCTTCGGCAAGCGTGTGCGTCAGTTTCCTCCTACCTGGTTAGCGTCCCGTAGACCGGGGTCAGACAGTCACCACCGAACGGAGGCGGCACAAGAATTAGAGCTGCGCAGCAAGGAGATGATTAGGCTTCTTCAGCCATGAAACACATGAGGCTTTGGCTCGCCCTGGTGAGAAGAGAGAGAGAGAGAGAGAGAGAGAGAGGGAGAGGTTTAGACAACGAACGTGACTCTTGGGTAACGTAGCAGGGCCGTCTGGATGCCGACTTCCGTGTCACATAGCCGAAAGAAAGCTCCAGAAGGCGATGATGCCTCTGAACGACTTCAATACCGGAGTCGTCTCTGTGAAAAAATCTGATAGATATGTCACCCTCTTATTGTCACTCTACACAACCGTCCGCATACGGCTCCTCTCAATTATTTCCAAGTAAAAAAAAATATAAAAAAACGTGACTGAATTAGTGGGAGACGATGGTTCTGGCCCCACCGTCCATCTCTCTCTCTCTCTCTCTCTCTCTCTCTCTCTGGATTTTGGGGGGGTGAGGGGGCTGTGATTGGGTCACGCGGGAAGAAAATACAATATGGTTTTGCCTCTCTCCTCCACCCCCATCGCCCTCGCGGTGGACAGCGATTTGAATGGGCCATCCCTCGACGAGATCGTAATTTTAAAAAATGCAAACACGACAAAGAGTTAAAAAAAAAGTCTCCGAAGATAATAAATATCATAAAATAAATAAACTCCCATATTCCCTTGATATGAAGCGTCTCCATCGCCGTAAAAAATATCTTGATTCCACTAGCATGATGTTAATGGGCCATATCACTCCAAAGTTTGTCTTATTCTTTCCGGGCCCTGGTACACCGACAAGCCCGATAACGAATATAGCAACTGGCTTCCGGTGGTTCATATCCAAAGCTGGGGCCCTCATAGTTGGGAGGGGAGTGTAGGCTACAAGGACAACCTTTTTATCATAATAGATCGTAACCGACACAACCATATGCTATGGAACATGAGTGGAAGACATTTCAAGAAACTCCGCTCTCCTTGGGGTCCAACTCACTGGCAAGCGAAACCGATGAAAACCGTCCCCACCATGGGAAAACAAGCCAACCAGAGGGAAACTCCAACCCTACCTCAAGGTCCTTGTGTATCATCTGAAATCAAGAATGTAGGAAGGCGGTGAATATTGTCATCTTCATTAGCTAAAACTCCACTTGTCAAGGCCTCAAAACATCATACAACCGAGAAAAGCTCAATCACACTGAGAACTCCAGATCCACATCCTTTCAATAGTGAAGCCAGGGAAATTTACTGACTGGTATCTTATCCACAGAGATCTCAGTCGTCATCAGCCCATAGAGAAAAAGAACACGTGACTCCTTGGGGTCCAACTCTAGAAAGAGAACAAAGCATCTTCTTTGTCCTAGTACTCAATGAAGAGGGGACAAATTAGTCTATAAAGTCAGCACCATGAGAAGCCAAATATCATATTTGTACAACCTTATCATTCTTCATTGCATTAATTTCTCTTATTTTTCTGTTTTCTAAATTAAATTTGGTAATCTTAGGTTTGTAGAAATTATTTGTGTAGAGTCAAGGTAAGGTAGGGGTGTCCCCCTAAAACTCTCTATAGAAATTCTAACTATTCCCCAATGAGTATTTATGTCTTTTGAGATTTTTAGTCTTGAATGTTTATGAACTTTTTAGTTTTTTTTTCCTTACATCTGTCGTAATAGACCTTTTAACCTACGAACATCCACCATTATGATTTTTTTTCCATCTCATTTTTGTTTCATTTCTTTATAGGGATTTTACTCATGAAGTTTATATGACTCTTCCACCTAGCTATGAAGGACAACTAAAATATTGTGTGTGCGTTCAAGAAGCCTTTATATGGACTTCAATAATCTCCTTATGCCTAGTTTAGGAGATTTACTGAGGAAATTAAATTATCACTAGAATAATTCTCATCACACTCTATTTTTTATACATTCTTCATTAGGGAGAGTTATTGTTCTTTTAGTCTATGTCGATAATATCATCATTATATGGAGTAATGTAATTAAATGAGAACACCTTAGTCAATGTCTAGCAAATGAAATTAATATCAAAACTTTAGGCTGCCTTATGTAGTTTCTAGGAATTCAAGTTGTTGACTCATCCAATAGTTTCATATCCCAATGGAAGAATGTTACATATATTTTGAAGGATATTGAAAAATCTATGTGTGAACTAGTGAGTACTCATATTGATCCTAATCACAAATTATGTATAGCTGAAGAGGGAAAATCTATAGATTAAGAAATGTATCAATGTTTCATTAGAAGACTAATCTAGCACTCATCAGACCTAACATTTCTTATATCATTAGTCTTTTTTAGCCAATTCATACATCAGTCTAAAAAGTCTAATATCCATGCAATATATCAAGTCTTATGTTATTTGAAAAGTAATCTTAGAAAAGCCATTCTCTTCAGGTGGAGTAGTAAGATGAAGGCTGAAATGTATATAAATGCAAACTATGCAAACTATACTTCTTATAAATATGTTCATTAAAGATAAAACATATTAACTCTTAGAACTAGTTGAGGATAATCATTAAATACTTGAGTGATGCTCCTCAACTTAGTGACATCATATAATTTGACCAGCCAACAAAGTTCTCATGATTTTCCTTAGATTTTTCTATATAAAAACTCAATACAACTCTTGAGGTTGTGGAGGGGTTAAAAATATTTGTTTAGCTCTGATTAATTGTTGGAAAGTATATATAGAGAGATATAATTCAAACTCTTCTCTTTTTCCTATTATTTTACAATAATAATTATTATAAATGATTAGAAATTTAAATGATCGTAAAACCAAAATGATATATCATTGAGAAGTTAGGATGTCCTTAAAAAAAATTGATACATTGTTCTTTTAAAACACAATGTCAATATTCGAATTATATTGATTCAATCAAGACCAATAAGAATATAATATCGTTAAAGCATAACTGATAATATATATATCTTAATAAGATGATAATTTATCAATCAAATTTTATTAGAACCACCTCAAATAAAATACAATCATCAAGTTAACATATTGAATCATAATAGCAATATTTATAATCATGATTTTAGTGATTCAAGATATCAATATTAATTTTATAAATTATATTTTTAATATCTAAAAAACTATATTTGGCTAAATAAACAACATGAATTCAATTAATTAAAATGATATCAAAATTATTTGAAAGTTATGATTTAATGTCACTAGTACACAACATACTAAGTGAGCTTTTTTTATCCACATTTTACTTCTTATTATCTCACTAATTCTAATGTACTTATTGATCATTTTCATAATAATATGCAATATCATAATTTCATATGATTAAATTATTCAAATATATAGCTTCAATATATTATTTATTTTAAATATAGTTAATCAATTATAATATAAATAATATAATATTATATTAACTTATATTATATCTAAGCACTTTAATATTATAATTATATCAAATATATTATAGATTAGATATAATTCATTTTTTAATTGATCTTATGAATTTTGGCTTCATCAAAATGTCATTTAATTGATTTTCCAACAAGAGTTACTATAAAACCTCAAACTCATTAGGTTGTTACACCTTCAAATTGTAAAGTAACTCATACATGAAATTTTGAAAAGAAAATTATGATCAAACTTCTTATTGTGATACAAAAAAAGGTTCAATCAATGCACAGAATACTCAATATTCCAATCTGTAAGCCACTAAATAACATCTTATCAATGCTTATCCTTCTGATTTTCTATATTATCAATAACACTACCAAATTCGTTTTTCATTACAACAACGCATCTTAAGCAAGTGATAGCAATAGAGAAGAATGACACTTCAGGAGTTAATTGATTTACCTATTGTCAAATCTATAGATGGCTCTAAATAAATATTCACGATCAAACAAAATTCAACCATGAAGATCAAAAAATACAAAGCTTGACTAATTGTTAACAACTTAACAAAGACCTATGAAATTGATTATGATGAAATATTTACATCAATTGTAAATTTGAAATTGATAAGAATGTTACTGTCACTATTTGTCCAATTTAATTGAAATTGATATTAATTAGATGCTAAGAACACATTCCCAAAAGATGATTTTGATGAGAGTATTTTACCATAGAAAAGTGTTATGTGACTTGAAATAATTTCTTAAGACACAATTTGGTAGACTTTAACAAATGTTATGATTTGGCCACAGCCAAAGAAATGATGTAAATCATACACTTTTTATAAAAAGAAAATATGCATAAGATTTACAAAAAGACTATCATCAACTTCATTTACTTCAACTCTAGTCAAGTTGAAAGTGACTTGAAGGAGAGTGTTGTGAGACAAGAGAGAGATTTAATTCCAATGCTCTTGAGGGGCATTTCTTATAATATGTAAAACGTTTATTTGGCTTTTTGAACATTCTTGTAGTTTAGATGAAACCCACCCTTAACCACAAGAGACCCTATCGAATTGAATGAGTTCATTTTTTTCTATTCTCATCTCTGTCCACCATTCTCTCCATCTTACTCCACGATTCTCTTAATTCACTAAATTAGGTCATTTTTTAATGAAATGATACACTCATGCATATTAAGCTAGATCTCACAAGGATTAAATTCATCAGAAGTTATTATATATTTCTAGGAAGCAATTAGTTATGTAGAGTAAGAAGCAAACAATGGTGCCCATATCAAGTGTAGAAGTTGAATATCATATTACAACTCATATGTTAATTTACCATGACCAAAACACTACTTAGCTGACCTTTGTATTCATGTGGAGTAGCCAAAACTCGATTGTAACCACAATGTTACTATAAACATCATAAAAAATCCAAGTACAACATGACAAAATCACACATTAGAATTGGTCAACATCTCATTTAAGAGAATCTTGATGCAAACGAGTTTTACCTTCCCTATACAAGTTCAAAAGATTAAGTTCTTGATATTTTTTTTACAAAAGGACTACCATCAACCACATTCAACTCTATTCCAATCAAGTTCAACATGATTGTTATCTACTCTCAATTTCAGAGAAAGTGTTGTAATACTTGGTCAAATTATGTAATCAAAGGGTATTTTGGTCTCTCAAGATTTTGATCTTTAAAATTTTCTAGGCTTTGTGATCTTTAACATTATGTAATCAGGACATTTTAATCTACAACATCTACCGTCTAGAGAGAATGAAGTTCATATTTTTCTGCATCTCACTCATATCTCATTTCTCATCAAACTAATAAACAAAATCATAAATATTTGCGTTTGAAAAAAGAAGAAAAACTTCTAATATTGATTAACGCCATAGCTCTATTCATCATTTATAAAATAGACCATCAGCCATGCTCAAAACCCACAAACAAAGAGCTCGCCTTGAAAGGGCATTCATGACAAGATTCACCCCTTCTGCAGTGCAAAGTACAGGAGTTTTCCACAGTCTAGAGCGGGCAGCATTGTTTTTGGCTATTTATAACTGTCAATTGTTGAGCAGGAGAAGAAACCTCAGACATCTCTCTGTGGAATACAAGAGTAACATACTGAATACAGAATAAACATGATAGCGGTCAATGACATCAAATAAAACATCCAACCGACTAGATCTGCTAATAGTAAAACCAGTCTAAAACTTACAGCCACAGGTGTGTAGCCCGTTTATTGGAGAAAGCAGGTACTGCTGTATATACTGGTCAAAAACGGCTGAACACAGTTATACGATGCTCAGAAGGCAGTCATTATTGATGTAATGTACATACAGCATCCTCTTCAAACAAAATATACATGCATTTATGATGCTTCAGCAACTTGGCCAACCGGTGCATCTCCAGTGCTCCCTGTCAGTTTTGCTTTCTTCATTTCGTAATCTTTTATAGCAGCCTTAATCGCATCTTCTGCAAGCATGCTGCAGTGAAGTTTCACTGGAGGGAGTGAAAGATGTTTTGCAATGTCGCTGCAACATCAAAAAACAGCTTTTTTTAATTTTTAAACTAAGCATTTTTAACAATTAGACAGTAAATAAATCAATCACTGCCAACGCTAAAACTGGAAATGTTACATCTCCTAGATGCAAGTCAAACTGAAAATATCAAAATATCTATGAACTCACGTGGGTCTATCCCCCTGTTCTGGTTGATCATGGGTTTACTTGTAAATAATATCAAGCAGAAATTTGCAGCCTAAAACTTGAGAAAATCAAGCTTCTCCGAGATTTTATTTTATTTGTTGAGAAAGATACACAAGCTTTCACCGGCGAAGAACTTCCACGGAATCACTTGACCATACAGCTGCAGAGAGGTTTCGATAACCCATGTGCCTCTATAAAACCGTGCTCCATTATTTTCCATTCACACAACCTCTAAATCAGACGACTTGATCCATTTGGGTGAAGATAACTACTCAATGATGCCAGCTTCCAATAGTTTACATTTGATCCATTAAAAGTCCCAGCTGATTGGCCCTCCCACAGTTATTCTCTAAAATTAACAGCAAAAAAATAAATAGCACAAACCACATTAAAATCTATCGTGAAATTTTTGAAATAAAATGGAAAAAATCCTATAATGAACGAAGTATCAACTATTCGTTGCTTATCATTTTCTCCACACCAAAGGCACAGCTCATACAGAATCCTCAAGCAACAGCATCTACAACTAGATAATGAGACTGAAGGCTATCAATTTCTCAAAGGGCCTAGGGCGTATTCAATTCTTTATCAATCGTGACAAAATCGAATCTACGTTTGTGTTACCGATAGTTTTGGCTCTCCTATGCACATTCATTCCAAAAGTAAGATACGGAGGAGAAATGTAAATAATAAAAATAAGAGAAGAGGAGGCTCACGTATTCTTAATGGATAGCACCTCCTCCATTTGCTTCCCTTTCACCCACTCGGTAGCTGCAGAATATAATACATAATTAATCGTATGTTATACGCTCGACCATATAATCAAATAAATCGATGGAAATAACGGTACCACAAACACAAAAGATAAAAATCCAAAAATGGGCAGACACATTGCTACGGGACCCTGATACGAGATAAAGCTAAAGCTACATATCAATCTCCGAGGGATAAGGGTGAGCTTGAACCAGCATCCATCAGAAAATCAAAATATAAAGAAAATAATCCTCCATCACGGCACCCAAGACCTAACCCTAACAAAGAGTAAAAGAATAAGAAGACGGAAAGGTGCGACCGGCAGACGATGATAGAGGGGAAAAGTACGACGGCCCTAGCAGCAAAGCTGAAAGATGATACGGCAGCGGCTCCTTGAGGTAGGCGGGTAGCATCCACTCGTGCATACCTACGGAGGAGGAGGCTATGGCGGAACCGCAACCGAAGGTCTTGAAGCAGGCGTCGACGATCTTTCCGGTGTTCTCGTCGACCTTGATCTGGAGCTTCATCACATCCCCGCAGGCCGGGGCGCCCACCAGTCCCGTCCCCACCGTCGGGTCATTCTTGTCGAAGGAGCCCACGTTCCGCGGGTTGTTGTAATGGTCCACTACCCTCTCGTGGTACCCCCTCAACCCCACGCCGGACCCAAGGGCGGCGGAGGCCCTATTCCCCAGCCCTAGCAGGCCGGCCACCGCTCTCCTGCCCCCGACGCCTGGCAGCATGGTTCCTCCTCCACCGTCTCCCCTTCCCGTTCCTTCCCCGCCTCTCCTCTTTTCCTGGAGATTGGAAGACACCAGGTTCAGCAGAGGAAATAAAATCGGGAATCCCACGATGCTTATATATGTAGAGAGAGAAAGGCGGCGTCGATTGCAAACAAAAGGTCGGTCCAACGGACGAGATGATAAGACCACGGAAAAAGTGGACCCCACATCCCCAATAATGGCAGTGCGGGTCCCACAACATTTTTCTCAGTCTATTTGACCTGGGCACGCAAGCAGACGGTTGATCACCCATTCCATAACCCCAGCCATCGATCCCGTGATGGAGCGGCGCCCACGTGGGACGGACTGGGATTTTATCTTATTTTGTAATAAAAAACTAATTAAAAAATACATCCCAGCTCCTGAGGACTGGGTCTTTGAAATGAGGAAATCTCAGACCAATGAAGCAAACATATATATTAAAACGTTTATTTTATAACAATTTCTGAAAGAAGAAAAAATTCAGATGTCCACATCGGATCGACTCATTCACTCAGGAGGAGGGCAGCATCAGTTGACCGAGACTCGTTTGCCGGGAAGAGAAGAAGAAGAAGAAAGAAAAAAACAGAGACAGTCGGAGAGAATCACAGGACTTTGCTTGCATAAGGCAGAGATAAAGTACCACAATGGCGGCTAAGATTAGAACAGAAGATGCCAGAGACCCATAGACTTGCCCCACATCAGATCCCTTCTGTTTCTATTTATGTGGATATGTGATAAGCAGATCCTCGTCAATGGTGCTGTCACTCGAATTACAGACAATATTCACAGCTATACAGAACACCGGTGGCCGTCTCACCTGGTCAAACAACGGGCGGCAGCTCGATTCATTCAGTTGGATCGGAAGACAAAACCCGTCTTCTGAGAATCGCCCCTGCGAGAGTGGAGATCGGGTCATGAAAATTCGGAAAAATGTACATATCTTCCGTCAAATGATGATGGAGCAAAGAGAGAAGGGGAAGGCGAAGAGAGAGAAAGAAATTGGTTCAGTTCGTCTCTCTGAGCTGGCCCGTCAAGTCAAGCCCACAATTCTGATATCAAAGGAGGAGGCATAATGACAGAAAATGAAGGTTTCTGTGCGTGAGGTTTACGCACTGTTTAGGCTATTATTCCACTGGGTTGTATAGAACCCTAAAGCAGGGTTCAATGATACATCTCATTGCTTCCTATTGCGAGCTAAACAGAGAGTGTAACTTCTCTCCAAGGTCAACTGTAATCTCTTCAAAAGCAACAAATACGGCGCTAAATAGAAAATATCATACAAAATTATCAAAAGAATAAGAAACTTAAGAGACGATATCATGAGCTCGGCCAAATAAAAAAAAGATGTGAATTATTAGATTTGTTCACCTGATCAACGCCATACAGAATCCTCCCTCATAAGATATATATCCAGCACAAGGAGTAGTACGTTTATTTGACCATGAGATCCAGTTTCATCTCTTTGGTGTAGTGATCCTGAGACAAACAAGCATAAGGTGCTTCTTCTCATCTTTACAGATTAAAATAAATAAATAAATAAATGTTAAACAGATTTAAAAATCAGGGTAAGCACCTGATAGAAAGAACGATGAAATCATCGCCAATACTGAGCCCATCTATGGATGGTCTCCACCATTTGTGGAAACAATGCACTGACGCTTTCATTGATAAGGTCTTGAAAAAAATGTACAGCATGCTCATCGTCCAAATCCAACCGAAATTTCTCTTGAAGCTGGTAGGATGAGAAATTTGTTGAGCCTAAGAGTGATTGGGGTCATGCAGAAGGAACTAAACTTAGAAAAGCAGTCACCTTCAGGATGCCCTTTTCGGGTTCAGAGGCTATATCGGGGATGTTTGAACCAGCCATCAAGTGGAACAGATTTAGTATGAGATTGCTGGATTTCCGAAGAATGTTATATGCCTCACAACAGTAAGACTTGAACCTTGTATAATATTGGCTGTAAAAGAAGAGACAGAATCATATAGACAAGTGTCAAGGCATTAGATGCTGGAAACTGTAATATCATGGCTCTTGAAAATCGAATATGGAAAGTTGATAAGTGCACCACCATATTAAATCCCACGTTAGTTAGTCCATGCTTTGAGTGTCAAAAAAATAAGAAACAAAATTAGAAAACTCTTTATCACTCCAATTAGATGAGAGAGATAAATGCATCATTGCAAGGGTGTAGAGATCCGACGATTCGGGTTTACTGCTTCCTAATTCTCTGTAAGCAAAATATATGTCCCTAGCTCAATGTCGAAGACCTGATTCCCGCAAGTTTCTCCGTTGCATTGACAAGTTCTCTGAAACCAAATTAAATGTTGTTTGCAAGAACAAATGAAACATGCAAAGCTTTGGCAAAATTTGACCCAATGTCTTCTTGATGCCAACCATTCACAAGGTCATGCATGGTTCAGGTCTTTACACAGCCAATGTTCCCATCGAAAATTCCAAGATTACACAACAGATTGCTACCTTTGAAATTTTCCGAATACATTGCGGAGATCCAATGACATTATTCATATGAACCAATACAACGAAGATTGTAACTTGATATATGAACCGAGCATCATTTAGACATTTTGGAACAACACAACGTGCAAAAAATGCGTAAAAAAAATAAAATTGTATTAGCTTTGAAGCTAAAAAACCAGAATCTTCAAAACGTCCGTAATATTATTCATAGGTTTTCTACTTTGTTAACACATTCTAAACAACCACTAAACCGTTTCAAGAATAATATGGCAGGTACTAATTGGGCGTATGGGCGAAATCCAGAAGCTCAAATGTCACAAAGGAAAGCAACTTATAAGCCTCTGTCATCTGGATTTTCATCAGCAAAATGAGAACCGTGAGATCAGCGCGTCGCTAGGAAGTCAAGAGTTATTTTCCGGATAATCCAAAATTAACAACATTTTTTCTTCAGCAGCTGTGCACACAAGTCCAGCACTTACAGCTGGTGGAAGAGAGGCAGACAGATATTGACACACAGACAGACAGACAGTCGAGCGAGAGGATACACCAAAAATGAAATACCACAAATAATCCATAACAAAATGTGTAATGAATACTTTCCAAGAAGCATTGAGTTGTAGAAATAAAACGTCCAAAAAGGTATAGATCTGAAATAACCTTTCAGCACCACCCATGGCCTCCACCATTTCTTTGCAAAGCTTCATTGGTGGTGGAAATGGCTTGGGATCCCGGCCCAGAATAAAACCAAAGTCAACATGGAAGAGTCGTCCATCATCCCTAAGAAGAAGGTTATCCAGATGCCTGGGAGGAAGAAATGCAAGCAATCGTCCAACATAAAAACAAAATCGGAAGAAATAGGAGTTCGAAACACTTTTCCACAAACCATCTAAGAATAAAGCATGATTCAAAAAACTCATGGAAATAAAGCTGCGGTAAAAATCTGCATGTCGAGGAGACTAGGAAATAAGTCGAAATAATTGGAAAATATTAAACTAAAAATAAGGTTACCTGTCACCAATACCAAGAATGTACGTGATAACAGAATAGCCTGCGCAACTTTTTATGAAAGTCTCAAGACATACTGCCGTAATCCCAAACGGCCCATCATCATCTGGATGGAACTTTTGAAGGTAGTTGACAATGCCACGGTGCTCTGATAAAATCTAAAGAGAAAAATTGTCATACTACTCTCCTTTATACTTGCCTTTGTCCATTACACAGAAGAAAATAGTAATAAACGAGATTGTGTACGATTCATAGAATCAGATCATCTGAGAGAATAAAAGTTACATGTTCGCAAAAGAGAGATCTATGACCAAGTAAATTAACACATAGCAAGACAGGGACAGAGAATGACAATGATGTGGTGCAACAAAATATGTAATTCCAGAGAACCTGCCACGATATTAATCTTCTAAGAGAAATTAACTAGCAGGACAGCCTATGAGGATTTGTTTCACATACTGCCTTTTATAACTTGTTTTCACGAACTCATGTTGTAATTAATGTGCACACATTTTAAAGTTACATAAAAAGCAGGAAAATTAAAAAAATTACTCAATAACATTTTTAAATAATTCCAATAAAGAAGATACTGCCTTTGTTAGATCACTTACTATCCAACAGTCGGGAAAAATTGTTTTTATCAAGTTTACACACAAAACTGAGGAACTTATTCTACCCTTGCTCTGTTCTTTTCAATCAATAGTAGATTCATCCGTTTACGTTTGTTTGACTAATGGCTGAAAATTTCATTTATGATATGATAAAACAATAAGCTATTTCTTGTTCTTAGAGTAGTTAAGTTGTTGTTTTAGCTACGAAACCATGAATATAAACAACGAAGTAGTCGGTCAGCCCAACTCAGAATGTTTTTCACCAGACCTGAACAATCCGTAAAGGAGTGTTTTCACACTCTAATCACTAGAGCACATCAAATGTAAATGTCCGAGGCACGATTTAGGGTTTGGCCTACGCTAAACCAAGCAGTTATGGGTGAACAGTAAGTTTTCATATAACTGTACAACATATTCTAGTATGCAATCTTAAATAAACTACATGCTTCTGCAGGTCTATGGGACCTTTCTCCTATTATAAGTGTACATAGACATTTATTCACTTCAACTGATGATTTGCAGAACCTGCAATCTTCAAACATGCAAATCAATTTGTCACTCAGTGACAACAACTAATTAATGCAGGATTCATTTACCTGTGCTAATGAACTGGAAGGTACAAACTCAAGCATCCCCTCATCTTGTCCAGTCGCTAACACTCTATATGGGGTTAAATGCAAGTCAAGATTTTCTGACTTAAGCAAGCGATCCATAAGAGATACCATCTGAACCACCTGAAAAACTCATGATAACAAAAGCGATGTTCGCCTATCAACATATTAATTCTAGGGGGAAAAAGATTCAATACCAAAAAAAAGCTCAGTTAGCAAATCCGCAGGATTTTAGTTAGTTTTCTCCTTGAGACTATTAAAGAACATGCCAAGGTGTTTCCCAAACATTTGTCGAAAAGGCATATGGAGATGATAGCATCATCATGAATTAAATGTTAACAATTAGCAGAATACCAATTGATCTTGCCGGATATCATCTCCCTTCTTGAACATTATTTTACAGCGTCCACCAGTAGCTGTTTGGAATGACAGACGAAGAGGATTCAATGCACTTTTGAAAATTGATGACTCTTCGGGCACAATCCCAGTAATGAGTACATCTGGTGCTAGAGGTAAGCGAATTGGCTGCATGAACCAGAACAAAGAGAAAAGGTAAGGTCAAAACTTTAACTAAATCACATGCAGTAGTCACATCCAACGACAGAAAATATGTAACGGTAAATTTATATTCACCTCTTCAAAATAGGTAAGCTCACTATGAAGACCGGAGAGCAGCTGCCTTAGCTTTTCAATTTTTCTTTGTGTCCCCCCCCGCACACCTTTCACATCCCTCATAATTGTGCATAGCTGTGCTGTCAAACCAGTCTGGCGTATTAAACTTTCCCATAATCTGATTCCATCTTCATCTTCATCACTACCTGCCAACTGATCAAAGGAAAGTGCCCATGAAATCTGATAATCATGCAATATAATGAGCTCAAATAGAAAAGTTGTGATATGCTTGTCCTATCTTTGTATCCTAAAAATATCAAAATATCCTGAATTGGGAACTTAATTTCCAAAACTTCTTTCCTTCGTAGAATTTTGTCTGCATATATCAGTTCCGAGCAGCGACTCATTCATCTTTCTCCAATTTACTTCTAGCAACTTTTTAACTATAGAGGACAGATTTCCGCCAGGAGCTTACCCAGTACAATGATTTATCGACTCAGCTCGACTCAGGCCAGTTCATGGGGGAAATGGCGATAAACCAAAACACAGTGGCAGTGGTAGTTCTTCTTCCTCTTTCTTTAACTTTTTCTTCACTTCTCTTCTTCCATGTTACACTGCATAATGGCAAGAAGGCCCACAAACTGACCAAAAACGTTCAAAGGGTCCTGACCCAGTTGAAACCCGAAAACATGAGCGGCAGACTGATAGAGTCCAAGCTGACTTTATTTTCAAGACTTCTGGGATAACCCTATGTTTAGTTCACCCAACATGGTTTGATGCTGACCATACTCTAACATGACAATTAGGTTCGCCCTGGGCATTTTCTGGAACGGGGTTGCTCGCCTCTTCCCTAAATGACTTCCATGGAAACTAGCATCCAACTCTGAAGTAACCCTCTCAACTGTGACCATGATCCATAAAGCATGATTGGGCAGCCAGATTCTGAACCAGTCGGACCCATAAAACATGAATGGTGACCTTGGCATGATCTGATCCATAAAACAGATTCTGATCCATAAAACATGATCTGATTCTGACCCAGTCGGATCAAATAAATCAGCCGATTGATTATGTCAAGAGAACCCTTCACTTCTATTATCGCCAGTTCGCAAGTCATACACCCCCCAAACTCTTGGCATAGTCAAGGTCAGATCAGGAACAAATGGTGACCTAGATCTACACCGAGATACAATTGCACATGTTCCTCCTTCAGCAGAATACTCCTTTCAATGCGTACCATCCTTAGGTTCATTAGATGTCGACGTGAATCCTGAAGTGATTAAAGATTTGAAATGTTTTCTGTTTTTGGGAAGGTTTCACTACCCAGATCCTCTCAACTTTCAATTCGGTCGGTTATCAGAATTTTTTTTATCAACTTTCACCTCCTCAGACACCCTTTTTCCATCTCCCCTTGGGGGGTATCTCTTTTTCCTAAGGTTTTTTAATTCTACTATTTTAAAATTTATGTATTCATATCTCGTTTTTAGATATTAAAAATGTTAATTTGAATAAATTTTTTTCATCTTTTTTCCGAGGTAAAGCTACATAAAAAAACACTGAAAGCAATTTCAACCAGGGCTGAAAATTTTTCAGTGGAGATATGGCCCAAAGATAAACAGGAAAAAACGTCTCCAGTTGCAAATAACATTGAAAGACTGAGCATTCTGCAAGAAAGAAGACAAAGTGCCATAATGGCATTAAGGAGCATGGTGCTCAATAGGCAGGCAAACAAATGCACACGAAAAAGGCATCCAATGGCTGAAAGGTCTGTGTTTTTCATATATAGAGCCGCCAGAACTGTGAAGATATGATGCAATCAGCAAAATGACGATAAAATCTCACCAACGATACAGCACACGGCAAAATACAGAAGCAAGGAACCGAAAAAATAAAGATCTAAGAGGATCCAAAACAGGATAAAAAGATTCTTACTTTCTTCATATGGTCTTCTAGTATTTCGTGTGTACAATGAAAACGTTTTGCATAGGCAGGATCTTGAAACTCCACAGTTAGATACCAACGAAAGAAGCTAGCTATTTCGATATTGTGTACCGCTGTCAAAAAAGTAAAAATATTTTAGAAACTCCAAGTATAATATTAAGAGGAGAATTTTCATTGACTAAATGGCAATACAAGAATTCAATACTGCACTTCTCCCATATGAATTAAGAGCATCCTCTGACAAGTACTGTAGGCCATAGCATACGTGCATGGTCTCTAATTAAACTCAACAATTAGAAGCAGCGTGCAGTGGCAAGATTAAACATTTCACCAAGTTTGACTTGTGACTTTAGGTCAAACATTTCACCAAGATTCCCAATTTGTACTAAGAAAAAACGCTCGACACCCTTGAGAAAACCAGTGGCAAGAAGCTTATAGGAAAGAAAAATAAGCTAATGCATTTTAATTAATCAGAGATAGAATGGTAAATCATACATACAGCGCTGTACTAGGAAAAGTGACAAGCGGGACTTATCAGAACGTTCAAATCGAAGTGCTTGAACAAGCTGTAGTAAGTAACACCGAAGCTCTTCATCATCAGCTCTTTCAAGGACACTTACAGCATAAGCACGAACCTGTGCAACAAATCAAAGTCAGAAAGTTATAAACATAAATACAGGATCTCGGTGAAATAAGAATGGCTAAGACATGATAGAATATACGAGTGCTTCAACAACAAAAGAAAAAACAAGACACGCATGCACCCAAAGACAGGTAATAAAATATTCACAGAATTCCATACAACCAAAACTCTGTAGTGATGAAAGAAAAAGCGTTGGTGAAAAGAATAATGGTTTAGCATGCAAAGACGCCCCAAGATGTATCCCTTATGGTTCTCAACAAACCAAATGGCTAAAATGGAATTCATCTCAACCATAGAAATATCAACATAGCCTAAGTAGATATGTGAATGACGGATTATTTCCTCGTAAACTCGGTTTACAAATACAGAAACATAAGTATATCTACGTCCCATATAAATCCATATCTATAAAATTATAAAAAGGTCAATGAAACGCTTCAAAAGCACATAGTTTTTACTTCTGCAAGAACAACTATTCGAGAAATCCAGCAATGACTAGATGTTCTCAATTGTGCCTAATCGTAGGAAATAAACTCCAGCTATCCATAATATTTGATTACAGCAAAGTCAAACTGAAGAAAATGGTGTACTAGGGTAAGGCATAGTGTAGCGTTTTCTAAGACACTGAAGGCTACATGACCTCCCACAAAAAGTGGGCAGATACTCTCTCATGTCTTCCTCTCTTCATCTGATTAAGAATCATATACTCCCGAAAATACAGAATTGGTCCATCCTCGAAAAACTAAATGTTTTAGAAAAACAGCCAATACGGCTGCACACCATATCTGCAACAAACTTATTCCATGTGACTAACCCATACACTCCAATGTCTCTATCCATCTCCACAAGAAACTTATTCCAAGCATATCCGAAATCTAACAAAACATCCCATTATGACTTCCCCTCAACAAACTTCCAGTATTTGATTCAACTTATCTTCGAGTGCGATATAAAAATAAGTGCATAAAGATTTGTCCTTAATGCAATCTCGTCTTAAATTTTCCATGGAAGTGACATCACCCCTCAAAGTACATAAATTTTTTGAGACCACTCTCTGGCAGATTTTTTTTATATATTCAATTTATCTCCTCATTTCTCTCAAATCACCGCATTCAGTATACTGAACAATAAAGATTCAAGGGAATAAAGAAATTTCTGTCGTGAAAAAAAACTCTCTGACTTTGGTTCTGAAACATCACCTATTCTAACACTTCGTGCAATGCTTACCCCAAGCCATCTTTCGCAGCTTTTTCTCCGATGTAGACCGAGTGATGAACAAAACCGTCACAAGATCATAGCAAGGATTATTCGTGAATATCAAAAAAGCATATTTAAAACCAAGATCTCCTCGAAAGTAAGCCCCCATAAATCATTCCATAAAAATTGAAAGCAAATATCCGCAGAAACAAAGCAAATATCTTATTAACCATATTCTGTGTTGCCAGAGGGAGGGGGGAAAGAATGATATCACAAAAATTTAAGTGCAGTGATCAGAATGAAGTGAGATATTTGGCTTCAGAAACTAAATGTTTTATACTACGAGATTCATAGTTTAAGGATAAAAAAGAAACTTCTCATGAATCATCCAAGAATTGCTAGCTTACTGGTTCCCCTTTCTTTTCAGTCATCGGTTAACTCAAGATCAATTTCATATTTAACAAGAGACAGTACGCGAGTATAATATCTGCACTGATGTACGCAAGCTAAGTCGTAGGATTCCATAAAGTACCTCAAACTTTCGCGAATAATGATGACATTTATAAACAAGAAACACCAACAGATCTGGCTAACATCGCAAAACGCAAAAGGGCACCTGCGAAGTAAAAATTTTTAATACGCAGAATCAGATGCTGACCTCTTCACTCTCAAAAACCGGAGAGAGGAGCTCAAGTGCATCAGTGACATCAATCATTTCCCACCTTCCCATCAGTTCTACCGCCTGCTTTGCCTCCTGTAACGAATTAACAGATTAATCATTTGTTTCTGAGTATTCAGAAGTCAAGAAAGCAATAAAGCAAGCCCACTTATTCAGGGAAAATAAAACTCAATCAAACAGAAATATAAAACTCCAGTAATCCATATGCAAATAACCAGTATGTATTCTTAACTTTCTACGACCCCAAAAGACACGCACAAACTTCAAAGGTACCACAAAGCTATTGGTTTCGAACCAGATACACATATCTAATGATACAAAAATTGCGGATCAGGACAAAGCAAGTCCAACTAGTATCAGATTCTATAAGTCAGATCAAGTCAAGCCAAGATGGGAAACCTTTGCACACTTTGTCAAGTTATAGATTCATATCCTTCTTCGTTATTTTGACTTTATTCCTAAACTGTGTACTTTCCATTTCGAAGAAACAGTTGAAGTAACAACACAAAAGTTTTCCTTTAGACGAAATATTGTAGGAAATTGGAGATTTATGATATGGGCAAAGGTATATGAAAGATACTGACAATCAACTGAGCGCTAGTACATAAAGAGAAGTCTGACCTGAGCATCACTCCACTCAACACTTCGGAGAAACTTCGTGAGGGCCTTCTTGTCAGAAATTAAGGAGAAACGAAACTTCCACAGTAGTTGCCTCTCTTCTCCACTTAGAGTGCGGGTGGGAGGGTACTTCAGAATCCTTTGTATTGATCTTCAATCACAGTGCGAGATTATGAGAGAAGTTTATTTTCAATTAAGGGTTGTGATATAAATAGAGCATTTCAATGATACTATCAAAACTAGTTTATACAAAGGTTTGTTATATTTTCACCACAACAAACGTAATATTCATAAATAGAGGGCTAAAAATCTTGCAAACAGTGAACGCTTGTCAAATAAATGGGAAACCTTAATTATCCTAAAAAAACTAAATGCCATTAGCAACAGAAATGCATTCGTAATGTAACCAAACGCCTAAAAGACAATCATCAGAAAAAGAGAGATCCAAAGTTGAAAGGTCAGATGATTGATTCTAAACCAAACTGGGTACAAACATTGAATTATATACCATTTTTAGGGAAGCCTCATTTACAGTAAAGTTGAACAAATGAATACGAAAAGTGGAGCTTGAACATACTTCCAATCATTACTGCTTGGTTTTAAATCCATATCTATAATCCCGCGCGTCAAACTTCTGGCGAGCTTTAGTTGCTTGTTCTCAGAAGGATTACTTTTCCCCACTTCAGGATCCCAGACCGTCACAAGTTCATTTGACGAAGATACAGATGATGGGAAGAAATAGTTAACTCCCGACTCCTGAAATCCAATGTAACGTTTTTTTTTCTTTCAGATGTAACACACAGAAAATTCTACATAATTTAAACATAGAAACTCAAAAAAAATACATTCACCAAAAAGCAACCATATTAGAAATATAAGCCGGTGATCGTTCAATAAACTCAGATGATCCAAAACGTCACTCATCAATATCAAACCATTCAGTTTCGGCATGAGATAATGACTTAAATTTTTTTCCCAAATCCTGAGGTCTATTTTTTAAAATTTAAGACGTAAAAAATTAGGTTAGAAGATGAAACAGTGATGCATTTATCAAAATAAGTAATTTTAGACCGGCGTTTGTGGGAGTAATGGGCAAGCTATTTATTCTTTGGCAAAGTGTTCACCTGAACATATGCGGTTTATAAAAGTCAAATATGTTAACTCATTTTGGAACAGTAGACAAGGAATTACAGCTGCACAGTTAAGGCTTTAGGCATAAGAACAGGTACAATTTTAGCCTTTAATAACCGTTCTGCCATTACTAGTATGCTCTTACTTTCTCGGATTCAAACTGAGGGGGGGGAGAGAGAGTAGCAGTAATGCTATCTTAATTGTGAAACCCAAAGACAAATTGGGAAGCAAAAAAAATGATTATTCTAACTTTACCTTAGGATATGCTAAATATTGAAGACATGGAAAATTCTGGATTAGTCAAGAAATTGTCTCCGTGGATAAACATACAAAATATGAGATAACTTTTCACAAAGATCTAACACGTTCCCGTCAAAGATGCATGCCTAAACAAATAATTCACCGAAAAAGTCGGTCGTGGGTAACTATTGTATAGGGTAGCGATTCATATGGTTCTTTTAGGCGTTTTATTTACTATCTACACTCAACACCAACCAGCCTATTCAATAATCATCTTGCAGTATCTAACACTTGAACAAACCCAATTTGTAGATAAGGTAAACTGACTGAACAAGTCTAACCAGCATAAAATGGATTTTCTCTTTGACAAGCAGCGATCCATTTTTAAACTATTTATTCTCAACATGCAAGAAGAGGAATGCTCGTAGATCACATGCCTGGCATTACTTGGGGATGAGTTTTTGACAATGTATTTTGGATACTGTTGGAGCCACGCTGGTAACTCATGTTATACTAAACTTGTAATTGATTGAGATAAAAAATAGATATTCGTGGAAGACAAGTTCTCGCTATGCATTGACATACCTATGTACCAAATGAAACTGCTGGGACAATCTATTTTCCCCAAGCCTGCTTTCCTCACTGCTCTTTGGATTTATAGGCCATGCTCTGCGCTGATATCCCTATTCCCACTTTTTTTCCTTTTCTTCGTCCCAGTCTACTAGTCGTTCATCAGGATTAGGTTTATAATAAGCATCTGTCTAGACTAAATCCAACCTATGACATCAAATTAAAAGGGTTGGTCATAGGAAATTACCAAAAGGCATTGCCTACATTTGATCCACAAAACAAACTCAGAGATCAACAGACTTATTGCCGCATAGAAACTGAAAGGTAGTAAAGCAAACTTGGCAATCTTTTGTGGGATTCATTCATCGAAAGTGTTTTGCATTCACATGTAGGAAATGATCTACTAATCTGCAGTCATGTGCAAACATGCATTTACACACTAAAAATATTTCATTAGATTCATGCATGTGTTCAGGACACAAAGCTAAAGTTTAGCAATACAGTATTAACTAAAACGTATCAGGTGTAAACATAAAATAAAACCCGTTGTAGAAAATAGGAGGCTATCATTAAACATTTAAGAACGATTCCAGCACGCACCAGGCATATCTATGATAAGAGTAATGATCAAACAACAACCACTGGTAAGCACTGACCTGAAAAACCACTCTGTGTTCAAAACTACAGAAGTCAACTATCAGACTCAAGTGCGAATTCCCCAATCTAGAATTTTCCCTCTCCATAACTTTCTCCATAGCCCTAAAGGCCAGATTGTCCAACCAATCAATTCGTTGAATCTGACCTCTTTCATATTTATTAATAAGATTTTCAATGCGCTCCAGCTCCCCACGCTCATGTCTTGGAACCTAATCGAATCGAGAAAAAGAACTCGGTGAATTTTTGTCTTTTCAGAAGAAAATATCCAGTCCTAATACAGATTCGGCACATGTAACTTAGTTTAGGCATTAGAAACAGATTAGATAAATATAATAATATAATTATTGAAGCAAACCTTTCCAGGTGTTGTAGTTGGATATGACCCATCTGCTTCTTTTTCTAGCCAAAGCCGAAGCTTCTGTTTTCCAGTCTTAAGTTGCTTTTTGTTATTAAAAAGATGAACAGTTGCTCCACCAACAGGAACCTTCCCCTTGCCACGCGATACGTCCCAAACCTGCGTACGAACCCAATGCCTTCATGAAGAAATCCAAATAATTTAACTATTCATAGGTCCAGGATGGATGGAACATTTCAGCCAGAATATCAAACAAATACAAAGCAGAAACCAGACAACCGTCCACACTACATCTCATTCCCTATTAAGAATAGTACAACAGATCATATTACATGGATACTACAACAATCAGCGTTCTCACTGTAAATATGCATTAAAAAAAATAAACGATTCAGAACAGAGGGTCCTGCGTATCTCAGAAAAAAATACTTTTTATATTTTTTTTCAGATGGACCAAATAAAAGAGGAGCTGGACAGGAAAAAATAACGATATGCCACTTCTTTCTTCTCCCTTTTTTCAGCAGGCGTTCCCTTAAAAACAGCAGTCCGACGGAAAAAAGAACAGCATGATACTTTTCGGTTCACTGACAGAATGGCAGGTGAAGAGGTTCCACATAACTGGGGCATGAACACACATTTCCAGAGAAGTAGACCAGACCGTAATTAAAGGTTGACAAAATTGCTGCATTCGTGATAACACCATAAACATCTAACTTACAGTTAATGCAAGCTGTGAATGGGCAGTCAAGTCCCGATATTTGGTGCTCAGTGTGATAAGCTCATTCCAACAGTATGGCTGTCCTGAAGATTCTAACCTGGTCTTTCAGGTAAATGCTAGAAATTACACGAGTTGAAATGATAAACAGAAACGGAATGGAATTCTGATTCAGGGACAACGATCTAATTAAACATCAATTTTCCAAGAGCGTAAAATGGATGCCACCTTGTTCGCGTGGGTAGTCCAAACAGAGAACCGTCGAGGTACAATGCACACTCAACAAACAACTCCGCGCTTCTGCCCTCGGATAACGAACCAGATTCTAAGGAGAAAAAACAAAAAACAAACGTTGTGACTGTCAATTTGTATTTTTCAAGAAGAAAACATAAACACCCGGCTGGTGCCTCGCAACGAGAGATATATACACAATGGATACGACTTCTCAAAGTGAGACTAAGACCTCCACAATCCAAACCCCGGAGCCCAGGGGCGAGCTAGGGCAGAGAGATTGATCTGCCACTCGTCTCGCCTGAATTGTCAATTTAAAAAATCGAAAACACCACGAAGAATTTCCCCAGAACACCGCTAACTTTTCACCGGAGCCGGTCCCCATCACCAAATGGAGCCAACAGCAAGGAAGAAGGGACGAGGCGAGGAAGAACAACGGGGAGAGGAAGCCCGATGTGGTCGCCAGTTTACCTGGGGGAGAAACGGAAGGCTGCTGCAAGTTTCCTTCCAACCGATCGATCCGGAATGTCACCGGGAGATTGATATCGCAGGAGAGGAAGAACCTGAATTCGTTCCCGCTCATCTTCGTTCACGATTGAACCCCCCCGAGGAACTCCCCTCCGTCACTGTCCAACCCCGTCCCCCCCTTCGCCGAGCTCAGGTGCTCATTCTGCCGCTGGAACGGATGCAAGCAACTTCATTCCTGTTCAGTCACGTAGGCAACGGGGACAAGTACGAACTTCTTCTACCCACGTTTCCTCGCCCCCTTTCTACGCCATACTTAACATTAATTCGAATTAAATATTGATGAGTATTCATCCCATCTTATTATATTAAATACGATATTAATATTAAATGTTTTTATCCGAACTATTCGAATAACATGAATATTAATCCCGATAAAAAAAAATTATATTCCGTTTGATAAATAGTATTATTTTGGGACTTATTAATGTAGCTAATTTTCCTTTTCATGGGTTAGCTTGAAGCCCGCGCCGGGAAACAAAACCAAAACCGGCATTAACACCCCGCCCCCGGATTCAACTGGTGGAAATCTACAAAGTCAACCAGCTTGGCTTAGTCGAACGCAGATCGTTGACTAATCATTGCCCCAGAGATAGTTCGACCAGTTTTTCTCAGCGCTTTAAAGTCGACTAAAAGTCTTCACTTAATCTCCCCTAAATGGAATTTGACGTTGAGCCGCAAACTGTTGACCCTCGTCAATCGTCCCTGAGATCTCCACCTGGACTGGACTTTGGTAAAGTGGCAGCTCGACCTATCGAGGGATCGAGGATCGACCTGGTTCAAATGTAGATAGCTCATGGCCAGGTCAGCAGTAGAGCGTATGATCGGACTTTGGAGGTGTGGTGCCGGCCACGGGGATAGACAGACAACAGCTGGCTTCTGTCGTCCTCCTCGAAGAAGAAGATGCTGGCTGGTTGGCGGGGCTCCGCCCGCGAGAAGGTGAGAGGGGACGGCTTCCGTCGTCGTTGTCGTTCTTCTCCTCCTGAGGAGGAGAAGAGGGGGTGTGGAGAGGAGAAGAGACGGGGTGAAGGATCGAAGATGACATATTTGAGAGAATATGAATCAATACACAGTCCTCATGGTGGCAGACGGGGTCGGAAATGATCAAGACGACCTCGCATATGCACACACGGCGGCGGCGGCAGCGGCCGCGGCGGAGGGAGGTCAGCAGGATTCGAGCTCGGACATGGGGCGGCTGGTGATCGGCTTCCCCGTCTGGAGGCAGTCGATGGGGGGCACTGCGGGGGTGAGAAGCTCTCCGAAGGTCTGCCAGCAGAAGGGGTTGTACATGTGGTAGCGCTCTTGTAGGGGGCGGAGCTCGATGTTGGTGAGGCGAATGTCCGAGCAGGGAAGGCTGTCGCTGCAGGCGAAGTGCACCGGCTTCACCGTGTAGGTCCCCTTGATGTTCTCGTAGGAGATGCCGGAGAGCGCCACTGCCGCCGTCTGGTTCCTGCACGTCGTCCGGTCGCAGTAGTACTGGTCGATCACAATCGGCGTCTGCACCTCCATCATCCTTATCCCCGAGAACTTCACGTTCTGCACCGACCCCGACCCTCCCTGCTCCGTCCATCAACCCCCCAGCCATCAACACCACAACCATTGCCAACGACCACTTCCAGTAGGTAGAGCGAGAGAGAGAGAGAGAGAGAGATTGGAGAGGGATCACCTGCCAGGTCTTGATCCTGACGCCGGTCATGGTGCCCTGCATGGCAACGTTCTGGACGGTTATGTTGGAGACGCAGGCCTTGGTGTCATCCCTTCCGAGCCCTCCGATGCTGATCCCGTGTCCGGGCCCGCAGTTCACGCTGTGAATGTTCACGTTCGAGCACCCCGTTTGTATGGACACGCAGTCGTCTCCTGCATTCACAGCGCCCGCATGTGAGCCTCCCTTGTCCTACTCACTGCGGACGAGCTGCAACCCCATCTCTCTCTCTCTCTGATTTTCTTCCTCTCTCTTTCTACCTCTAGGGGAGGGGAGTTACCGCAGCTGAGGTCGGTGTGGTGGATGGAGACGTCCCGGGAGTTCTGCAGGTGGATGCCGTCAGTGTTGATGCTGTTGCCGGGGGAGGAGATGGACATGTTGAAGACCTCCACGCCGGCGCAGTTGTCGAACTTGAGGTGGCACTGCGGGCTGTTCTGGATAGTGATCCCGGTCACCGTCACGCCCACGCTGCCGTAGAACCTCAGCGCCTGAGCCACACGAGCTTCCCCATCAGGAACTCGGCTGAATTCGCCGGGGAGGAGGAAGAAGGAAACGCAGCTTACCGTCGGTTTTATGTGCGGCAATGTCCCGAACAGTGAACCGGCAATCTGTAAACAGCGGAGGGGAAGGAAAACGGTCGTCGTTAGGGAATGGCCAGCGCCGGCGATGGAGCTTGGAAGAAGGAAGGAGAGCTGGGGGGCTTACAGGTTCATATTCGAATTGGGATTGGCTCCACCAGACGGCGCCGTGGCCCTCGATGACGCCCTTCCCTTTGATGGTGATGCCCTTCAGCTTGGTGAACTCCAGCCACTGGAGCAGGCCGGTGCCCCACGCCTTGGAGCTCGTCGGCGCGACGACGGTGCCGTCCAACTGCAGCAGAAGACGACCACGAAGAAGAAGATCGACGTGGTTAGACTGCGGCGAAAGCCTTCCTTCCTTCCCCCTCAGGAGATCCTTCGAGGTCGAAGGTTACCTGGAAGACGATGTTGGGCTGGCAGTAGGGGCCGGAGAAGGAGATGGGGCCGAGCAGGAACTCGTAGTCGGACGGCACCAAGACAGTTGATCCCTCCACCTTGCAGGCGGCGGCCCACGCCGCCATGAAAGCCTGCGGATGAAGAAAACCCGCTCAGCTTTCCGCCGGAGCTCACCAGATATTCCCACCAAAATTCGAATTTTTCTCCGTCGTCGTCTCGATTTACTGGGAGATTAAATAATCCGCCTCATCCTCGCCACCTTCCGAAACTCCTGGCCATAAAAACCACGGACAGGAACATGGCCTTTTTACATGGGAATGACCATTTTGCCCTCCACGTCTCTCCGCCTGTCTCAGGGTGCAGAGGCTCCTCCGGCGGCCGGAACAGAGCCACCCGCATTGCCCACCAAGACTCTCCGAGGCGGCAATGGTAGGCTCCCTCTCTCTCTCTCTCTCCCTCGATAGCTATACAGGGATAGAAAAAGAGGAAAGAATATCTGAAAACAGAGTGAGGAGGAAGAGCGCGAAATCCTGCTCGGGGTCACGTCCGAGGAACCTACATTGCCGCTCTCGCATCGCAGAATGCAGTTGCCGAGATACCCGGAGGAGGAAACTGCGACAGGTCTCTCATTCTCTCTCCAGATACCAGCCTATGATGGAAGAGGAAGACAGCGAGAGAGAGAGAGAGAGGATGAAGCAGAGGGGAGACGAGAGCCACCTTAGTGTCCTCTGCGACACCGTCGCCCTTAGCGCCGAAGTCCAGAACGTCGAACACGTTGTGCCCGCCGGAGCGGCTTGCCGGCGACGGGGCAGGGGATGGCTTGGCCGTCGGAGCAGGGGATGGCTTCGCCGCCGGAGAGGGGCCGGGACTCGGCGCCGGCGAGGGGCCGGGACTCGGCGCCAGCGAGGGGCTGGGAGGGAGGAGTGGCGGCGCCGCCTTGGGCTTCTTGCTCGAGCCAGACCCGCTGCCGCCATGGTGATGGCTCTTCCCTCTGCCCCTCTTCCTTGCCAGGAAGGAGGAGGAGATCCTGCTGACTCTCCAGTGCTTGCCTCGCCTGGCATTGCATGGCCCGAAGCTGCTGCCCATCAAGAGGAAGAGCAAGAGGAGCGCCACCACGAGGCCCTTCAACCCGAAGCTTCCCATCTTCCTTTCTCTCCCCCTGCTCCTCTGCCTGTTCCTTGTGCGTGGGCGGGAGCAGGGTCTCTTCTTGTGGCTCAGCCGTGAGTGACAGACTGGTGGCCTTGTTTAAGTAGGACGTAAACCAACCTCTATTTCTCCCTCTCTCTCTCTCTCTCTCTCTCTCTCCCCGCATCTATACCCAGAACCCACGGTACCCCACTGGAGTCTGTAATCAACCCAAGGACCGCATTCCCTCTCTCTATCTCTCTCTCCCTCTCTAGGGCCCAGGAGACTGTAAGCAACCAGAGGACTGCACTGCCTCTCTCTCTCTCTCTCTCTAGGGCCCAGGAGACTGTAAGCAACCCAAGGACAGCGTAACCTGTATTTCTCTCACTCTCTCTCCATTTCTCTATATATCTCCATTTTTCAAAAGCATTACGTGTCTCGGCTATGCATACAGTTAATGCGTAGAGAAAAATACTCCGAAAAGGATAAAAAGAAGGGGTGGAAAAGCGCTTTTGAGTGGCTCTTGCTCGGAATTCATTCTTGTCCTTCATTCCCTCTCCTCGCCCTTCTCCTGTGATGGATGGTTGGGAGGAGACCCCTGTACCCTCGAGCGTACGTCTCCTCGCGTAGAGGAAGCAATTCCTCCCCCCCCAAACAGATTCGGGGTTATGGATTCTGCTACGCCGCCGGCCCCTCAAATAATGATAATAATAATATATCCACGGCGGAGGGGCACACGTGACCGGATGGGTCCCACGACAACCACTGATTGGAACAACTCCTCTGGTCACATGCGACCGTTCACGGGTGGGTTAGAAACGCTCGCCCCACGCCCCCCCCCCCCCCTGTCCTCTCCAACGGCCACCTCACAGCCACTAAATAATTCCAAGAAGCCCCCTACCCGAAAACACAGTACCACCTAGCTACGAATAACTTTCAAATAATTGTGTAAAACTCACTCCCTCTCCCTCCTTGAGGAAAAGTTTTATTTTTATTCGGGGTTTTCTACGAAATATTTGCAAAGAGGGGGAGGTCTTGTGGCGTCCACACAAAAGTCGGCGGCCACACATTGCCCATCGGGTGGTCCACGTGGCGCGCGCTGGAATTGCGGATCGATCCTCGGAATGAGAGAGCGAGTCACGTGACGGGCGTGTCACGGATTCTTCGGACTTTCACTGGTTTTTTCCGACTCGCACGTGCAACGCGTGTCCCCCTCGATATGGTCGGATCCTATTAGAACCGTCATACCGATGCGGGATCCGAAACCCCCCCCCCGGCGTGTCACGTGAAGCCGGCCCCTTCCCTCAATCACGGGATTCCTTACGTCCTAATTTCTCGCGAATATATACATATTTATAGAATAATTAATCGAGTTAATGAAAATCGAATAAGTAAATAATAATTATGTTAATTATGTTAACGATGTCAGGTCAAGTTAAGTCAGATCCAGTCGGTCTGATATCTTAGACTTTCATTTGTCTAACGATGGTCCGGGAACCCAGATGTTACTGGGCCGGGCTGCCGCTACGTGGCGCGTTGTTTCGCCATTTTATTGGGCCGGCAAATGGTGGACCCCAGTCCAAATACTTGTTTTTAGAATGACTCAAAAATATTCTCCGATAACTTGTCTGTGAGTTGGAAATCGTATGTCGTAACTGCGCAACCAGTAGTAGAAAGCCACGACCCCCACCCTCGGTCACGCTCGGCTGCTCGTCAGCGCGAGAGAGAATCTGGTAGCGCAAGAAAGTACCATAAACATCCCTAGGAAACAAGTGAACTCCACGCAAATAGTCAGGGGTGTTATTGAAATTATGTAATAGGTAATAATATTCCTTTCGAACGGAGCCTACGTGGGGAGTGTGTCCACGTGTCGGTGTGTCCACGTGTCGACGTGTGTGTCAGAGTTCGAAGCTATCGTGCGCTGTTTCCGGTTCAGTTCCGACAATCCGCTAGCGCCTGCAGGTTGTCGGATCCTCCTGTTGCCGGCCGGCGCCGCCGAGGGGAATCCCAGGTCCGTCTTTAGTTTCGACGAATGGCATTCGAACACGTAACTAGTATCGGAGTCGTCCCGGCGGACCTGAGAGCCCCGCCCCAAAATCGGATTTGATACCGTCTCGGACCTCGCAGAGAGCTTCCCCGGTGTACGGTGACGGACTGGAGATGTCCGCCGGTCTCCGACCCGACGACGTGGCCGCCGGAGACGATCGCGGAAGATCTTCTACCCTTTGAAGGGGCTGCTGCGGCGGCGCTCGGCAGCTGCTTCGGGGGACGGATCGGGAGGCACCGAGGTAATTTATTCTCTCTCTCTCTCTCTCTCTCTCTCTCTAAGGTTGGAGGAGCTGCCGGTAGGGAGTGGAGGCAGGGGAGAATGGAGAACAGACAGTATCTCTTGGTCATCGTCTCTCCTCACCCGGGGCCCATTCGGAAGGGCTTCCTCCACGACTCCATTTGTCAAAGCCCCTTTTGGCGTTGAGGGGAATAGGCCCGATCTCTGTCAAAAAGGAGGGTAGGGGCTGGGGGTAGGGAAACGGGGATCAAAAAAATGGTGTGCCATTCTATTTCTCTCGCCGTCTCCGTTCTCCCCGTGCCCTAGTTTTTCACATTTCTCATGTCTTGTTCTAAAAGGTTGTCCGGCTTCCCTGGCTGAAGCCAGAAGGGGGAAAAAGCTGCTGTCGATGGTTCCTTTTGTTTACCTGATGGTGCCGTGCCGGACTGTGTGCTTCATATGCGAGTGGGAAAGTCGCTGGCAGTACATTTCTTCTGGTTGAACATTTTTAACACGAGAAAGTGTTGCAACTGAAGGGAAATGTGATTATTTTTCCATGAACATTTAATAATTCGAAACTCTCGTAGAATTTAGGCATTATTCAATGTTTGACAGTCTCTAAATGTGTGGTTGCCACCGTGAATCAGGTTGAATACCTTCAAGCTAAACGAGTGAGCGTATCTGTGAGATAAGTGGGTATCTTCTTGTGTCGGTCTAATGGCTTCTGCTGGTGGAGCCCCTCCCCCTGCAGCTGGAAGGCTTAGTGGCAGTGCAATGTCTGTTGATAAGCTTCCGGAGGAAATTAATGAAATGAAAATTAGAGATGACAAGGTTGAGTATTTTACTTTTACGAGTTATTCAGCTGTGCTGTCCTTGAAGCTTTACTTACTTTTCCTCTCTGATGGATAGGAAATAGAAGCTGCAGTTGTCGATGGAAATGGAACTGAGACAGGCCATATTATCGTGACAACGATTGGTGGGAGAAATGGCCAACCCAAACAGGTACAAGTGGTGAAATCAAAGCTTTGGTAGACATATGCCGTAAATCGATTCCTTTGTCTTGACTGCTGATACTGTGGAAATCATATGCATATATGATATTTTCTCTGTACATAAATGTACTTGTTAGGGAGAATGTTACTTTTGTCTGCAGGGGACTGCTGGTCTCTCTCGATCCCTGTGGTTGTTGTTATAAAAAGCTACTCCGTTTTTATGAGCAATCTTTGTTGCTCATGAAAACGGAGTAGCTGTTTATAACAGACTGTCATCCATAGAGCCAAACAGAGCATGACAGCAAGGGACAACCCACCCATACAGACTGCCACGTTCTGTATCTTTGTGTCTGATTCATCACTAGAGCTTTTGAATTAATGAAGGTAGTTTCAACTAAAGTTGCTTTGGTGACCTGAATACCAGAGATTACTGGACATATTCTTCTTTTGAAGTCTAAAAAAGGGTTCTCTTTCCCATAATAATATGGTAAAGAACGCCTTCGTCACATTTGCATTAGAAGCATCAGCTCTGGGTCTTTTGGTGAATCCCGCTCTGGGTCATATTGTGAGGGCATACATCACTGTCTTAACTGAGGACTTCACTTAGCATGCAGACAGAGAAGAAGTCTTGCCAAGTAGTTGGATATTTTATTTAATGAAAGTGAACAATTTGAGTTGATTGATTTTACCTAATGGGGTTCGTGGTAGAAGCATTTGGAAGTAGACTATCATCAATGGGGCACTCTTCAATTGATAATTGGGTTTTGGACCACCTAAAATGGAATTTTTTGGTAGATGGAAGGTAATTAAGGAAAAGTGGTTTTAGCATTCGGGGAACCTTGGCCACCAGAAACACATGGTTCTGGCTGATGCTTATAGCTTTAGGTCATGTGTCAACTGTATTCAAATCAATTGAATTTTTGTAAAATTTGAACCGTTTGATGTGGTGCTGTGATTTTGATACTTTGCTTGCTTGCTCTAGAGTTATTTAACATTTTCTCTGTGCAGACGATAAGCTACATGGCTGAAAGAGTGGTGGGCCGTGGATCATTTGGAATCGTATTTCAGGTGATTTGTCTTTTATTCATTAGTGGTCATCAAGATTTGTAATTTAAATTTTTATTTGCTTGGAGTTTGAATATGCTTGGTTCATTTTCAGGCTAAATGCCTTGAAACAGGAGAAGCTGTTGCGATTAAGAAGGTGCTGCAGGACAAACGATACAAAAACCGCGAATTGCAAACTATGAGGCTCCTTGATCACCCAAATGTTGTTTCCCTCAAGCATTGTTTCTTTTCGACGACCGAGAAGGATGAGCTATACCTAAATTTGGTGCTTGAGTATGTACCTGAGACAGTGTATCGTGTTGCTAAGCACTATAGTCGGGCAAATCAGAGAATGCCAATGATATATGTCAAGCTATATACCTATCAGGTACTTGATTTTTTTTCAAATGATAATAGCTCTTTTATGCTGGATATAAGTACGCAAGCTTCATGTATTCTTCTCCATTTTGGATTCAATGTTTTCAACAGTTCTTCGCCCCTCGAATTTTTTTTGGTTAATTAGTTTCATTCAGTAAAATGTTGTTTGTCTAAGCACGGATGGTTTCACTCTTGTTAACTTAAATCTGTAATTGCAGATATTTAGAGCATTAGCCTACATCCATGGAGGTGTTGGAGTTTGTCATAGGGACATTAAACCACAAAATCTGCTGGTGAGTTTGAAATCTTCCTTACTGACATCAACACCCCCAACCCCACCCACACACACTCGCTCACGGTCTTTTTACCAAGATAGTTGCCTACTTTCTAAAATTGTTTTTCTGTAATAGGTAAATCCTCATAGTCATCAACTCAAGCTATGTGACTTCGGAAGTGCAAAAGTTTTGGTGGGTTGTTGCTCTAACTATCATTTTTTTTTTTCTTGCTGTTTCGTTTTAACTTTGAGCAGATAATATTTCTGGTGCTTCTATTTAAGCACAAATGCAGGCTGTACGAAATAGTGTAAATATATCTAGCAGATTTGACGGCCATTTCTGATGTATTTAATGACTATCAAAAGATAATTAGATCTTTCCTGCTTCATCTTTTTTTTTGACGTTTTTGTTCCTGTTCTCGCAGTTATATTGCCATATACTTCTTGAACTTTGATGCTTGATAAATTATTGAGAGCGTTGTCATATCCATTTCTCACTTGAACTGTTCTGGTAGTAGGAAGAACTGCATCAGTGCTGATCGTGATAACTACTGTTTATCTATCCATCATACATGCGTTTATCTACCCATCATAGATGCTTGTTCCAAAGAAATATTATATATGACACTGTTCTCCTTGCATAAAAAAATTATTGGATTTAATCTGAGTTGGGACTAATTGAAATCTTTTATATCAGGAAGGTCCTTCAAAATGAACAATAGCAATTGATATGTCAGTATCCCACCGAAGCTACAAAATTTCTCGGTTTTCCACGTGGAGCTGCAGTAACCCCATTCGGTGTTGCTATCCAATTAATTTTAGTTTTCTTTGCTGTATGGAAAGGAACTTGGTTTACATCAATTGTATCATTGGATTATCTGACCATATATCTGATCCTAGTCAAGGGATCTCCATTGTCTCCTGATTGCTGAGATAGTTACTTACAAGACCATCCATACTTTGATCAGACAAATATCTCAGACTGTTAATATCCATTGTTGTTGCTAACCAGTGTTTTAGTGACGCTTCTTTGTCATCTTGGAACCCAGAACTACGACCGTTATCTCCCATCTTTTTCTCCAAGAAACGAAAAGAAAAGAAAATAATGAACCTGAACCCTCCTTTCCACCCTTTCGGATTCTGCTTGTGCCAAGGATGACCAACCCTAAAAACCTAAACAGTCCGTAAGCCAATGGCTAACTTGACTCCCATACCCAGACTCACAATCTCAACCCTCTCTGTTCCTCTTCTCTTAATTAAGCGTTTAACCCGCGATTAGTGAGTTTTTTTTCTCAGCATAGTCAGACCTCAGGATAGTTGATGTCGACACAACTGTTTAACGGCTCATACCTGTCTACCTTTTTGCCAGGTTAGTAATGTAGCAGATTCGGCACAACTGTTCCATCGTGATCATATCCCACAGTCTGTACAAATTATAGGCTTGTTTCATGATAGACACCAGTTCTAATCTGGGTACAAATCTTTCCTTTTGGTCATGATTCCAGCATCTAAAAGAAGAAAGCCGTAACAAAGTTTAGAGTTGGTGGTGACATCATAAAAGAGCAGATTATCGTGTGCATTATTTGATATATCGCACATAATGGTGATTTGCAGGGCTGCCCGTGGCATATGGAAGCCAGCCTTCTAGTTTAGTTGTAGCCACTTTTTCACTTCAACCTTATCAATAAGCTAAAGAGGAGGGATTATGAGGATCTTCATAGGCTCTTCTTGAAAAGTTGGAGAAATCCTCCTTGACAATTCCATTTACTGTATGGTAGCTTTCAAATTTTGATGAGGTTGCCCGTAAAGATCCTCCAAAGGATAAATTTTTTAGTAAACTAATGATGAATTGCTAGTTTTTTATTTTTGATATTCGTATTTTTTTGTTAATGGGATATAAAACGTCTCCAAATTTGTGTCCTTTGTGTGTGATTGTTGTTTCTCTGTCATCAATAAGAAATAGTTGGAGCTTGATGTTTCACTTCTCCCCTATTATCTTTACCATCCCTTTTCTTTTCCAGGTAAAAGGTGAGCCGAACATATCATATATTTGCTCACGTTACTATCGTGCCCCAGAGCTCATATTTGGGGCAACCGAGTACACAACAGCAATTGATATATGGTCGGCGGGTTGTGTTCTTGCTGAATTACTTCTCGGACAGGTTGATTGTTAACTACAACTCTTCTAATCGTCTGTCTTTTTTCGCCCGAACTGAAATGGCGAATTTTAATTGCTTCAATGCCAGCCTTTGTTCCCCGGAGAAAGCGGAGTGGACCAGCTTGTGGAGATCATCAAGGCAAGTCATTTGGAGCCGCCACTGGTTGACTAGCTTGCAGAATAATTCTTTTTTTTTAATATATATTTTTCAGATCCTTGGCACGCCCACTCGCGAAGAAATTAAGTGCATGAACCCAAATTACACCGAGTTCAAGTTCCCACAGATCAAGGCACACCCATGGCACAAAGTACGCTCTTTAAATCTTGAATACTGCCCAAGTTTTTTTGGGTCTGGTTTTATGGTAGATATCCACCATCCTTTTTCTGTTTTCTCTCTCTCTCTCTAGATATTCCACAAACGAATGCCTCCAGAAGCTGTCGACCTTGTATCAAGACTTCTCCAGTACTCTCCAAATCTGCGGTCCACTGCTGTGAGTAGTAATCAAATCTCTGCCCTCTTAATCTGATGCAAATAGCTCGTGATAATAACTGTGCTTCCTCTTTTCACCCATCTAAATTTTTGCTAAATTTTCGTTAAAAGTTCTTTTAATATGCCGCCTGGTGCAGCTGGAGACTTGTGTCCATCCATTTTTTGATGAACTCCGCGATCCCAATGCTCGTCTCCCCAATGGGCGCCCATTACCTCCACTCTTCAACTTCAAACCTCAAGGTCTCTCTCTCTCTCTCTCTCTAAAGTGCAGGCAACTCAGGGAGACGGGTGATCTGATGTTGGGTCTCTTTTTCGTTTTCTTGTTTTCCCAGAGCTGAAGGGGGCATCGCTAGAGCTCCTAGCTAAGCTGATACCAGAGCACGCGCGGAAGCAGTGCCCTTTCCTAGGTTTCTAGCCCGGCGGAAGGTTGGGGGGGTGGTGGGTCTCATCACCGCAGGCGAAGGTAATCCCCGTTTTATCTCTTTTTTTTTTCTTTTTTTTTTTTCCTGTTGACGATCTACTGCTGTATGTAATGTGGGTCAAAACCTACGCGTCATTCCCAGTTTATGTGCGCGCCTCCACCCCATCCTACTTTCCACAGAACTGTTGACTGGTTCAAGGCGTTGCCTTTGCACTATCTTGTCCTACCTCAGTGGAAATATCCTTTCAATATTGCTTGACCTCCTCTACTGTCACCATGGATTTTCACCTTTCGATTTCTAAAAATAGGTAGTATATGACTGCAAGCAACTCCATAGCTTACCTTCTCTCCCTCTCTTCCTCTTCTCCTCTCTCCCTTCCATGAAAGCAGTGGGCTCCCACTCATGAGTAGTGGCCTCTTCTGCCCCCCCCTCTTTACACAGATTAGATGTCTGTACCAAGATCATGGTGTAATATAACAAGTTAGCATAAAAAAACAAAATGAATCTTCTTAATTTTTAAGTGATGTTTGATACTAAAAGTAAAATAAATAATAATAATAATAATATATTTATTAAATAATAATAATAAGTAATCGAGTCATCATTTATATATATAATTTATTTTGTACTATCAAAAAAGTTTGGATAACAACACATAACCAAGACTGCCCTGTTCTTGAGGGCGACGATACCTGGATGACAAATCTCCCACTCCAAGAGTAGTTCTTTACAACTGTTATCTCCCTCTCTCAAGAGCCATTCTTTCTAACTTATAGCCCTCGAGGTTTCTTGACGCCCTTCCGCCTTGATGGGACTCGATACTGATGTGATCCGTCGGTGTCGCCACCGGATCCTTCTGCCGCCCTAATCTTCTGCGCTGCAGTATCTACTATATTGTTGCCCTCGATGATGTAGCGTTCTAGTGCCTCGTCGCCTTACACTCCGCTCGGGCTGCCAGACTGTATCGAGTCCCATGCGATGATTTGTCTGAGTTGAACATTTTCGCGCCCAAGAGAGAAGGGAGGGCATTCCGTTGTGGGGTTTGGAGTTCCCAGAAGAGAGAATCGTGCGGCGATCTTCCTGAAATACGCAAAGCGTAAATGCTGTGACGAAGAAGAGTGCGATGCAGGTGAACCAAATAGTTTTGGCGGGCACTTCGAAATGTCTTTTATCACGATCGTTGTTTATCGTCGAGTTTATGTGGATATGCCGTCCATCGGGTATGCTTGGTTTCGTGATGGGTAAGGGTTTTGCCATTTTAAGCATCGTACATCGTTGCATGAATGCCTGTCGAGTCCTCTAGATGCCTATTTTTGCACTTCTTGGCCCTTTCTAGGATCATGCCACGGCTTTCTCCCCCCAAGCCTTCTGGTAACATCAGCTCGGTTTCCTGAATTTCAGAGAGAGCTCACGATTCCTGCAGAGGCTTTGCTGATTGAACACTCAAGAGAAGGTTAGGAGGCTTCAGAAAAATATCCTGCAAATGGTATACATTCTCCGTGGCTTCTAGCAGTCATTGTAGAGTCTGTCGCTGTTGCGCACTAGATCCCCGCTGTCGCTCATGATGGTTCTCTGGTTTCTGTGTTCTGAGGATTCGAAGGGTCCCTGTGAGGAGGATGACTGGGAGTGGACTGATGAGGAGGATCCGAGTCCATCTGGGAAGAAAGTACCATCGTGTCGGGCAGTAGTACCATACGCAGGATTATCTTTAGGCTCAAATGGGCCAGCAAATTCACCTTCTGCACCATCTCGCCATGAGCCAGTTTCAGAGGTTGTCAGACGCGCATATGAAGAGGTGATCTTCGGTTCTTTCTCTGGCTGAAATCAACATTAAGTTCTAAGAACGATGGCCCTTGCGGATAAAAGACTTGGTGAATTCCAGGGAAAATCATGGACGGTCTGCTCTTGATTCTTGTCTCGGTGTCTTGTCTTCCAGAATGGCGAGGTGGGGCCTTCAAGACCCAGGCTTGTTTCTCATTTTATTGAAATGGGATTCCCAGAAGAGATGGTGAATCGAGCAGTCAAAGAGCACGGTTTGTATCTTAGCAAACCGTGCTTCAGTCCCAACGCCGAAGCTTCAAACCTTTGATCTTAGCAACTTTTATCCGGATTGTATCTTTCAGGAGAAGGTGGCATGGAGGTTATTCTAGACACTCTGCTTACTTACTCAGTGAGTGGCCAGGAACTTATTGACGGACTGTTCATGGGTACCCTTGAAAGCTGTGGATCTATAATCAGCATTAAGCCCACTTCTGATTTTTCTGTATGGCATCTGTTTGATGGTATTTCTGTGCTAAAATAACAGGTTATTGAGAGATCAACTCCTGCGCTGGATAATTCCTCCTCTAAGAGTGTTTCTTCCCAGAGTGAAGGAGACATTGTTGACGAGGATACGTCCAATATGGATTCTTTTGGAGACGAGGTGCATTCTTTCTCGGGCATACGCTCATGCTATGGTTTTTAGCAGAAATTAAAGCTTCAATTATTTATCACCTCATCTCATCGTATCTGTGTTGGGAAATTTATTTCGAGAGTGCGTTTTGGTCCCTTTTCTATGTGGAATCTGCGGCTCATACTCCGTTTAGTTCTGCATACATTAAATCTTCCACAATGCGTTCTTTCTGTAATTAATGGCATCAGGGCAGGCATGTAGATGAAGATGCTCCAAATTTTTTGTCTAATAATCGAGAATTATATGTAGATACTGCTCAGAATTCCGTCCAGCTTGCATCGACATGGAATTTGCCCATTTCTGCTGCTTGCCTTTTGAGATATTCTGATAATAAAGAGACTGCATAACTTCACACTGGGGCTTCTTACATGGTTTTCGGTATCTAGAAATATTTATAAGCAGACCAGTTGGAAATTTCAATGAATTTTATCAGACCCTTCATCTGCCATCGTAAATGAGCTTCAAAATTTTGCAAATGAAGTCTTGCAGTTTTGGTTTACAGTGTGCGGGAAGTCATTAAAATCGAACAAAGTTACTAAGTTTTTCCTTCTGGTCTACATTTTCGCATGTATATTTCCAAAATCACCGTGAACTCATCCATTCAAAGTAGTTTTTTTTTCTTGCTTAATTTGGTTTCTTCCCCTATTTATTAGCTTGATGGAGATTGTGAGCTTTGATGTGATATGTGGTTGACATTTTCATATGTTATTATGCCTCAAAAAATTTCTTTTTGTCTGCCTCTCAGGAAAATGTGGAAGATTTTTCGGAGAAAGACAAGAAACTGTTGCAACTGGTGGAGATGGGATTTTTTGCAGATGACGTGTCCTCAGCGATTGACAGATGTGGTATAGTTTCACATTTTACATCGTAATCATTATTTTTTTTGCTTTTCTGTGGGTCGATCCATAAACTTCTTAATGCTTTCCTTACGTGGCTCATCCTACCAAAATGCCCTAATTGGAATCACCTCTGTGGAACACCAGCTCGACGGAATAAAGTTCACGGCTGATTGATTCATTCGTAAATTAAAATTTTCCAGTGATATCTATCTATCTATCTATTTTCCAGTGATAGATATGAAACGAAAGTACAAGGATTTTGGGGCTCCCCTCATTCTCCTAATTCGGTTCGTTAATAATCAGTATCAATGTGGTCCAGCTTTTAATCCGTTTCTGGAAATATGATTAGAAATGTATTCAGTTCTTCATATTTTCCATCTCAGATAATCTGGGCTGTGTGGGATCGAAAAACAGATAAAGGAAGCTGTAGAATGGATTATCATTTCTTTTAGTCTTTACACCAAACTGTTGGTTATGGATTCGCTTTTTTGTTTTGATTGTCTGCACACATTATTTTGCTTTGAAGAAACCGTCTGGATCAATGCCATTTTCTACGGAAATAAGTTTAGTAAACATGGAGCATATCATCAAATAACTTTAGTGCCCATTCCCGATATTGATGTTTTGATGCAGCTAATTATGTTCCTTTTAGAGTGCATGGCAGGAAATATCTGAACATCTTGCATGCTTGCGCTAATTCTCGCTTTCCCTTATTTATCGGGTGAATGAATGTTTCAATCAAATCTTCCAGTTGATTATAAAATCTACAACAACATGCTATCTTTCGCTGAATCATCTAGTTTTGATCTACTCAATCGATCTCGTTCGACCCACTTTGTGATCCGAACGCCTCCTACATCAATGCAGGTCCCGATGCTTCCTTCCTGGAACTGGCGGACTCCATTCGCGCTGCCCAGATGGCAGAGGAGTCGGATGGCTATTTGAGCCAACCGCAGGAATCATCCACGGATGAAGATGAGGTGGGGAGCTCCGGGCCTATTTCATCCCTTCCAACGATTCATCTCCGTGAGATTCCTGGTGAAAGCTTCCCTTTTTGATGCTGTAAAAGGTCAAGAAAGCTTGCTCCGACGATCCTCCGAGAGAGAAGAAGAAGAGGGTGTGGCTGCAGCAGCGGCGGCGGCGGCGGCAGCCTCCGACGAGAGCTCGCCCCAGAACCAGAGCGGAGCAGCCCACCTGCAGCCTCCCGAATCCAATGGTGGGCTTCGGCCTCCCCGCCGACCCTCAGCGGGCCACGCGTAGGGAGCTGCCGGAGGGCGCCGCCGGCCCGCCGTACTTCTACTTTGAGAACGTCGCCCTCGCGCCAAAGGGAGTCTGGGAAACCATGTCCCAGTTTCTCTACGGCGTCGAGCCCGAGTTCGTGGATTCCAAGCATTTCTGCGCCGCCGCCAGGAAGCGGGGCTACATCCACAACCTCCCCATTGACGGGAGGGACCAGCTTCATCCGGTGCCCCCGCTTAGTATCCACGAAGCCCTCCCGGCGACGAGGAAATGGTGGCCTTCCTGGGACAGGAGGACGAAGCTGAACTGCCTGCAGACGTGCACCGCCACCGCGAGGCTCACCGAGCGGATACGCGCCGCCGTCGCCGGCGCCGGCGGCGATCCGCCGGCCCCAGACGTACAGCGGTTCGTCCTCGAGGAGTGCCGGAAGTGGAATCTGGTGTGGGTGGGCCTGCATAAGGTGGCGCCTTTAGAGCCCGACGAAGTGGAGATGCTGCTGGGCTTCCCCAAGAACCACACCAGAGGCGGCGGGATAAGCAGGACCGAGCGATTCCGATCCCTCGGGAACTCCTTCCAGGTGGACACCGTGGCTTACCATCTCTCTGTGCTGAAGGCTATCTTCCCCCAGGGGCTGCGGGTGCTGTCGCTCTTCTCCGGCATAGGCGGCGCGGAGGTGGCACTTCACCGGCTGGGCATCCACCTGAAGGTCGTCGTCTCCGTGGAGATCTCGGAGGTGAATAGGAACATCGTCAGGGCTTGGTGGGCGCAGACGGAACAGGAGGGGACGTTGATCGACATAGCCGACGTGCAGGAGGTGGACGAGGAGAAGCTCAAGGAGCTGATCGGGCGATACGGCGGGTTCGACCTCGTCGTCGGCGGTAGCCCCTGCAACAACCTCTCCGGAAGCAACAGGGTGAGCAGGCATGGATTGGAGGGTTCCCACTCGTCCCTCTTCTTCGAGTATTTCCGCATCCTCGACTTCGTGAGGAGCTTCGCGCGAGGAAGAATCTGATGATTCCCACGAACTGTGGAACGATAGATCTTCCATTTTTTTGCCATTTTCTGTAAATTCTGGGAAGATACAAAATATACCGTGTTGTTTCTCAAGGTTTCTCGGAACGAGTGATCGGTCTCATCGAAGAACGGATTGAATTCCGCCGAAGCTTTGCCTGGATTCCTCACATAATTAGATTTACAAAATACGCACGCTCTTCCCATGATTGAACCTACCGGAATAAAACATATTGCATGCATCAAAATCCAATTTTTATGGTTGCAAAGCACCGACCGGACGCCCCGACTGGTCCCACTTGTCGGCACGAACACTCTCGCTCGACAATACAATAAAGGAAGGGGTGCTGTTCTTGTTCATAATGGCCACAGATTCTGCCAAAGTCAAGCTATCGATTGCTCTTCTATGTGGCCGTCGCTGGAGCAATAATTGATAACGGAGATGCGACTTTCGATTGCTGGCATCGAGTCAATCGATTTCAAGGTAACCCAGCTGAGATCGACTCCGAACTGTAGGCGATGAATAGGTGGCGTCCCACGCTGCGCAACGCCTCGACAAAATGCGTGACTCAGGAGCTCGTCACTCGATCGATGGAGAGCCGAAGCTTTTTAGAGAGGGAGTGGCAAAGCTTTTTAAGGCCACTGGAGAACAGGCAGCTTAAAAAATTCCCGCGGATTAGTTCTCCCTGGAATTTTTAAACAAAAGTCCTACGCATCAGTCAAAGCGATGATCCGTGAACATTATAATATAGATCATCCCCTCATCTTTCTTTACTACACATCGTCTGTCCTCTCTGCATAGAATAATGTTCTTGTAGTTGATCAAAGTAACATTGGCGGTAAGACCACGTTTGTTGCATCATCCCAATCTTTGTATATTTGCAAGGAGAGCCGGTGCCTGCCGACTCCCCCTCTCTCTCTCTCTCTCTGTGTAATGGGCGCGTTCGGGGTTTATAGAGGCAGGTCTCATCTTATTCAAGCCGCCAGACTCGCACCAACTGGAACGTGAATAAAATCTGAACTTGGGCTCTATCTTTTTTCTGCTCCGAAGTTGTTTAATGGGGAGGACATTGAAGGGCACATGGATGGCCGACAGCGGAAAACCTCTCAGTCGATGGCGTCTGGACACGTCTCTTCGACGCTGAACAGTCGGGGAAGGAACGGATTATGAAATGATACGTCGTTATGGTCTCGACGAGGAGGAGATTCTGCCGTGCGGAACCGGCGAATGAGGGTTTTTCCGTATTGTAAATTCGTATGATCGGGAAAGCTTCAGATTCTTCAGAATATGGTAGCGTTTTTCCGTATTTATAGAGAGCTAAAGGTTTTAGGGCTGGATCTGTCGACAAACACCGGAGGGAGATTTCTCTCTTGTCAGAACAGGATTCACAACGGAATGGGCGCTGATTCCGAAGTTCTCTGGTGCAACAAGAGAGGGAAGGAGGGAGGGAAGGAGAGAGACGGAGAGAGAGCCAGGGAGGCAATACATGCTCTCTTTGTAAGTGATGGGATCTCTGACACAAGTCATCTTTGGAAGGGCCGAAGAACATCGTAGGAAGCGTGGGATAAACCTAGGAAGAATCCGGACGATCAAGTCGTCATTAATTTATTTGCTAATGAGTACTTTCAGAGTTCAATCTTCTCGCTTTTTTCGTCGTTTCTCTCATCTTCTCATCCTCCGCTCATGAACTTCTGGGTCCGATTATACCACGGATAGGATAATGGAGTTAGTGCCTCACCGCACTTTTGACCTAAACACTTACTCGGCTCTCTCTCTCTCTCGCTCTTTCTCTCTGTCTGTGCGGTTTATTCTAAGCTTCACTTTCTTGTGGACGGACCTCGAAGACTCTAGCGGATCGTCCTTCTTCTGGATCTCTCCCCATCTCCGAGGGCTGTCACTTTGGAGAGTATCTCAGACTAGCACTCTGTGGTGTATTCTTTTCCAAGTTGCGACGGAAGGCTCGTCTTTCTCGCACTACCGTCCATTAAAGATGAGGTTTTAGGGTTCTGTGGGATAACTCATCTTCAATCCCGCACGTGTGAACGACCCAGAAAGCAACTGCAAGGACGGCATTAGTGATGAAACTTCTGTACCTCTCAAACTTTGGAGAGAGAGAGAAGGTGCGGCCGTGACCGACCACCTGCGGTCACGACAGGTTTGCTGATGGAGGAAGGGAAGACTCGTCTGAATTGGGGCAGCTCAACATCCAGATAGTCTGCACATGAAAACGAGGAGCTTCTTCCGTTCCTCAAGACCGAGGGCTTTTGCCAGGTCTACACAGAGAGAAGGGGCTGGTGCAAGGAGGGCCGACTGATACCGCGCCTGAGACTACTCATGATGGACGATGGACGTAGCGTGGATGAGTGAGTGCAGCTGTTCTAGATGACGAAGCTCATGCGGAGAGAGGAGCCAGCTGGTGCAAACCGTCTTCTCCTCCTGTAGGAGAAGCTGTAGTGCCTCTCTTTTCCGCCCAGTGGCATGCAGACGACTCTTTCGGATATGCTCTATTTCTCTCTCTTGGAGTCTAACGTGACATGGAGACAATCTCATTGTCCTCTTCCGTCCATACCGTCCCTTGTCTAGATAGAGATATGTAGGTGGAGCGAGCGAGCGTGCGAGAGAGAGAGAGAGAGATTTCTTGATATAAAATTGCCCATGATTGAATGCTGTTAGCTCTCAATGACGCGTGTAAAATATGGGCTGCTGCTTAGTAACATACAAGCAAGCAACGATATATTTACATATACTAATCGGAGCTACTGAAATTACAGGAATAATAAGTATGTTCAACTCTTCCCGGCGTTCGTCGGAAGAGATGCTATGAATATCCATGTCCAACGTCACGGAGATCTTCATGGAAACAAAAAAATAAAAGCGCCCTACAAAGGAGAAATAAATGACCATTTAAGAAAGTGACAGGTCACAGCAAGTGGTCGTCCCCAAATAATGGGGGACGATCCCTGATATTTCGTGAAACCTGTTCTCTCTCTATTTGTTTCTCTAACTCTGTACTCTCTCTCTCTAATGCACACTCACATGTTTCCTCCACGCTCTTGGTTTCCCTACAGTGAACTTTCTAATCCAGAGACTCTCCTTGTTCTGCTTTATCATTACATTAGGCTCTCTCTCTGCCTCTCTTCCTCTATCATCTATCAATCTCTCTCCCTCTTTCTTTATCCATCTCTCTTTCCCTTTCATCGAAACTCTTATTTCCATCTACCCATATCTTCGAAGCTTAATCCTACCGAGTCCAACTTTCTCTCTGACCTTCCTATCATTTCTTTCTAATTTCTCTCTGTACCTATTTCTCTTTCCCTATCACCAAAGGTCCTGTTTCCATCAACCCATCTCTGAGAAAGTTCATCCCCCCCAGAGTTCAACTTTCTCTCTGACCTTCAATAATTTCTTTCTAATTTCTCTCCGTACCTATCTCTCTTTCCCTTTCACCAAAATTCATCTTTTCATCAACTCATCTCTTTGAAAATTCATCCCCCCCCCCCCCCCTCCCCCAGTCCAAGTTTCTCTTGGACCTTCCTATCATTTTTTTTCTAATTCTCTCTCCATCAAACTCTCTTTCCCTTTCACCGAAACTTTTGTTTCCATTAATGCATCTCTTCGAAGCTTAACCCTCCCCCCCCCCGGAGTCCAACTCGATCTCTAACCTCTCTCTCTCTAGGCAATTTGGAGGTAGAAGACAGGTCGCATACGAACACTTAGCCGCCCACCTACGGCCCTTCGTCTTCCTTGCGGGGAAAATGACGGCCTCGGTATGATAATGTATGAAACTAGCCTAGAGCCTCTTCTCCATGGAGGCTGTCATCACCAACCTTGTAGGTATTCCTGTGGAAACAGGTGCACGCCAGCGCTAGAGCCCTGTCATTATCTTCTGCTAAGAGCTTCCAAAATGGTTCCGGGATTAAATCTAGTCGCGAACAGTGGCCACGAAGAGGGCTTACCTGTTAACCCATATGAGAACAGTAGTCCTAGGTTGCAAAGGGGGAGCCTCTTGTCGGTGTTGGATGGAGAAGTCCCCTTTCATCGTCAGCTTGTCTGTGTCAAATCAACGTCGCCGCGAACTGACTACTCATGTTGGTTATCGGGAGAGATCCATTTTCCGACGGCTGTCTGATTTCCACCACAATTTTCCATTGTTATTTTTTCCTCATAATAAACTCACCCTCACCCAGACGCCATGCACCAGCTCCCAGTGATGTCAGATCCGAATGCGAGGGAGAGAGAGAGTCTGGGTCCTGGTCATGGAGGGAAAACCAGTCCTGAGACGGAATAATATCCCAGTAGAGTGTACGATAGATGAAAACGGCATCTTCGATTTCTCTCTCTCTATCTCAAGGGTAGCTCGCTGTTGACGTTATGGGGGTCAAATCCTTGTACTGGAGATCCGTCCGGCAAGAAGCTAAAAGGAGGAAGGCTTTTCGGCTGACACTTGGAATCCACTCGACGCAGAGGGAAGGGAAATCGAAGAATTTGATAATTCCGGCGTCCCATAATTTCCCTTTTCGGGGAGGGATTATTCATCGCCCTCTACCGCCGATCGGACCAGTCTCTTCCACCTCGGCAGGTTCGAGCGGGCACCTGAACTGGGCTGGCTTTTGTTTTCCGCCTCGCTCTCTTCCGCCGCCGCCGCCGCCGCCGCCGCCGGCGGCGGCGGTGGGCTAGTGACGGCGACGCAAGGAAAACATATGCCTTGCCCTGGGATTTTCCTTTTTTTTTTTCTTGGAGATGACAAATTAAGGTTTTTCTCTTATTTTCTTTGGCGGGGAGATGCTCGGAGGACTTCTTCCATTCTCGGCCAAAGAGCTACGTCTCTCTCTCTCTCTCTCTACCCATATGTAGGTGCTCTGAGGGGTTATATTCTAGCTTAGTGGACGGGAACATGCAGGAACCCACTGGTCAATGGCTGCTTAGCCTGAAGTTGAATCTTGGCTGCGCTGAAACTGTTCATCTCTCCCCCCTCTTTCGAGCCCCACGAGTATTTATTTAAGGCTCCCCGGTATCAGCCTATTCCCCTCAGAAGGCCACCGCCCCCACCCCTCCTCCTTCGTTCTCTCTCTCTCTCTCCCTTCCCTTCTCTCTGAGATTTGACCGCCGACATCCGGCGTGGCTGCGCCGTCAATTCTTCCGCTTCGCCGCTGATGCAGGGAGACGCTCCTTCTGGATTGTAGCGCAGGAGAGGCCATAGCCATGGGCACCCGCTAAAATCCACGCTCCCCGCGTTCCGTCCTTCCTCGAATCTCCGCCATCTTTCCTGCGGAGAAAATATGTAACTGTTCTTCTTGGGATCTTGTTGACCTCTCTCATCCGGTGGAGATTCCGATCAGTGATTGAGAGCCCAGCGAGGTGAGATGGGTTCCCAGATTGCGAGGATCCCCCGCTGATTCTTCCCCAGCACTGCCCGATTTTTGCATCCACAGAGCTCCAGCAAGCAGCAGCATTCGCTGATCGCCGTCAACCCCCGGCTTTTTGCTTCCCTTAATATTTCCTCATTGAATTCTTACCCCCCGTCATCTTGGATTCGTTGACATTTGTAGTTCGAAGGCCGCGATTTCCCACCCCTATATCCCCCCCTCCGTCCATTTCTGTGTGATCGAGCGGCGTCCGCGCCCCACCCTCCCTCTCTGCGGCACTGGGAGATCGATCAATGGAAGAGACATTCATTCCATTCCGCGGGATCAAGAACGACCTGAAGGGCCGATTATCATGCTACAAGCAGGACTGGACTGGTGGGCTCAGAGCCGGCTACAGGTACCCCCTTTCCCTCTTTCTCTCGGTCAACGGGCGTGAAGGTTCGTCTTTTCTCTTTCTGCCTAATTCAGTCCCAAATTCCAGGATTCTGGCGCCGACGACGTACATATTCTTCGCCTCGGCGATTCCTGTCATATCCTTCGGGGAGCAACTGGAGAGGAACACAGGTATCTATCTATCTATCTGTAATTATTATACTTTTGAGTCATGTTGGTGTTAATGATCCTTCTTCTCCTTCTTCTTCTTCTTCCTGATCTGCGCAGAGGGGACGCTGACGGCTGTTCAGACGCTCGCCTCCACGGCCCTCTGCGGGATCATACACTCGATCATCGGAGGGCAGCCGCTCCTCATTCTCGGCGTGGCCGAGCCGACAGTGCTCATGTACACCTTCATGTTTGAGTTTGCCAAAGATAGGCAAGATCTGGGCCCGAAGCTCTTCCTGGCGTGGAGCGGATGGTATCGTCTTCTTCCTCCCACTTCCACCAGTCGCAGATTCAGAGATCTCCTCCTCCTCCCTCCTATCGTCATCTCACACTTTCTCTCTATGTTCCTCTCTCTCTCTTGCGATTCACAGGGTCTGCGTCTGGACGGCCCTCCTGCTCTTCATCATGGCCATTCTTGGCGCCTGCTCTATCATCAACAGATTCACCCGCGTCGCCGGCGAGTTATTCGGCCTTCTGATAGCGATGCTCTTCATGCAGCAAGCCATACGGGTAGGCCTCTCTCTCTCTCTCTCTCTCTCTCTCTCTATCTATCTATCTATCTCTCTCTTTTTCTCTCTAAGATTAGAGCAACTCCTGGCAGGGCCTCATCGACGAGTTCCGGATACCGGAGAGGGCGAACCGGGTGGAGACGCAGTTCCTGCCCTCCTGGCGCTTCGGGAACGGAATGTTCGCCGTCGTTTTGTCATTCGGTCTCCTCTTCACCGGCCTCAGGAGCCGAAAGGCCCGCTCTTGGTGCTATGGGACAGGTTTGGAAGTCAACGGCCTGTCCTCATCTTCTTCCTCCGACCCTCTTCCTGAAATCGGCCATTAAACCATAAAAATCTCCGCTTTGCTGGGAATCACAGGGTGGCTGCGAGGGTTCATCGCCGACTACGGCGTCCCCCTCATGGTGGTCGTCTGGACTGGGATCTCCTACGTTCCATTCCTGGAAGTGCCCAAGGGGATCCCCCGGCGGCTCTTCAGCCCTAATCCCTGGTCTAAAGGGGCCTACTCCAACTGGACTGTCATCACAGTAAGTGAGCTCCACCCTCTCTCTCTCTCTCTCTCTCTCTCTTAAATGGGATCTCTGATTTGGTCATCTGGGCAGGAAATGACGGACGTACCCCCTCTGTACATAGTCGGAGCTTTCATCCCTGCCACTATGATCGCCGTGCTCTACTACTTCGACCACAGCGTCGCGTCGCAGCTGGCCCAGCAGAAAGAGTTCAACCTGAAGAAACCCTCCTCGTATCACTACGACCTCCTCCTCCTGGGTTTCCTGGTCTGCGCTGTCCTTCCCATTTATGGCAATCGCAACCCCTATTAATTAGGCCGACGAATCCTACTTACCATGTTCGCATCTTCAGACCTTGCTCTGCGGGCTCATTGGGGTCCCTCCGGCGAACGGCGTCATCCCACAGTCTCCGATGCACACCAAGAGTCTGGCCACGCTCAAACACCAGGTTGCAGGGATAGATTTTCTTTCTTCTGCTGAAACCTCTATGAACGAGGACGAGCTCCCTTTCTCTAATGGCGATTGCTTCACTGAAAACAGCTGCTGCGCAACAAGCTGGCGTCTACTGCCCGCAAGAGCATCGCCCAGAACTCGAGCTTGACCCAGCTTTACGGCGACATGCAGGAAGCCTACAACCAGATGCAGACGCCGCTGGTTCACCAGCCAACGACCTTGGTGAGTAAAAGCCATGTAGGATTTTGGATTCATCTCTGGAGTTACTTGACGTTGGTTGCTGTTCTTCAGGGTCTGAAGGAGCTGAAGGAGTCAACGATCCAGATGGCTTCGAGCTCCGGCGACATGGACGCGCCGGTCTTCGAGCCGGCCTTTGACGTTGACAAGGACATCGATGACCTGCTCCACGTCGAGGTCAAAGAGCAGAGGCTCAGCAACCTGTTGCAGTCGTTGTTGGTCGGCGGCTGCCTCGCTGCCATGCCGTTCCTCAAGAAGATCCCCACCTCAGTCCTCTGGGGGTACTTCGCCTTCATGGCCATTGAGAGCTTGCCCGGTAACCAGTTCTGGGAGAGGATCCTCCTCCTCTTCACCGCCCCCAGCAGGAGATACAAGTAAGCCACGAGAGATAAAAATAGATAGATAGATAGAGAGAGAGAGAGAGAGAGAGAGAGAGAGAGAGAGAGAGATCATCCATCTTCCGGCCCCTGAAATCATGGACTGATCAGAGCTCTGAATCTGGACTGACGCTGGTTCTTGGTTGCAGGGTGCTGGAGAAGTGCCATGTGACGTTCCTGGAGACGGTGCCCTTCAGGACCATCGCCACCTTCACCCTGTTCCAGCTGACCTACCTGCTCCTCTGCTTCGGCCTCACTTGGATCCCCATCGCCGGCGTCCTCTTCCCCCTGCTGATCATGCTCCTGGTCCCAGTGCGGCAGTACGCCCTCCCCAAGTTCTTCAAGGGCGCCCATCTCACAGACCTCGACGCAGCAGAGTACGAGGAATCGCCGGCCCTGCAGTACGGTCTCGAGGTCAGCCCCCCTGCTTCTCTTTCTCTCTCTAAACCTGTTCTTCGAGAAACTCCGACGGAGCCGCTGAATTCGCCGGACATGGATTCAAATCAAATGCCGCAGGATCAGGCTTCTGATGGGACGGGGATTGCCAGCGGCCGCGCGGACGACGCAGAGATCCTGAGCGAGATGATCACTCGAAGCCGCGGCGAAATCATCCATGTCCAGAGCCCGAAGATCACGAGCTCCTCCTCCGGCACATTCGACGACATCAGATTGGAGCGAAGCCCGCGGGTGGGGGAACTGAGGGTGGCCAGGAGCCTGAGGCTCGGAAGAACAACCTCCGCGGGATCGCATGGCACGCCGAGCCCACGCCCGTCCCCTCTCGCGCGAGGCTCTCGCGGTTGAACAACCCCTACCTATCAAGCCTGATCCAGAGAGGGAGGGGGACCTTCCTTGTAATGGAGGCCCCTCCACGCCGATTAAGGAAGCTCTCAGTCGGGATCCATTGGGTTTGCTGTCCTCTTTGATTTAGTTCCCCAATCATCCTCGTCGTATATGCTACCATATCGTCTGCTATACTGTTCTCGCCGGTGAATGAAAGAAGATTGAGTGCTTGGGATTTCCATTGTGATCGAAGCAGTAGAACACTTACAGGAGGAGTTGCAGAAACCCTAGAAGAAGGATCATCTCCCAGACTGTGGGCATCAGGCCACCCCGTCCCTCCTCTTTACCTTTCCCTTCGGCCAGCCGCGTCGTCTTCCTCGTCGGATCGACACCCACCCGGCTAAGGCTAGGGTTAGGATTCTTGCCCTCTGTTGCAGGGTTGATCTTCCAAGTTTCGTTTGACTGCTTGATTGATTTCGTAATTATCCTGAATGAGGATAAAAAAGGAAGAAAGTGTATAATTATATGATAAATAATAATAATAATAATTGACAGCATGAGGGTCCGATGGATATGGCGCCAGCGTACTATAGGCCCAAATTTCATCCGCACGAGGCCTTTTTTTATTGGGCTTGGTGCCTCTTATGAGCTTTTTTCTGATTGGGCTTGGCTCGCCGACTCCAGCTAGAGTCGACGATGTTTCCATTGAAAATGGTATAAAATAGTTTTTATTTTATTTTAAATATCGGAAAAATGATAAATTATGGAAAAAAATAATACACCACCCATCCTCATTATTCTATGAGAATATATTAATCTCTCTCGGGCAAGGAGCTTGAAGACCAGTTTGTAACACGATGATGATGGTATAGTGAGAGGTCTAAAACCCATGTTTTGAGGGTAAATGAAGTGAAAATTTTATCAAATATAATAATAATATTTTCTAAAATATCTAAAATAAACACAAAAATAATTTAAGTGGACTTGACGAGTCATGTGAAACTAAAAATCATTCAAAAAGAGCTGAAAGATAATTATCAAGATCTAATTGACATCTAGCTAACATAAGAGATATTTAGAGTGAAATATTGATGTCTATTGACATCAAATGGACTATATATCATCTGTACCCACCCTAGATGAGCTTCATCAACAGCATAATATTTTTTAAAATCATGACTATGAGGCCTACAATTAGGGTTTCATAAGGACTTTGAAGATTTGGAACCCTATAGTTGACATTACACCTCTCACAACAATTTGCACGTACCCAAATAGTCCAAGGTCAATCTTATGTGACTTGCCAGAGAACCCTAGTCAATGAGGAGGAAACTAGAGATGGTTATCTTTAATGACCTCAACTTGAAAGGGTGGGTTTTCTATGTTTAATTATTCTTATTAATATATAAGCTTATAGTGATAGAAAAAATCATCACAAGTAACCTCATGTTGGAAGGGCAAAAGCTCTCACTTGGTTCTAGTGAACAAACGTATGCACATAAACCCTTTTGAGATTGGGATAATTTGTGATTGCAATTATCTGAACATTTCAGCTTCAACTATTCTAGCTCCCTCTGTCAGTAGTTTCTAGACAACAAGGGATGGTTGAGGAATACAAAGAACAATTTGAACTCTTAGTTACTATTATCGCCAACTTGCTAGAACATGTCCTTAAAAAGTGCCCTCATCAAGAAAGTCAACTTTGCCTGGAGCTGATTGGTTGAAGATTTTTTTAGAAAGTCAACTCAAGGAACAATGCCATCATCAGTTTTGACTCCATTGATAGGAACTAGAAGTCTCCCAATCATATACCCTAAATTATTTACTTATGCAGGCGAAAGGGTTTGGTAATAAGAAAAGGAACCCACAACAATGACTCCAAATCATGTGGCACCTGCTAAGATGGTTGACCTCAAATCTATGGAAATTGAAGCATGACACGTGTAAAGGTTATGCTTTAACTAGAATGAAAAGTTTGGTCTAAGACATTGTTGCCACAAGAAACTATAGATCCATGTCATTCAAAAGGGGAAGGATCACTAAGATTGATGGAAATTCTCATCACAATCTAATAGAAGGAGAAACTATTATCACTCTTGAAGTTTCACTCAACTCTCTCACGAAAGGCTCGCTCAACTCGCTAAGTTTCACTCTACTCACTCAACAATGAGGTGCCTCAACGTCCCATAATTTCATAAATATCTATTTTTATGATGACGTCATTATACTGAATGATGCCGTCATCGGGTTGGACCGGTGCGTCGGCTAGCCGGATCGGGTCGCACCGAGCCGGCGCAGCACCGCGTACCGTCCCTCCCACTCGGATCGAGCTGAGCCGGTGCAGCCGACTCTCCCGCTGAACCGGCGCCGAAAGAGGGGAAGATGCGCACCGAAAGGAGGGGGCCGCTGCCTTTCGGCAGCACGGTTTCCGTTTAAAACGGAACCGCCTTGCCCTAGGTCGGTTCCCGAATGGGAACCGCCTTCCTCCATCGCCTCCGGCACCGGCCTTCCGGTACCGCCTTACGACGCCGCCTTCCAGCACCGAGTTTCAGGCGCTACTCCTCCACCGCCGTCCTCCACCTCCGGCATCCTTAACAGCCTTTCGGCATCCGGAGCCACCATCCTCCCTCCTACAGTCCAACGACGAGAGAGGGGAGGAAGAGGTGAGTCCTCCTGCGACCCCATGATTTCCGGACAGAAATCTTTCCTTCACAGGCAAGGAGAGAGAGAGAGGCGTGAGGAAACCACCGCTACCTCTCGGCAGGGAATAAAAGAAGGATGAACAGCCTAGGAGTCCGTCTGTACGGCCTGAACGGCCCAGGGGTCCATCTGCACGGGCTGAACAACTCAGGGTTCCGTTTGTGGTAACCTAAAACCAAATGGTATGCCACAACGAACTTCTGTGCAATCCATAGCTCATGCTGATGCCTCAATCCACTTAGAGACCTTATGGTGGTGTCCATCGGACTGATGCTGAGTCCACTCTTATTCTCAAACATATGCCGTTAAGAAACAGAAAATAATCTGTATAACATATCATTCTCCAAGAACTCAACACATCATGCTCTGATATCGCTTGATGGGGATACTTCAAACTACAGGATCTAGTGCTGAGTTCCGGAGAATGAGAATGAACTGAAAGAAAGCATACCTTAGTCTATTTCAATCCTAATCTGAGCCTTAGGCTTTGGTCTTTTGGATCAACACACCGGAATCATCAGGACCTTATGACTTTCCTTCCTTCTGAAGTGATGTGATCCTTCAAAAGTAACTTTGGCGTCGCGTGTGATTAGCCTCTCGGTATCAGATGTCATTTTCTAATTTTTGTCTATCATAAAATTAGGAATGACCTAATGTCTACACATATTTAACCCGATACTTTCGAGAAATGCCGTAATTCCTTTATTAAGCCTTCATATATTACTTTAGCGAGATTAACTTTATGATAGTCTCATAATATACAATTCATACATATGTGCCCACAATAAGATCACATTACAAATTTGTTTGATTCCATGCATTGCTCTGACGTTTTACTATAATTTTTTTTTCTAGGTTTCAAGTATTGAAGAATGTCTGCCAACCAGACTGTAGACTTCCCTATGAATTCTTCCTTGTCGTCAGTCCGAACCACAGATAAGGAGAAGAGTGACACCCAGGCAAGCTGTGATCCAGATCATATTACCTTTTCTTTTAACTTTGATCATTTTATCCACTTTCTTTTTTAACGAGGGATGAAAACTGGTCGTCAATCTTATGTTTAATCTAAATCCTCTCTTCTCTTCCAGGGCCCCTATAAGGCTACCTCAAGCATCGCTCAGATCCAATTGGTCAACTCTCATCTTGAGGTCTATGATCCAAGTGATGACTCATTTGTCCTGGTCGACGCCCTTCTAGCCGATCGAGCAAGACTCATAGAACACCAGCCCAAGATCTGCCTCGAGGTGGGCTGTGGCAGTGGCTATGTGATAACATCGTTGGCCCTCATGCTCCAGGAAGAAGCCCCGCGGATTCACTACTTCGCCACCGACATCAATTTGCATGCAGTGGCAACCACTCGTGGGACTTTGGAAGCCCATGGCGTCCACGCTGAAGTTGTTGCCACCGACATTGCTTCAGGGCTTCAGAGACGGCTTGCCGGGTTGGTAGACGTAATAGTAGTCAACCCTCCCTATGTGCCCACTCCAGAGGAGGAGGTGGCGTGCGAGGGGATCACTGCTTCTTGGGCTGGAGGCGAGAATGGGCGGAGGGTGATCGACAGGATCCTCCCAGTGGCAGACGAGCTTCTGTCAGAAAGGGGGTGGCTGTACATGGTCATACTTGCAGAGAACAACCCATTGGAGATTTGTCGGCGGATGGGGGAGAAAGGGTATGGATCGAAGATCGTACTCCAGAGGTCAACGCAGGAGGAGAGGCTCCAGGTCATCAAGTTCTGGCGGGAGGGTGCAGCGGCTGGGCTCCCCAGGGAGGGGAGCAGAGGTGGTTCTTCAACTTCTGAATCTTGGCTCTCGCATTTCCCTCTGTTTTCTTTCTTGAGGAAAGGTGAGAATGGCGGCTGAATGCAATTACATTCAGAGATCAAGGAAGGGCTTTCTGCCCGCGGCCGAGAATTTTGGGTTTTCTCTTTTTTTCTTTTTTTGGCGACTTCATTTGATCGATTGAGAGGGGTTGACCAATGGGTTCTTACTCACAATGTACAGAAATGGTATCATGGAAACTGTGACGTGGGTTCTGACTGCTGTCGGTTCTTTTTCTCCTATATCAAGAAAAGTCAACGATTTGTTGAAGCACAAATCCGGATCCCAAATGCGTAGAAATTGTGGTTAGTTTCTTTGTTATATATAAAAATATTGAGCCGGGGAAAATTCAGCGGGTTTTGTTGGTTTTGGGGAAAAAAAAAATTGGATTTTTCGTTCTAATGTCGTCTCATGTAAACCATGCCCTTATTATACCCAGCTCAAATTTCTATACTTCTTACGCAATTTCGTCGCCAATCGAAAAAATGGAACCTATGATAACAAAATTACAGCATACCCATCATACTATATATATAATTTTACATAAAAAGTGCCATTTTGGGGCCGAGCGGGGGGTGCTGTCGTTGGCCGGGGGAGGTGGAGAGCAGCAGGGTTTTGAGTCCTCGCAGGAGTGGACGTCGGGAAAGTTGAAATGCCTCGAGAAAGCGACGAGCCTCCGGCCGTGCGCGTGTACACGGTTTGCGATGAGTCCAGGTTGCGTAACATGCTGATCTGGGGTTTCCCCTCTGTCATCCAATCCAATCTTATCTTGGTTTTTTCGTGAAGTAGATCAGGCTGGACTTGTCGAATTCATCTGAGTTTCTCTCAGGTACTTGATCGTGAGGAACGTTCCTGCTCTAGGATGCGGAGAAGAGCTTGCGAAACTGTTCGGAACTTATGGGGAGATTGAGGAGTACGCATCTTATTCTTCACGAGTCATCCTACTACTTTCCGCAGAGGTTTTTCTTATAGTGAACTAAGGATTTACGATTTGAATTCGTTCGTGAATTTCTAGGGTTTGCTTCTGAGTAGAATTGTCTCGCTGTTTCTTGGTTGTCTTCCATATAGATTCCTGTAATATTTTCTTTTTTTTTCACTTCTTTTAATTTCTTCGGGAAGACGATTTCTGTTCATGTGCAAGAATTAGGGGTGCTAATACCTACAGTATTTATCATTTGATGATGCCAAGAGATTGATTTGGGATCTCCTTCACAGAATATAAACTCCTGCAAATTTTCGACTATCACCAAGTGTTTATTCCCAGTTTCTTCCCCTCCTCTTTTTCCGCCCAGTGATGTCTCTTGAACTATTGCTTCTTTCCCCTATATCATTCAGGTCCAAACCCATGGATGCCGAGGACTCTGAAACCTTCACCGATGTCTTTTGGATCAAATTTTCCAAGATCAGCAATGCCAGGTGATTGATTCAACGTGCGAACACATGCCATCGTAGCTGGAAATGTATCATCGTTGGTGATCATTAGCCTGGACGATTAGCATTTCTTTAGCAACCCAGGGTGTCTTGTACCTGATACTATCTACCTAAATTCCTTAGTCTCTTCTTCCGCTTGTGATCTCACCGTAAAGAACACTAATCGAGTCTTTTTTCAGGTTTGCGAAGAGGAAACTGGATGAATTCGTCTTTTACGGAAACAGGTTGCAAGTTTCATACGCTCCTCAGTTTGAGTCGCTTTCAGATACGAAAGAGAAACTCGAGGATAGGAGGAAGGAAGTCCTTCGCCGAATAAGATGTGGGTCTATTTTTCATTCTGTGGCGGGGAACTCCTGTCACTATTTTCAGCCATTGGCGTTTCATCCACATCGTCTCCTTCTTATGCCGGATCTGATGACAGATAACTTGCTTCACGAAGCTGGGAAATCAGAAGAGCCGAAGACTCAGGTTTCTAGTAGGCTCCATGACAGTAGATCATCTACGGCTGCTTCAGGGAGCTTGTCTAGGTCTGCATCTGGCAGATTTTTTGAGCAGGGGAACCTGAAGAATAGGTAAGCTCGAATGCTCGTTGCATAGGGTCTATGGTGACTGTAACTTTCCCACACATTATATCAGATTCCGGTCCAAGGATGCTGTGGTTAGATTTGGTGTCACATTTGGATGGAAAAACCTTTTATCCAGAGGCAATTATAGGGGGGGTCATCTCCTTAGTTAATAGAAGCTATCAGTGTTCACAAAGGTGTTCAACTTGTGGTATTGAATGTCTCTGAATCTGGAGGAAGAAGGCACTTTTTCAAGCTTCTCTTATATCCACTGCTAAACACTGGAGATGGGCATTCAATGTGGGTTGAGATCATTGCAACTTTATCATATTATCAGTCTTATCCAACTCAATAGAGGGTTTGAGGTCAACGTGGGTTGGGTGGTTCTGTCTAATATACTTTTTCTAGAAAAACCGAAATGAAACTGCTGAAATTTATCTTGCTGACTTCCATCTCTTTCTCCAGGGAGCATGTTAAGTCGCAGACTCTTCATATGGAGGGCGGCATCATAGGCCACGTATCATCTAACGAGGTGCACATTCAGGATCTGTAGAGTGGAGCCTAGCTACGATAAATAATTCGAAAAAATGTGGCTGCAGCTCTTTTTTCATTTCTCTTCTGAAACACGTACATGTGGTGTCAATCTCAGGACTATTTTCCATCCCCATCAATGAACAAGACGGTTACATTGGTCAGAGAGAAGCTCGATAAGGTGAACTGGTTGGAAAACCTATCTTTAATCGAAATCAAAATAATGGAGAACTGGGTCTTTTTTAAGTCTTCTCATAAAATGTGGTAATTTTCAGATAACATCCAGCAGTGGCCCTTCTGACTCCGATCAGCCGTCAAGGAAGTCGTGCTTCGACAAAAGGAGGAGGATCTGATGCATCCCTCCCAGATCTGGAAGAGAAATTTCAGATGTTCTTGTTGATTCATCAGCCATCACAAGGCCGAGGCAGAAATCATACTTAAAGTTGCTGCGAAATGCGTGCTAGCTGCCCAGTTCATACCCAGTCAACTTCTCTCCAATTGAGCAAGAAGGGGAGAGATTGTGATGATAAAAGGGGAAGTGACAGGGGCAATTCCATTTCAAGACATCTAAATCTGGAAACCTGTAATCTTCACTGTATGACAATCTTCAAGGTAAGAGCAGTTTAGATATCTTCTTTCTTGAGCCGCTGTTTCCTGATCTTGACCTCCGAAAGATGGTGCAACAATGGAGAGGTTTTTGTAGGGCTGAAACAAGCAAGAGGTGGCGTCATCGACCTCATTCTCTCCAACTCCTTCCAAACCATCTAGCCCCTCGGTCAATGCCTGGTTCGTGCTGGTCTTCAGTTCATTAACCATCAGCTCGATTTGACTTGCCTTTTCTTTCCATCAGTCTCTTTGTTCTTCGTGTTCCTATTCTGGATCCAGCGTTCTTTTCCCATTACTTTCTGGAGATTTAATTTTTTCTCTGTAGCATTTAGGAAAGAATATGTTTCTCTCTCTTTCATCTCCTTCAGTACGCTTGCTATTTGTTCTTCTTGTGGAAAGAGAATGTACAGAGAGAGAACTAACATGACATTAGCCATTAAAGGGCGTACACTGAATAATTATCTGATGATATTCTAGTAACTTGGTTTATTAAACTATTTGAGTGCAGAAAAAATACTCAGAATAAACCCGAAAAAGGGATTTTCTTAACAATCGAATCATCTAAATATCGTCTGATACATCTACCATCATGACCTTTTTAACTGTCTGAAGGTTTCCTACTAGTCCTCTCACAACCCCAACCCACATACCTTCTGAGAAATCTAGAACCACGTTGGAAGACAGAGAAATGTGTGATAACTAGATGAGCCCACTAGACTTTACTTGGATGACTTGATTTTTTTCTCACATAGAATTAATTAAAGTCCAATCCCTAAGTTTTCTCACATAGAAATACTGGAAGATATGAGCTTTACGATAGAAGCATAGAACATCAGAGCTTTGACGAGATGCTCCAGCTCTTCCTTCTGGCGGTCAATTTCTGCCTACAGACTACCATCCATAGGCATAGTCATGGGCACCAGATTCATGCTGCGACTCGCAGAGGTAGTAGATGAGTGGCATCTCGGCGCCTTGTTGTCATGGCATTTCAGTCTGAGGTGGCAGGTAAATGGTCAGCCTCTTCCTGAAGGAAACCGTTCAGTGACATCTAAAGCTTCTTCTTCCTTGAACTGCCTTCTGCTTCCCTGATTTCTTTTGGTTAATTTTCCCCATTAATTTTCCTGGGTTGATATCAGCCCCAGCCGGAAATTGACAGAAACTATAAAATTTTCACGGAATATATCAAACCCACTTTTTATAAATCAGATAAATTAAATAAAAAAATATATCAGCACCGTGAAATCAGAAAGATTCTTTTTAAAACAGAAATTAGCCTGATTTTATTGAAATCAGGGCTCGATCTGTATCAGAGGCTAGAACATCAGGGTTCATGCTGCAATACGAATGCCTGAGACGGCCTAACTCAGGCCAAATCCACTGATTTGTGGGCATGATCGGTTTGAGATTATTAGCCAATTCTGACTGAACAAGGCTGGAATTGTATGAGTCAACTCGCTCATAGCCAATTTGACCTTGTCCTAGGCTGGGATGATTGGTCAACCAAAACCCGAGTCTGACCCCAAGCTAGATCTGTCACAGCCAATCCAGGCTCTCAGTCTGATCCGATGCCCTTCAAGGATGAGAAAAAAAGAAAAGAAAAGATAAAATAATCTGGAAATCTTAAAGAGGAAAGAGAACGGTTAGTTATGGAAGCATTTCATAACTTGTTCTTCGGAGTTCTTACGATTTCCAAACAGTTCTTGTTTTGTGGATGCTTTGGAGCTGTCCCAGATCTTATTTTCCTCTAAGAGAGAGCAACGAGTGTAGGATCAGCACCGCCATACATTTTCCTGAAATATCGTTGACCTACGACTGAAGTTGATGTACGACGTCACTTCCAAAAAAGAGATGGGAGAAGTTTTTGTGGCCCAGGTGGCCCAAAATTGGTGGGCTAACCATTTTGGGAAGTTCAAAGGACGGCTACAAGGATGCGTTGGCCCAAAATCAGACTAAGCCCATAATAGAAATCCGTGAAAAAATACATCAAAAGATTATTGCAGTTAATCTTCCTACTTTCATTGCATTTTTAATTGACATGACGTATTTTTATGCACACCCAATCACTTTTCGGTCTACTGAGAGGCTCCCCACTTTGTGCCCCTCCCCTCATTCTTTGTTAGTATGAATGTTACATTGCTCTCTCTCTCTCTCTCTCTCTCTCTCTCTCTGTGGATTGAAGCACCTTCTTCGTGGATTTAAGGGAACTATATATGATATATGTGGATTCGAAGCTGATTTTATTCCACCGAACAGTTTGAATTGAAGGGTATGATTATGATTATTATTATTATGATCCTCGTGGAATTTCGTCAGTTGTGGATTCGAAGCTGATTTTCTCATCCTTGTACGACCTCTGCTGCATCAATGGTGCATGCAGAAGAGAGAAGAGAGAAAAGCTTCAAGGCCCTTTTGAAGCCAAAAGATTAGAGCAGAGAATCTCACCTTAAGAAGGAAACTTACGGAGTTTTCTCCAGTGTGGAAGATGCTCAGAGGGCGGCGACCGCTCCTCCTCTCCCCGTTTCCCTTCGGCCATGGTCGTTGTCACAGGGTGACCTTCTAATGCCGGGGGACTGTAGCATGCATTAGACCTCAGAATGACATAATGATGCAGAGAAAAATTACATAAATCATGGAAGCCTCAGAAGAGACGGCTCAAACGGGGTAAACCGTGGGAGACTCATTGAGAAGTTCGAAATGCCATTTTTTATCTAATTCGAGGCCAAATCTGCAAGAATATCCTTTTCTTTAGGGAATCAACTGTTGCCTATTTCTTGGAGGCACCCATTCATTGTAGAAGAAGAGACGTTTCTCATCCCAATTGGCTACCGACTTATCTACTCAGTCTTAACCATAGTTGATTAGACTGACACCAACGGAGTTCCATGGAAGGGCTAGATAATGACAATCAGGTGCTCTAAATGGAGCAAAAGCTAACAGTTAAGAGAGGTTTTTCTGAAAGCAAGAGGATACCAACAAGAAGTAGAAAAGAATTTGGCCTTTTAGTACTAAAATAAATACCCGGTACATTGCGTCCATTAACCTATCTAGATATCTACTCAGAGAACATTTTCGGACAAAGCAGCTTTCCAGGACGAGTAGATAATAATCTGTCTGCCATTTCTGGAATAACCTATAAATTTACTCCATAAAGCAATCTAGAGATCTACTTGATACCATGAAAACAAGAAGATGTCAGAATATTTTCGGACAAGGATTTGTTTTACTTCCAGTAGAGTAAGATAACCTACATATTCCCGTCATTGACCAATTTAGAGATCTCCATAACATGAAAAAAAGAACAAAAAATGGTAGGATATTGTGTGGGCAAAGCAGTATCAGAACAAGATGAGGAAAGAAATAGAGAAGGATCTGAGTAAGAAGCGCTCCAGTTTTGCATGTCACGAGCATCTGAGTCTTGCAAATGTCAGGAATCCAGTGTGCCCTCTTGTCTCTGGACAGGGCTTCGCCATAACTGTGCTAGTACTTCTCTCCATGCTCCCATTGTTCTCCTCATCACTTGAGGGGCGGTTCTTCCTCTTGCATGGGGGTTTCCTAACAGCCCCACCACTGCCATCGCCGCCCAAGCTCCCAAATTTCACGTCTCGCACTTCATATGTGCGGAGAAGGACTTCAAAGGTCCTCACATCTTCATAGACAAAAATCAAAACCCCATTTGCGTCACTAAAAACAAGCAGCCTTTGGCCAAAGATGAAAGAATGTTGTTCTAATCTATTTAAATTTTATGTATTAGACCCATTTTTCAATAATATACCCATTGGGATAGAATGCTAGACCAGATCCAAATTGGTTCAAATCAATGTACTAAAACAGCCATGGTTTAGATATAGCGAGTGAGAAAATCCTTGTTGATATATCTATTTAGATGTCATGTTTTTGCTCTCTTTTTCCTATCATCCACAGTTCGAGAATATAGCACAAGGCCTGATCCCAGTCCAGAATTGGTCCATACTAATGTACTTCCCTCTATCAGGTGTAATTTACTCCAGAAAAAACCCTACCAGGAGGAGGATTCATTGATTGGATGAGGAAAGTCAACTTGGAAATTTTTGAGAAGATCATTGAATTCCTTCAATTTTGAGTAAATGAATCGCAGCTCTTCATGATTTTTGACATGATTATCAAAGATTATCAAGTGAAGTGAAAAGGAGATGAGAGCATACCGGTAAAGTTGGTGGTTAGGGCTTCACAGGAACGTTGCACTTGCTCGATGCAGGGGGAAAATGAGCACAGAACTCCATCAGGCTTCAGCATCTTACCAGAGGATGGTACAGCGAGCCAAGGCTGGGGGAGGTCCAGGAAGACTGAGTCAGCTTTGCCGCAGAACTCTTCGGGGAATCCTTCCCCTTGAGTGTCTCGAACACTGACAGTGATGAATCTGGTCAACCCATTTCGCTCAAAATCTTCCCTGTTGAATGGAAATTGAAAACCCAAATCATTAGGAGAAAATTAAATTATAGCACCATTTCTCCAGCAGATAAAATTATTTATGAGGCCGAAACTTATGCCACGATCAGAAGACGGAACATGTATCAAAACGAGCACAAATTCTATCATAAATCAGGAAGATAACAAGAAACATCACGTTTTTCGTAGAAATAATTGTATGTTTGGAAAATTATTCTCTGAAATACAAAGTAATTGAAGACTAGATGATTATTAAATAATTCAAAAATTATATAAAAAAAACTGTTATCCATCTTCTTGAGTGTTTTATATTGACACTGGGCCAATGTGGTGTAAGAAACACTAAATTCAGGATGTCCTTCGATTGATTACCCATCTCCAATATCTTTCCCTGTGCCATACGCAAAATAAATTAATTCTTCTACCACTCAAGCTAATAACTAAATTTGAGCTGGAAACCATGATTTCCAATCTGTTTTTGTACTCGTTACTCTCACAAATTCAGGGTCCATGAGTCAATCCGACATCTAAGAAAAAAAATAGTAACACCGTACACACCCAGGATGACGCCTGATAGAATGAGGATGTCTCTGTCCCCGGTAACATACCTCGCTGAGGCAGCCCTCTGTTCATGGAAGTCGAAGGTGTACACGTGCCCAAAAGGAGCCACAGCTCTGGCGAGGGAGGTCGTGAGGGAGCCGCTTCCAGTTCCCGACTCCAGAACCACGCACCCGGGGACGACCTCCAGGAAGGAGACCACGAAGCTGATGTCCGCAATATATAGGATCTGAGTCCGGTGGCTGAGCACCAGAGTCCACAGTTGAGGCGTAGGGGCGAGAAGGTAGACGAACGAGCCCTTGTTGCTCAGAACCTTGCAGCCGAAGGGCATGCCAATCCAGTCGGAGTGCTTGAAGACGCCGAAGCGGTTCTGGAGCTCGGAACCAGCCCGCACTGTCACCGGCTTCATCGCGTCGTGCCTCTCGTAGACGATCACCAGGTCTCCCTCGCAGATGCGGCGCTGGAAGCTGTTCTGCTTCTCCTGGTCAGCGGACAGCATATTTCTTCTTCTTCTCCTCCTTGTTCCTCTTCTTCTCCTCTTCTTCTGGGGACTTTCGTCGAGCGACTGATGTGCACCACTCTATAACATCGACTGGCCGGGGAAGGAGGGGGAACATATAAATAAATACGCTGCGTTTTTATAGAGTATTAAGTAAATAACATTATAAATAGGGTTCTTAAGGAAATGTCTATTTGTACACCTGTGCCACGGACTCTCATGTTTTTTGAGTATATGAATAAATAAATTTAATATAGATTTATTTTGTAATTATTATGAGGAAAAGGGACTAATGGAAACCCTGTAATCTATATTCTTTTTAAGGAACCTGGGGCCCGAGAACGCGTGGTGTATTTGGAGTCGAGCCCAGAGCGCGAAGATGATCATCCCCGTGCGCTGTTTCACCTGCGGGAAGGTATCGTCCAATCCACTCCGGTTCTTGTCTCGAGTTTTTGCAAACTGTCGGGGGGGTCTCGTTGAGCCGTCCTCCTTGGCCTTGCTTCTTTCGTCCTCCGTTCGTTTCTTCCTTGCCCGATTGGGTAGGGTTTACGCTAACACTCCGGGGTGGTCTTTTGTTTGGTTCTGATTCGTATGTTTTGGCGCGCAGGTGATTGGGAACAAATGGGACACGTATTTGGATCTTCTCCAGGCTGATTACACGGAAGGGTGAGCAATATGCTTAGAAGTTGTAGTTGCTTGACAGAAAAACCATCCTGACTTGACAGATAGCCACCATACTAGTGAACTTGTCGAGTGGTTCTCGGGTTTTGGCTCCGTTCTCCTTTCCTGTGCAGTATTAATGCCAGATCCAACGAGATGTATTAATTGGCCTGGAGAAAATTGCAGAAAAAGTGTTTAGGTCGATGAATCTGAATCCTTTTTTATTTTCTTTGATCCAGCTGGAGGGAAAATTACCTTCTGGTTTATTTTTTGATTCCTTCATCTTTTCTCGGTGTAATTCTCTCCATGCTTCCATCATTATTATCCTCTTCCTTTTTTTTTTTTTTACGAAGTACCTATCTGTCCTTTGCGTTCTGTCCCTCACCTTCAACCGTTTATTCCATCCTAAAAATGATTGAACTTGGAATTAAATTCATGTATATATTCCTATTGTTCAGTGCTTTGAGACATCGTGGGTTTAAATATCTGGTTACAGTTTTGAATATCCCTGATGCATTAAGCAAATTTGATTTTTTGACATTTTTACTCTCTCGACGTTTTTTTTTTTTGCAAAAGTTGTAAACTATTTGATTATTATTGGGAGAGGAGACGAGGAAAGAAGAGATGATATTTCCTCGTCTTCTGTTTTTTTTTTTTGGCACACCGTGTGTGACCTTTTTTCATTTCTCCTCCGTTTTTCTTAGTTTTCCTCATTACTACTGTCGTTTTGACCTCTTCTGGCATAGTTAAATATGAAGCAGGCAAAATTCCCTTTCATCTGGAATGGCAGGGAGTTCTGTTATTTTATTCTATTCCTTCACCATGTTAATCTGTAACAACCATGAATTTCATGATATGATATGCATATTGGTATGTTCGGGGTGAATTCAGTTATGATATACATATCTGTGTATGATTTAAGTAAACTTAAAAAGGGGATGCCTGTGTATGGTTCGTCTCAATGTGTAATTGCCATACAATTTATTGTGCTTCCGACATATTTATAATCGCATTCTGCATGCGGACTTTGATATTTGTAATGCAGGCCATGTAAATGAGTTTACTGCATCCAATGAACTGTTATCGACTCTGATTCCGTGTAAAATAATGTCATATAATGTCTGCCAAAGGAGCCCACCGATTCAGTTGGAATCCCGTTCTCTCTCTTGCTCTCTTTCGCTGCATCCCACTCTCTCCCATACATTGGCAGAACTTATATGCTATCATCGGCATCAGTATCACCATTCTCATCATTGTTATAACCATTGAATCAGATGAAATAAAAAAGTGGGATTTGTCTCAGGCCTCCAGGCTTCGGTCTCGATGATATTCTGGCTCTGCTTACCATTAATATCTCCATCAGAGCCGTTGGTTGTTACTATGTAGTAAGCGCATGATCTACAATGCAATCCACACAAATTTTTGAGATGGAGAGAGAGAGAGAGAGAGAGAGAGAGAGAGTCGCTCTTCTCTCTAGTTTCTGGAGGGGAGCTGCATATTTGTAGTTGCTCCTTTCCCTAGTTTCCTTGAAACTCTCTCCCCACCCCCTACCCAAACCCTCTGATGATAAGTCTTGACACCATATTTTTGGATTAATTTGGTAGGGATGCGCTGGACGCCTTGGGCCTGGTTCGGTATTGCTGCAGAAGAATGCTCATGACCCACGTTGACCTTATTGAGAAGCTGCTCAATTACAACAGTAAGTCCCTTCCTCATCTCTCGTGGGCCGCTCAACACCCCCCCCCCCCTCCGGTCTTTGTGAAATAACGGGTTCTGCTTTCGTTGGCAGCTCTGGAGAAGAACGAGACCAGTTGACCTCTCCAGCCAGCGCCGCCCAGCACGCAGAGTCTTTCTTCCTCACGAGTGTATGATCGATTGATGTCCCTTGGTTTTTTTAACCAAGAAAGAGAAAAAAATTGATGGGCTTGCACTTTTATGTATTTCATCGAAACATTTAGTCAACTGTCATAATATGCTCATTGGACACTAAGGACGTATGAGATTGATCTGGACTCGGACGGGGTTTAATCCTTTGAATAGCTGCCAAGTCGGGCTTGGCCCGGCCCGGCCCGGCTCGTTGACTACCCCACAATGAGGTCTAGGTAGCCGAGGAATTGAGGGCGGGCACACCCTGTAGGGATATCCTATGATTGGCGGCTTGGGTACGGAAAGCGAAGTGGAGAGTGCCTATTGGCGGCATATCCAGTAGATCTGAGGCGAGGTTCTCGGTGGGGCCCATCGTGCAGCTTACCCAAAATATCTGCACTTATTGGCAATGACGAAGGGGGGTAGAGCTCGACGCAGTTGGAAGCAGGAGTCCGATCTAAGAGGCCCAGTTGACCCGGCCAAACCGAGTTCTTTGAGGGGTTACCAATGGAACACCGGTGGGTGTTTGGCGAGAATGTCAGCTGGAGGCACAGACCATACCCATCTCTCTCTCTCTCTCTCTCTCTCTCTCTCTCTCTCGTTTTTCTCTTATCCCTGGACAGGATGAGGTGAATCCGAGCTTTGGATTGCCCTGCGCTTTTGGCCCTTCGCTTAGATATTCTGTGGATAATAACGACGGAGCCCTCCTCTGCGCCGGTCGAGTACCCGCCCTTCCTCCATATATAACCACAAATATCTCCCTCCCTCTCCACCTCAGGAGCTGTGCACTTTTCGCTTTTTGTACTCTTCCTCTCTTCTGTCCGTCGCCCTTCGCGCTTGTCCTCTTCTTCTTCATTGAGGGATTCCTCTGGTTACAGTACCTGGGTTTGGAGATGTGGTGCGGACATGAGAGGCACCGCGACCACGGGCTTCCCTGCTTCCACTGCGATCCCCGAGGGTACATCAGAATGGTATGCTTGAACTACGATTTCGATACTTCCTGGTCTCCGTTTGGAGAATCCGCCATGTTTCATGGGTACGAAGAGCTGAAGAGCGGATGTGCAGGTTCAGCATTTGATTGAGAAGTGCTTGGTCCTCCGCATGAGCTGGGACGACACCGTCCATGCCCTCGCCAGGCGCGCCGGCATTCGACCGCTCATCACCCTCACCGGTCTGTCTCCTCTCTCTCTCTCTCTCTCTCTCTCTCTCTCTCTCTCTCTCTCTCTCTCTCTCTCTCTCACACACACACACACACACACACACTCACTCATTCACTCACTCATCTGTACCTCTCTATCTCTCCCCCAAGTATTGAGGTTATGGTTGATTGCTGCAGTGTGGAAAGAACTGCTAAAAGAGAACAGAAGCTTCTTTCATGAGTACTTCCGAGAAATATCAATCAGGCCTTCAGTTTGTGAGTCCTTGCGGCCTTCTTACTCCATTCACTAGCACATTTATAGCCGTTATACAAAAAATTCGACCCATTTTTTACCTCTTTCCAGTAAACATCTCTAAATTTAAGTTATTTTCTAGCAACTTTTTCTTCCGAAGGTGGCTAAATCCAGAAATACATTATCTCAATCAGATAAAGCTCATCCGAGAATCCCAAGTTTCTCAAGACGGAAACAATGGAGATGTAATGTAGATGATCTCTCTACGATCGAGGAAGTCAGCGCCATGAGCAGCCTAGCAAGAACCGCTCCACCTTTTTGATGCCCACGCAAGATTCAAATTTCTCTATGCTTTACTAGAAAATATATTGTCTTTATTTTTTCCTTCTAAGATGAAGGAAAAGAGCGTGTAAGAAGCTATGCCAGGCATGTATGGCGAAAGAAAATATTTCTACCGTGTTTTCTAGCCTACGAGCATGAACCCATCAAGGCAAACCGGCGGTAAATATTCTAGAAACCATCTGTTCGTCACTGTGTATGGGAAAGCTATGATTTTCTTTCGAAATCTTGTGGATAAAACATAAATAGGGGCTTCTTCAGAAGCAGACAGATAGATTTCCTTCGATCCAAACGACTCGAATGAAATGGCTCACGAGCTGCCCCCGGGATGATTACCGTTGCGTGAAATCCGTCTGATCAGAGAGAAAGTAATGAAGCCGAGTAAGAGAGGAGTGCAAGCTAGCAAGTGAGAGAAAGCTGTATAGATCCAGTGATGGAGATCGTCTCAGCCAAACCTCTCACTGGAACGACGCCATCTTTCGTGGGATCTTCTTCTTGGGGAGGCTTTGGCTCTCCTCTTCCATCTATCAGGAAAGGGAGCCATGAGAGAGAAACAAATCATTCGCAAGAAAGTTCATATATTCTGAGTATTCTCCAGATAACTAGATGGATTTCTGTGATTATCAGACTCGATGGCTGCACCCTTTCCCTCTTCGTTTTCCTCGCCGGATGGCTAGTGGGTAGCACCTCTGCTTCATGGTTATTCAGATAGCTTGAGTCTATCTGGAGAAATAAATGTAGGGAGAGAGAAAGGGAAGACCAGGTGAAGAATCCACCCAAGGGCCTCATGTGGCTACCCCAGAGGCATCTATAAATGGCAAGGTTTTTGAGTTCCAGAGAGAGTTTCATGCAGGCAACTGTCGTGCGTATTATTAGGGCAGATGGGACAGATGACCGTCAACCTAGAAGATATTAGTTGAACCTCGAAATACTTCCTCTCTTCACAATAGGGTCATCAACCCATTACCCGGAATGGAAAACCCATGGGGAGAAAGGAAGGCTCCAAGCCCACGGCAGCGCCACCATTACCTCATCAGCACCAGCAGTCTCCCCCGCCAGCTTCTCGAGCCCTAAGCTGCAACTCTCGCCTTCACCTTTCTGCTGAATCCGAGGGAAGTGGGCCCACTGAAGATGACAAGGAGGACCAGTCAATGCTTGAATCTTGGTCACTTTATTAGATAGCTTCCTTTCCCAAAATTCTCTCCCTCTCTCTCTCTCTCTCTCTCTCTCTCTCTCTCTCTCTCTCTCTCTCTCTCTCTCTCTCACACACACACACACACACACACACACACACACACACACACAACGGTCATTACGTTTTTGGCAGCAGTGCTGAATGCTTCCTTGTGGGTGATGCTGGGATCTCTCCCTTTTATCCTCTTTATCTCCTCCCTGCATACATATCATCAATTTTGAGTTTACTGGATAATTTTATGAAAGGAAAACATATTGGAAATAATGGCCTAATTAGGGAGCTTCTGTACTTGATGAAGCAGTTATACGCCGACGGAGCTCGTTGTCTCTTCTCGGGAGCTGAGGAAGACATTAAAACCGAGGCATGAAGCTTCGGACACAGTTCATTTGGCCTTTCTCTCACCATGAAGAAGAACTTACGCTTATTGACGACTGTGTTCATGGGCACATCTGCCTCTTGTTCTTCTTCTTCTTCTTCTTCTTGCTCTTCTTCCTCATCTACCACTGGTTCGCCATCACCATGATCGACAGGGATGTGGGGTGTGAGTTCCCTCTTCGTCTGCATGGAGAGCTGTTAGAGATGGTCAAGATTTTTTCTTCCAGACCCACGAGGTGAAGGCGAAGACTTCGTATCAGTAGAGATAGGAAGAAAACGACTTGAGGGAGGTTTCTCGTAAACCCTAGTAATATCAAGACCTCTAGGACTTCGTATCAGCAGCCTAGTAATATCAGGTTAGAAGGCGGTCTGGCCTGAAAGAAACCGCGGGTTACGGCCGAATCTGGGAAAACAGATCGAAATGGGCAAACTTTTGCCATGACATGATGGCGAGAAAGAACGATCGTACGAGACCATTTACAATGTATAAAATGAGCCTTTAATGATCAGATACCTCGTCCACTCCAAGAGACGATAGAAGCTGCCAAGGAACGAGAGGAACTCTACTCATGTCAACGGAGAGAAGTCCCTGGCAGTGGCCACATCTGACCGTTACCACCTTCGAGAGGCTGCTGCATGGGACACTCACCTGCGTTCCATAGGAATGGGGTTTGGGAGAGGAGATGAGGAGGATGGTTCTTAGAAGGAAATAAAAAACCCTGAGAGTAGATTCAATGGCGGATGATGAATATTTACCAGTAGAATGGTTGTGCAGAAGCCGCAATGCACGTAGCAGAGCTGCTCCGAGAGATCAAAAAAGGGGCTGCACGTAGACATCGCACTTTGGGATGCAGGAGGAAGTACTGGAAAGAGGGGAGAAAGGAGAGAGAGGACCAGGGACTGCTCGTTGTAGGAGAACGAATTTATATAGAGGGAAAGAGGGAGATGAGACAAAGGACTTCCTGGTGAACTTGCACTCCTTACATCCTTGTCTATCTCTAATTAGAACGATTTTCTTTTCGATTGAGGGGGGTGGGAGGTGAGAGAGAGAGAGAGAGAGAGAGAGAATCAAATGTTGCTGGGTATGACTGAGACGAAATAGGCTTTTTTGTTAGGTTTTTTACTGGTGAATGGAAATGTGTTATCTCTTTTATATCCAAATTAAAGTAAAACTCGACTAATGATTACGTTATGATTATTTGACCAAGAAAACTATCCAAACTTCCCTTATCCACATCAATCTCCCATCACACTGTCAGAAAAAGCCGGCACAGAAGTGTTATGTGTGTGTGTGTGTGTGTGTGAGAGAGAGAGAGAGAGAGAGAGAGGTGAACGGGGGCAGAAACTTGCATGGGAAAAAGCCCCATTGCAAACCTCGTCACTCTCTCCTCCCCCCCCCCACCTCCCCCATCTCTATACGTCTACAATAACTCCTCTCCGCCTCAAGTTTCACACCCTCTTCGGGCCTGCAAGCGCCAAAACACGACCAGCTTTGTGAAGCGTGCGAAAACGAGGGTGTGCTGAGGAAGGCGTGCATGTGGGTTCCTGTAGAAGAGAGTCTAGAGAGAGAAAGGAGGAATCTTTGCAGCATTTGGCTCCCCAACTTGTCCTCTCCTGTTTAGATCGTTGCCCAGATATGGCGTTTGCTCCACCCCCCCATTCTAATTTCCTCTGCGGGTTTCCCCTCTTAAATGCCTTCAGCCTCCCCAGGCCTTCCATTTCCTCCACCTTTATATCGTCACACCTACCTCCTCGTCCTCTCGGCCGACTGGCACTTCCAGCGCCTTCTTCTACTTCGCACGGCGGCGCCGCCAGCTGCCGACGGCCGGCCTCTCCTTGGCTTCTTCTCGATGGTTTTTCTAACCTTTAATGTGGGCCTTAGTATCTGGCCCAAGTTAAAGTCTGCCAAGCGCGTTGGGACCTTCATCTATTTTTCATATTTAATTGCAATCAAAATAAAGTGAATCGCATAAAATTTCAAAAATAATAAATAATGTCCCCAAAAGGAAGCACCGTAAAAAAAATTATAATATGGGCTAAATCCTCCAGAAATTGGTGATCTTTGAGAGTACGTGGCTTAGCCGGAAGCCAACACGTGGCGAGAAGGGATCCGTGGTCTCCTGAGAAACATGACGTGTCGTCTTCTTGCCCGCGAAAGGCAGAGATCTTATGGAGGGGTGCGACGACGGTGGGGCCCTCGAAAGACGGCGACCACTTATGTCCCCATATATTTTCCGAGGGAGGCCTCTCCACCCTCCTCACCACGCACCAGCGGACGTGGAGAGAGAGAGAGGGGGGAGAGAGGGAGCGAGAGTTTTAGAGAAAGAATCTTATTCCCCTCGCAGGTGGGTCTTCTTGACCCAGAAGGCCAGATTTTTAGCGCACCACCCCCAGTTGAAAGATCTTAGCGAGAAGGAGAGGGTGAGGGAGAGAGAGAGAGAGGATGCAATCTTTGGGCCTGAAGATGACGCCGGGTTTCAACCTGTGCGTAGGAAGGAGGCAAGTGCAGTGCGGGAGGGAGACCGAGAAGGTATTCCGGGTGGCAGCCTGCTTGCCTTCTCAGCCCTCTTCATCCTCGCCGGAACCTAATTCCGCGCAGGGGAGGGACGGGGGCAAGAACACCTCGTCGGCGGGTTCGATCCTGTCGAGGACCCAGAAGTACGCCCTGCTGAAGCAGCAGCTCGCCGTCGCCGCGAAATTCGAGGTTGGGGATTCCTCTCTGGTTCTCTCTTCAGATTTCCATTTTGGTACTCGATCGGTGGGCTTTGCCTTAGTATAATCGGATCTTCCCCTCGGACATTTCCATTTCCCGGTCTATCTCTGACGAGATATCTGGTTCTCCGCAATTCGATTTTCACCCAGAGGATACATTCCGTGTTCAGACCGAGTTTACTCATTGTTATGAAATGGACTGTAAATTCATTTTATACGCGCAGGATGAAGGTATTACGGGCGTCTTTAAGTAGATAGAGATGGATGTGATGTAGTACCTAAGATGTAGTGTAGGGATTTTTCGTCTTCATGGAAATAATTTATATTTGGGTTCTGAATCATTGTTTGAAGATCATCACAAAAGAGGGAAGAACAAGACAACTCACCCAAATGCTAACTTCGTTCCTGTTAGCATCTCCTGATGCGATCTGTGGGGGGTAATTCTGATGTGAAGGAAAAAAAATGCCTCATTACGCCGGTCCTCTCCAAGATTTAACATCTTTAATGGGAAAAATGATAAAAATCCTCCATCTTTCTCATTTTCCTGTCTCCTGCAGAATTATGAAGAAGCTGCTAGAATAAGGGATTCTCTGAAATCCTTCGAAGAGGAGGAGCCCATGCTGCATCTCCGCAGATTGATGAAGGAAGCCGTAGAGGAAGAGAGATTTGAGGTCAGCCGCGCTCTGACTTCTGACTGTGGTTACAGCACGTGTTACAGAATCATGCCGCACCTCGCTCATACTTCTGCGAAAATAAATAAGATATTTTCAAAAAAAGATTTATTTCTACTCGCCATTGAAATATTTACTGTCGGATCCTCAGGATGCAGCGAGGTACAGGGATGAACTCAAGGCTGTGGCCCCGCATTCCCTGCTCAGATGTTTCAGCGACGCCACCACTCTCGTATGGCATCCAATTCAATTCACGAAATTGCTCTTATAGTTTTATCATCGATCGTTTGATTTATCAGGGCATATGCATGCGTTCAAAAGTATCATGGTTCCAGCTGTGGATGATGTTTCATGGCATATTATTTAAGGGCGTACGGGTGCAAGTGAGGAGCGTCTACATCGAGGGGCGGAGTCAGCCGCTGAAAGGGCAGTATTTGTTCGCTTATCGAATCAGGATCACCAATAACTCTCAGCGGCCCGTCCAGCTTCTGAGAAGACATTGGATCATCACCGATGAAAATGGGAGGACCGAGAACGTCTGGTCAGCCATCCTGCTCTGCGTCCCATCCTCTCTCTCTCTCTCTCTCTCTCTCTCTCTCTCTCTCTCTCTCTCTCTCTCTCTCTCTCACTCTCACTCACTCTCACCCACTCACTCAATATCTCTCTCTCTTTTTGCCAGGGGGATTGGTGTGATTGGAGAGCAGCCGGTAATACTTCCAAACACGGGGTTTGAGTACTCCTCGGCATGCCCGCTGACGACTCCCAGTGGGAGAATGGTGAGCGCTGAATGGATTTATCTCGGCCAATGATGGATGCAGATCAGTCCTGGGTTATTTAATCGTTTAAAAAAATGGAAATTCTGAATCAGGCGGGTCCATATGAGCTCTTCTGCGTTCTCATGTGCCTCGTTAGTTTGCTTTAATGCGTTTAAAAATCATCTGACATTGTCCACGAGAACCAAAGCATGGGATTAAGATATCTGCGCCGTGATTGCTAATCGCTACTTAATCTTACCCTAATAATTTATCCTGAACATGATTTCTGGATCTTCGTTCGGCTCTAATCCTGATCCGGCTGTGTTTTTTTGCTGAAATCGTTTAGGAGGGGGACTTTGAGATGAAGCACATCGACAGGGTCGGCTCGCCAACCTTCAACGTCGCCATCGCTCCCTTCTCTCTCTCCATCATTGGGGATGAAGTCGACGTGCTCCTTTGAAGATTCAGCCCTAGTTCCTCCCGGCATAGGCATATAACCTTCGTTTGATGTATAACCACATCATGTATTTTTTTTCAAGGACAGAAGTTGGCGTAAATATTGTCGACTTCCAGTCTGGGGTATTTCCGATTGGTCTACAAAAGTCGTAGTTTTGCTTCATATCCCCGAAAATTTCGTGCATTTGTCCCACGTTTATGTTGTGAGCAAGATCTGGGGGGGGGGGGGGGTTGGCCACACTACCCTCGTGTGCGTGTGTAGAGAGAGAAAGAGAGAGAGCAGCTTCAGGGGCGTTTCCGAACTGATTGGCCAGCCTCCACCTAGCTGGCGTTTCGTCCCGGCAACAGGGAAACCGTCTTCCCCAGCTCGTTCTCTTTCTCGCGCATCCCTTCCTGTTGTCTCAGGGCTGAGGTCGCCTTCCCCAACCGAGCGCCATCGCCGCCAGAAATGACAGGTTCTCTCTCTCTCTCTCGCGCGTGCGCGCGCTCTCTATCTATCTATCTATCTATTTCTCCCGATATGAACGTAATGGCGTTTACCTTCATGGCACTCAGTGTCCGCTGTCCACATAGCGAGATGGGTATCTCAATGGAAGGACATGAAACTGTTCTTCTTCTTCTTCTTCTCTCTCTCTCTCTCTCTCTCTCTCTCTCTCTCTCTCTCTCGCTCTCAATCGATTTTCAGAAAGCGGCCGCTTTCGAGCGATCATCCCTGTTACTCTCTCTCTCTATCGGCTTTCACGAAGCCTTCCGGAACTTCATCTGCTGTCTATAGACAACCGTCTCACTCCTATCCATCAATCTCTTTAGCATTCACGTAGCACCAAACCTCACATCACTCTCCCTCTCTCACTCATCTGATCTCGACATCGGTCAGTACCTGACGATCCCTTTCTCTCTCTCTCTCTCTCTCTCTCTCTTTCTCTCCGCTTTCTTGAAACTCTGAATCATCAAAACGTACCCAAAGCTTCGTGGAGTCGCGCAGAGTCAGAACACAAACCCCCACGCGACCCCGTGACGAGGTTCCTTCTAGGAACTACCGACTCTCTCTCTCTCACGGGACGAGCTGGCGGTCAAAATCTAGTCAGAAGTTCTCTCGGATAACGTGGGAATGAATCCACGCGTAAATCATGGCTTCTGTCAGCTGTTACTCAGAGAAGATTTATCGATTTTCATAATTAGATATCTTTATTTTTTTCTTTTCCCCTGAGTCATGTTTGGAACGAGCGCTTTTCCATAAAAATCTGTGATTTCAGAATCCCGCCGCCAAACGATATCTTCCTCTTGGTCCCTTATTCAGTACGGTCAAAAAAATGCTTCTTTTTCTGATGCGGAGGCTCAGAAATACGGGTCTAGCGAGAGAGAGAGAGAGAGAGGAAGGGAAGCTTGAGCAAGAAGCATCATAGGTGAAACATAGAGGGGGAGAGGGAGAGTGAGAGACCCACAATGCTTCTTACCCAGAATGCTCCCCTCTCTAACGATGGTGGGTATGCCACGTCCAAATGTAGGTTCTCCCTTTCTCTCAACCGAAATGCTTCCAATGTCAGCTGATCTTCCTCCTGAGCTACCCAGAATGCTCGCTCTCTCTCTCTCTCTCTCTCTCTCTGTTTTTCTCCTAGAATGTTAGAGAGAGGAATGGAGGAAAACTAGCTTAGGCTAGAAGCACTCCGGGGCTCCCTCTCCGTTCCTGTATCCCCGTCTCCATGTTACAAAGAGAGAGAGGGAGACGCAGAAGAAGATTAGCACACGCCAGAAGAGCATCCGGGCCCTCTCTCTCTCTAGTCCCCGCTCTATATCTCCTCGTCCTTCACCTGGAATGCAGGCGAGAGAAGCGGAGGAAGTTTAGCTTGCGCTAGAAGCATTCTGGGCTCTCTCTCTCTCTCTCTCTCTCCAAACTCAGATTTCCTCCGAACACCCTGCCCTCGATCAGAATTCAACCCTCCAAACATTCTGAGAAACTCCGCTCCATCTCCCTCCGAGGATTCACATTCCGGGAACGATTTCAACCCTAACCGCCTCTCCATGGACCTACCGGCAGGGGATTCGGAGCGTCCCTGGCCGCCGGCGGTGGCCGTCGGCGCCACCACCGCCGCCTACTGGCTGAACTGGAGGGTTCTGGTCTGCGCCTTCTGGATCCTCTCCTCTGTGACCGTGGCAGCCATCTCCATCTCCCGATCCGAAGCCCGCTCCAGCGGAGAAGAAGAGAGAGAGAGAGAAGAGCGAGAACAAGATGAACCTCGGGGGCCCCTCCTCTACGAGGAGGACACCTGGAGGCCATGTCTGGAGAAGATCCATCCCGCCTGGTTGCTGGGTTTCAGGGTTTTGGCTTTCTCCGTCCTCTCAGCGCTCCTCGTCGTCAACCTCGTGGCGCAGGGAGGAGAGATGTTCTACTTCTACACCCAGTAAGCAAACCACTGGTTTTCTTCCAGTTTTATTAATTATTTTCTCCCCCCTCCAAAAAAAAAAAATCAATCTTTCGTATTCCAAGCAAAGTTTCATTGAGCAGATATATTTAATTTTGAATAATGATAATAACAATACTTCATGGTTGAACTTATCGAATTAATTTGAAATGGGGCTAGATTTTTCTTGGATTTTGTTCATAAATTTTTACTTGTGTTAGGATATATTTATCCGAAGTTGAATGGAATTTTTATATCCCCATAAAATTGAAGAAATTAAGATCTAGCCCCCCTACGTAGCATGAATCCTTTTGCGCGCCGTTGACTGACGTGATCCTGGCTGTTCAACAGGTGGACATTTGCGCTAGTAACTCTTTATTTCGGGGTAAGTCGATAATATTTTAAAACATTTATTTATTTATTTATTTTTCTCTTGCGATAGTCCTAAAAATACTAGATTTTTGCAGATCGGGTCTCTCTTATCCTGCTATGGGTGCCGTAAACTCCTCGGTCAACCCGAGTGCAAGAGGCCACGTGGCACGCACCCAGATGCGGAGAATCCAATGTATGCCGCTCCAACAAGTCTGGAGAATGAGAAAATATATCCAATGATGGAGAGATGCGACTCCGAAGAGGAAAATCTTGCAAGCCCACTCGCTGGATTCTGGGCCCACACCTTCCAAATAATTTTCCAGGTAAATTAAGCAAATCTAGGTGCTATTACTTTGAAATATTTTATGTTTCGAAGGTTGGAAAAATGGGTCTTTTAAACGAGTTAGGAATCGATGGGTGGTTGGTGACCTGGCAATAAGAATGGCCTGCCACGTGGCAGTCCACGTGGCAACTCATCTCTCTCCTTTGAGCCAACATCGTCATGTATGTCAACAGGTGAGTGGCGGCGCCGTGATGCTGACGGACTGCGTCTTCTGGCTGGTCATCGTCCCGTTTCTCACCGCGAAAGATTACAGTCTAGATTTCGTAAGTGTCCTTCCCAAACTCGATCTCCGGAATCGGATTCCTCTCTCTCTCTCTCTCTCTCTCTCTCTCTCTCTCTCTCTCTCTCTCTCTCTCTCTCTCTCTCTCTCTCTCTCTCTCTCTCTCTCTCTCTTTCTTCCTCCTTTTCCTGTTTGAAAATTCCCCGGCGTTGACAACGTTTTATCCAAGATTCTTCTAGAAACATCGATTAAGATAATAAATAATTTTTTAGAAAATGTTGAGAGAAAACCAGACCGAGATGGGGGGCAGGCTGTGGCCCCTCTAAATATGCATACGGTATTATTTTTTTTGAAACGTTTGGTGTATTATCCACATTAAATGCCCATGTAATCAATATCCCTATTGGGTTCTAATGATAGTAATTATCCGTCTAATTATAGTATTTTTATTTATTTATTTATTTCGTGTCAGTTTATGAGCGGCATGCACTCTATGAATGCCATCTTCCTGCTGGGAGACACCGCCTTGAACTCTCTGGTAGGTCTCAACCTTTCTCTTTTAAGTCAATATTGCCCAATTCAGTCGACGACTAAATGGGCCGGTAAGACCAGCCCAATACATATGCGGCCCAGTTAGGGCTTTGGGCAGTAAGCTTACCCCCTTCGTTCGTCTGCCAGAGATTCCCATGGTTTCGGATCTCATACTTTGTGCTGTTCACGGCGGTCTACGTCATTTTCCAGTGGGTCATACATGCTTCTACACCAATTTGGTAAATTTTCAGGGCACCCACCACCTTTTACATTGACTCATCAGCGTATAGTATATATACATATATATATATATGACTATATATACAATACATATCTATACTATATATACGTAATGATCTGATGGTTTTTGGTTTTGCTCATGCAGGTGGCCTTACCCATTCCTAGACTTGTCTTCGCCGTACGCTCCATTATGGTAGTAATTTCCACTTATTAATCTTGTTTCTTTAATCTTTGGATGATTATCACTTATGTACATGCGTTGACTTCCATTGACAAGCTTCTAGTTCTTGCCCCCCCCCACCCTCTCTCTCTCTCTCTCTCTCTCTCTCTCTCTCTCTCTCTCTCTAAATATATATATATAGATAGATAAATTTGTGAGTATCTTAACAGTATGGTAGGCCTAAGCAAAGATCAATAAAATTTAATGGGAATCCAACTGGGTCTTGCAGGTACTTCTCAGTGGGAGTGATGCACGTTCCTTGCTTCGCCATCTTTCCCCTACTAATCAAGGCGAAGCATCTGCTGCTGTCCAGATGGTTCCCTCAGTCTTACCAGTTACGGAAATATTGAGGTGGCCAGAAGAATACGGCGATCAGGAGATGCCCCGCTGACCCATGTAGATCAAAAGGAAAGGAAAAGAGACTGAATGGTGATGCTGAATGATTACTTAAAATATATCATCTTTGATCAATAATGAATGCCCCCTAGGACAATTGAATGCAGGAGGGCCGCTGGCTGGTGGAAATCTTGTGCAGACAGCTCAGATTCTCTCAGACGATAGAGATTTGTCCTTGAATAGATTAATTTCACAGAGGGTTCAGAAAACCCAGATGAAAAGTCAAACCAGTTTAAGCCCCATGCTCTGAAAGCCCAGTTTAATTTCACGGAGTGCTCCGAAAACCCAGATGCGAAGTCAAACTGGTTTACGCCCCATGTTCTGAAAACCCGGTTTAATCTCACGGAGTGTTCTGAAAACCCAGATGAAAAGTCAAACTGGTTTAAGTCCCCATGCTCTGAAAGCCCGGTTTAATCTCATGGAGTGTTCTGAAAACCCAGATGAAAAGTCAATTTGGTTTAAGTCCCCATGTTCTGAAAACTCGGTTTAAAGTCAACACTCTAAGAGTAGACAAGTTAGATTTATTCTCCGACACAAAATAGAAACACCCTCTTTTTTGCGTCGTTCTCATGCGCCATTCAAGTGGAGTTCTGAAAACCAGGTGAAAAGTCAAACTGATTTAAGCCCCATTTCAGAAAACCCAGTTTAATTTCACGGAGTGTTCTGAAAACCAGGTGAAAAGTCAAACTGGTTTAAGCCCCTTGTTCTGAAAACCCGGTTTAATTTCACAGTGTGTTCAGAAAACCCAGGTGAAAAGTCAAACCGGTTTAAGCCCCATGTTCTGAAAACCCAGATTAATTTCACGGAGTGTTCTGAGGACCCAGATGAAAAGTCAAACTGGTTTCAGTTCCCGTGTGCCAAGCTTTACAGCGCTGCGAGTTTCAAAAGCACACAAACCAGCATCAAACCTGTCAACTAGATCCATTCCGCAATTCTCACAGAGATCAATGAAGAATGCTGGCTTTAGAGGGAAGAAATGGTCGAAGAAATCTGCCAATGGGTATAATCCTCAATGATGCCAATAACACAACAGATATCTTCCTTGAATTGATCTACCCACAGCATGTTCTGAAGCATAATCAAGATCGATTAATCCAAAAACCCTAAAAGCACAGCTCAACCCTAAGAGCAGGATTCATGCGTTCATGGCTTTACATGCTCCCTAATGAACTGCTCGAGTTGAGTAATCTCACCCTTTATACCAGAGGCTTCAGCAACGGACACCTTGTTGTGGCACTGCACAAACGCAAATGCCTCGCCTGCTATCCCGAGGGTAACCTCATTGGTGACGTCAGCCGTTGAAACCGCAGTCCTCGAGGTTCGTAACTTGTCACTGCAATGTAAATGGGAGGGTATAAATGATAGAAGGCATAATCAGAGATGGATTTTGACCTGTGAAAGTCAACAGAGAGCAGCCCATGGAACTAGCAGTTGACTCAACTAAAATCTAGGGTGATAATCAGCCACAAAAGTATGAAGGTAGCTGCCACTAATAGTAATCTCTCAAGCTACAAAAAAAAAGGGGGATGGGGAGGGCGATTTCCTGGGATCCTTTATATTATTTAAAGGAACCAAAAATATTATGCAGCTTCTTTGAACGCGTAAAAATTAAATAGTAATTAAAGAAGGAAATAACGAGAGATTATGAAGCAATAAATCACAAGAGACTATTGATTAGGTTAGCAGTGTAGTCTGATGATTTCATATTTCTTATGGTTCTAATTTACAGATACATTGGGCTATAAATTTAAATGATCAATAATATGAGTCTAAATTTCACCAAAAGCATAGCTTAATTATTAAATCTCTAATTTCAAGTTCTAATTGAAGAGAAGTTGGGCTGGCTAATTTTTTTATAAAAAAAAAGTGATAAGCAGGTACTTACATTTCCTTCTCCAGTTGCTTCCTAATGAATTCCTTAGAGTGAGCAGTCACCTTGTCAGTCTTGTTGCACAAAATCAGTACTGGAATTTTCTTGTTCACTACATTCGTCTTCGTCAAAATGTCATATAGGTACCTATCACAGGAAACCAAATCATAAATGAAGCATGGAAGATGGCCACAAGAGGAAGAACAGGAACCTGAATCCTTGCGAGAAATTAACCTAAAAATATGGTATTTAGCAGACGATCAAATCATTGTAGTAGGTGAGACGCAATCTCTGTCCCAAGTATATCATCAGACGATCAAATGCAACATAATAACAACTCCATTTCGGCTTATTTTTATATCATCTAAACAGTTGCCAGTTCGATAAATAATTATGGATATGAGAGCAGTTGAAAGTGAATTACTCTGCAACTGCCCGGCAGTTTGGTAAGAAATCCAAAGCATCCACAACAAAAACAATGCCAGCTGCTTGCGGCAAGAACTCGTCGAGCTTCGGTCGAAGCCGGGGATGACCAGGAACATCAACAACACGAACAGGCTTTATTTTGTTTTTCTGTGTAAAGGATAGTAAGAACGAGGGCAGTGTCATCCTCTATAGAATATATGTGCTCCTAAAACAGAAAGGAAGGAGAAATTCCAATGGAATTTGGACACTAACACTAGAACAAGTGTTGTACTACAAATTTTCTTTACCTTTTCAGACTCGGAATGGAGAATGAACCAATCCTCATTTGGTTCCATTGACGTCACTGTCCCTTGATGCGGAGACCCATCACGAAGCTGCCAGAAGAATTCAACCAAATCGCACAGTAATTAAAGTTCAACCCATTTCGTGTTGGAGAAAACAATCGAAACTCGTGAATCAATACGCCAGAGGATTCCCTATGCAGGAAAAACTAAGAAAGAACATTTAGGGAAATTGAAAATGCCTAGAATGTTTCTTTACTGACTAGTCGTCAAAAACCTCTTCTGTTATCTATATCTTACTATACAGACCGAAATGGGCAATACTTCCTGAGATATGCCTAGTGGCGTAGACTAACTGCAACTCGTTAGCTCACAATTCAAACCCCAGCCCAAAGAGAAATGCAATCTGCATAACATAAATGGTAGCATAACGCAGTTGAATGCAGATGACCATGGTGGTGAAACGAAATGATAATGAGAAAACCAGCAACGATGAGAGGGATGGAATACAGGAAACAGAAAATATGCGCTTCTATGCATCCCTCTTTATCTGACAAAATGGCAGAACGTTAGATTTAATCTATCATCAGGTTCATAATTTCACGCTGGAATCGAGTGAAGTATTGAGTTGGAATCGCTTCCGGTTCAATGCCAGAATTAAAAGCTCCATTGCATCTATGCATGAAACTATTAGGATTTGAATACAGTTAAATCCCAGCATACACTCCCTAATTGACTAATGGCTGTCTCCTTCTACCGTCCTGATTGGCTAGCATTTGACTACCCCCCATTTTGGAAAGAACACCATTTTGAGCGGCTATCATTGTGATAAACTACTATTACAATCCTTTTCCATCTGTTTTCTCTCTATCTTATCCTCTCAGAATTAATGCAGAGATCATACCAACTATTAATCCAATGACTTCAATTTCCCCTAATGGGAATATTGAGTTATGATCTACAAAGAATGTCAAACATAATTATACCTGGTAGAAAAGAACAGTTTTCCCGCTTCCACTTAATCCAGCAAGCACTATAGTATTGGACTTTGTGCCCTTAAAAAGGCGACCTACAATTGACAGATGAATAGTTAGCAACTACAAGAAGATGCATCGTGACACAATGTATGGACGGCACAACAAAGAAAATTAAAGCCTCCGCCTTCTCATGAATATTATACAACTATTTGAACTTAAGATGGGGAGAGAGGGAAACTTTAGATATTTTTACCATTAGTATGCATACGATATAATACAAGCGTGAAAGAGAATCAGGTTGGTCCAAGATAAAACTTCCAAAAGGCAAGGAGAAGTCAAAAATATATCAAACGAAACACTTAAAATCAACTCTCTTCATGTCTGGTGGCTTTCATCTTAGGGTTGATATATTTTACTTTCTCGTGGATGTGCTCCTGGACCAGAATAATGAAATGGGAGTAGAAGTCATCATAATCTGGGAGGGCAAACCGTCATGTCGTTAAGATAAATGTAGTCTGAGGAGCAGCAAAGTGGACATATTTTTGTTTTATCATACCCTACTAGTAGGAATATGAACACATTAAATTGTGAAATGAATTGATTAAAATGCTCACCAAGCATTTACTTTATATTTTTCCCAAGGCATGTCTGACAAAAATATCCAGTGACGTTGCCTAATTCCTATGAGGTGCACTGTAGTGGGGCCATCAACATTCATTAAATTTTTAAGAGAATTAGTTAAAATGCTCAACAAAGCTTTTACATTGCATTTTTCCCAAGACATGCCTGACAAGGATATCAAATGGCATTCCCCAAGTCCTATGATAACTGCATTCTGGTAGCCTGGGATAACTATAAAAACTATCAAAAACGGAGTCAGACAACAAGAGTGAGAAGTAATTTCTCATACGCCAAAGCCTGTTTCTAATATTAATCTGTTGCTACACCTAAAAAAAAAACGCTAGTAAAAATTTAGATGAAAGTTACAGTAAATCAGAAAAAGGCATGAAAATTAAACAATAGAAGACTATCAATGCAGTTGTATAATGTTCCTTGCTAGCATGCAAAAGAGGCTCGAAGAAGCCTGTGACAAGGCCATGGCATCAGAACACAAAAGAAGCATATTATCTAGGTTGCCATTATCAAGTTCGGTATGTGATGAAACTTATAAAAATCTATGCTTTGTTCCTCTTGAAAAGGATGTTCTAAATTTGAATCACATGCGTCATTTGAAATGAAACACCAGCAGTTTCAGATATTTCCCTACAATAAGATAATTTGCTTGTCCTTGTCAACATTTTCTTAGAAAAATTACAATTTGTAATCGTTCAAAATTCATAGAATAATAATGATATTTTCTAGTCAGCACCCCACTCAAAAACAAGTAAATTGATTACATATTAAAGGTGGACAACGTTCAACACTCGTGAAAAGGACTCAATCCAGAGTTCATTCAGTGAAATTGTCCATTTTTATTGCATTCAGTTCTAATAAGGGAATCACCAGTTACTCACACCTCCAGATCACTACTAAATATACTGAGAAGATCCTAGCACTTTGATGTCCACATCAAGTAAGAAACAGCTACGACAGTTCGTCTTAGCTCAGCTCAAAACAAATTCGAGCAACAATGTCACGTGCTCCTTCATAACAGGTTCCTTTGTCCTGCCTCAACAACTATTTTTCACATACTCTGGATTTTTATGACATTCTTCACTTCCACGCAGCATATCAAACTATCAATGAAACTTCTACAAAATTTCTTCCTATTTCAAACTTCAGATCACTGCCACAACACCATTTCCATTTACGATAGGCAAAATGTAACATTAATGAAGACAAAAAAAATTGTTTAAGGATTTCGAAAAAGATAAAAAATAATAGTCAACAGAGACACCGAAAAAATGAAATGAATTGATATAGGGAGAAGTCCACATGTACATAAAAGAAGTTTGCATCAGACAAATGCATACCTAAAAGGAGAAAAGTAACAGTAAGAAGTAGCACCACAAGGGCAGTGTACAGTTGCTCTGGCGGTAGTTGGCGAACCCATTTCTCCAGATCACCTTTCCATTGCTCTACATGCTGCAACAAATGTTCCATGACCTGCACACAAGGATGGTAAATTAAGATCACCAACAGAACAAGGAAAAATCAAAGAAAATTAGAAATAAGGTGGGGAAAGAGGAAGCATTTTGGAATAGACACCACAATATATTTCTTCAAAAGATGGGAGACATCAACGAGCCTTTCTTTTACTATTTAAATATAAATTTTACAAATAATTTGGGAGCATGTGTTATTGCCTGACCAAGGAGAAATAAATTTTACATTGAACTTTGGGCAGTCATGGTATAAACCTCAGTAAAACATCCAACTCTGTAAAATTGGATTTGTGAATGGGAATGCACCCAAAAGGAGCTTGAGTTCTATAATTTACTCACATTTTCTGGACCATGGGACAATATGTGGTGTAGGCCAACATAGGTCTTTGAGACGTACAGCTACATGGGCAATGATAATAATCACAAGGACTCGAGGAGATACATGGTACATCATTCAACATCAATGCACATACGAGCACTATTATCCTTCCCCTAATCACCTCTCTAGATACCAGGAAAAGAGAATTGTCGGTTAGAGGAAATCACACAGACACAATGAAATGCAGGTGAATTTGCAACGATTTGAATTAAACCTAGGAAACCAAAATATTGAACCTAACACGAATCCAAACCGAATTCTCTGGAATTAATTTAGAAAAGGGGAAGGAAACGAAGTACTATATTCTCCTAGGATGTACGCATTTTAAATAGGAGAAGGGAAACAAAAAACTACGCTGTCACACTGGTTCTTCACATGAGGCTTGGCGATTCCACAATGCCTCATCCACGTCTGGAAATACCATAAGAACTCGATCCTGCACGCACCGTGACAGGGCCTACCACTAGCCAGAGTGCCAGCACACAAGCGGTTTCGATCGATCCAAAGTGAGAAGCCTGGACACGGCGATCAGCCCACAAGCCTCCACCCGAAGGGAGGCGTGCATGAAGTCACCGAGATACGATTGAGAAGCAGAAAACGGTGACCAAACAAGACAAGGGATTAGAAACAGGGAGAATGAGGAGAAGCAACCACAGAATACCTGACGTGGAACGACCTTTGCAGACGAAGAAGATGCAGACAACCCAAAAGTTCCCAACGAAAATGGAGATGTGTAAGCCTATCCTACTCGGAAGAAGATCCCAAAGGAAGTCAACAGATGTCGAGGGCACGGAAGCCTGAGAAGATAGACCCGCCGGAGACTCGCGCAGCTATCACCTCCACCGGTCCACAAGTACCAGAGCGCAGAGAATCGAGCAGTTCAACCGCGAGAAGAACCCCGCCAGCCGGGAGACTCTCGAGGAGGAGAAACCCACCGGAACCTCGCCGGTGAAGAAATCAGGAGACGATGAGAGGAGCTTCCGGGTCAGACATTCCGGCCCGATATCTCAGGCACGAGATCCTCTTATTCGCTGGACGCGCTTAGTGAGTCCGAGCCCTGCCGAGTCGACTCGTCCTAACTCGTCTAAGTCTCTACGCCGACGAGTTCTGTTTTTTGCAAAACTCCCCTAAAAAGCTTCTTAGGTAAAAACCCCCCCACAAATTTAAATTACCAATAATAGTACTCAAAGCCATACTGCACGTGCGTACCAACCCATTATCGGGCTCCGGATCTATCGCGGGTCTCCCATTGGCTTAACCGAAATTTCTATTTTCCAAAACCCTGAAAAAAACCCATCAAGAAAACCCAAAACCCTGAAAAAAAAATCCCTTTTTTTCACTCAATCTCTCCAAAACATCGAAAAACTTTCAAAAAAAATAGAATTTTCCCCACATTTTTGGCTAAAAACGACAGTTCCAAGCAAATCAAGCACTCCCTTATGGATGCAGCCTTCTCCCTCTTCCTGCTCAACGCACAAGACCATTTATTTCTTATTAAAAAAGAATAATTACCAGCTTGATTCTCCATCACCAGTAGACCAATCTATGCACACAACTGTTGTAATGACTGCAGAGGAAGCAACAGAGAGGAAGAACCCGAAACCACTGAGGTCAACCTTCCGTGCCCGGCAGCGGGCCCATGAGGATCACAGGGTGGGTCTTCCTGGTCTTCTTCCACAAATTCTCCGGCCTGGCCTTTGACATGAGATCGGCAAAGAATCCTGACAGCGCCTTGGCATCGGAGCTCTCGGCTGACGCATCAACAAACCCTTTCAGCTCGATATCGGCCCCTTGGCTGGCCCCTGAAGCCGGGCGCAGCTGCCCGTCCACCGGCACCAGCTTCCCACAAGGGCAGCTCCCCATCTTCAGAATGCAGGGCTGGTGGAAGAGCAGATTGCACGAGCTGCATCGCACGGCTTCGGCTTCCTGGTTGCAGTAGAACAAGAGTAGTGGATGAGATTCCACTCGATGAAAAAAACTATGGGTCTTCCTTCCTTTTTTTTTTTCTTTTTTTTTGTTTTAAATGATTACTTATAATCTGAATTCAGGTGTATTGCTGATGGAAGAGCCCACCTGGAAGGGGAAGATGAGGGATGATGGATCCTCGCAGGTCTGTCGGGCAGCGCAGGGGGTGCCAGAGTCGTAGCATATGAGGCATTGCTGGGCAATGTGGGTGAGGATCTTCCCCTCGACCATCTCCACCAGAGTGGGCAAAGCTGAGAAAATAATACAAAGATGGGGAGGAAATAAGAATATTTTTCTATATCTACATAATTCTGGGAGTGCACAGGTCCATTTATGGACAGCAAATTGCAGCAGCTTCCAGAATAGGAAGGTCCAGTCAGACAATGCCACCATTGTTGAAAGGATATCGAGGGAATCCATTGGATTCATCCTTGCCTGCAGTTCCATCTACCTCTTCAGTGGCAACTGGAGTAAGCAACATCTTCAATTTCTTCCCTATTCATCTCCATGTCTTTGTATTTCTCAAAGCTCTGCCCCGTCCTCAAGAACTCACCCCTTATTGCCCATCTGATCATACCCTCCTCCTCCTCCTCCTCCTGTGCTCTTTCTCTCTATCTCTCGCAACCTATATGGTCTGTCCCACTACCCATGCTCCCTTCATGTTGTTATCTCCCCATTTTTCTAATTTCTCAAACCTCGAATCTCTCTCTCCAGCCTCTCTTCCCTTTGTCACTGTAATCTCATGCTCTTGGTCTCCCCTCACCCTTGCTCTTCCTCTCTCTCTCTCTCCTCTTCTTTCTACATGAATATATATATCCCCACTCACTCAAATATTCGTCATAGAACTACGCTATATAGAACTGATCTTAAACACAAACTTCAAAAATCAGAATCGGGACAAGACAGTAAAGAAATATATGACCTAACTGAGTCTGAATGGATGCAGAAAGCCCCCATCACTTTGGTTGCATGCAACTCGAAGCAAAAAAATATTGAAAGGAAAGATATGCTTGCATATCTTCCAAAGATTCAAATCTAGTTCTAACTCCAGCAATCATCTGCTTATCCAAAGGCAACATGAAGGCCAATGTGGCCAGCGAGAAGATCAGTGAGTTTTAAAGATTACCGGAAAATGCTCCTCTTGAAAGATCAGCGAGGTCTCGAAGTGCAAAGAAGTCATTTTCTTCAAGAAGATATCTGCGAGATCCGAGTACTCTGTTGATGGACCTCTGGAAAGGGCAGCGGACATATGGAAGCATGGAAGCTATTCTCTTTCTGATGCCCATTATCTGATGCAAGGCTGGGACCTTGGAAAGCAGAAAAGGGTTGACAGCACTGACGCAGAGCATTGGCTGAGAGAAAAATCTAATTAGCACGAGTCTGTGAGCACAGATCCAAGATATAAGGCATCATTTTATGATCGATCGTGCAAAAAATAAGCAAATAAGGAAAACTAAATCATATTGGCAAGATTGTATATAGAAATGGCCTTCCATGTCGGTGCTAATAATCACTGGGTGAGAGTCAGGTCAATACGGGTGTATACCCAATGGAAAAAGAATATAAAATATGCAATTACATTAGTGGAACTGTTCACAGAAGAAAAGCCAATGCATCAGAGAAATTGCATAAGGTTTTGAAAGAAAACAGAACGGTTATCAGCAAGACGCTAAACCATTGACTTAGCTATGATGTTTCAACCCATCCAATAAAAAAATAAATATTCTTTGATGAGGCAAAAGGCGAGTTAGGAATGCAGGTTGGAGATACCTGATCATATATGGAGTCGAGGAAAGCTTTAGCCAGCTGAGAAACTGAGTACAGAGAGAAGTCCCAGTGATGCAAGACTCTAGCTGGTAGAATTGCAGCATCATTCGTATGGCATATGAAGCAAAACAATTGGCCGGTGTATTCACAAAATCGGTTTTTTTCCCACCCAAAAGTTTTGGCAAGTCCTTGCACCAGGGTCTTTCCAGCATCCAACCGTCTGTGACATCCGGCACATAAATAACGCTGTGCCTCTAGCAGCTGTCCCATTGGCTTACGTACTTTGATTTCAAGTACAAGAGATATTGTCTTTCCCAGTTTTGAAACATCGCCCGCACTTGGTTCACCACAATATGATGAGTTTGACTTCACGCCGGCTGAAATTTTCTGTGGATTTTGACCGAGATGATTCAACGGATCAGAGCTATGGGAGACTCTGTTTGAGCATAGAAACCAGATCAGAGGACTAGGGGTTCCAGATGAAAATCTAAAATGAAGCACAGAGTTCAGACAATCTTGAATAAGAATACTTCTTTGAGTGATGACACTTGGGGATGCATTACCAAATAAGTTTCTAGATTCTCTCACCACACTGTTCCAGGGAGAAGGCAGCGTCAAACCATGATCAGTAAATAGAGTCTTTAGCTGATGATAGAGAGTAAGGAAATCACGGTATCTGTGCTCCACCTCCCACTGATCTTTACCACTTTTCACTCTCAATATATATATTGTATATTCCTTCACCCCAACTAATCTTTCCCCAAATGAAACATCTCCTTTCTTCTGCTTTGCACCAACAACTTCAATACAATCAATCGTTACGGGATACTGATTTCCCGTATAAAAGTCATCCGTCCCAGATATGGATGCCGTTGAACCCCCGTCTCTGAAATTATAAGATTTCTGGGAAGTATCACCCCGATCACCTTGAGAGCGCCTAGCTCCAGCACTTTCTCCAGAATCAAGCAAGATCTCCTCCATTTCAAGAACCATCTCGTGGTAGAATTCAGAGGTTTCATACTTTTCAACCTGAAAGATATGACAAAAGTAAATCCCAGAAGCTGAAGGTGCAGCACAAGATAAATATTTTCCCCAATGAAAGTTTAAAAACCAATAATGGAGGAATTTTGGTAAAAGCAAATATGACAATGACAGAACCACATGGAAGATGAACCAAACCAAGCATCATTTTTCAGTGCACAGCTCGAAGACAGATTGGTTAAGAGCTTAAGTTTCCCTCAGCGTACTCCATGGCAGAAGTACAGAGAGAATAGAGAGGTTCCCCAAGGTGTGAGATGGCTTCACTATGAGTCGGAATAGGGGCCTCTCACTCCATTCCTTAATGGTCACAAGAAGAATGATTGGTTAAGAGCTTAAGCTTCTCTAGGCACACTCCATGTTTATGGAAGTACAAAAGGGTACATTGATTCCTCCAAGGCGTGAGATGCCCTCCAAGACGCCAGTTCTATGCTATGATTCCAATTCTACAGCATCAACTACATTGTTATAGAACAGCAAAACTAGAAATGCATTCATTACAGAATTCGAGAGAGTTGAAGATGGAATCCTGGTCCAAACATATTCAAATGCCATATGCAAAAAATGGAGCAAAAAACAGTAAGAATCAGTCACACGTAAGGATTTTAAACATTTCAATTGCAACATTTCAGGTGACACACCTCAGAATGATGCAATTTAAAAGACGCGTTTCAGAAATTTCAAAAAAGCGGCAATCAAAAGCAAGGAAGAAAAATGTCAAGAAATGTATTCTGGTGTTTATCATCTAAAACCCATGTCATACTGAAGGCTTTCTCCTTCTTCTTTTTTTCCTTCCATTAACGTGTGCGTGTGCATACGCATGTGTTTGACTTATACTAAAATTGAGGACATGAATCATTTATAGTCTGGCTAACCTGATCAGCCGCCACATCCAGATTATCAATGTCTGTAAAGTCGCGACTGTTCTGAACATCTGGAAGGATATCAGCAGCTTTGCGCTCCTCTTGAGGCTCAATTTCTTTATTTTCCGATTCCCTGGTAGGAATACAATTAAACTGGGAAGCAGAGTTATCAAGATAAGGGCTTGAAATCATTCCAGAAATTCCATTCCCATCCCCATCCACGCTGATCACTTTTTCTTTGGATTTATAATGAGCATCTTTCTCTAAATTGCAATTGCTTTTCGCCCTATGAGCACCAGGAAGAACCGAGTCTTCTGCTCTGACACTAGAGCTCTGAACTTTCAAGACCCCATTTTCAATCAGCAGCTTCCCAACGTGATATCCTGTCACATTACCAGACGACTTATCTTCCTGCAGTACTTGGCTGCTTGCCCCTGATTTTCCCCCCACAAATTCTTGCTCTATTCTTCCTGGATTAAAATGCTGGATCAGTCCGTCATCTTGTACTTCAAAAATGTTATTTTCCACCTCAAAATGGTCACCCTTTCCCCCACGAAATGGGATAGAGTCCAATTCGATAACTTCTGTCTCTCGCTCAAATTCATCCCAATCATCGTTACCAAATGCCACTGAAGAGTTCATAAGCAATGGGTTCTCGTTCTGATCCCTACCTTCCCAATTGCGATTAAAAGTATTATTCCAGTTCATACAAATATCACCCTCACCATCAGTACCATAATCAAGCAAAGAGCCTTCCCCTTCCGAATGTTCATATCTTACTGAGCTGTTCTCATCTGGAACTGATTCGATTCCAGGCAGACAAGCTGAAGTGGAACCCTGAAAACAAAAATTCAACTTCTCAGATAATTCAGGGTCAGCACGTGGACCTCCCATTTGTGAGGAAGAGCATGATGATTCGAGCGCATTTGCATGGGATGGCAACCTTAGATGCTGCGATTTTCTTGCTACTCGCACCCCAGAAGGAATCAAATAATTATCACCGTTTTGATTGGAACCTATAAATAATTTGGAACTAGTTCTCTCCTTAGGAAGACCGTCCGACCCTGAAACAGGGAACTTGATTTCAACCGCAGGGTCTGCTCTACTGGAGTCACCTTCCCCATCAGAAAAACCATCAAATTTTCCAAAGAAAGTATCATCCGCCGACCTTTGATTTCTCCAAATCCTATCTCTGACGCTTGGACCCTCGGCAAGGCTGTCTTCCCCAGGTCCAAAACTCCTAAATGAATCTAGGAACTCGCCGTGATTCCCAGAAGAACTGCAAATGCTCGCGGTTCCCAGAACCGAATTCGCACTGCAGTACCTTTCAAACTCCGAACCCTCACAGGAGAAGTGTGATGAGGCTGGCGAAGCATCATCGTCATCATCGGACTTGTTGTCCAACCAGGAGCAATATCCACCCAACGGATCGGGCGAGGCAACTCCTTCCGATGCCTTCTCCATCGATCACGCCCGCCAAGCGGCTCTCCCTCCGTTCCCCACGCAAGGGAGAAATCTATCTCATCTGATCTCCATCCTGTAGCTCCAAAACAGCGGGAAACGATCCCGTGGCCAAATTCACGCCGATGAATCTGCCTCAGAGACCTTTATGGCCTTCTTCTGCCTCCTTTCAGGCCCCGAGAAAAACGACGAGCAACTGCGTGCAGAATAAACCTACCTCGAACAAGGAGACAACCACCCGCGATCACCTAGACGCTAGTGAAAACCCAGACTTCTCCAATCGGATACCGCGTACTCTCGGTTCCTCCCTCATCGGCAGGCTCCTCGCCGGCACCCCACGAGATGAGATCTTCGACAACCCCCTTCCCCCTCCTCTCTCTCCCCCGAATCCCCGTGGAAACCTGGTTAATCGCCAGAAACGAAGAAAGCTTCGAACTCTCGCCGGCGAATCCCATTACTGTCACACGCCATTGCCTGTCCACGTGTATACGTGTGAAACCGCACGTGCGCCAGGTGCATCCCACCCTTCTCACCCGACCATCTCCGAATTGGTTGTTCTTTAATTATCTGATAAATTTCAGATATTCTTCTTGTATCAATACATTTTCTTCTGCCGGGTAAATATTAATTTAAAAAATAAAAATTACGGAGGAATTAATACATAATTATGATGTTTTTTCGACAACGATGATCCTATTTATAGTTATTAAAAATAAATAGACCGGTCGAGCTATTCCTTTAAAAAATAAAAGGATAACAAAGAATGAACGTATTCATTAATGAGGTTGCATCGAATAGCATAATTAAATTATTATCATAAATGAATACCCAAAAAATGCAAATATACTTTAAAATTATCCTTATAATATTTTCAAAACCACTTAACATGGGAAGCAAGCTCAATCATTCATGTCATCCTCTGTAGTTAGAAAAAGATTTTGGTTGCAGTATTTACAATAAAAAAATAATGTAAAGAAACAAATAGAAAACTATAACTAAATGGTTTGATAAATTAAAAAATAAGATCATAATTATGTCAAAGAAGAAGAGAAATAAAATGAAGTGGATGATGACTACAATAATGAACATGATAATTTATTTACTTTTTTGTTTAAATGATCACAAAGTTACAATATTAAGATTTAGGAAGCTCAATATATTCCTAGTTTGACTATTGATAGGCATGAAAGTTAATATGAAAGAAGGTTTTGGTTATCAACTAGCCGAAAGATGTACTGATTGGTTCTGTTCAAGCGTAGACGTGACTCTCATCGGCCATCCAAACTTGTCTACTGAGGACAAATGACTCACATCCTTCACTTCAACTTCAATAATATTAAATGTTTGGTATTTAAATAGTGTAAATTGAGTCATAGTTGGATTTGGACCAACCATAGTCCCGACCATAATAATTTTTAGAATATGTTTTTTTTCATGACATTGGCTTTCATCTGAGGGGCTTATTGCTACAAGTTTTTTAAATAGTTTTACATATTTCTTGATAAAAATAATATTGAAAAAGTGGACTGCTTCTTCAATATTATGGCTATTTTCAATACCATAGTTGTGAAAAACTAAAATTAGCCTATCAAAATTTTATAATTGAAGAAAAATATATTTTATTAAATTTAAGAATAAATTTTCCTCAAACAATTGAAATGATGGTGATTACATAGTGAATGTTAGAATAAATTAGCATATTTCTAAAATGTGAACAATGATGATTTCTAAGAATCAAACTAGTGAGCACCAAAGTTTTCTTGATTAGGCACCAATGATATTATTGAGAAAAAACTTATAATACTATTTTCTCCATGATTCAATGAAGAACAATCTTGAATTATAAATATCAATGTAACATATGTAGAAAATATAAAAGAGCATCAGGAGCATCTTGTTTTTAAAACACTAAATACACCTTTAATGAGGAAGAAGGAATCATTGAGAAATTACATATTCACTTACATAGTTGCATAAAAATACAAAATTAAAATATCATTGAATGAAAATGCCTTAAAAACACTTTAAAATATATCTTAATATAATCCTCGTAGTATTTTTAGGACTATGGTAAATAGCAAGAATGCTCCATTATTAATGTCATACTCTATAGCCATAAAGCTTTTTTTTACTTACTTCAACCAATAATCTATATTTTTCCCTTTTCAGATGTGGACGATGATGATGATGATGAACATGATAATAATGATGATGATTTTTTTCTGATGATGTCCACAAAAGGAATAAAAAATTAGCAATAAACTACAAATTAATTAACATACTAAGGAGTTGGAAGTTCTATGGTTATCTAATAAATTTATAATCTTATCCTTATATCTATACAATTTCTTCTAATGTTATAAAGTTTTAAAGAATGTAAATTTCGAATCTTATCCTTATGAAAATGATGATTTTATTTATATTTTAAAAATAATTAGAGAAAGTCAAGTTGTATCCATAATGAATAGTGGCAAATATTTAGTTACCCACAAATATTCTCATTATACTATTATGATGCATTTGATAAAAAATGAAAGATACGAGAGGTATTGATAAATAATTATGATGTAATTTTAAATAATGATGATCCTATTTATAATTCTGAAGAAATAAACCGTTTGGCCCAAGCTACATAGAGTCGGCTGTTATTTAATTATCTAAAATATTTAAAATATTATCTTGTAGCAATATATATATTTCTTAAATTTATATATTTCTTAAAAATACACAAGATACGGAGGCATTGATAAATAATTATGATGTAATTTTCAACAACGATGCTCTTATCTATAATTTTTAAAAGATAAACCGGCCGAGTCCGGTCCCAACCGGTGATTTGGAGAAAATCGGGTTAATCCGGGCTCATACTGCACATAAGGTGTCAAGGTGGGAGAGGCCGTTGAGAAGAGTGGGGAGATGGCGCCAAACCCTAGCCCCGTCGGAGGGGTTTTGGAGCCCTTGCCGCCGGCAATGGAGGCCCTCGAGCGGCTGCGGACGGCGGCGCCGCCGTATTACCTCACCCCGTCCCCGGACCTCGCGCGTCTAGCCCGTGAGGCTTCCACGCACCTCTTCTCTTCGCTGCTTCCATTCTGTACGAATCCCCTCCCTCTCGACCGCCTGCTCGCCGACGAAAGCTTCGACGCGGAGCAGATATGGCACCAGATAGAGGTCCAGTCTCGCCCACTGCTCCCGGTTTTGAGGAGAGACCTGCGGCGGTTCGAGAAGATGGCCCCCGAGGAGCTGTTGGGCGTGAAGGTCCCACAAGAGGATGGAAGGGGAGGGAAAGAAGAAAAAGATTTAGAGGCAGAAGATATGGAGGATCCTGGCGAGGAGGAAGAGATCCTGGAAGATGAACAAGCAGAAGGGGGAGAGAGGAATGTGAGGCGAGGTGGCGGTGCGTCCGATAGTCTTTTGGAGGGCAATGAGTCGGATTACTCGGAGGATGGTAGGGATGATGAGGATAAAGACGAAGATGAAGATGAAGATGAAGATGAAGACGAAGATGAGGACGAGGATGAATATTTAATAGAGCACGAGGTAAGCCTGTCGTATATCTACTTTGATGCGTCTCGGACGAGCTTTTTGTTTTCAAGGACTAGGACGTGACAATGCTCAACATCTATTGGTGTGTATATTACCGTTCAAACCTTGTCGACTTGCCACAGGAAGAATTGCAGTTATCTTCAAGAAACTTGTGCCTATATTAGAAATTTGATATTTTGTTGATTAATTTGGCGCATAAATGTAGTACTGTCAATCAGTCACAAAATCTTTTTTTTTTTCCAGAAATCAAATGAATTTTATGCACCGGTTTCATAAAATTTATTGTTAATCCATTCATTCTTCCATCTGAATCAGCATTTCCATATTAGTGTTCTGAATATATTTTCCCCCTCTAAAGGGATGCTGTGGCAGAATCTCTCAGGCCAGGCCAAATAGTAAATTGTCCTACTATTCATGGCCCATCAAATAGAGTTTTTTTTTTTTCTTACCATCTTTCGATCGTTAATACGAGATATAAGGACCGCTACTACAAGCAGTACTACACCTTTGATCTGAAACTATCTATCCGATTTCTATTTGCACATATATATGCACGCTTTATATATGATTACAGGTATAAATATCTTGCATGTGATGGAACTTCAGAAAATAAATTTATGTTTCAAACTTTGTGAAACATGGTCTGCTGTTGAAAAAGTTGGGGATAAAATGTTCTAGATTAGAATCTAAGAGAAAATTACACTTTACATTAAAATACTGAAATCCCAGCGCAGATATTTTTTTAAGATAAACGATAACTAGCTAAGGTGTTTGAAGGCATTAAAATAGCGCCGAGGCCATACGTTTCCGAAGCCTGCAGACAATTACAGGAAAACTTGTGCCGATCAACTCTTTTTTACCAAGATATGGATGCTCAATGAGTGACATAAATTTTTCTTCGGAGCTCCGTGTACCGGCATGGTTATGATTATGCCCCAAAGTTGATATATGGTGGTTATTATTTATGTTGATTTTTTTGTGTTTCTACATTGGCGTTTCCATCATAAACCGACCGATTATTATTTTGATATATACAATGTCCTGACTATTATTTTGACCTGCAGTATGACCCTCAGGGTGATGGACGCGAAAATGAAGATCCCGACTCTGGTCTATTTGCAAAGTATTCCTCTCTGTTATCCTTTTTCTTGTTTTAGTTTCACCATAGCATCTTATATTAACAAGCCAAAGTATTTAGGAAATGATAGTGCATTCCACAGCCTCCAAAAGAAAGTTGTATTTCCAATGCTGAAAATTTGTGAGGTTCCTTATGGGTTAATCGCTCACACAGCTCGGTGCCCAACTTGGGTTATTATCCATTTATAGAAAACTAATATCACTTAGAACATTTACAGTATTTATGTAATTATAACGTTATCATACACAACTTTTTTTGTTTGGTCGTTTTTCGCTACTTTTTGCTTATTTATTTTTCCAGTACTTATTTTTTCAAATATTTCTATCAGGTATGATGATTTTTTTGGCGACAAAAATAAAAAGTCATCACAGCCTGGGGATAAAAAGAAAAAATGGCGATCTTCAAATAAATTAGAGCAGTCTGACGAAGAAAAGGAATCTCCGGGTGATACAGATATTGATGATCGCCAAGCAGATGATGCGGAACTTGACAGTCAGGTTCATTTTTAAGTGCTGTTTTGGAATTGACACATCTTAGCATGTTTTTTCTCTTCTCATTTAATTTATTTATTTAACAGGATGACGAGACACTCTCTACATTCGAAAGACAGAGTAGGAAGCTCAAGTCTGAGATAGAGCAGATGGAGAAAGAAAATTTGGCGCCCAAAACTTGGGCCATGCTTGGAGAGGTGGCTGCTTCCTTTATCATTCATTTTGTCAAAGACGTTTAAATCATATTTAGTTCGTAAGAGTTTAATCTGAAACATGATTTCTACCTTTATTCTTTTGTTTTCATTTCCGTCGAGGAAGGTTTCTGCTGCAAAACGGCCAAAAAACAGTGCGTTGGAAGTTGACCTGGACTTTGAACACAACAGGGGGCCTCCTCCAATTATCACCGAGGAAAGTACAGATATTATTGAAGATATAATTCTGAAGAGGATTCGCGAGGTAATCCAATTGAAAATATTCAGTTTTCTTTGGAGTTAATTCTCTTATCTCTAGTGTTTTTACTATTTAATTATGAATTAGAAATTCATTGTTCTTTTCATTGATTATGCCAATATGGTTCTAAGAAGATAGCATATTTGCTCGGAGAAGGCCTATGCAGTGTTTATAACTGAAATAGCCACACTAGTTGTATCGAGCTTTAAGAAATCATTCTCTTAGAGTAAATTTTTTATAGATATCCATAAAAGTATTCATCAAATTTTAAATTCTGATATTTTCTGTGTAACTGTCAAATTTTGGCTATTAACATCCTTCCAGGTGACTCGCATGGAAGATCTTCATTATAGACAACTCTATGAATCAAAATTCCTGAACAATATTTGAATGCAATCGAGTGTGCTACATGTTACATGGTTATGCCTGGGAAAAAAAAAGGGGGTATTTCTATTTGCATGATACTACATGTTAATGGTTTTTAGAATGTTAGAGAAAGAACTGATTGTCTAAGTTATGTTTTATAATTAATGTGGAGACCTATAATGAGGATTTATTGAACGATCTTCTGAATCATTATAGAAATGATTAGACCTTGCAACCAGCATGAGATGGTAGGTTGGTCGGAGCTTGCAAATCATGTGACCCCTGTTGCTAAGGTAGAATATTCCTTCGACTTTGGATTCTCACCAAAATATTAGGCTGAAAAATATCACATTCATAAACATATTCTCCATCTCCATAAATTTCCCGACCTTTTTTCTTCTTCAGTAAACGCTAATTTTGTTGCAATCTTGTTCAGGGACACTTTGATGACGTTCAAAGGGCGCCCAGTTTACCTTCTAAGGCACCAAAGGAGCTCAAAGAGTTGGTATGAACTCCTCATACCAGAGGATATTCTCACTCCCTTCCCTTGCGCAAACTGCTGTTATTTCTGAACTCCTCATCATTTAATGACCACAGGACGACAACAAGAGCAAAAAGGGGCTCGCAGAGATCTATGAGGTTGGTATGGGCAGACTTTGGACAATAATTTCCCATATATATATATATATTTTGACTCTTGTGGTAATTTCTCTTTTTCAGGAGGAGTACGCGCAGACCACTGGACTTGCATCTGCCCCTCTTTCATCCTCAGATGAACTGAAGAAGGAGGTATGCCAACGATTTAATGATCTCCATTATTCGTATGCTGGGTTTTTTTTTCTCTCAATTTCTCTGGATTTTTATGCCTTATTTAATTCTCGGACCAATTGGGTTGAAAAAATAAAAATATTATAATTAACGGCCATCCCTTCCTTTCCTCTTCCTCAGGCGGGCGCGCTGTTCAAGAGACTCTGCTTGAAGCTGGATGCTTTGTCCCACTTTCACTTCGCCCCTAAGCCAGTAAGCCCCCCTGGAGAAGAAAACGATAGAAAACCCTAACTGCTGGACCACGTTAAGCCTAATGCGCCCTTGATCTTCGACAGGTTATCGAAGACCTGTCTATTCAGGCTAACATCCCCGCTCTGGCGATGGAAGAGGTAAGCGAGCTTGAGACTACCTGTGCGGCTTGAGACTTTGTGGTGGCGCTCTGACGTGGCTTCTTTTGGTTGGCGCCATCAACAGGTTGCTCCTCTGGCCATCTCCGACGCAGCCATGCTCGCTCCTGAGGAGATTTTTAGTGGAAAAGGTGACGTCAAAGAAGAAGCGGAGCTGACCCAGGCTGACAGAAAACGCAGGAGAGCTAAGAAGAAGAGGAAGTTCAAAGGTCTGACCGCCCACTTGATCTCGCCTTCTCTCTCTCTCTCTTCTGACTTCTATACCATCTCCATTTTTGCCATTCAAGGTCTATTATCTCCAAGTGATTTCTCTCTCTCTCTCTCTCTCGATTTCTATGTGGGTCTGTTAAACTTTATTTTGGATTAGTTCAGTCTGATTATTGTTGGTCTGCCCATTTTATCTCTCTCTCTCTCTCTTCTGACTTCTATACCATCTCCATTGTTGCTACTCAAGGTCTATTATCTCCAAGTGATTTCTCTCTCTCTCTCTCTCTCTCTCTCTCTCTCTCTCTACGTGGGTGTGTTATACGTTATTTTGGATTCAATATTGGTTTCTCAATTTGATATCTTTTCTCTCTCTCTCTTTCTTCTGACTTTTATGATATCTCCATTTTTGCCATCCAAAGTCTATTATCTCCAAGAGATTTCTCTCTCTTTCTATGCGGGTGTGTTATAGTTTATTTTTTGGAGTAGTCAATGTGATAAATTGTTCGTCTGCCCATTTGATTTCGATGTCTCTCTCTTTCTCTTTCTTCTGACTTTTATACTATCTCCATTTTTGCCATTCGAGGTCCATTATCTCTCTCTCTCTCTCTATATTCTCGAGTGTCGTTATTGGTCTGATCAACCTGAACCTGCTGCTGCAGCCGAGGAGGCGCAGAAAACGGCGAAGAAGGCGAGGGGAAACAAGAATCTGGATCGGCCAAATGGTATTTTTCGCGTCTAACCCGATCGATCCACCATAGTTTTGGCTGCTTGTTTACTCCTTTCAATGACCCCCCGTTGAAACTCGCAGGCAGGGAAGAATCCTGAGCAGCCCAGACATCTGACGGCGGATTCTGCAAATCTCCACTCCAATTGGCGAGAGAGCAGTTCGAGAGAGGTCAAAGTCAGAGGCCCACGTTGCCTCCGGTCGAGAGTCAGCGGGCTCGGGAATCATGCGCTCTACGTTGACGAGGAGAGATCGCTCTTCAGATTGGACTGGTAACAGTTGGAGTTATTTTTTCTGTAACGTTCGTTCTGGGAAAATAAAATAAATTACGTTAAATGGAGAGGTGCAGTGGGCTGGGTACAGCACGGGTTCGGCCGGGCCCGGGTAAGTTCGGGTAATATAATGTTCAGGCCCGCCTCCTTCAAACGAGTACTAGCCGTACGATCGGTCTGTCATTACCTGATCGTGGGTCCCACATTTCCACCCATCTCGCACCCAGCGTACGACGTCCGCCCTCCTCCCTCTGCCGCCCGCGGCTCCGGCGCCGTCTACGCGAGGTGCTAGTTTTATCTATGTTGGCTCATGATCAGGGGTCATTGATGACCTAGAGAGAGAAGAAGAGGGAGATGTACTTGCCCAAGAGAAAGTATGCTCTGAAGACATTATTTCTTTGACCGTTCTGTTGTCTTCTTGGTTGATTCCAGCTTCTGCACCCTCTGTAAGTTTTTTTTTTTTTTCTCTGAGAAAATAAAATAAAATCTTGGAGAAGATGATGCGCCATAGGAGTGCCAGTATTTTACCCAATTTCATTCGATTAGCATGCATGTGGGACTTTATAACAATAAGTGATAATTACTGTGATTATTTTTCTGAACAAGATCCCCTGAGGTCGGAGATCGAATGGTGGGCATCGGATTTTGTGAAAACCCTAGATGAGAGAGAGAGAAAACCAGAGGTGGAGGAGAGGGTCGGTGGGAGCTCATGACGGCTGGCTAGGTGAGGGTTCTGGGGGAACCCGTATGACGTAGGATGGGTCAAACGTGTTCCTATTCTTTGACCTGAATCCGCCGTCGGAGAAAGCTAGAAAAAAGGTCGCAATCAGAGTTGTTGGGGTCTCTTTATTCCAATTCAGGTTTTAGAGTAAATTAAAAATGGAATAATTTGATCCATCCTACGGATTATATATATTTTTTAGCTTCATTTTCTCAGAAATTAGGGAGGAGAGAGGCGCTGTAGGTGACACGATTTTTCCTCGAGTCAACGGGAGGACTGCCCACCGACGATAAATTTGAGACTAAACAAAAAGCAGTGTTCTTGATTTTCCAGAACACCGTTTTTTGTCAATGTCTCGTGGGTTGAATCCTCGGCCGGTGGTGCGTGCGGTGTCGTTAAAAAGTCGTCCCCCAGACGTCGTGGCGGCTGGTCAGCTGCGGCGTCGGCGTGTTCACCTTTTTGGGGGATCAACTTTTCTGGGGATCTCGCTGGGCTCCGGACTCTCCTTCCTCTTCATCCGCTTCTCTGATTCGTGGGTGCGAATCTCGTTATCGCCGTTTGTCGTTCTCTCGTTCATTTCGATTGTATTCGGTGGGGATTCAGCGAATCCGGAGCTTGTAGAGCTCCGCCGCCGCCTCGTTTCGAGGGTCAAGGCTGAAGAAGTCGTGGGATTTCTCCCGATTTGGTGGGAGCAGCCTTCGTGACCAAGAGATTTCTCCGAGAGCGGAAGCGATGCTGTGATCACAGTCCAGGCTCTCGTCCCACGGAATAAGGGTTCGATTTTCTTCCGTTCTGAGGGATAACCGGGGGCAGATCGGCCTTATGGCGGTGGCATTTAGGTACCCTGCCGGATGTCCTCGTCCAGTTCCCGGCGGCAGGAGTTCTCCGGCGGGGTTGAGGGCACCGTCGTCCCCAATTTCTGCTCCCATTAACTCTGTCCGGAGCAGGAGACTGGCACTGACAGCATCTGTTCAGAAAAGCAGCAGCTGCAACTTAAATCCATCGTCCTTGTCATTTAAGCAGGTATGGACAAACCAATCTGCTCTCTCTCTCTCTCTCTCCGTATGTCTTTTTCTCTCTCTTTGTCTCTCTAGTTGCAATTATGATACCTGCCGGGTGAAATCTATTGTGGGTTCTTTTTCAGCTGATCGAGTCGCTCATAGATCGCGTTGACCTTTCGGAAGAAGTCGCAGAGGCTTCGCTGGATCTCCTGCTTGGTGAAGCCAACGAGGCCCTGATAAGCGCCTTCCTTGTGCTTCTGAGGGCAAAGGGAGAGACCTTCGAAGAGGTAGACGAATTCGGGTCTTAAATCCCGCCGCCGCCGCCGCCGCCGCCGCGGTGATCCACAGTGTTATTCAATAGACTCTCCGAAAATGCAGATCGTGGGATTGGCCAGGGCGATGATCAAACACTCCCGGAAGGTGGAAGGCCTCGACGGCGATGCCGTTGACATCGTGGGAACCGGCGGTGACGGCGCGGATACGGTCAACATATCAACTGGCGCCGCTATTCTAACTGCAGCCGCCGGAGTGAATGTGGCCAAGGTGACGGCCCAAATCTTCCTCCTTTCCTTAAATAATATTAATCCTCTCTCCATGAAACACCGTAAAAAAGAAAAAAGAAAAAATGATGAATGTTGACTTATTTTTCAGCAAGGAAACCGCTCCAGTTCTTCAGCATGTGGGAGTGCCGACGTGTTGGAGGCTTTGGGGGTGAACATCGAATTGCCCCCTGAGGTGAGCTGGCTAGAATTGAGCTCATCAGCCATTTAGTCAACTTTTCTTCCAATCTGGTCTACTTTCTTCTGTTCTAGTCGAGTTTTCTCAGATTTTCTCTCACTGTTCGACCATTGAACCATATGATCCCATGCTTAATGACTCTGAGCGACAGGGAAGGTGGTTCCCCAGAGTGATCTCAAGGAAAATGATGACCAGAAAAAAGATGGGGACCGAGATCCTTGTGTTGGTGCACTTTGTGACTAAAAATAGTCAAAATTAACAGCCACTCAGAAGTTCACCGTTGAGCGGATGGTGAGCCATAAACAGGAAGTCAACGACCTTCGCCAATCAGGGATCTTGTCTGGCTTTTTAGTAGCTCCATTAGCGTTGGCCGCTGCTATCCAGTGCATGAAGGCTGATCTCTGAGATGATGATCAAGGAAATGCGCAGGCTTTTCTTCGACCTGCTTCATGCCACTGAGAGGCTTTCAGACCCTTATTTTCTTTTTCCATCCAATATATTTTCATCGCGTAGCATGATTTTTTGCTCAGATTTCCAGTTCAGTTCTCGCTGTCAACTGAGATGCCGGCGTCATTGATTCACTTATCTTGTCTTGATGGGTTGAAGGGGGTAAGGAGATGCATCAAGGAAGTGGGCATCGGTTTTATGATGGCTCCCAAGTACCACCCGGCCATGAAGATTGTGGGTCCTGTTCGGAAGAGGCTCAAGGTCAAGACCGTGTTCAACATCCTTGGTCCGATGCTAAATCCAGCAAGGGTGCCTTTCGCTGTCGTCGGCGTCTACCACGAAGAGATTGTGAGTTTCTAGCTGCCCTCCTGAATTATGTTCTTTATTCACAGTATTAAAAATTACTTTAAATTGTATAAATTTCTTGTCGGGGGAAATAATTATCCTTCCCCGCTATGTTCTCGTCCATTTTAGAATGATTTCCCACTGCAAAATTGGTTCTTTGGGAGTACAAGATGATGATCCCTTGCCCATTTGGTTTTTTTTTTTTTTTTAATTTCTTATGACGGCAGTATGAATAGCTTTATTTCGTTTATACACCCGGGAATTATCATAGTTGGGAAATAATTCAAGGCCTGCCAGTATCTTGAATATGCTGGAATTTTATTCCATTTTTTTTTTTTACTCTGGGCATATGGCAATATCTGGATTGCAGGTGCTCAAGATGGCCAGGGCACTGCAGAGGTTTGGGATGAGGAGAGCGGTTGTAGTTCATTCAAAGGGTTTGGATGAGATCAGCCCCCTGGGTGAGCCTTTCATTGCTTCCTCAGGCTTGCTATTGATTCCATTCCCATTTAAGCAAAAAATCAGACATACTATCAATAAATAATAATAATAATAATAATAATAATAATAATAATAATAATAATAATAATAATAATAATATATTCTACACTCCCAGGCTGCTGCTCCTCTTTTTTTCTATTTTTAAATTATTTCTCTGGTATTTATGGTTCTTCCCATGTCAGGGCCGGGATATCTCCTGGATGTCACTTCGGAAAAGATTGAGAAGGCATTCTACGATCCACGTATGTTCTTCCCTTTCCTGCTCGTCGAGACTGTGGGGGCTCCTCCCTCCTCCCCCTCTTCTCTGCGGCGACTTCTGGGGAAGAGGGGAACCTCTTGGATTTATGTTTTAGCTTTGTGTGTTCTACCCATTAACGTGGAGCTTGGTGGGTGGGGCAGTTGACTTTGGCATCCCGCGATGCACCCTGGAAGACCTGAAAGGAGGAGGGCCAGAATTCAACGCTCAGGTTCTTAGGGACGTGCTATCAGGCGGAAAGGGGGCCATCGCCGACGCCCTGGTCAGTCTTCCGTTCTTGCCAAGATGGGATTTTGCCTCGTTCCCCTCTTTCTATTTCATTGTACTCTCTCTCTCTCTCTCTCCCCCCCCACTCTGTTTTCTAGTAGAAGTCAGATGCCAGGAAGCTTCGTCGACTTCGCCGTGTTCTTCTTCTGGTCTGAGAGAGTAATCCGCGTGTGTTCTTGGCCAAGCAGATTCTGAACGCCGCCGCCGCCCTTCTAGTGAGCGGCCAAGTCGGCAGCCTGGGCGAAGGAGCGGCTCTCGCCCGCGAAACCCACGCATCAGGGAAAGCTCTCGCGACGTTGGATTCGTGGAGAGATCTGTCCAACGTAAGTTCCCCAAGCTTTCCAATCACTTCAGTTATTTCAAGGATCCCGCTCACCCTCTCTCTCTCTCTCTCTCTATCTCTATCTCTCCATCGACAAAACCGCAGAAAATCAGAGACGAGGTCAGTACAGTAGCTGCTTGAAACCCAAGTGGCCGAATCCTCAAGAAGGCCTACTGCACAGATGGGTCACCCCACGGCAGGCAAGTTTCAATTTTTATGCGAAATCCGATGTTTGTTCTTTCTGTGCGATCTGAGCATACTGTGAAATAAATCGAGCGATGGGTTTTCATCTACGGCCTAGCCATGAATGAGGCCCAGAACGAGCACCAGAGTAGATGGCTCTCTGAAAGAGGCCGCCGTCGCCTGATTTTCATGCAAAACCCAGTGGTTCTCCTGTAATTTCTGGTCTGATCTTATGCTAATTGAGCAAATAATGACATAAAAAGTCAACCCAGAGATACCCACATGACCATGGCCATGAATATCCTTCGCGCATTTCTCCTATGCCGTCCAGCATCCAGATTATTTTAATAGAGCACACCCATGGTTCTCAGTGAATGGGAACCTTCTGTTTTTTGGAGAGAGAGAGTGAGAGAGAGAGAGAGAGAAGGGGGGCAGGAGAGCTTCCACCGCCTGAACATACCTATGCAGCTGGGCCGGCGAGGGCTCCTGCCTGTGAGAGAAGAGGCACCAGCTTCCCGCCCCTGTGGATCTCCGTCACAGCTGCCAATGACAGAGGAAGGAGGAGAAGATCACAGGATCAGGCGCGGTCTCCAACAAGGTGGGAGCATTGGAAAATTGGGTGGGTCGAGCGGTCTCACTGTCGCAGCCGCCGATGTGGTTCCCGCCGATGAACACATTGGGAACAGTCCGCTGCCCAGTCCACTCCGCCAGGGCCGACTGTATGTGGGACCCGTCGCCTGAAAAGAGGTTATATGAGAGTGGGTCATGGTCAACGCATGGAAGACCCGGCTTATACACATTCAGCCAGTCCTTGGTCAATGTTTCAACGTGTTTGATGCAACCCAGGATGATATAGATAGAAAGATTGAACAAGAAAGGAGCTGAGGATAGTTGGTGCCAGATATTTTTCACCCACAAAGTCAACCATCAGAAAATAATTACCCAAAAAGACAGAAAAAAGGACAAAAATTTTTGGAGATTGGAAGAAATGTCAGGAGCTCAGCAGCCATAGCGATCCCCAGAACCGATGCTCATTTCCGCCAGCGATGTTTGCTTGCCAAAAATGGAAAAGGGTTTAAGAAAAAAAAAAAAGAAGCTTACTTTCTGCATCCAATTCGACGACCTTGTAGCTTGCTCCCAACTGTCTCAGCAGCTTCTTAACGCGTGTGCAGTAGGGGCAGTACGACTTGCTGTAGAACACCAGAGACGCATCAATCAGGGCCGTCAAGAATGTTCGATCTCTGGTTATATAAAGATGAGATCCATCTTTTTTTTTCTGTTTTTCTTTTTTTTTAATCGGTTTTTGACAGAGTTGACCAGATAATTCTAACATGGTATCAGAACTGATGGCGGTTATGGTGACCAATCGAAGACACCCAAAGTCAGCTCACACATGTAGGGTTGCGCATTAAGTTATAATAAAAATGATTCCACTAATTCTTGAAGGATTCTTAGATAGATGACCCAAAAATCCTAACTAGAAATAGAAATTTCAGCATGGATGGGGAGAATTGACTTCTGGAGAAATTATAGCAAGGCAGGAATGATGGCAAAGTCAAGCTCTGTATGGATCATAGGATCCCATGAAGATTAGGTCAAAATTGTAGTGTTGCGATGGAAGTCAAAGCAGGCTAAAAATAGAAGCAGTTGAAGGAAATGCAGGGACCCAACCATGAGCTAAACCAACAGATGTGAACTGTTTCTGTGGTACAAAGATTGCTACTCCTCAACAACTCTTTCTATCTAGCATGGGGGCATTCATAGCAAAGCTCTTCTGGGCACTGAAGAGAGAGAAAGTGTCCCTAAGTTGCGACTCGGGTTGAAGATAATCAAGGCAATCTTGAAAATTTAGGAAAAAAAAAAGTTCTCTAGATTAATCGGTTGACAGGATGAGATGTTTTTTGGAATAATTAGAAGGCTAGAGACTCAGAGATTAGGGTCGGGTGAGCTTCTCTTGGGTGATTATCAGCAAGTACTGATCATGGTCTCCCTGGGGAAGTCAACTCTTTCGGATTTTGCTCGTCGGAATTAAAGTCAACGATCTGCCGAATCGAGCAGAAGTCCCGATAACTCCCATGAAGCGGGTTTCTACTACAGCCTTGTTTCCAATACACACAAACTAGAGATTATTGAATCGGATCTTTCCTCTATGTCTTTCTTCCAACGATTATGCGATCTAGGGTTTTCTAAATTCCTGATCCAGAAAAGGAAACTCCACACAGCTCGGGATTGCAGACTGTAAACCGCAATCCCTCGTATCGTGATCTTTGATTTCCATTGCGACTGAGCAAGGCAACGCGCCCTCACACGAGGCGCCCGGAAGCTACTGCTGAGGCCAGGAAGACAAGCCCGGCCCGTCCGAAGGCAGGAGATGAATGGAGAGAGAGAGTTCAGCAGCCGCAAGTAAACCCTAGGGGAGAGAGATGGGGGGGGTAGAGGCGGACCTGAAGACGACGACGGGGTCGTTCGATACGATCTCCTTCGCTTTCTCGAGCGCCATCCCTGTGGCCGCGGGATCGCTCTTGTTCCACGAGCTCAGATACCCTCCCATTCCCGCTACCCGATGGAAGAAACCCTATTTTTATAGTGGTCGTCGTCCCCGCATCTTTTGGAGGAGCAAGCGGTGCCACGACCACCCCCCCCGCGCCCCCCCCCTTCTCCCGTCTCTGGCGGTGGAGGGATCTCTTCCTCGCTGCAGCCATGACAGCACCACTGACGTCAACTCTCTGCCCGGACCCACTTGATTGGATAAAAAAATCAATCTTGAACATTTTCCATTCAGCAATATTTCTGAACGATAGTTAGAGCTGAAGAAAAGTCAACGTCGCAGAAAGAGGAAGAGGATGGGCCATCGCCGTCCACCTGATAGACTCGGAGGATTACGACTCGTACCAACAAGGAACGGACGATCTGACTGTAGGTTGGCTGCCCAAGAACAGCTTTGTAGGGAAAAGAACATCTATGTTTAGAGACATGCCTCTGCCATGAAATTCTTTTTAGGGGAAAAACAGTCAGCCAATTTTCTACTGGGGAAGCAATCCATCACCGCGAACATGGGCATCTTGAGTTCATTATTTTAACGTAGTCTCGCCAATATCCAAACTCGTGCTCTGTATTCATGGCGGAAAGCAGGTCAGAGGAGGGAGCGGCGTCATATCCAGAACCCGGTTGTCGAAGGTGGGGGAGGGAGAGTGGATAAGATGCCGACATTTCTACCCCCACCTTACCCACTCCCACCGACCTTAGCTGACTTCGATCTTCGTGTATTCGTCCACCGAAGGAGAAAAAATCCTGGTTCCAGATGGGCGCGGTCAACGAACGCACAATATCATCAGATGGGCCCAGAGCTTCTCATCTCCTCTCTACAAAGCCTCAGCCCCATTTCCGTGACGGAGTACTCAGGAAGATGGCCGACGTCATGGCGAGGATGGAGAAGGAAACCGGTGAGAGAGATGACGAGAAGGGGCCCCCTTCCCTCCCCGGCGAGCTCACAGATGAAATCCTCCGCCGCCTCTCCACCGCCGACCTCACCGCCGCCCTGTTCGTCTCCCCCACCTGGCGGCGCTCCGTCTACGCCGCCCTCCGCTGCTGCCCACGCCCCAAGCCCTGGCTCTTCCTCCACACCCAGCGCCGTCGCGGCTCCGGCGAGCTCGCCGCCGCCCACGCCTACGACCCCCATTCTTGCTCGTGGCTGCGAGTCCCCGCCGCGGCGTCGCCGTGGCCCTCCCTCTCCGCTGCCGTGGGGGCGGTCCCCTGCGCCGACCTCCTCTACGAGCTCACCCCCTCGCAGCTGACCCTCCGCCGCGGCTCGCTCGGCGGCACCTGGCGGCGCGTCGGCGCGCCGCGGGCGTGGAGGACGGACCCCGTCGTCGCCGCCGTGGGGGCGCAGATCGTCGTCGTCGGCGGCGCGTGGGAGGATCCCTGCGACGTCGAGGTTTTCCGCACGGACGGCGGCGCACCGCCGGGGGGCGCCGCCGCCGCCTGCGACCCCTTGCCGGAGGCCTTCAAGGCGTCGGCCTCGGCCACCTTCCTCTCGACGGCGGCGGAGGGAGGGAAGGTCTACGTGATCGAGAGGAGCTCCGGTTTGTTCTGCTCGTTGGACGTGGAGACGAGGAGGTGGGGGCCGACCAGGGAGCTCCGCCCTGATCCGTTAGTGTCCGTCTCCGCCATCTCCGCCTCCGGCGAGGGTCTTCTGCTCCTCGCCGGACTCCGGGAAGACGACGGCGGCGGTGGCGGCGGCGCCAGCCTGAGGCTGTGGGCGGTGGACGCCGACACCTTGGAGTGTACCGCCGTCGGGGAGATGCCGGAGGAGATGGCCGGCAGGCTGGCGAACGCCGACGAGCCTTCTCTCTCCTCCTCCTTTGAGTTCACCGCCGTCGGAGACTTCGGATACGTCTACAGGCCGTCGGACCCAACGACGATCTTCTCCTGCGAGATCTCCGCCGGCGAGTGCAATTGGACGGAGGTGCAGCCAGCGCCGCCAGCGGCGGCCGCGGAGAATCCGATGGACCGCTACGTGTTCACTTGCTCCAGGGTGGGGATCGAGGACCTCCGGAGAGTCTTCCGGCCGGCGTACGAGGGGAAGAAGACGACCCTCGCCGTCACAGCTTGAACAAGAATTTTCGTCCTCCTCTGTAATATCATTATTATCTTCTGTAATATTCTAATGGGCTGTTCGATTGAATCGCGAGCTCCACGAGGTTTGGGAGATGTTGGAAGAAGCGATAATTTCAGAAGAAATTAAATATCATAAATAAAAACCTGTAAAATATTCAAGAGGAAGAAGAAGAGATAAATAAATCAGACGAGGGATTTATGATGTAATTAATAGGTTTTCTTTTCTTTCTTGATATTTCTGACAATATTACGCAAACATTTACTAATATTTTTCAAAGATCAGCTTAACCAGAGGATCTATAAGACTAGTAGAGTCGATTTTTTGGGGAATAATTTATGAATTAAATAAAGGTGGATTTGGCTTCTAATCAGAACTGTTTGACGGGTTCAGAAACTAGAAAAAAGTCAACTTAAGAATAGGAATCAGCGGAGTCAAGATGGGTTTGAGGCTTCCTGATCTCCTGTTCCCACGTCTAATAAACCCTGAAATTATTTTCCTGTAGCACGAGAAGACATGGAAAAACCCAGATTCATTTCTCATGATCCAACAAACGGATCGATCTCTCATGGTGTTCTAGATGCTCCTGTAATCGGTATCAAAAACCAGAGCCAAACGAGGCAGGATTGCTTGAAAAGGAGTAAAAAAGTCAACGAAAACCGAAATAAGATACTTCAGTGGTTTGACTTCGGGCAGAAGAAATGGTCAAAAACACCAGCATAGAAAGTTAGGGACCAAAAATATATTGTGCCATTTGGGCTCAAGAAAGATATTGGTTTCTTGCATATGATCATATTATTTTCCTCGGGTAATTTTTTTCATAACAAAAAAAGAAAAGGTTTTACTCAGTGTGACCAGAGTGGGTAAGAACGGGAATGAATACCTCCCTCCCTCCCTCCCGCCATTGATGACATCTGGAAGCTCATCGAACAGCTTCAGCACAAAGCTTTGCCCGGAGATTCTGAGCGACGGCATCTATGAATTCTTCAGTGCTCAGGTAATGCTCTCGTGATACTCTGCGCAGGAGATGAAAGTCATCACCTTGGACCGAATAATAATAATAATAATAATAATAATAATAATGAATTTCCTGGGAAAATGAATGAGTTATTAATATAAAAAATTAAGCATAATAATTCCACATATAGGAAGATATTATTGACCAAAAGCTTAGAGAATGAGACCATACTTTGGCCCGTGGATCAGAAGAGCAAGATCCTTCGTCATCTTCCCAGATTCTACGGTCTGAACGCAAGCAGACTCTAGTTTCTTGGAAAAATCCTGCAGCCTATCGTTTTCATCCAGCTTCGCTCTGCAAGGTGAGAGAAAAATGTATGTAAATGATATATATATACACCAGGAATCATAGAGAGGCCTCGTAGAGAAGCATATGATACTGTTCATCAGATAGAGACCAGATGATTAGTATCTTGTATGTGGGCCCCGAACCTGTGCTCGAGTCCACGAGTCCATGCAAAAATGGAAGCGATACTGTTTGTGCTAGTTTCTTGTCCCTTCTGATGGAAACGGAAATGGCGAGTTACAGTTCCATGGGCAGCTTCAGCTTCTAGGGTCTTCCCGTCGGATGACAGCTGTGCAAAAATAGATCCTTCTACTTAAAAAATGATAGAAAAAGGGAATCGAGAGTTGACTTGTGGCAGCAGTTTGATCATATTACCAGCACAGATGTCATCAGTCCCAACGAGCCAAAACCTGTTCGGGGAAGCACATTGGTTACACATAATACAAGGAATCTCCAGATAAACCATATCAGTCAGACCTTGGTCTGGTTCTGATTCCCACATGGCAAAGTAGAACCTGGTAAGTAGTGCTCAACTAGACTGAAGAATGGGAGTGAGATGGGTCAGAAAGGGAGGACAGGTCTGGGCAGCCTCGGACAGGTCTATACACGCATGGTTGACCAGTGATTAAGTGATAGAGAGAGAAAGACGAGAGGAGCTCACTGGGTGGTACAGGGAGCCAACACTCCAAAGGTGACCTAGAAATCATGAGGATCTGGGAAGTGCAGGAAATACCAAATTTCTTGCAAAGCAAGTGATGAAATCAGTAGCTATCTTCATGGGTACCATCGTCCAAGATATTTGGAACCATAGAGAAGAGAAGAGAAGAGAAGAGAATCCCTGTGGGGATAATCTCTATTATGCCCTAAGAGAGACAGAGTGTGATAAGGAGGGCAAGGGGGGCAATTCACGCATGAGATAAGAGGAGGGGGGAGACTAACTGACGGTCAAAAGACCGTTGTATTCTCTGAACCATCAGCACATAACTTACCTTGAGCGAGGAAATCACTTTGCACATCTCCGTCATAATTTTTGCAAGCCCAAACATATCCGCCATCACTCTTCAGTGCATAGGCCACCATATCATCAATAAGCCGGTGCTCGTACCATATTGATTGTTCTTCAAATTTTTGTTTCCATTCTTCTTCATATACCTCCTGAAATATATCCTTGAACCTATGGAGACATCCCATGGCGAAAAGTAAGCTTTATTCCAATTTTTCCAAGGATCAAATTGGTCACATCGAAATTAAAATAAATGTGTATAATTTGAAGGTTAAATGATATGAGCATAGCATGCTTGGATAGATTCCCAAGCCCCGAGGAGAAAAAAAAAGAAGAAGAAATTATAACATTTGAGTGAGCACATACAGCCAAACAGGAGATATGCATTGGCATTAAACGGCGCAATATTCAACAAAACGAATTTAAATGTTAGTGTCCAGTAATGCAGCAAATGTGCAAGTGTCGTGTATTTTACGAGAAATAATTATTGTATGGAATGATTTCGGAACGAAATTTTCGCTATGTGAGGATACAGAAAACTGAAAGATTTTTCTTATTTCTGCGCAAAGATATCATTCAGTACCTGCCATCGTATTTTTTCAGGATTGTGTTTTTGGTGCTCAAGTAAAGAGGCCATCTCTTTGTATGCGCCATAGACATAGATGACTGTGCGAATGCCCGAATGGACTGAAACAAATGCATCTGACTTAGAATCAAGAAATAATTTTATCACTCAATTAATAGTTGAATTCAAGTTTCATGGCAAACCTCATCAACATTGTACATAGATAATGCAACACCTGGACCTTTAAAATCATAGACATCAAGTACAACAGGTATACCACCATCTGTAGGGGCTTTTTGGGCAAGCATAGAGATTGTCAATAAAGGCATCGAATTAAATAATGACAACCATCGAACCATTAAATTTTTGTAATGTGACTCACTGTAAACCATTTTAAGCGTTCCAGGTCCTTTAACAACCAAGTCAGTCGCACGATATTGATCGCCAAAGGCATGCCTGCCAATGCAGATGGGTTTCTTCCAGCCTGAATGGCATCATCGATATTCACATCAAATGAACGTTCAAGTTGGTATAAAAGTAAAGCCGAGCATGTTACTTACTGCTAACAATCTGTGGAATGTTCTTGCACATGATAGGCTCACGGAAGACAGTTCCTGAAAAACCAGAGCATGCCACCTTTCTTCAATGAAGAGAACAAATCCTAACAAATAAAAGGAAAGCCAACTCGATTTGCAGTTTGGCAACTAAAAATTTGAAGATAATAATGTAGCGTTAGAATAGTTGGTTAATTTTAGACATTGATTTGGGATCATGGATTGGACAATATTACAAGAAAAATTTACAAAAAACACTAAAGGGAAAATTTTGTATAAGAGAAGTAGTGATGTTGATCCTCTAGTATTACCAGAAGGCTATTACTAATTTTCAGTTCCCCGTTCGCATTATCCCACTCTGAGGAGATAAATGAAGCGTTTTATATACACCTGAATCCTCAAAACCATGCACTGAAATCACTATCGTTGTATGTAAGTCCATAAGACGACTGGTAACACCAAGTTTCATAAGGCTCAAGATTGGATAGATTTACTGTGTAATATATCCTTCAGTGCACTAGTATTTGAATCCCCAGAACTCTGGCAAAGAATATATAAATGTGGTCAAGTATACCTTACGAGCAAGCCACAAGGCGAATGAAATGTAAGGCAAAGGTCGATGCTGGGGGAATATGTTTGGGATTCTGTATGTGCACGTTGAGTGCTACTTAAAACGTTCGAAACCTCCGCATTATGTAGAATGGGGTTGATAAAATATGTACTTTCTCGCACTACAAGCTACAGCCATTCCAACGTATGGAAACTATGTTTTTTTATGGATAATGTTACTTTTTAGATATAAACACACGAGGTCATTAGAACCATCAGCAGGATGAAGATAAGTGCATAGGCGTATATTTGTACATACATGTTGCATTATCCGTTACTGTTTAGGGGAAAACATCATCCAGGAAGGACGTGGAAATTTAGACAAGATACCACATGAATCATAAAAACTATGTCAACATGAAAACTTCTAGTGTGACCAAATCGTTTCCCTGAATCTATGGGAACACGTGCATAGCTCTGAAGGATGGTACTTGGAAGGATTTTACTGAAGCGCATTATAATGCTTGAAGAACCAAAAGTGGCTGTTCGAAAGTGGGTGATACAACTATTCACAAATAAGGCAAAGTGTTGTGAATGCGGATTTCTAGATATACACAGAAGATAGACTAAGCCAAAGCGTTTTTAGTATAGTTATCTAAATCAAACCAATTTAATGTAGACCAAAACAAATGCTGACAACACAGAAAGAAAGGGAGAGAAAATAAACCATTCAAGATGTTTCTTATTGTCCCATTGGGGCTTTTCCACATGGACTTTAGACCAAACTCCTTCACTCTAGCTTCATCTGTCGTCCAAATTGTATGAAAACAGGTATTAGAACTCAAAGAACACGGGCGTTCAAGTTCCTCCATTGACAAATTGAAATTCGATTTCTTGGAAGGCAATATAAGCACATAGCATTACTCTAAAGAAATCAGGGTCGATGATGGATCATCGTAAGCTTAGTTCCATCAATCTGGAAGAAAAATGTCTACATAAAGACACATACAAGTAAGAACCCACGGTTTCAGGCATTTGCAATTGGTAGCCAGATAATATGTAAATCGGAATAGAATCCATGTTTACGCCCATCTTACTTTATTTGGCCCTTTTCAGACGTCTGAAAAGCCTGAAATATTTAGAACTGCCTATCATTTTGAAATCCCTCCAAAACCCCGGGTCACATCCATTTCACATGGTAACAAGGTTCCGTATAAGTACACAGCAGTGAAACCCTTAAAACATACATTTGGTTCAACAAAACCAAATAGCATATTTTCCCCCTCTACCATTGCATTGTTTAAGGACATGGTCTGCCAACACTTTTCATTGACATACACAAAAGGTAGAAAAATAAAATAACTCGAGGAAACATCGCACAACACCAGGAAGTAACCTGAAATTGGTCCTAGTTGAACCCAATCGCTATAAACTTCATCTCTGCAACACTGGGAAGTAACTGATATTTCTCTACCTCTTTTAACTTTTGGTCTACCACAAGACAATCTGAGAATAGAGTGACTGGTTTGAACTCAAACTTGAATCTTCAATAATTTCTCTAAACATAAGAAACTTTTACACTTGTCTTCAACTTTCTGGTATCGTAAGAGATACGCAACTTCAACACAAAGAATTTCCAAAGGGGAATATCTAGTCCCGGAATCAATCAACCGGGATCATTTCATCATCCAGGATTCCCTGCATCAGCAGCCTTAAATAAATACAAGCGGCGATTATATAATTAACTGTACCTTAATAGCATCTTCAAGTTAGTCTATCATCCTTAATTGTAATTTAGCTGTTTCTGGTCCACGTAAACCAGTTTCTTTGGTAGTATAATTTCTCTGACCTTAAACTCAAGCAAGAAATAAACTTTCCCAGCCAACTCCCAATGTTCCACACAAGCCATCACACAGAAACTGACAGGGCTAGATCAGCAACAGGAATTCTAACAGATTATTTTTCTCCGAAAATTAATGATATTTTAAAAATACAAATTACCATGTATTTACGCACAGCCTATTAGGTTTTTTACCTCACGACAGCCCGATCTGGACTGCTGGCAAGCTATCAAAAGCTACCTCTGACTGACACTCCCTTTTATAAGTTCAACATCAAACGGAAGATCAGACAAATTTGCCAGTTACCCGGATCTTTAGTAATATCTACCTGATCCCATAGCCAATATGGTAAGTTTTTCGATGGAAATGATAAGCCAAACATCCTCTTTAAGGACATATGACTGTTACTGCGACCTAACTTTCATTTAGTAAACAAGAGGACATGGGTGTACGAAGTCAGTAAATGTTAGTTGCATTTATAACGTGTATAAAGTGAATGTATAGGTATAGTGTACCAATGAATGTTGGTTGCGTGTATAATGTATAAAGTGAATGATAGTTATAGTATATCTACCGTACAAACATTTCAGAGAGGTACCTGCATAAACAATGAGATAAATGAAAGACGGACGTCAATAGTAAAAAAGGAAAAGAGTTTCACCAACCAGGTGTTATTGTTGCACATTTCACAGCGACATTATACCTGCAATAAGAAAAACGTACCTGCAGGATAAACCTTTTTGGCGACAAAAAAAATCTCTGCAAACATATGTATCGGACAAACATGAAAAAAAATTCAAAACAGGAGACATGTCGTCGACTAAGAAAATTTCCTATCATAAGGGAAATGATAATTGCATGAACTCACACTGTAATTAAGAGTGGATAATGGGTAATACGAAAATTGTATGAATTATGCAGAATTATTCCAATTTTCAGTAGATAGCCCCATAATTTAAAAGGTGCCTTACTCTAGGATCAACCGCTACTCACACAGTTGGGCATTACAACAGGAGAGGGTGAACTAAAGTAAAAAGTTATGTCAGATGATGTGAAGCATGTAATGAATTGTTCATTGCAGGGTTGGATACGTGTTTAAGAAGAAACGACCACCTGACTTTGAGAATTGATTCACACCCATATCATGTACAGAAAGGACAAAGTGCATAATCTGCAGAACACTATGACATCACAATGGCCCATAATGTGACATTACGACTCAAAAAGCATACGATAAAAGAAAGCAATAAGGTCGCTGACATACATCTTTAGAGATAAGGCACACTTACTTTAGGGCAGCTTCAGCACTTTCTACAGTTACTCTGTCATCTGTGGCATCACGATTTTCCAGGCCAAGATCAAAATATTTGATGTTTATGTCCAGATAAGGAAAAATAAGCTGCTTCCATTGGTTAAATAAAAAATAAAAACACAAACACACACAAAATAGCAAGGTTAGCACATCGACAACGAAAAATTTATAGCAGATCAAACCAGACACGGCATTGCCAGATAAAAATGGACAGATGGCAGAGAGGAGGACCACCTTTTCTTTTATCATCTTCCAAATGACCCTGGTCATCTCATCACCTGAAAGGTAACGAATATAATTGTAACCAAGCATTAAGTGAGGAAGAAAAAGAACGAGTTGATAACGGGAGAAAGATAAGAGCAAGTCTAGCGCGAGGAAGCACCGTCCATCTCCACGATCGGATTCTGCACACCGATCCTGTCCACAGAGGGCGTCATCCTGTCGGCGGACGCTACGGCAGCGAAGCAGCGGAGTGTGCCGCGATTGAAACACCCGCCAAACCTCGGCTCCCTGAAGAGGAACCCATTGCGGTGCCCCCATGAGGAGGACGAGGACGACGCAGAACTGAGATCTACCGCCTGACGGCGGAGCGAAACCTTCGACGAGGGGGCGGAGGAGAGCGCCGCGGCCATGGAACCCAAGCGGCGAATTCGCATCTACGCTCGGCCCGCGGGAAGTAGCGGCGGGATTTGCCGGACTGAGCTCCGTGCAAGCGGAAGGTTCCCGCTGACAGTTAGAACCAGCCCCCCCGACTATCATCCGCCGTCAGATTCCTAGTTCCAGAGCGTACGGCGCAGAGACCACGCAGCACCGGCCGTCCAGTTCCGGCCTGGGCCTCTAGTCATAGGCTGCTAACACGTGGGCCAGGCCAGTTAAAACCACAGTGCCCAATTTTATTATTTCATAAATGGGCCTATAATGGGCCTACCTTGGATTCGAAATGGCCCATAAATAAGCCCAGTCAGGGCCCTCTCTTTCTTTCTCTAGAATCCATTCTGCATGAAGAATGGATTCTTTGAGCCCGACGACTGGCAGTCCTGTTTCATGCGATTTCATGGCCCGGAGGGCCCAAATATATCAATGGGCCTAAATGGGCCACCAGGGGGATTCGCAGTGGCCTAGCAGGAGCCCATTCGGGGCTCTCTCTCTCTCTCTATCTCTTTCTGAGGAATCCATTCTGTATCCATAATGGGTTCTCGACCGGCCACCCAGTTTCATACGATTTACGGGGAGGGGGTTTGATAATTAATAATTGGGCTGGTAGTGGATTCTCAGTGGCCCAGCCAGGAGCCCATTTGGAGGGGGGGGGAGGGGGCATGATAATTAATATAATGCGCTCGTATATTTTATATTTTAGTTTTTATATTTTGTATATAAGCTGGACCGGAATTCGTTCAACTCGGGGATCGCCCGATCCGACCCGACGGCACGGGGGGAGCTCCGCCCGGACGGCGGCGCCTGGACTGCCCCGTCGATAGGGGAAACGGCGATGTATTCATCGTCAGGTCGCTTTCAACCCGTCCGGATTCCAGATCACGTGCATTCATCTCCTTCCTCGGTCTTTGGGACGGGGCCCGCCGCCCCGCCGCCGTCGCCGACGGCGGCGCCGCCCGCCGGCCCCCCGCCGCCTCTCGCTTTAATTGAATCTCTGCCGCCCCTGCCTTTGTCTGTGTTCCCGGGGGGGAAGAACTGGGGGGGGAAGAACTGCGGGGGAAGATGCTTTCTCTCCCTCTCCCTCTCTCTCGCTCTTTCGTCCTTGTACCTTGACGAAGTAGGGAAATACGGGGAGAGAGAGAGAGAGAGAGAGAGAGAGAGAGAGAGAGAGAGAGAGAGAGAATGTTTGAGATCAATTTGGGAGTTTGGAGGGTCGCATTGGGATGCCAGAGATTTAGGAGGGGTTTTCTGAAAATCCTTGGATCGAGCTTCCTTTATGTATGTAGCCTACGAAATACAGTCTTATTGACGTAATTATTTATTGGTTTTTGGTAAGAATGTCACGGTTTCCCGGGGACGCCGGAAGCGGTTCCAAACGAGGTCCGGGGAAATCCATCTGGGCGTTCGGAATTTTCCAAGGCGACAAACATGCCTCTTGGAGTCCGTAAAAATGAAAATACCCTATTACGACTAAAATTGTACATATGTCTATTTTTTCGTATCCGTTCGCGGGACAATTGCAAGAAAGTCCCCTTCTTCTTCCTCTGGCCACCCTCGAGTTTTCAGTGTGGTACAGAGGGCACGCTGCCGACGACAACAGAATAATGGCGCCATCGCACTGTAGACTGAGCGTTAAGGTGGAAGAACTCGCCGAGGGGGTGGAGGGGGGGGTGAGCTCGTGAGCTGCTTTCGATTAGAAAACTGAGAACGGGTCTTTGGAGCTCTCCCCCCCCCTGAGAATATTACATTGATGATTTTGGGGGGAACGAGGAGGGACAGTATCTTTCCCATGGTGGGGAAGAGCACCCTACACTCTCTGCCGCTGTGGTCACGCACAGACATTAACAAAGAGGTACAGAGAGAGGGAGAGAAAGGGAGGGACTAGATAGGCATGGGGAAGGAGGAGGGTTTTGGGATTGGGGATCGTCTCCCTCTCGGAGCTCATTTTTAAACGGGTGAAGGGTGATAAAGATGAGTCCGGTTGTCTGCAATTCCTAACCTCGCTCGCCGGAGAATAAGAGCACAAAAGGAGGCGGCCACCGGCCACATGCTTCCTGCCTGCCCACCTGCGTGGGGAGGACAGGAAATTAGGTTGAAGTCGTGCTAGGAGGGTCATCTCGAGGAGGCCCATCCATGGTGGGCCAGATGGGATGGCCCTCAACCAGCGGGTGTGGGGTGAGCGGGGCACAGCCAGTGCCCACACGAGGATGATGACGATGATGGGCTACGTACGAGAGACCGCTCGCAGACGGGCCTACCTTCTTCTCTCTCTCTTTTAAGCATTATAAAAAAAAATTCTGTTCCTGCAGGTTGCCCTACTGCTCTCCAATGGCGGCCCCCCCCTCGCCCTCTCCCCCCCTGGTATTTTAATCTTTAGGAGACAAAAACCAACAGAGGAGAGACAAAAGCGAACCACGTGACCTATCTCGCCGGCTTTTGGAGTAATCAATCTCCCCCTTCTTCCCTTCCCTCTGCGATCTTCCGTTGTTGCTTCTCTGTGCAGACCCACCTCCAGTTCGATCGCTCGCAGTTAATTCGGGGTGGTCGCCGGACTGTGGGGCGGCTGGCTTCCAGGTTTAATGGCGATTTATCCACATGAGGAGGGGAGACAGAGAAAGCGGGGGCCGGGGCGCCGGGCTTCCAAGCAGAGTGGGGAGATAGATAAATCCTTTCTCTGAGGGCTCTGCGTCTGCATCACTGTCCGTTTTGGCAGCTTGCATTGGCCCTTTGCGTGTTCGTCCGCAGGGCGAAGAACAGGAGGCGTCCTGGCAAAAATCTTCGAATCAGGAGGCGGCCCTTGTGATTTCTTCTCGCGATCCTGCTTCCCGGCCACTGTTCAGTCGGGAGATTAAGGAAAAAAAGATCTGAACCCAGTGTCCGATTCTGTCGTCTGGTTAATGATACGGTGGTAGCCGGACGACTCCGCTCCCCCCCCCCCCTTTTCTGGCCCGTCTCTGTGGTTTCTGCCTGGAAGCTTTCCGGAGTAGGTGTAGATTTCTCCCGCTCAGAGATTTCTCATCTGGTTCTTATCGCTTTCGCCTATGGCGGAAACGGCGTCGAGGTCCTCTCCCTCTCTCCCGCTGTAGCTTCTGCAGAGAAGGGGAAGCTTGGCTCAGCCAGTGTGAGGCCTCTGCGGGGAGGACCTTCCTCCGCCTTCTCCTCATGGCGACGGTGAAGTGAGCTACAGAGAGAGACTCGGACTCCGGAGAAGAGGACATGGCGAGGAAGGTCCTCCTCTCTTGGGCCCTCGCCTTGCTGTTCGTCTCGTGGACGGAGGATTCATCGGCTACTCTTTCCCCTTCCGGCATAAATTACGAAGGTGAGCTTGATCCTCCCGGGCCTCCTCCTCCTCCTCCCCTCCGCAAGACCCACTCTCTCAGTTTCTCTGAGGATTTGTCGTCGTCGTCAGATCTCTGTGACGAGACCCGGAATCCAGCTTTCCCTGGTTCATCTCGTTCACCCAATTCCTGCCTAGGGTTCTTGCGCAACTACTGCCGTTCTCTGCAACAGTGTTTCTCCCTCATCCGTCGGTTCGTCTGCTCTGCGATCATCCCTTCCAGGATCTCGATCCATATCATTTCTTCCGATGGGTCCTCGAGGATTCGATCCAATTCCGATCCTTTCTACGATCTGAAGATCATTTCTTTCGTCTTCGTCTATGAAAACGCAGTCGTAGCCCTGGTTTCCATCAAGATGGAGCTCCGCGATCCCTACAATGTCCTGGAGAGCTGGGACATCAACTCCGTAGATCCTTGCAGCTGGAGGATGATTACCTGCTCCTCCGACGGCTACGTCTCTGCTCTGTAAGTCCTGCTCTATCTTAGTATTATTGGACTTTTTCTCCAAGATTTCTGGATCCCGATTCCCATATCTGGTGTGTTTCTAGGGGATTACCGAGCCAGAGCCTCTCAGGAACACTGTCCCCGGGAGTGGGCAACCTCACCAATCTCCAATCTGTGTAAGCTGAATCTATGAGCTCCAATGCAGAAGAAAATAATTTGCAGATTTCTTTGTATAGAATTGATGAAGAACGAGTATTGATCTGATGTTAGGCTGCTCCAAAATAATCTGATATCTGGGCGGATTCCTGCGGAGATCGGGAAGCTGGGGAAGCTTCAGACCCTGGACCTCTCCAACAACCAGTTCAGCGGGGAGATCCCTGGTTCTCTGGGAGATCTCAAGAACTTGAACTACCTGTAAGGATAGAACGATTACAGCCTTCTTCTTCTTCTTCTGATGATGATGATGATGATGATGATGATGATCTTGGTTGCTGCTACCTGTTGTTCATCAGGAGGCTGAACAACAACAGTCTCTCTGGATCCTGCCCCGAATCTCTCTCCAAAGTCAAAGGCCTTACTCTCTTGTAAGCCCTCCATCTCTCTCTCTCTCTCTCTCTCTCTCTCTCTCTCTCTCTCTCTCTCTCTCTCTCTCGCTCTCTCTTTCTGTTGTTCGGTTTTCTTCTGCTTGCTGTTGATGAAGAAGCTGTGCGAGATTCTTGCAGAGATCTGTCTTTCAACAATCTTAGCGGCTCCATGGCGAAGATATCCGCAAGAACATTCAAGTGGGTCGTCTTCTTGTTTCATTAATCATCTCTGCTGGGTCTCGTCGATTGATCGTCAAGTTCATGGCTTTTCGAATTTTCCCCAGCATTGTTGGAAACCCGCTGATCTGCGGCGGGTCGAGCTACCAGAGCAACTGCTCCGCCGTCTCTCTGGACCCGCTGTCCTTCCCCCCCGACGAGCTCAGAAGTAGGTCTCCTCCTTCCTTTCCCCCTGGAAACCTCAAATTCCGGCGAGAATCTCTCTGATGATCCGGTGCGCGTCTTCCGCTCTTCAGCTCAACCCCAGCCCGGCGGCGGCGCCAGGAGGAGCCGCAAGGTGGCCGTCACCTTCGGCGCGATCGTGGGCTCCGTCGCCGTCGCCATCGCCGCCGGCGGCCTGCTCCTCTGGTGGCGCCACCGGCGCCACCAGCAGATCTTCTTCGACGTCAACGGTGGCTTCCTCTTCTTCCTCTTCTTCCTCTTCTTCCTCTTCTTCTTCTTCCTCCACCGCCGCTGCCGCCGCCGCTGACTCCCTCTCTCTCTTCGCCGTCGCCGCAGACCAGTACGATCCGGAGGTGCAGCTGGGGCACCTGAGGAGATTCTCTCTCAAGGAGCTCCGAGCGGCGACGGACCACTTCAACCCGAAGAACATCCTCGGGAAGGGAGGCTTCGGAATCGTGTACAAGGGCCGACTGCAGGACGGCACCGTCGTCGCCGTTAAGCGGCTCAAGGACTACAACGCCGCCGGCGGCGAGGTCCAGTTCCAGACCGAGGTGGAGCTCATCAGCCTCGCCGTCCACCGCAACCTCCTCCGCCTCTGCGGCTTCTGCAGCACCGACTCTGAGCGCCTCCTCGTCTACCCCTTCATGTCCAACGGCAGCGTCGCCTCCCAGCTCAAAGGTCCACACCCCACCCACCCCCTTCTTCCTGGTCCCTTCTTCTTCGTCGTGGTTCTAGAGAGAGAAATCTTGGGTGTGGGTTGCAGAGAATGTGAATGGGAGGGCGGCGCTGGACTGGGGAAGGAGGAAGAGGATAGCAGTGGGGACGGCGAGGGGGCTGGTGTACCTGCACGAGCAGTGCGACCCGAAGATAATCCACAGGGACGTGAAGGCGGCGAACATACTGCTAAACGAGGACTTCGAGGCGGTGGTGGGGGACTTTGGGCTAGCGAAGCTGCTCGACCACCAGGACTCCCATGTCACCACGGCGGTGAGGGGCACCGTCGGCCACATCGCGCCGGAGTACCTCTCCACCGGCCAGTCCTCGGAGAAGACCGACGTCTTCGGCTTCGGCATGCTCCTCCTCGAGCTCATCTCCGGCCACAAGGCCCTCGACCTCGGCCGCCTCGCCAACCAGAAGGGCGCCATGCTCGACTGGGTCAGCTCCTCTCTTCTTCTTCCTCCTAGTTTCTTCTTCTTCCTGGTTTCTTCTGCTGAAGGAGATTTGATGGGCTGGTTGCAGGTGAGGAAGCTGCAGCAGGAAGGGAAGCTGGTGGTGATGGTGGACAAGGACCTGAAGGGAGGGTTCGATAGGGTGGAGCTGGAGGAGATGGTGCAGGTGGCGCTGCTCTGCACGCAGTACCAGCCGGCCCACCGCCCCAAGATGTCGGAGGTTCTCAGGATGCTCGAGGGCGACGGACTCGCCGACCGCTGGGAGGCATCGCAGAAGCTCGACACGCCGCCCAAGGCCGGGTCGGCGGCGGAACTCCGGCCGGCGGAGGCGGCGCCGCCGCCGCACGGGTTCCTGGATTTCGCGGAGGACTCGTCGCTCGCGGTGGAGGCGATCGAGCTCTCCGGCCCCAGATGAGTGCCGTCCGTGTAATTATTTTATATGTAAAGATGGGAACGAAAGAGGAGGATAGACAACCAGAGGAACAGATCATCGGAGCCACCGGCAGCCTCTCACGCTGCCCCCGCCGGCGATTTCGGCCATGAAGATAGAGAGAGAGAGAAGGGAGAGAGCGACCAACAAAAAATCTGCAACAAATAAGCAAAGATTGTACTTCCGTTTGACTTCTCAGCTTGACGTCAAACTACCGCTGACACTCTCAGGAGAATTTTTTTTCTACGCTAACCGTTTGACTTTCTCAGGCTTTACGTCAAACTATCGCTAACACTCCCATCAGCATTGAAGAGAAAGAATGTGGTCAAAGTAGCGCTATTGGGTGTATAATTCTGGGGCACTCATTTTGGAGCTCGCCGACTCAATTGAATAGTGGGAGTATTTTCTTTCGTGATGATCGTCCGACGACAACCACATCAGAACACTTACAAGTTACAAGACTCGAAATTGAGACTAGAAGTCAACGATGGGCTACATCTGTGCAGTTCTTTACATCAGGTTGACTCTCGCTGTTCCTGCGCAAACGATTCACAACCTCGCACTTCAGCTCCCCTGGTTTCTAGATGCCTGCATCGTAAAGAATGCAAGCTAAGATTAAAAGACTGCATCTAATCGGAGTACAGAGCGAAGAAGACGAAGGGCGAGAGGGAGATTTCGTACCTCGACGGTGTTCTTCACGTGCTCCATGACCTGCCGCTTAGATTGCTCAGCTGCGATAAGCAGAAAAATGGTCAATAAGAAAAGAACATCGGGATGATTACCCATTAAGGTATGGAAATATATGGGCTTTGGCCACTGACCCTTAACGCTCAGCTCCTCAAGGGTTCGGCTGGTTTTCACGGCGAATCTTTGAAACGATTGGCTGATAAAAGAGCGTGGTAACGAGTTAAAAACGAAGAAATAAACAGGGTAAAATGAAATAGTGCACTGAGGTCTTCATTTCATGATCTTATGAAATAAAACAAACGAAAAAAATCTGATCTTTTTGTAGGATGTAGATCCCCAACGTCCGAATGCAGTATTAAAAGGTCCGCTATGGATAGCGAGAGGATCGAAATTTTTCTTGCTTCGGAGAATCATTTGCCCTCTAAACCATGTACAGATTTATGGACGACACTTGAAGCAATATGTAGCAATATTTGATTACTAAAAAAAATGTCCTGAATGTCTTGCAACGCTTGATTGGGAAAAAAACATATTCATATATGAACTGGATCAGCCCCTTAGATGTTTTATTTTGCGGTCATCTCCGCAATCAGTACAGGTCTATGGAGTCATCATCCCATCATAGTTAGGTACGCTTGCCGGAATGCAGTCACAAAAAAGTGAACTGCAAAACTGGATATTAAGGGCAGTTCAGTCCCTTAGATGTTCAAAAATTTCGCAATCATGTTTGCAAACATCATTACAGGTCTGTAGGATCATCATTACTGCATAAAACGGAGAAAATGAAAGGTTAAAACTATGGCGATAGTTTGCACGTACGCCGAGACATATGGAAGGTAAAAATCTACGCCGATATCATGGCAGATTTGGCAGATATGCGATGATAGAACGAATATATGTAGCTAACAGCTGCTCGACGGCTATAGAAGGTTGTCGAGTAAATCTACGCCGATAGATACAACGAGCGATTTGGCTTCAAGGGAACGAGTCTATTGGGAATAAATCGTCCACAAAGACTAGATGATGAAGCAGACAATCTGCACAATGACATTCGTATGCACGATGACTTATGCGTAAACACTAAGTGATGGGATATCTGGATCCCGCCGACCTGCTGCGGCATCAAGATGGTGATGCGCAAAAAAACTCGGGCAGTGTCTAGTAGTTTCAGTGTTGCTTCAAGGGAACGAATCGGAACGGGAATGGAGGTTTACCCGTCGACCAGATAAAGAAGCGTTATCCGGATCCGTCCATGGCTTAAACCGCACCACAAAAAAACCCTAGGTCATGGAATCTACCGATAGAAGAACTCTTACCATCGAAACGAACGATTACAAGCGCCCAGTCTATTAGAACCTCGACAGAATCATGATGAAACTGGAAGCATATGATATGCGGATCAAAGAAAAAAAATTCAAATAGAAACGGATGGGCTGATCCAGAGGATAATCCGGGATACGGACTTATTGGCGAGCCCCTCGACGATGATCTCGTTGACGACATAGGAGATGGCCCTCCCGAATAGATTCCCACCAGCTCCCATGGCCGCTTCCTTCCCCTTTACGGTGAAGAAGATAGAGATCAAGCGAGAGACCTAGCGGCGGCGAGGATAATTTTCAATGAGGACGAAGAAGATCGAGACGAAGGCGACGTATCACGTCTCTCGAGATTATATACTAGCACGAAAACGAATCGGACGGTTCACCTCACCAGATATGAAATCTACGGCATAGATACGCTTGTGCTTTCCTCGTTCATACAGCAAGCCCTAGTTCATAAATCAAGTGCTAAGAGATATGCACGGCAAACGTGCGAATCGGACGGAAAAACCGTCCGTTGAGTCGGTCAGAACCGCTTAACGCCCGAAAGACTGATTTTCAACGGGCCAGAAATTCCAATATTTTTTACAATAATCCCTCCAATATATATGATTTGGGTTCTGCCACTCTCACAGTCTTTTTTTTTCTGTCGTTAAGTCCTTAAAAAGAGAGGGAAGATCAGTTTTCTCTTATTTTACCGACCTAAAATTTAATATAAATAATAAATAATAGACATTAAATAATAATATTTGATTAATCTTCAGGACCTCAAGTACAATCGAAATAATAATAAACCTAAAAATAATTTAGTGGCTTGCATTTTAAAAAAAACTCATCTCTCTAAATATACAACTCATTCGAATTTTTTTTTTATGACCCTAATCTGTTTTAAGACGTCCAAAACCGTAAAGTGTTTGGTGGAAAATGGGTAGCCTAATTACGCAAATAGTTAACATGAATGATGAAAATCCAAATTCGTAAATATTTCGGGGAATTTAAGTAAAACGACGGGAAGGGGGGAAAGAGGGGGGTGGTGGGGGAGGCCGTTGGGCCTAACGGGCTCCGAAACTGATGGCGCGGCATTGATCATCGGAGTCGGGGATCTTGACGGTGGGTGGTCCCCGAACCGACGGATATACCCATCCGACGGTCAGAAAGCCGTCAAGACGGTGACCGTTGTAGTCATTTCACAAATCCCCAGATAACTAACTTTAAATTCGAACCCCCCTTTCCCTCCCAAAAGACTCCCCAGATACCGGCAACAACCTCCCGCCCCTCTCTCTCTCTCTCTCTCTCTCTCTCTCTCTCTCTCTTCTGATATGGTAGGATCATGGCCGACTGCTAACAGCAAGCCAGGGGCTGCCATTCTTTGCTCCCCCGGCTTTCCTTCTTCAGGAGAAGGAAGGAGACGTCTCCCTTCCTTCCTTCCCGCTAGGTCGACCTTGCTAGACTGCTTGTTGCGTCATCGGGTGAGGGAGAATGGAGATGAAGAAGCCCCCATCCCTGGAGGGCTTCGTCTCCGTGGTACTTTCCAAGCGCAGGGCGCTATTCCGCTTCGGACTTGGCCTGTTTGCATTGCTCTTGGTTTTCATGCTGATCTCCGTCGGCAGCGATAACGGCGCAGCCGATGTCGATTTCTCTGATTCTATGCTTCTTTGGATCTTCTCCGTCACTCCCGCTGTACGATCGCCGCACCAACAGGAGTTCTGGTCGCCGGAGAGAGAGGATCATGTGGTAGAGCGGGGTGGTGAGGTGAAAGCAGATATTAAGGGAACAGGTTCGGGTGGCAGTGCACCTGCAGATGGGAGCAGGGACAGAAAGGGAGGCGCGCTGGAAAAATCTGACCGGAAGCGCACCGGCGTGGGTTCTGATATGAGTGACAGAACGAATGCAGCTCCCCAGACAGCAGCTACCCTCAGAGTCTCTTCCTCGGGGAGGATACGCAGTGGGCTTGACGGTAAGTGCGATACTTTCAAGGGCAGATGGGTGAGAGATGAAAGCAAGCCGTATTATCCACCAGGTTCATGCCCTTACATTGATCCGGATTTCAACTGCCAAGACAATGGAAGACCTGATGACGATTTCATGAAGTGGAGGTGGCAGCCGAATGAATGCGAAATTCCCAGGTAAGAGAGACGCATTTCTCACGTTTACTCGTGTAAGATACCCAATAAATCCCGTGCTTTTCGAGCTGTCTCGGACATGGATGACGTTGAATCAGATCTGCTAGTAAATTATACCCAATAAATAGTGTTTTATTCGAGATTAATCTCATTTTAGACATGGTTTTATAATTTATGCATTGATGATATCATCAGTTTTCTCAGAATCATGACGGAAATAATACCAAAAACTATGAAGATTTCCCTTTGAAGTGCTGATAATTCCACTTATCCGAATCTTTAGACTCTTATTTTAATGATTTTGCATGAACCAAAATCTTCTGTTCCTTCTTAACAGGTTGAATGCGACCGATTTTCTGAGAAGGTTGAGTGGCCAGAGGCTGATCTTTGTTGGAGACTCACTAAACCGAAACATGTGGGAATCTCTCGTGTGCATTCTTCGACATAGCATACAGAACAAGAACAGGGTTTATGAGATGTCCGGGAAGAGGCAGTTCAAAACAAGCGGATATTATTCTATCATATTCGAGGTGGGCTTCTTATATTATTTTCAAACTCTCATTTCAGGAATTAATTAAAACATATCATTTATTCTTTATTTCATTTCAGGATTATAACTGCTCTGTGGACTTCGTAAGGTCCCCGTTTCTTGTCAGAGAAGTGTTCAATGGTAGCCTAAATGGGTCGGAAGGTGAGAAGCTGAGATTGGATGTAATGGATGGAACGACTTCAGCATACCAGAAGGCAGATATCGTGGTTTTCAACACAGGACATTGGTGGACTCATGAGAAGACATCGAAAGGGTGAGCATAGTTATTAAGATTATTTATTCGGTAGATTCATGCATTTATTGCCTAAATCAAATGACAGGATCAACTATTATCAAGAAGGGGATCGGGTATATTCGGTTCTCGATGTCATGGAAGCTTACAAGAAGGCTCTTTGGACTTGGGCGAAATGGGTCGACGAGAATATCGACTCCAGAAAAACTCAGGTTATGTTCAGAGGGTATTCTCGCACCCATTTCAGGTATATTTCCCGAAAACTCATCTGGAATCATTTCAACGAGTATTTCTGTGGAAATTGGCTTCTCATTTCATGTTCAGGTCTATGCATCAGATCATTCTCTCTCTCTCTCACTATCTCTCTCTCTCTCGCTCTATCTATCTATCTATCTATCTATCTATTTCTCTCTCTCTTGTGGTTGCAATTCCCTCTGATACTTTTTCCGGTTAAATCTTCCATTTTCTTGAACACGACCCCGTGGCGATCATGTTCGGGTCTATCCATCAGATCATTCTCTCTCTCTCTCTCTCTCTCTCTCTCTCTCTCTCTCTCTCTCCCTCCCTTTGATACTTTCTCTGGGTAAATCTTCCATTTTTCTTGAACACGACCCCGTGGCTATCAAGTGACGAGCTTCCCGATCTTCTGCAGCGGGGGACAATGGAACTCGGGGGGCCAGTGCCACCAGGAGACCGAGCCCATCACCAACCAGAGCTTCCTGAGGGACCACCCCGATAAGATGACGGCTCTGGAACAGGTACTGATGCGGATGAGGACCCCGGTGATCTACCTCAACGTCAGCCGCCTCACAGACTACCGAAAGGACGGCCACCCTTCGATCTACAGAAAGAACTTCAAGACATCCACGCATCAGATCGCCCGGGAGAAGCCCCAAGACTGCAGCCACTGGTGCCTCCCCGGAGTGCCCGACGCGTGGAACGAGCTGCTCTATGCGTCTCTGCTGACGGTGGGGAGAGGATCCTGGGGAACCCAGTCAGATGCCTAATCATTCATCACGAGATCTTGAGAAAATTCATTTTTCCCCTATAAATGGGTTTTAGCTGTAATTATTTATTTCCCGTATATAAGTTATCAAGCTAAATATTTCATGTAATACTTTGTAACTGGACATGGGTTTAGCCGTAATTATTTATTTTTTGCAGCCTATTCTTTATAGTTGCTAAGATTTTTGGTGAGAGATTTTTTTTTCTAGTACGCGGTTTTTTTTCTCTGGTTTTTTTTCGTCTAAATATGTGATTCACATTTTTTTATATGAAAATGTGTTTTTTAATTATATTTGGTATTAAAAATATGTGATTTTAATTACAATTGGTAGCGAATTATCGAATTAAATAATCTTAAAATGATCTGGTACCCCAGTAAATTAGTTGACTTGCGGTATTTTTTAATTATAAATAAAGACCCGCATAAATTCGATAATTAAGGTGGCCAATTTTATTTGATATTTTTAAATCTATTACGCCAATTATTTTGCATACAGCGTGATTGACAAATCGTGACCGTCAGATAGGTGGATCCGATCTATGTTTTGTTGGTCCTCCTGTGGCCCGTGGGAGACGGCTTCTCTTCACGGATTATATATAAGGGTTATCCCATCGCCCTTTGTTTCTCCTCCCGCGCCACCTCCGGAAACCCTAATCCTCGCAGCTTCCTCTAGGTATCGGCCGCCGCCGGCGCTCTCCTCATCTTCTTGCTCTGACACCTCTCACCGAGCTCCATCTGTTCCGTCTCTTTTCTACTCGATCCTCTCTCGTCCCGCGCTCGTGCTGGGGTGTCTAACTGCATTTTTTTTCCCTCGAGTGGTAGGAGCGTGCGGAGGGCAAGTGGGCATCTGTTTCGCGTAGATCGACTGAAAGAAAGAATGGCGAGGTACTCGATTTGATACTCTGGCCATTCCTATCGTGGATATTTTCAATCTTTTCCTACTATGTTCCTTGTGCCTGGCTCTGGTATCAATTATTTTCTGGAACGACCTGCTCACGCGTTACTTGCTTCATGCTGTATCCCTCTGCAATTCCCGTTTCATTATGTCTGCCAGTCTGCTTACGAAGAATGTGACTTGTCTGATTCGTCTTCTCAACCTTCAGGGCGTACAGATCGTCCGAATTTCCATACCCGTGTAACTAGGCTATTACTTCGTAGTAGTTAGGCATCGCACTTAGTCTTGTAGCAATAGGTCCAGTACGCCTGTTACGAAGGCTTAATTTTTGGTGAACTGGCGGGCAGCCATGCGTGCGAGTTGAATGGGATGATGGCCATTGTTTGCTGAATGCTTGGATGTCTTGAATTAGGATGCTTTGGGACTATACCGTGGACTTTGTATGTGTGGTCATGTGTCCCTAAACTTGCTATCTTATTAGCCTATACTAACCGTTTAGCACAAAATTTATTCATTTTTTAAAATATCAGATCAGATGCGTAACACGCACTTGGACTATTCATCACGTCATTCCTAGGTGGAATTTTCTTCGAGTAGTTTTTCAATTGAGCATACCATGCTTATGTCTTAAATAGGGTGGGGACATAGATTGGTGCCAGCTTTATAATATGCTCATTTTATGTGTCTGATAATCGTACAGGTAGTAATTAATACGTTATGGGACTTTTCCCTATATCCAGGATTCTCATCTGCCCTGCATGATAGAACATTTCACTTCCCCATTACAATTCTTGTCATGGAACTCAAGAGTTGAAAGCTTTGAGACGACGGAAGGTCTCAAGTTAACCGTTGATCTAAGTGAGGAAAGGTCTCGAAAGTGATTCCTGAGGTCCATGAGTTATTATCTGGACGTTTATGATGGAAGAAACACATTTCTTTGTTTGATTTTTTATCTACAGATGCTTTGACTGCTAAAGGAAAACCAACGTATAAAAACTTAGTCGATCGACTTTGTTGGTGTTTGTACACATCGTATATTGTAACTTGTTCAAAAAGTAAAACGACAATCAAATTTTTTCGATCGACTTCTTGTTTTTTCTTGCATGTTAGCAATCAAATTGTTTTGATATGATGAATTCGATGATCTATTGAAGTTTTTTTTAATTTGAATCTCATGGTACGATTATACTTTACCCTGATGAGATCATTTTCAATTTATTACTTTTAAGCCGTATAAAGTTTTTTTAATCCTTGGTTTCCTGGGTGAGGTTGTGTGACTTTGAAGAAAAATTAGGAGACCAGTTAGACGTTGTGCAATGGAACCTCGTCTCTTTGAAAATATGCGTAACATCAATAATTTTTTCTGGAGTTCATGGCAGGATGAACTAAATAATGTCATTATTTAAAAACAGTTATTTTTTATATATGCTGTCCTTGTTGACACAGGAAAATAAATCATCTTTAAGAAAAATTCCGTATGACATGTGTTCCCAGCTCTCTCACCATGTAATACACTCAAAAACCTGTTACTTCACTATGTATCTCATACAATTTTTACAATAATATGCATCGGGCTAGCCTGGTGACAAGCAAAGTTGTCAATTTTTCTTTTGCATCTAGCGCCTTGTTGGGGTTTTAAAATCATAAGTACCGTCTGATAAATCTTGTTTCTTCTTCTTATTAGCGATATGCTTTTTTATTTTCCACTGCTTCCAAATCGGTGATTTATGTTCACAGCCATACATGGATTTTCACCCTTGTATTCCGTCCAGTTGCTAGCTATGTTAAGACCTCATGCGTGTTTGACTTGTCTTCAATTATTTGAAAAATATCTTAAAGTGGCTTGAATTTCTGCTTGTCACGATAGAGATGAGCCCACTGTACCCTAGGCTTGAAAGATTGTTAACAATATCAGTGCAGCTTCCGTCCTTTTTCTCTTTTTTAATATCGTCTTACTGAGTGGATCGCTTGCTTCCGGCAGCGAGGAGGCTACACCTGTGGTGCCCGAGACCCCCCCCGCCCCTGCTCTGGGGGAGCCGATGGACCTGATGACTGCACTGCAGCTCGTCATAAAGAAGTCTCTCGCCCACGACGGCGTCGCCCGTGGCCTCCACGAAGGGGCCAAGGCCATTGAGAAGCACGCCGCCCAGCTGTGCTTGCTGGCCGAGGACTGCGACCAGCCCGACTACGTCAAGCTGGTCAAAGCCCTCTGCGCCGAGCACAACGTGCACTTGGTCACCGTGCCCAGCGCAAAAACCCTGGGGGAGTGGGCCGGAGTGAGTAATATTCCTCAAACCCATGTGAAAAATCTCAATAAAAAAAATATTTCTTGCGTAAATAAAAAGATTATCTCCTTATTTGGCACAGCTCTGCAAGATCGATTCGGAAGGGAAGGCCAGAAAGGTTGTGGGCTGCTCTTGCGTGGTCGTCAAGGTTTGAACCAAACAAACCGCCCCCCCTCCCCTTTCATATTCGTACATATATATATTTATATATATTTGGATATAGTCCATGGAATTTATTATCTAGGAGATGCTGTGAATGATTGATCATGGGTCGGGTCTCTCCGGCGGTGTCTGTTGTTCTTGGCAGGACTACGGGGAGGAGTCGGAGGGCCTTCACATAGTCCAGGAGTACGTGAAGTCCCACTGAATCGAATCTCCATTTCGCCATCCGTGTCCCTTCCCCGGTAGTACCCTCGTCAACTCCCCAGGTCGTCTGTTCCGTGTCGAATTATTCACGTGGTAGGATTGCTGTTCTTGGGAATTTTGTCTCTCTTCTCTCTCTCTCTCTCTCTCTCTTCTTTCTCGCTCTTCCCAGTTTATATATTTTACTTGAAGAAGGTTATTCGGCGTGGCATAGATTTTTAAGGGTTTTTTTTTTCTTTTCTGGAGGTGGAAAATAAAATGGAGTATGTGGGCGGTTCTTAAGTAGGTTTCCTGCCCGTCTAATCTTGCCTAATCTAGCCATATAACGCAAAAGTCAGCAGGAGCCCACTTGGTTTGACTTTTCCCCTCCCTCCCTCCCCCCTTAGCCGGCTTTTCTGGCCTACATCCCATCCGAAATTAGGCGGTGAGGTTCAGCGTTGACTAGTTGGCAGCTAGCTGGGGGCTCTGCTCTCTGCTCTGCTCTGCTCTCTCTCTATTGGCCCTGATGATGAAATATTGGAGAAATGCCCGGTTATCACCTGGGCTCCGAGTAGAGTCACGAGGATTTTAATGGGACTTTACCTACAAAGTTTGACCATATGGACACCTGACTAGTGGGACCCGCATGGGCTGTGTGGATGGAATATAACGAAAGTACCCCTATGAGGGTAGGGAGGTAGCGATGGAGAATCCCAGGAGAAGCTAGGCATGCAGCTCTTGGCGGGCACCGAGGCTGAGAGCCGTCATTTCTTGTTCTGCTGCCCGTCAATCAATCCATCAATCACATCAGTATTTCTCTCTCTATCTCTCTTCGTCCGTGCCTTTCTCTCTCCTCTCTCCTCTGGTAGAGGGAGGGAAGAAGGGCGTTCCGGGGGATAAGTGCCCATCTCTCTAGAACGAGGCGTCTGAGGCGGGCCTGCAGCAGCCGGAATGCCCGGGGGACGAGTCAGTGAAGGGCCCTCTTGGTCATTACGAGGTGGCCCCGCTGTCGTCGGGCTGCTACTGGAGATAGAAAGAGGGAGGGGAGGAAGGGTAGGGAGAGGGCGGTGATCTCTCGAGTTGGGCAATTGAGAGGTACGGAGACTGCGCTTCTGAATCGAACAGCTCGTCTCTGATCTAAGCGACGCACTTGTTTTTTTCTCGTCTCTAGTCGGATGATTAGGTGATGAGGAGAGAATCATGAGAGAATTTGTGGGGTATTTATAGGAGGATCTTTCTGCTGTCCTCCGCCTTCTCCTCATTGTCGTCGTCTTCTTCGTCTTCTTCTTCTTCCCCGAGGTTGAGGATTGGCCATGGAGGAGGTGTTCGATCTGCACCAGGAGCTGGTGACCGGCGGAGGGGATGACCAGGAGGGTTTTTCGGGGAGGATACCCGGGTACGGTGGGGCCTGCTACTCGGAGTCGTCGGTGGTGGTGGCCGGAGGAGGTTGGGGGGAGGCGCCGGCGCCGCCGACGGTGGTGATAGGAGGAGAAATGGCGGCGGGGGAGGAAACGATCTGCAGCGGCAGCACCATTAAGAGCAAGATCGCCTCCCACCCTCTCTACCCTCGTCTCCTCGACGCCTACATAGACTGCCAGAAGGTAGCGGTAGTTCAATTCCATATCAACTCTCTCTCTCTCTCTCTCTAAAATTATTATCCTTCCTCTGCTGTTCCGCTCAAATGGTTTTGCTACAGGAAGACGGGAGGAGAAGCCTTCTCTTTCTCTCGGTAGTGATCAATTCTCTCCTCTGCGCGCTTTCTCTCTGAAAATATAATACTTGCTTCTTCTTCTTCTTCTCCGTATCAAATTGTTTCGTTTCATCCGTGTTCAAGGTAAACCCGGTAAAGAATCAAAACACGTAAACACGTAAGATGAAAGTAGAAACCTTCTTTATCTTCTCTCTTCCTTCTCCCAGTGGAATCACGATGATCTCCTAAAAGATCGAAGAACGAGAAGAATCACGGAACAGCAGCATTCTCATCTTTCCTCTCTCTCTCTCTCTCCTTCCCTCTCTCAGGTGGGAGCGCCGCCGGAGATGGTTTCGCTGCTGGACGAGATCCGTCGAGGGAGCAACCTCAAGCGGCCGCACGCCATCTCCAGCATGTTAGGAGCCGATCCCGAGCTCGATCAGTTCATGGTGACGATCTCTCCGCTCCGACATGCTCGTGAATGTTTCCGGACTTCGTCTGATCACGTCGATCCGCCGGTTCTTCCGCATCTCGCAGGTCACCTACTGCGAGGTCCTGGCCAAGTACAGATCCGACCTCGCCCGGCCGTTCGACGAGGCGACGACTTTCCTCAACAGCGTCGAGAAGCAGCTCAGCAACCTCTGCAAGGACAGCGCCCTCACCTCTGGTTGGTTCTTCCTCCCGGCTTTCACGAGAAGAATAGTAGAGATCTTCGGCCTTTGTACTCATCGTCTTTGGGTTGGTAATATCCTATTATCTTATATTTATTCTTCTGCAGGGTAGTTAGGTCCTCGCCGTTTTAGTAGCGGTGGTGCTAGATCAGAACTGTCACACTGGAAAAGAGAGCTTCTTGCGGCGATCGAATGTTTCTTGTCTGCTGCTTGGACGGGTTCTAGGGTTTCCTTTTTCTTATCCTCTCTCTTCCTTTTCACCTCGGTCTAGAGAGAGAGAGACTGGGAGAGAGATAGGGGGGTGGGCCTTGGGTAGTCGTAGCCAAAGTAAATGTGATAGGAGGTTCACACAAGCCCGAAGCATGTGGGATCGTCAACATGATGCAGGCGGACTAGAGAAGAGTCCTAGTTTGCTGCTGGGTTTATCATTTCTTCTGTCAGAGATGGTGAATAGACTGGCGAACGTAGCGCTGTGTGGATATAAGCATCTCCTCATCTCTCTTTAGGTCCTGGACTTACATAAATAGGTAGGTAGATAGATAGATGGATAGATAGATAGAGAGAGAGAGAGAGAGAGAGAGAGAGAGAGAGAGATAATCACCTGTGTTTCTTTCTACGTGCACCAGAGAGCAACGAGTGAACCCGAAAGGTTACTCAGCCTACTCTAGCCTACCCTGATTCGACTACCCACCAGCTCTATAGATCAAAAATAGAGCTGATGGAAAATATGCAGTTGATTTATCCTCCGACTATGATCTCATTTCTCAGCCGCAAATGATCTGCACGTTAACAGCCGCTTTCATCTCCCTGTCATCAGCGGAGGCCGCGAGATCATCGGAGGAGGAATCAAGCGGCGGGGAGGTCGGCACTCGCGGTTCGGCTGCGAGGAGGGAGGAAAGGGAGCTCAGGGACGAGCTCCTTCGCAGGTACAGCGGCTACCTGAGTAGCCTCAAGCAGGATTTCTCTAAGAAGAAGAAGAAGGGAAACCTGCCCAAGGAAGCCCGGCAAACCCTCCTCGACTGGTGGAATCTCCATTACAAATGGCCATATCCGACGGTGGGTTTACCTCTCGCCATTGCCTCCAATCATTAAACCATTCGAGGACGAACGTTAGTTGACTAATTTTATCCGTCGGCTTGAGTCAATACGCGATTATTCTCACATAGAAATGGTCTCAGATCGGCTCTGGAGCTCTGAGATCATGCTGGTAGATCCTCATCGCATCAGTTGGGAGACTAAACTGCTGTGAGGAAGCTGTTCTATCTGAAAATCGTCATTCCGTTTTCGATTTAACCGCTGACTTTGTTACATCGGATTTTATCCCTACTATTCATGTAGCAGATCTTCAGATCTCGTCTGGAATCGAGAGGGGAAACCAGTTTAGATAATCACATTAACAGGGAGAGGTAGAACATTGTGATTCAGATGGATGGGAATACTCCACCCACTTCTAAATGACCTCCCATCAATCTGGAGAAAAGAAAAATTACGGTTTAAATGAATGGGAATTCTCCGGTCGTTGTATATTGATCTTGATTCTTTTGAAGGTGATGGGCCGACCGGTCGTCAACGATGGGATTGACCCATCAGATTTAGCGGCGCGATCTGACTATATAAATGCTGCCCACGAGAATTATGATCGAGTTCTGAAGAAAAGATTTCGTCTTTGATCCGTGTCTCAGGACGCCGACAAGCTGGCGCTGGTGGAGTCGACGGGGTTGAACCAGAAGCAGATCAACAACTGGTTCATCAACCAGAGGAAGCGCCGCTGGAAGCCGTCGGAGAGCATGCAGTTCGCCGTCCTCGACTCCCTCTCTTCTCCCTTCTATCTCGATGGCTGACCAAGGTCAGCGTCTCTGAACTTGGGGACGTCGTCCCCCCCGTTGACCGCCACCCTCCTGAAGTGACTAAATCTCTCAAGTTCTGGTTTTTTACGCTGCGAGATGAGTTGTGCTGGGGTCGGGCTCGCCTGTAAATCTGGTTCGGACATGATCCACAGAGGGTCCGATTTAATTCTTCATATTTGATGTGCAATGTGGGTTGTAGGCTCTCTCTCACCTTACTTGAGAATTATGTTAGGGGTCTAGAGAGAGAGAGAGAGAGAGAGGGAGAGAGATGATATATGGGCCACATATTTTTATTGAAGGCTAGATACGGACTGGTTAGGCCGGGCTAATTTCTCTTTATCGAGTTGGTTCAAGAGTGTAGGCTTTGAACTTACCAGACCCATTCACACCCCTACTCTGTAAGGTTAGTGAGAGAGGAGGAGGAGGTTCATCTCTCTCTCTCTCTCTCTCTCTGTGGGTTTCCCCGGCCGAACATCAGCAAGGTCGGGGGCCCAGTCAAGACAAATCTACCCGGCTTTCCTCCAGGGGAAAAATTTAAAGTCAAAGCCTAGACAAAAAATAGGTCAGCATGCTATATTCCCACTCCCGACCGACAGCGGTGAGCTGGGACATTTGAAGCCCTCGGCTTTCGCTCTCATATGGCGGCAATCATTGCACCGTGACACCAAAGCCATCCTCATGGTTAGCTGGATATTTCTTCGAACGAGCTCTTGATTAAATAGGAGAAGCTGTTATAATGACTCCAAGAGGGAGAGATAGAGAGAGAGAGAGAGAGAGAGAGAGAGAGAGAGAGAGAGAGAGAGAGAGAGAGAGAGAGAGAGAGAGAGAGATTACTAGATGAGAGTAACTGCAAAATAGCCATCATAAAAGCTATGTTCTTGAGGCGTAACATAGAGGCCGAAATTGAGCACTCATAGGGCACTCATAAATATTTACTTCTCATTCATAAAAATAAAAATTATTAGATTCACTGTTTAAGCTTCTTTATGGTTATAAGTCGAGAGAGAAATGAGATAAAAGCTTGGTATGCTTCGGAGCGGCTGTTTTTCTGAAAAGTCCAAACGCCAGAGATATGTTTTTTTTTGCCCTTGATTCTAAATACGTGTCGTCCGCAAAAAGGTCACAATGGATATGTACAAATATGTTAATTTATCTTAGGGCTATTCAGAGAGAAAGCACCCCACTGCGGGACCCACTGCCACGTGCGCACCATCAGTGGCTGGATGAGGCGAGCCCGAATAGAGCCCAAACCCATCTTATCTCATCCAGCCCATTAAAAGGGTGGGCCGGATCAAACGAGGCTAATGCTGCTCACATTGGGCCGCAATAGGCCGACAAACATAATAAGCCGGCCCAGTTAACTAGCCCACTGAGGAACAATGTTAATGGGCCTATCGTTAGGCCCATAGGCCCATTTATCGTTCTGTATAGACAAGAATCAAAAGGCACGAAAGCGCTCAACTTTACATACTCCATCAAAACCGGAGACCTGGAGGACCAGGACGGGGTGAGAGCTCGCCGGGAGGACATCGCCGGAGACCTGGCGCCGGCGGTGAGAGGTTCCTCTACCTGGGATCGACCTCGCTCACGGTGATGCTGTTAACAGAGGAAGAAGGGGCGGAGGAGGACGACGCCCCGAAGGAGACCCCGTCGGGGTTCGATCGGAGGAACGGCGGCTGTGCCGGCGCCGGAATGGGCTCCCCCTGCCGGAGCATCCTCACCACCGCCGACATGGCTGGCCGGAGCTCCGCCGAAGCCTGCGCGCAGAGGAGGCCGATCTGCAGAACCCTAACCGCCTCCTCCGCGTCAAAGGCGCCCTCCAAGCTCGGATCCACCGCTTCCGCCAGCCTCCCGGCGGTGTGGAGCTTCCAGACCTGGGAAAATAGATCGATACTCGTCAAACCAGGAAGAAACAGGAAGAAGGAGAAGAAGTTTGGGGGCTATGGATGGGTCGATCTCGCTCACAGTTTGGAGGACGGAGAGGGGATCCGGAGCCGCTCGTGGGGTCTTCCTCTTCCCGCAGACGATTTCGATGACGACGACCCCGAAGCTGTAGACGTCGGCCTTCTCCGTGAGCTTCCCTCTGACCAGGTACTCGGGGGCCATGTAACCTCTGCAAGACGGAAAGTCAATGCCATGAACGTCGGAAGACGGCGGGGAGGGAGGAGGAGGTCTCACAGGGTGCCGGCGATGCCCGTACTGAGGTGGGACTTGTCGTCGGGAATCAGTCGGGCCAGGCCGAAGTCAGCGATCTTCGCGTTGTAGTGCTCGTCGAGGAGAATGTTGCTGAGCTTGATGTCCCTGTGGATGATCTTCGACGGGGATTCCTCGTGGAGGAAGGCCAGGCCCTCCGCTGCCCCCAGGATGATCCTGTACCGCGCCGCCCAGCTGAGATTCTGGGCGCAGCGCGAATCTGTCGGAGAAATCAACGTGTGAGTATGAGAAGTCAATTGACGAGGTTTTTTTTCCTTTGTTTGTGGAAAGACATCAGCGAACCGGAGAGGTGGTGGTGGAGGCTCTTGTTGGGGACGTATTCGTAGACGAGGAGGCTCTCGGGGCCGGTGATGCTGCAACCCAGCAGCCCCACGAGGTTCTTGTGGTGGACCCCGCTGATCAGGTTGACCTCGTTGAAGAACTCGTCCACCCACTGCCTGGTGTTGAAGACGAGCCTCTTCACGGCCACGGTCTTCCCATCTGCCAGAACTCCCTGCCGCCGTCCACATTGCCGGTCAAACCCATGGATCAAGAGAGAGAGAGAGAGAGAGAGAGAAAGGGAGTGATGAAGACAGAGAAAGGGACCTTGAAGACTGAACCAGATCCTCCTTGGCCCAGCTTGTTGGAGTTGTCGAAGTAGTTGGTGGCCTTCTCTAGGAGTTCATATTTGAAGTTCAGGTTTGACTTATTCACCGCCGCCGCCAGGGCACCCAGTTGCTTCCTCACTAAGATTAATCCCAGTTTGGTCAGCTCAAAGAACCTGCAGGCACCTGGAGAGAAGTTGACCTAAAGAACGGCCGCTCACCTAGTCTCCTCTTGATCATCCTCCTCCTCAGGAAGAACGCTGCCGAAGAGACGATCATTACAGCGGCGACGACGGAGAAGACCACCGCTAGAACAATCGCTAAGCCCCCTCCATCTGAACACATTCGATCCAGTAAATCCAGGCCATCATTTTACGATTCTATCCACGAAACCAGAGATGATGCAGATGATGGTAAAGTAGATGGATAAATCCATGATTTCTCGACTGATCAATCAGGCAGTTCTTGATCGAGAAACATGGGAATCGGAGAATAATTTTGAAATAATCCAAGATATATTCGCAGTTCTTTTAATATTTTTTCATCTGGAGAAGCTCGGGGGTTTGATCTTGCGGGATTGAAGGAAATAGTGTGAATTCCAGAGAGGCAGAAGAGTTGATCATTCGAGAGCTTCAATGGATGGAGAGAACTCACTGTTTTCTGAGTCGGCTGCGGCGTCTTCCCCAGAATTATTGTAGAATTTCGCAGAGGAATATCTCATGTAGCATCCAGAATTCATCGCCCTGCCCTCCGTCATGGGGACGCAGGAGCTCACAGCCTTCGCCGCCGCCTTCAGACACAGCCGGCAGGAGCTTCTGTTCACGTTCTCCCAGCACTGAGCCAGGCCGTAAACCCTAGAATCCCCCTTCTCCACAGCCCCCACGAAGAAGCCGTCGTTCTCCGGCGCCGCAGAGCTCAAATTTCCGACGAGCCAGAGAGCGTTCTCTGCGAAAGCGCCGTGATCGCCGCCGGAAGTCACGTTCCCGCACGCCGTCCGATCTTCGGGGCTCACAGCCTCCCCGGAGAAGTCGTAGTCCTCGTACCTGATCCGGGAACCCTAGACTATCCTGAGCGGAGGAAAGGGGATCGGAGGAGGAGGAAGATGGAGAAGATGATCTCGCACCTGAGATAGCAGCCGTCGAGGTAGTTCCTCCCCCCCCGGGTGGCCATCTGGAAGGGAAGGCATCGGAGGATCAGCGTCTTGCAGGTGGCGAAGCATAGATCGCAGTCCCTGCGGGAGAGGTCCTTCAGGCACTCCCCGAAGGCGAACACCGAGTCGTTTCTCGTCTTCCCCTCAGAGGCCCAGGCGAATCTCCGGGAGGCGATTTGCGGAGTGACGGAGTTCAACACCGAGAGGAAGTTCTCGACGAAGGCCTGGCGATGGCGGCTGTCCGCCGTCCGGTTGCCGCAGACGAGCGCCGCCTGCGAGATCCTCGGGTCTGAAAGAGAGGGCGCGATGGCGGAGATCAGAAAGGAGATTGCCAGCAAGATTGGGAAAGTGGAGCCCATTATGCAAGGAGGAAGACGAAGAACGGGGAGAGGCGATCGAGGCGACTACAGGGAGAGGAGGATGCCTCAGCGGAGAAGAGTCATGGAAGCTGACCCTCCCTGGTTTCTTCTCTACGAGGTTTCTAATTAACTGTAAAAAGGGGGATGAAGACCCCTCCCTTTGACCTAATTAGAAAGGCGGGAATGGATTACTGGATCGGCTGCCTCCAAAGTCAAAGATTGTGGGTGAACTCCATGATGTAACTTTGACTTGACCGTTGACTCATCCACTGAACCCAAAGCTCGGAAGGATCATCTCCATGAATCGGCTTCTGAATTGATCGGCATCTTCCAATTCACGGCCTCACAGCGGAGGACGGGGCAAATTCAAAGATCGGCTATTTTCTGCTGCGGACTGTATGGCGTTGACTTTTATTACATTCCGTGGATCGTCGTCTCTCTCTCTCACTCACGCTCTCTGTTTAGGTGGGCAGGTGAGGGTGGAAGAAGTCGGGGAACGCAGAGACTGGAGCCTCCTCATCATTATCCTGAAGAACATCGTTCTCAGAGAAGGCGTGATCAGAAGAACACCACCACCTACAGCTTTCTCAGGCCATGGTGGGAAGAGAGAGAGAAAGAGAGAGAAGGCATCAAGGGAAATGCATGTACACATCAGGAGGAGGAAGACGATGAAGCGGAGCAAAACTAGAGATTAGGTTAGACGTCTCCGATTAGCTTGGTACCCGGCGGCTCCATCTTCAGCTGAAAGATGCAGGTTCCTGAGTCGGATTTTGCAGGTTTCTGCTTCCCTGTGGGGGTGACCAGAACAACCGCGGAGCTCGCCGCCTTCCAGTACTCGCCGCTGCTCCATCCTCCGTCGTCGTCCTCTTCCTTGTCGGTCGACACAGAGACCTCCCTCCAGTTGGACCAGATCCTCAGCATGACGATGAGCAAAATCAGGCAAATCGCCGTCGAGATGAAAACGATGGCCGCTACGATTCCGGCGGCGGCGGGGTCGGAGAGCTGCTTCCGGGAAGGGCCCGGCGGCGTGTTGCAGGGAGGGAGAGGCCCACCGCAGAGTCCGCCGTCGCCGAGGAAGGAGACGACGGGAAAGTTGGAGAGTGCACCAGGGAGCTCCCCTTCCAGGAGGTTGTAGGATAAATTCAGGATATGGATGCTGGTGAGGCGCCCAAGCGAGGGAGGAATTCGGCCATGGAGCTGGTTGAAGGAGAGGTTAAGCCTCTCCAGCTTGACCAGGTCGCCGAGGGAGGAGGGTATCTCGCCGGAAAGCTGGTTCCTGCTCAAGTCCAGCATCACCTGCAGCTCCGTCATCTGCCCTAGCTCCGGTGGGATTCTACCCGTCAGGGAATTCTCTGAGAGTCTCAGTTCGAAGAGCTTGTTGCAGCCTCTGATTGTCGAGGGAATCTCCCCAGAGAGATTGTTGCTCTGCAGGTTGAGGACGTTCAGGGCGGTGAGGTTGCCTATCTCCGGCGGGATCCTGCCGGAGAGATAGTTGCCCTGGAGAGAGAACTTGAGGAGGCCCGAGCAGCTTCCGATCGCCGGAGAGATTTCCCCGTGGAGCTTGTTCAAAGACAGGTTTAGCTCTCCGAGCGAATTTAGGGTTCCTAACCAGGTGGGCAGCGTCCCCGTCAACATGTTCCCGTCGAGGAGGAGATGGTGGAGCTTCTTGCAGTTGCAGAGCTCTGGCGGGATCTCACCGGAGAGGTTGTTGGACGACAAGTCCAGGAATTCGACCATCTCGAGCTCGCCCAACTCGGAAGGTACTCCCCCGCTGAGAAGATTGTGCCCGAGTCGGAGGCGAGTCAGGTTCCTCGACTGGATGAGCTCCCCAGGGATCTCCCCGGAGAACCTGTTGCTCGTCAGGTCTAATATTTCCAGAGAGCTCGAGCCTAGCAGAGGGGAGATCTCGCCGGAGAACCTGTTGTGGGAGAGGTTGACGATGGTGAGTTTCTTCAGCAAGAAAAGATTCTCCGGCAATGGCCCCTCCAGGGAGTTGTTGTAGAGAGAGAGGACGCTTAGCTCTGTGAGGTGAGAGAAAGAGGAAGGGAGAGCTCCCCGTAGCCTGTTGTCCGCCATGGCGATGGCCAGAAGCTTGGTGCAGTTGCCCAAGCTCGCCGGGATCTGACCCACCAGGTCGTTCTGTCTCAGCTGGAGCACCGCGAGGTTCCTCAGGTCGCCGATCATGATGGGGATCTCTCCGGAGAAATGGTTCCCGAAGAAGTCTACTTCCTCCAAGCTCGAGCAATTGGTGAGCTCTCGGGGGATTATTCCTGACATCTGGTTCTCGTAAAGGAAGAAGACGACCAGCCTCTGCAACCTCCCAATCTCCGGCGGAATCGAACCAGTGAGATCATTGTGGAAGAGAGAGAGCGTCTCCAGGTTGGTCAGATTCCCGATCTCCGATGGGAGGGACCCAGTGATGCTGTTGTTGTGCAGAACCAGGTCGGTCAAGTTCCTGAGTTCGCCGGCGCCGGAGGGGATGACCCCCGTGAAGCCGTTGCCGGAGAGATCCAGCGACCTGAGGGAGGTGCAGTTCAGAAGCCCTGAGAGGACCTCACCGGAGAGCCTGTTCCCCGAAAGGTATAGAGTCTGAAGGCTCGACGGCGATGGGCAGAGGTCGCCGGGGACGCCGCCGGTGAGGGAGTTGTCGGAGAGGACGAGGTACCGGAGGCTCTTCATTTTCACGGTGGAGATGGTGATTTCCCCCGAGAGCTCGTTCCCGGACATGTCCAGCACCTCCAGCTGGCTCAGCCGGTTGATCTCCGCCGGAATGGCGCCGCTCAGCTTGTTCCCGAGCAAGTTCAGGTACCTCAATCCGGTCATCTTCCCCAGCTCCGGCGGAACCAGACCGGAGAAGCTGTTGTTGGCGAGGTTCAGAGTTTGCAGACCCATCAATCCTCCGATCGCCGGAGGGATCTCTCCTTCCAGGAGGTTGTCGGCGGCGGAGAGAACTTGCAGCCCTCTGCAACCCGCTATCACCTCCTCCGGCAACACCCCGGCGAGCTGGTTCCTCTGCAAATTGAGCATACTCAAGCTCTTCAGATTAGTGAGCTCCCTGGGGATACTCCCACTGAGCCGGCAGGAGGCGAGACCGAGAATCTCCATGGCGGTGCAGTTGCCCAGTTGGGGGGGTATCTCTCCGGAGAGCATATTATCTCCTACCCTGAGAACTCGCAGCTTTCTGAGGCGGCCAATCTCCGGCGGGATGTTGCCAGAGAGGGAGTTGCTGTAAAGAATAAGTTCTCTGAGATCATCGAGCATGGCCAGCTCTGGCGGGATGGGCCCGGTGAGGGAGTTCGAAGAGAGGTCGAGGCTCTGGAGAGAGAGAAGCCTCCCAAGTTCCGGGGGGATCGTTCCCAGAAGGCCGGAGTCGGAGAGGTTGAGCCCCACCACGCGATCTCCTTCGCTGGAGCAGGCGACTCCCTTCCACCGGCAGGGGTCGCCGTCGGCGGACCAGTCCCGGAGAAGATCTTCGCTGTCGGTGAGCCCGTGTTTCAGTAGCAGGAGCACGCCGGAGTCCGCCGGCAGGTCTCCAAGGGCGACGGCGAGAATGGCGCAGAGGACGGAGAAGAGGAATAACAGCATGGTGCCCGGAATCATCACTGAATCCATCGCCGGAGCATGCTCACGACGGCGAACATTGTGAGGGAGCAGGAAGGAGAAGAAGAAGAAGATGAAGCGCCGGAGTTCGCACCAGGTCATATGATTTCTCAACCACCGGAAGGGCGGCCGGAAAGGGACGGAGCTTTTCAGGATAGGTTTTACTTTCTCTCTCTAGCCTTTCGACCTGAAAGTTCAGAGTTTTGTCCGGGAGAAGCCCTCCGCCATGGCGGAGGAGCTGCCAGCTTGAGAGAGTAGGGGAGAGAGAAAGGAATGGGAAAGAGAAAAAGCCAGGTTGGAAATTTTCCCAGAGGCCCATTTCACCAAAACTATTGCATTCCTCCTCGCGCCATTTGACTTTAAATAGCCACGTCACCGGTTAAGGAAGGTCAATAAACCTCAACAGATGCGGCGCGATACAGCCGCTCGGGGGGCAAACCTTCAAATATGGAAATATCCAGGGTTATCTGGGAATTTTGTTTTGGATTCCCCTACTCAACAAACTAACAACGGGAAGAAGACGCCGCCCACCGGTGACTGGCGCCGCCCGGTTTCCCGGTGATGAACGTAACTATCAACGGCCCAACACAGCCGCGGGAGCAGGCGGGCAACCGTAAAGCGATCGCCTTTGGGAGTCCGGCCCGGTAAGATTCTGGCCACCGTGAGCAATCGAGGAGACGAAGACAACTTGCCCCTCTCTCTCTCTCTCTCTCTCTCTCTCTCTCTCTCTCTCTCTCTTCCTCCGATTAAATAAATATAGTTTTAAATATATAATTTGGTAAAAATGAGCAGAGATAAATAGCTGGGCTCTCCTGATTTTTCTTCATCTCCTTTTCCGCGGATGATCACATGCAGCAAGTCAATAATTGGAGGTGGCTGTTGAAAAGGGTGAAGAAAGATTCCTCGCCATTAATTTCTGGGGGAGCCGCGGGGGGGCGGAGGCGGAGGTTTGGTGAACCGCCCACGATCCGCTGACCCACAGATTGACGAAGAATCTTGACCCTGTTGACCCATGTTGACCCGACTAGATGGGTCGTTGACCTTAGTCGGGCACAGAGAGGCCGAACAGGGTGGGCGACAAATGGGTGGGTGGGTCTCATCTCTTCATGCAGAAGAAGAACTGAGGGGGCAAGGGAGAACGCTCACAAAGTCAAACGATCGAAACTTTACCTCACAATGACGGGACCCGCTCCCATGTTTCTAGGGTTCTTGAAGCCAGGACCACTGGGTCGGTGCATCTCTCTGCCATCGATCATCCAAAGAATCCTCGCCCGATCAGGTAACAATGACCGCCTGCTTCTCTCTAGGATCTCCCCTTCAAAATGGCAAGAGCTAGAGGAGGTTGGCCTTCTTCAGGAACCTGATCGTTCTGCAGTACAAGGGCCATATGGATTCCACATAGTCGACATACTTCTCCACTGCCCACTCCCTGAGCTGCTTCGTCCTCAGTCTCGCCAGCGCTTCATAGTCCGTGTTCTTCACGTCTGCGACTGGCTTGCAGAGCTTGGCGTAGAGGAGTTCTCTCAGCTTCCCCTCCACCAGGTAGCTGCAGATCAGCGCGTAGTAAGAGGGGAGGTTCCCTAAGAGCTCGATGGCCTTCTTGAAGCAGAAAACGTAGAGGGAACAGATCCCCTGAATGGTCCTGATGTAGAGGGCGGTGATGAGGGGCCCGATGGTCCAGAGAGGGGTCAGCTCCTTGGTGACTTCGATCCCGTAGGCTACTCTGGTGATGAAGTACCATGGAATGCTGCAACGGAACAGATAAGATGATCAGAATCGATATGCCCAATCAGTACCACAGACCATGTTCATTCCTGCAGAAATACCAACTGATCATGTTTATACTTGAACCCACCGGAAAATAGAAGAAAAACAGGACCATTCAATACTTATGAATATGCATGCATATCACTGCATATATATATATATACACAGCGAGAGAGAGAGAGAGAGAGAGAATAAATCAGGAGTGAACATGCTACGAACTGCAAGATAATTTAAGTGAGGGTAGCATCAGCATAAGCTGAGAGAAGCTCATTTGAATGTATATTCATCATACTTACAATATCAACAAAGGAATCTTCAGTGTCAAATCCAAACCCATGAACCATAGGAGAGCAGCTTTTGCCATGTTATCCGCTTTAGTTTCAAGCATTTTCTCCTGGTTTTCCTCAATTTCATCTGCAGCAGGTCTTTTACCATGAAATTCGTCCATTCCAGCACCCAATTTCTGTGCCCGCAGCATGCCCAGCAAGCTCTTGAATAATCTCTCTATCGTTCGAGACCCAGCTACATTGTTTTCTCCACTCACTGATGCACAGGGAATTGAGCTTGAAGAAGAGTCAGCTGATGCTGTTTCAACCTCTTCTCTTTCTTGTGGTGCAAGAGGAAGCTGAACCTGCTTGGAGCATTTGGAATCCCTTTCCATGTCATCTGACGCATCACCATGATCGTTCCCTTTGAATGAAGATACCTTGAAATGCTTCTCTTTTGACAAAATAATGGGTCGGCCTCTGACAACAGCAAAGATGAGGTATGGAGTGAGATAACTTAGAATTCACGTTCGGGTGAAGGAAAAAATCTAGGAGAAAAATCCTTCTGAGACATGAAAATTGCAGCCCAGGTGCTCAATTATGCCTGATCTTGGGCAAAGAGCCACCTTTTTTTTTTAATTTATAAAAGTGAAAAAAATGGGAAGCCTGTCAAACAATGGGTCTTTTCCTTCTTGAGGTTATCGATTGTGGGTTTCAATCCAAAGGTGGTCGTTTCAAACAGAGCCGGAAAAAGTCAATCTGAAATTGCCGACTCTAGAGCTGAACCTGAACAAGCCAGACAGAAGCTTTCCCCCTTCTTTCAGATAGTATTAATATGCTTAGCACAAGGAAGTTCTCAGACTAGATCAAAACTAGAGCCCAAGCAAAGTAACCTCCAACTCAATTAGCAGAGAGAAACTCATGATAAAGCAGTAATATTTCACTGACGATGACATGCATGGCCCGGAACCTTCTAGCACCATGCAAAAAAAATACAAGCACCAATCTGATTCCTCAGAATCTGCGAAAGCAAGCATAAAAGCATATCATCTATGATATAATATAAAGTTTGGTATTCGACAAAGCTTAATAAACATATCCGAAATAGGCATGCAATTTCGGGTTTATTTTATTATAATTTTGAAAGAAGCAATCTAAACAGAGAACATGCGACGCCTCACCTGAACTGGAAACGATGCTTCAAGGATGCAAATTTATCTGTTCTTCTAACCAGCTGTAAATCCACGAAGCATCTCAGGTCAACCACTCTGGAACATGGCCGAGTCTTTATAGTCAAGGCTGAACAACCCTGGTACACAAAGAGAAGGTTGCACTGTGCACGTTCAAATACATGAATAAATCGTAGAGAAGGTCATATCGTAGAGGTACCACCATGAACTATATTCCAAGAATGCTTTACTGAGGAAAAAAGATACGAAGAGGAGAAAAAATTACACTGGATCACATACATTTGTCTGATGGGCTATCAGCGTCATTGCTCCAAAGTTAGATTCCCATTTATCAATACAGAAACCCTGTAGAACAGGAACAGGAATCCACATTCAGACGAGCATCATTCCAAGAAAAAATTGCTTTTTTTCCCCCAAGAAACAAGGAAACAGAGTTCATCCACGTCAAAAAAATCCCTATCAGCCTTGAAAATTCGAACATGATATTTGGTACCAAGTAAATAAACATAACGAGAAAATGAGAAATAGAGGCGTGAAAATAAGCAGTTATAAAAATTCAGACGTATATAACAACAGTATCAAGCTACAGATGGTTCCCATCTCACTGTGAAACTCCCCTAAAAATTATTTATTCTGATTTTCTTCGCAAACCTACACAGATATCCCGTTTTCGGGTGTTCAAGGTGAAGGAGAGATTGGAATAGTTTTTGGAAGTAGTAATTTTCGAGTGGATTGGAGATCCCCCTGTCAGTGTACTTTGTTGAGAATTGTCCAGGCTCGTACTCTTTACTAATCTATTCAAATAATCCATGATCGCGCCGATACTAAAAGATATGATATGCAAAGGGAAACAGTAGTACCGGATCTCGTTTAAATATTATTTACGAAATTCATTTGCTAATGGGTGAAAATGTGAACTGGGAAATCAAACTGCTCTCTCGATTGTCGCCATACATCGCCTATTTTATGTCATACGGACGAGGATGGAATTTCACAAGATTAGATGACATTTTCTGCTAAAACTAATAAAGAGGTGAGAAACTAGATAAGCCATTGCGAGGATGATCCTCCCCGCCACTGTCGCTCTCTAACACCCAATCCTCCAACCTCCACACACACGCTTCCGCAAGATAACGCCATTCGAAATTGTGCGAAAAAACGGGACGAATAGACTGAACAGGCGGGAACTCGCTAACGAACAAATGGAGCGATAAATAGATAGACCCGCAACAGATAAGACTGAAACACATTGGCCATGTTCTAGCATACCACGACGGATCAAATCTCGTGACCAACCGAGCTAAGCAACAAATGAGTATGACCAAAGGCGAGAGAAAAGTAACCTGGGCTGCAGAAGCCGCTTGTTCGCTCCAAGGCTTCGCGCAGGGGGAACGGACGGAGAGACAGAGAGAAGAGAAGCACCACAGCGGGGATGGAATGCGGCGGGAGCAATCAGGTGAGCACGCGAAGATAAGGATTCGCCGGGGAAGACGATAGATGACTGGCAATAGCGCATTAAAACGGGTGCAGAAGAGGGGAACCAGGAGGAGAAGAGAAGTGGCGGGTGGGCAGCCCCCCCTCCCCACACCGAACGGATAAAGCAAGGGGGTGAACATGTCTGTGAAGAGGCCGACCAGATAGTTATTGGGCCATTAACGGGCATAGCCCAATATATAAGCAGGCTCATCCGGACACTGTAGGCCCATTAGATCCAGATCGTCGTTTATCAGAGAGAAATGAAGCCCACGGCCCATTTATCGGCCCAATCTAGGGCCGGCTGATGGATGGCGATTCGGACCGAGGGGCCCAGGCCCCATAACGATTCATTTCTAACATATCCAAAGCGCAGTGGGGTAAGTCCAAATAGCTCGTCCTCAGCCCTGTTTCTCCAACGTGGATGGGCCCCCTCCCTCTGGGCCTACTATTTCTGAAATATTTTTGGTCACAAACTGGGCCTGACTATCTAAAACGAAGTGATATTTTTTGATATAAAAGCATTACTATTTTTCTAATTATTATAAAATTATTTTATAATAATTATTAATTAACATATCCATATGTTTCGCTCAAATATTTATTATAAACCCTTTTTAAATATGCTTAATTATTTTAAACGCATATATAATACTTATTTACAAATATATTCCTACGCTCCACCACCGGCGCCGCCGCTTTCCCAGCACCAGCGGACGGATTGACCTGGGCCCATGGCCGGAAACGAATGGGCAACAGTCACCCTGATGGTTGTCCCACTTCTAACCGCCTCGGGCCGCCGCCACCGATGCCCCCACTCCCTCGCCGCACCGTAGAGGCGCCGCCTTCTTTACGCCACCGAGGGGCACCGCCCGGCGAAGAAGAAGAGATGGCCGTACGCAGCCGCAAAAGATGCAGTGAAATACGAAGAAGAAGGAGGTGGTGGGGAGAAGGAACTCTGAGTCGCCGCCGCCGCCATGCGGGACTGGGAGCCGGTAGAGGAAGAAGACTCCTCGGCCGGTGAGGATGAAAGCAAGGCCACAACTTTCCGGCCACTATCGGCGGCGCCGCCGCATATGCTGGCCTTCCACCTGGCCTGGTTCTCCCTCTTCTGGTGCTTCTTCTCCACCTTCTCCGCCCCTCCCCTGCTCCCCGTCATCCGCAACGAGCTCGATCTCACGTCCGGCGACGTCGCCAACGCCGGCATCGCCTCCGTCTCTGGCGCCGTGTTCACGCGGCTGGGGATGGGCGCCGCCTGCGACCTCCTGGGGCCGCGCGTCTCCTCGGCGGCTCTCTCCCTGGCGACGGCGCCGGCCATGTTCGCTGCCGCCACCGTGTCCTCCGCCGCCGGCTTCGTCCAGCTCCGGTTCTTCGTCGGTTTGTCACTGGCCAACTTCGTCGCCAACCAGTACTGGATGAGCTCCATGTTCTCGCCGCCCGTCGTCGGGGTCGCCAACGGGGTATCGGCGGGGTGGGCCAACGCCGGCAGCGGCGCCGCCCAGCTTCTGATGCCGCTGCTCTACTCTCTCCTTCTCCAGCGAGGTCTCAGATCCTCCCTGGCATGGCGAGCCGCCTTCTTCCTGCCCGCGACGTTCCAGGTCCTGACGGCGATCGCAGTCTTGTTCCTCGGCCAGGACCTGCCGGAGGGGAACTTCAGCGACCGAGGTTACCCCTTGAACAGGACCAAGAGGACCCTGCGAGAGGTAATCTCCAGCGGGATCAAGAACTACCGGGGATGGGTCCTGGCGCTGACCTACGGGTTCTGCTACGGCGTGGAGTTGACGATGGAGAATATCATCTCCGAGTACTTCTACGACAGGTTTGACCTCAAGATCGAGGTGGCCGGAGTTCTGGCGGCGAGCTTCGGGCTCGCCAACGTGGTTTCGAGGCCGAGCGGCGGGCTTCTTTCGGACTTCATGGCGGCGAGATTCGGAATGAGGGGGAGGCTATGGAGCCTGTGGGTGGTACAGAGCTTCGCCGGCGTGTTCTGCGTCCTGCTGGGACGGGCGGCGACGCTTGTCTCCTCTGTCGCCATGCTCATCTGCTTCTCCATCTTCGTCCAGGCCGCCGCCGGGCTCACCTTCAGCGTGGTGCCCTTCGTCTCCCGAAGGTCGAACCAGAGATCATCCTCTTCCTCCTCATTCTCTCCGTGAGAACTGATCGTCCTCTTCCTCTTCATTCTCTCCGTGAGAACTGATCGTCCTCTTCCTCCTCCTTCGCATATGCTTCCGCAGGTCGCTGGGGGTGATCTCGGGGATGACGGGGAGCGGAGGCCCGGTCGGCGCCGTGGTGACGCAGCTGCTGTTCTTCTCCGGAACTTGCGGCTCGAAGGAGAAGGGCATCTCCCTGATGGGGCTCATGATGCTGGCATGCACCCTCCCGGTTCTGCTGCTGTTCCGCCGCCCGCTGGCGCCGCCCGGCGAAGCCCCCGGTGGCGGGGACTTCCTCCCTCTCGAGGGCGACCCACAGGGAGGACAAGTGAATCATGCAAATCATACTCCAGATTCATAATTTTTTTCTTCCTCCAGAATGAGGACAAAAAGGTCGCACGACCGGTGGGCCCCACTTTGTTAACAATCACTTTGTATCTAGTAGCTGGAATCAAGGCTAGTTGTAAATAAATGGGGCCCCAGTGTGCGTGAACCAATAAGGCCCAATAACAAAGCCCATTGTGGCACGTGACCCGGCCCATTCACTCTATCCGTTCGGCTGTGCTCTTCGTAATGGGCCTAATAGATTGCAACCTGCTGCCCGGCCAGTCTCTTCAAGGATCCTATGAACTCCACCGCGGGCCGCCATCTTTCAGCCGTTAGTAAAATAATTAATTAAAATATTGACTAATACGAATAATACATTTTTTCAATGTTTATTTGATTTTTTAAAACCATAAAAATATATTTTTTATGGTAATAGAGAATTTGCTTACAAACCTACATTCCTAAAAATCAGGAGAAAAATAAAAATATATTTTTAAATACACATATGACGTAAAAAAACCCAATTGTTATTTCTCTCTCTCTCTCTCTCTCTCTCTCTCTAGATATATATATATATATATATATATACCTAATATATGGAACCTAAGACTGGGCCCGGAGCTGGGCCCCGCCGGGATTGGGCGGCTGAGCTTATTTTCATAATCCACTCCTTGTTTGGAAGATGCGAAGTGGGAAACTTTGACCCTTCGGATGTTTCTGTGGACGCGGAGGCTTACGCCACGAGGGAAATCATTTCCTTCTCTCTCTATCTCGACCCCCGGTGAACAGGAGAGGATAGAGAGAGGAGGGTGGGGAGGTGATAGGTGGGCGGAGGAGAGGCGATGATTGGCCTGACTGCGGCGGCTTCCACATGAAAATGGTGGAGAGAGAGAGAGAGAGAGAGAGAGAGTCAGAGATAGAGATAGAGATAGAGAGAGAGAGAGAGAGGTCCTATCACCATTGTCTGCTTTCTCGTGTCGAGTTCACCTTTTGATCCGGGGGCGCCGAAATATCTACACGGATCAAACGTGGCAGGTCGATTGGGGGGAGATCTCGGCCATCTGCAGAGGGAATCTAAGCAACGGGACGAGGAAGGCCACTTGGCCAGGATCCGCCGTCCTACGGCAGCAGCCTCTTGTCAGAGACTGCTCGCCGACGACGTCGCTGGTCGGCTGGTGGATATTTTTAACATGATCCCGTTGTTTCCCGCCGCCGACGTGGCAGACCTTGCGTGACGGAGTTGGGATCCCCTTCCCACCCCCCGCCCCTCTTCCCTTCCCCTTCCCCTTCCGGCAAGAACGCCATTTTTTTATGCCCATGAATTCAAGCATCCAACCGGGTTTTTTTTTTTTTTTGAGTTTTTTCGAAAAAATGTCGACTTTCGGGGACTGAGGTTCAGGTCGCAGCTGGGTTCTGATCAGGATCAGATCTACATGTTCTTGCGGGGCCTTCTTCTGATCGGTCGCAGCTTCTATTAACGGCTTCTCGAAAAGTTTGGTCGTCCGGGGGCCTACCCGACCCTGATTCCGAGCGCGGAATATACGTGCACCGCAGAGAATGCGCCACGTTTCCCGTTCATCCCTTCGACCCGCCGACCCTTTGATCTTTCCACCAAAGCTCAATTCTTAATGGTGATATATATATATATATATATATATTGTTGCCACGGGTGGAAGATATTCATGACTGCTGGAGCTTCTCTCTCTCTCTCTCTCTCTCTCTGAGGCAAACAGTGGGCGGCGAGGAGGCGAGAGAGCACAGCCCGGATCGCGCAGGGGGTGGGCGCGTGCGCTCGTGCTGTTTACACCGCTCGGTAATCCTCGCAATCGACGGCATTCCGCCTTCGCCGGGCGTTCTTCGATCGACAGAAGGGGCATTCCGTGCCTGCTTTCCCGCAGTCTCATCGCTCTCTTTCCCCGTCCTCACTGCGTCCACATCCCGCGCCATAACTCGGTTCCCGCAGAATTTCGATTCCTCAGGCGAAAACACACTTCCTCGACGTTTATCGATTCCTCCTCCGATCCCCTCGGCCAGAGCTCGTCGGCCTCGCCTCGTCTTCACTCCCTCGTTCATCACGTACCATCGAGTTTCCTGCTTCTCCTTGATGATTCCTGTTCCATTGATTATCGATTGTTCCCGTCCGAACGCGTGAGATTTGCTTCAGTTCCTCCAGAAGAACTAGTCAGGTCGCCATCCTCTTCTTTGACGCGAGTAAGCTTGTTTGCCGACAGATTTCAGCGGCCGGTGATCAGGCGAGCGATCGAGGGACATGTCCGGGGCCTTGGGACACAGCTTGACCCCCAAAACTTTGCTCCATGCTCGCTTCTCTGAGAGCCAAAGCCAGGTCCACGGTGGGAGCTCTGGGAGCCTTTCTTGTGGATTTCCCTTGGCCTCGCAGGCCAATCAGGCCCTGCAGAGTAAATGGAAGCCGCTGACTTCGACGAAGTTCCTGGGTACGGGCCTTCACGTGAGTAAAAGGAAGACATCTCGGAGGAGTCAACGGGGAGCGGCTGCTATGATTCCCCGCGCCGTCTTAGCCACAGATAGCCCCGAGGTGCCTCCCATTTCTTGATGTGTCACTGTTCTATTGATGCTACCCATTTTTATGCCTCCATTTCAGCGTGGATTTTTTAGCTTTCACTCTCTGCATGTCTTCTGGACGAGCAGCCAGGAGTGTTTTTTTTTAATTTTAAAACCAGATTTCTATTTCGAGCTTGAATTTTTTCGAGAAACGTTACCTTGAAGAGGATTTTTTTTAATATTAGGCAGAGGAAAACGACTGCTGGGCATTTAAATATTTATACGTTGAATTGTTTACTCCTACAAGTTATTTCTATTTTCGAGTGATATTAACTAAATTTTTTGGTCTCATTCATGTTGTTCTGAACGAACAGCCATGAGTTTTTTTTTTTTAATCACATTAAGATTCAGCCTTGAATGTTTTTATTGTTGTTAGTGGATGAAAAAAAAGATACCGAGCATTTGATTATTCAAGAACAGCCCACATTCTCCTCTTTTTTACATAATTCTGAAGGAAATTGCTTCTCAGAATTACCCTTTAATTCTAAGATGCTGTGATACTTCTGGAGCCTACTAATCGCAATGACATGACACCCTTACCTCAGATTCCTCAAAGTATATGTTGCTATATGCGCTAATTATTCTATAATTGGTCTGTTTGGATCAGCTGGGAGAAAGATTCGCTCTTGATGGAAACACTGAACTTCAGGTACTACTTGCGCATTGTGGGATTATAGCTAGGCTACATCAGAGAGAACGCCATTCAGCAACATCCTTGTTCATCTTGTGACTGAGCAGGTGACCGTCGGCAAGTCAGGTCCGGATTCCCTTCTGCAAGTGAATATTCAGGTTGCAAACAGCAGTGGCTCTCTAGTTCTTCACTGGGGCGTGATCAGGAAGGGAAAAGAGTGAGGACACTGTTCGTCTTTTTCCTGTTTTTTTTTATTCATTGCACTTTGGTTGACTTCGCTAATGTGTTCTATTTATTTTTTATTTATTTTTCCAAGTAAATGGACGCTTCCTTCTCGTCGCCCAAATGGAACAAACGTCTACAAGGACAGGGCTCTTCGGACTCCCTTCACAAAGGTGTTTTCTTTAGCTCAATTCTTTACTTAATATGGAAGCCCAAATAGTTGACCATTCAGAGAAAGAAAGAACTCTATTTTCATGGTTGACTGAGTTGAGATCTTGTTCTTCTTTCTCTTAGACCGGCTCCAACGCCTCTCTGAAATTAGAGATCGACACTCCTGATGCACAAGCTGTGGAGTTTCTTATCCTTGATGAAACACAGAATAAATGGTGAGTTTGATCTGATCGAAATCTTCTTGGACTATGAATTAATCGTACTGGGTGCCCTTAGAAGATAAGAATTTACGTCTATTTTTTATTTTTTTTTGTAGGTTCAAAAAAAATGGGCAAAACTTCAGAATCCGGCTTCCTCAAATGGACGGCGCAAAAGAAAATGTTTCCTATGATGTGGGGCCATCAGTTTCTATCCCAGAGGATCTTGTGCAGATCTACGCATATATCAGGTGGGAAAGGAAGGGAAAACAACAATATTCTCCTTCTCAGGAGAAGGTGAGCACTTATGCTTCCTCTGTGGCCGCCACAAAAACAGCCTTTTTCAGTCATTGGAAACCATTTTGAACGCTTTTTTCAGGTTTTTGTTTTTCAGAAATGATGGTTCTAAACCTCATAAAAATGAAGTTTTTAACCACTTTAGAGGTTAATCTAATTTTTTTGATATGTGAGATTTATTTGTTGATCCTCAGGATGTTCCCTCTGTTCGTTAACGTTCATAAAACCGAATACCCTTTACATTTTGTTCTTGGGATCTTTATATCTGATCTTTCTATCTTAATCAGAATATTTTCTTTCTTTCTGATGGGAAGGACTTGTTGTGTATCATTATATTCCTTCGTTGTTGATATTTATAATGTTCCTTTAATCTCATTAATTATAAAAAATGAAGGGGAAAATGCGTTTCAATTTTACTTCTAAATATCCTAGGAAACTCAGAGTTGATTTTGGTGTATGCAGGAGGAATACGAAGCGGCTCGTGCTGAGTTGATTCAGGAAATCGCTAGGGGCGCTACAGTAGAGAAACTCAGAGAAAAATTGACAAAGAATACAGAGGAGGCCGGCGAAAACATTGTTCTTGAACAGAAAATACCGAATGAGCTTGTGCAAGTGCAAGCATACATTAGATGGGAGAAAGCCGGGAAACCCAATTACTCCAAGGAAAAGCAGCTTGTAAGAGCATCGACCCTTTGCTCGAATCATGGAAATTTTGACTCTTTTGATAATATTTTGAATTCGTCATATAATTTTAATTCTGGGATCAGATGGAGTTCGAGGAAGCTAGAACGGAGCTCGAGAGCGAGTTGGACAAGGGTGTGTCCCTTGAGGAGTTAGAGAAGAAGATCATGAAGGGAAATATCCAAAGCAAAGTCGCGAAGCAGCTCAAAACAAAGAAATATTTCAGCGTTGAAAGAATTCAGCGCAAGAAGAGGGACCTCATGCAGCTTATCAGCAAATACACACCTGAAGCTCCGAAGGAAAGAACTCCTCAGAAATCTAGAGACCCAACCACCTTAGAAGTCTTCGCGACTTCCAAAGAAGTGGAAGATGGCGGTCACGTTCTATACAAGAAGACTTTTAAGATAGATAACAAGGAGCTTTTGGTGAGCTATGCTTTCAGTCCTTATTAATTTTTAATAATTTTCTTCCTTCTCCTATAAATTTTAATTAACTTCTTCCGGTTCTTTAAGGTGCTTGTTACCAAGCCTCTTGGGAATACAAAGGTTTATCTTGCTACAGATCGTGAAGGGCCACTTGTTCTTCACTGGGGTCTTTCAAAGCACGCTGGACAGTGGACGGTGAATTCTCCATGGATTTTCATTTTTTCCATTATTTTCAATAAGTTTTATTATCCCTATTTGGCTAAAATGCTAGAGATTATCCGATCGTTCTGCAGTTGCCCCCTTCGACTGTACTTCCTTCCGGTTCTGTTATCAGCGGCGATTCTTGTGAGACACCATTTGTCAAGAGCTCCTCATCGGAGCTGTTTTACCAGGTGAATTCAAGTTTACTGGGTAGTCTGTTTGAGCTGAAAATCGGGCAATTACGTGGAAGATGAATTCATTTATAAAGCATAGATATCTTTTAAAAAAATCAATGAACTTGTGTTCATGTTATGTTCTTGGGTGCAGGCTGTTGAGATTGAGATCGATGGAGATGACTATGTTGGGGTGCCGTTCGTTCTTGTCTCTGATGGGTACTGGATAAAGAACAATGACTCCAATTTTTATGTTGATTTCCGTGGTGGATCATTGAAGCCGAAGAAGGTGCCCAAGACTGTGACCTTAGAATTCACATCATAATCTTTTTTAAAATAATTCTCCTCATGATATGAAGCTCTCCCTAAGTTTCATTCTTTAATGTCTGAAGGAAGCTGGTGATGGAAAGGGCACTGCAAAGGATTTCCTGGAAAAGATAGCGGAGCTGGAGAGTGAAGCACAGAGATCTCTCATGCACAGGTCCGATTTCTGCAGTCCTTCTAGATATCTCCGACATGCAGATGCTCATGAGAACGATGAACTTTAGAGTTTTATAGAATGTGTTTCTTGGAATCTTCGTCTGGGTTTCTCTCATGTGGGCTAAAGATTGCGTCTTTACGATGTTTATATCAGAAGGTTCCTTCTTTGCTTGAAAAAGTTCTGTGCTCAGTGGCAAGAACCATGCTTTCCTTGGACAGTTTTTACATCGAGCACACCATTTAGTCAACTTGTTTGATGTGGGTGGGTTGACAAATGGACCCAGTCAATGCTACTGGGTCATGGCCTACGGCCATTAACAGTCACGTCTCTATTACTAGATTTTATGCGTGGGAAAGTCTGCGGTCGGTTACATGGTTGACTCATTGCCGGTTTAGTGGAGGTTTTCCAAATATCTTCTGTTCTTTCATAATAATGCTTCACGCACATGTTTGCACTCTTCCGATTACATGCTTTGTATGTTGGCAGATTTAATATCGCAGCTGATCTGGTGGAATCGTTGGGAGATCCTGGGGAATTGGATCTTGCAGGAATTCTTGTGTGGATGAGGTTCATGGCTACAAGACAGCTTACGTGGAATAAGAATTACAATGTGAAACCACGGTATTTATTTCCTTACATAGAAATTTAGTTATTTTTTTAATAAATCAGCAAGTTTATTATCATAATTTCCTGTCGGTGAATGTGCATCACATTGTTTCTGCTTTCATCAACCCACTACATTGATTTATTTATTTATTTATTTATTTTGTGGTTAGATTGTACACAGATAATTAAGCATATAAAATCAGTTTCTTCTTTTTTTGGCAATCGTCTTATGGTCAATTTCATGCTCACATTTTTGCCCTTGATATCCTTGAACAGATTAACTTAATAATTCAGTTTACCTCATGTACGGTGGCAGAATCTTCTCTCTTTCTAGCTTGATACCTTCTTCTGCATCCTTTCAAGTGGAAAAAAATTGAAGATATTTTAAAACATCAAAACGAAGAGCACAACACCAGTCTCTCATCTTCACCTTGATGTTTGAACTAGATTATTGTTAACATGATACTCTGTTCTCATTTCCACTGGGAGCCTTGCGATTATAATTGACAAGAAGAAGATACTCTGTTCCTCCAGACAGTGAAGCCTTAATTTTCTGAAATAATTTGGAAAATAGCTTCTTGTCTGAGACTTGGTAGAGGGACGACCTTGAGGTCAGCTTCCACATTGTTCTTTGATAATTTAGGAGATTATTATGATTATAATCCACTTGGATTGCACAAGCATCAAGTTCTTGCTGATGCATGTTGACTCTATCTATGCTTGGTTCATCTCCTTTGCACTGGGGGAACAATCGTGTTTTGGTATTGGTATTTGGTTATGCCCAAGAAAAATATGTCGGCTAATGTGCAAAGTAGGTTGAAGAACTAAGATTTTGTATCTTTAAATCTTATTATTCCGCAGGCCCTTGAAGCAGTTTTGATATAAATTAATAAATTAACTGGTAGTAAATATGTTCAATTTTGATGTGGACCTTCAATGCTTTGGGCCGTGAAAAACGTTTCAAAAAGGATGTGTGTGCATATTATCGAGTGAGATATTTAGTCCTTTGAAATGCATACGATAGATATCATCATGAATATGCATTCATGTGGGAGTGAAATGATCTGAAGAAAACTCTCAACTAATGTTTAGTAGTGTAGAAAACATAGAGATAGAGAGGGATAATACTCTTGTTCTGATAGAGCAGAGAGAAACAGAGGGAGAGAGAGAGAGGAATCCTCTGTCCCATAGGATAGAGAGCAAGAGAAGCAGAAATACACCAAAGTCTTTTTCTCACCCCCCCTAAGTCAATTAAATAAGGACAAACTCTAACAATACTTCTTTCCCAAAATACACTTTAACCTTCTAACAAGTAGTAAACTGGTTCTCAGGGATAAACATATATCAGCCTTTCTTTAATCCGGTTAGCTTGAGAAGTGGCGAAAATTGCCACCCTAAGCTGCTCAATACTTGTTTAAGATCAAAATTATTCACATGATCTGGGATAAAAAGTGATATTATGATGCTTAAATGGTAAATGGTAAATGACTTCTCTTCTCATGGGAACTTAATATTTTCAATTTCAGTGAGATTAGTAGAGCCCAGGACAGGCTTACAAACTTCCTTCAAGGTATGTACAAAGCTCACCCTCAATACGGAGAGCTACTGCGGATGATTTTGTCCACTGTCGGCCGAGGTGGAGAAGGAGATGTTGGGCAGCGCATCAGAGATGAAATACTAGTCATTCAGGTGTGTGCCGTGGTGGATTAGTTTGAGATAAAACGTTGACTTTTTTCCTTTTTTTTTTTGAGAGGGCAGTGATGAATGGTCATTGGAGATCATTTTTTATTGATTATTGTTGCTTTTCTGGCAGAGAAACAACGACTGCAAGGGTGGGATGATGGAGGAGTGGCATCAGAAACTACATAATAACACGAGCCCAGACGACGTTGTCATCTGTCAGGTAATCGAGATTCAGCATTCGAGGGGGTGGGGGTCATGGCGAGCATGTTTGATAGCACAGCACATCATTTTTCTCTCCAAATCATCCTCCTTGTAGGCTCTCATTGATTATATCAAAAGCGACTTCGACATCAGTGTGTACTGGAACACATTGGAGTCTAATGGCATCAACAAGGAACGCTTGCTGAGCTATGACAGAGCCATCCACTCCGAGCCAAGATTCAGGCACGATCAGAAGGAGGGCCTTCTGCGTGATCTAGGACACTACATGAGAACCTTGAAGGTATGGCAATCGAAGGAGGAGATATATAATACTTTTGGCTGCAGATCTAACCCATGCTGACCAAATTTTTTTCAACGGCAGGCAGTTCATTCAGGGGCGGATCTTGAGTCCTCCATTGCAACTTGCATGGGCTACAGAGCCGAGGTGTTGACTTTTTTAGACCCTCTGGAAAAATATATATAATTTTTTAAATTGACTACTGATTTCTGGGTTTGATCCAGGGTCAAGGTTTCATGGTCGGGGTCCAAGTCAATCCGGTTGGAGGCTTGCCATCAGGATTTTCAGTAACTATATTATCCTTGAGAAGCTTGACAGAAATTTTCAGAAATTTCTAAAATTGGTATCATTATATAAAAATATTGAACTGTTTTGATAGGATATCCTTCGATTCATAATGGAGCATGTTGAGGATAGGGATGCGGAACCTTTACTCGAGGTGGGTGTGGTCATGATTGTTCATGGGTATGGCTTTTATGGCCACTTTATCCTAAGTCTTGATGATGCAGGGTTTGCTGGAGGCGAGAGCGGAGCTCCGGCCGCTTCTTCTCAAGTCCAACGACCGATTGAAGGATCTTCTGTTCTTGGACCTTGCCCTGGACTCTACGGTGAGGACGGCCATTGAGAGGGGATATGAGGAGCTGAATAATGCTAAAACCGAGGTATTTAATTGAAGTGATTTGTCTCTCGTCATGGGGTGTTCGATTGATTGAAAGATTCGAGGAATTGAGCCCAGTTCGTCCATTTATGTCGCAGAAAATCATGTACTACATCACATTAGCCGTGGAAAATCTTGCCCTCTCATCGGACGAAAACGAGGATCTCATTTACTGCTTGAAGGTAATACCTATGCCCCATGACATGGATACTTGTAACTAGCTAACAGGGAAAATAGGCCACATAGGATGCATGATCTCATATTCGGCACACACACTTACACACATACATATCTAGAGAGAGAGAGAGAAAGGATCATTGTATGTGGCATCATTCTTGGATATTTACTATACCTCTTGATTCTCAGTTTCTATAAAGGATTTGAACTTCCATCTGATTGATTCTGGCCATTTCTTAATATTCCTTTGTTTAGAACACTGCTGCATTTTTCATTTGATGGGTCTGTAAGAAAATGTTGTAATGGCGAACATACACATTGGTGTTCATCTTATAATGCATGTTTTTGGCCGAATAAAATCTCTGGTCAGATGAAATTAACCTGATGACGGCTATTTTTCTTTGTAATGACAGAAACTCTCTCTAGTTTCTCTTGAGATGATCCCTCTAATTTTGGTATGCTTTTATCAATGCCTGTTCTAACATTCTTGATGTAATTCAAGGGATGGAATCATGCACTGGAGATGGCCAAAAACAACAATGATGGATGGGCATTATATGCGAAATCATTTCTCGACAGGACACGACTTGCTCTATCGAACAAGGCCGAGCACTACCAGCATCTTCTACAACCTTCTGCAGAGTACCTCGGTTCCCTGCTCGGCGTCGAGGAGTGGGCAGTATGCTCTTTATATCTTAATTATTCTCATGATTAGGCTCATACCTGTCATGGAGCTTGCAGTCACATGGTTGTCCGCATCGCAGGTGAATATATTCACTGAAGAAATTATTCGCGCTGGGTCGGCCGCTTCGTTGTCCACGCTGCTAAACCGGCTTGACCCTGTTCTTCGGAAAGTGGCTAACCTGGGCAGGTTTATAAAAACATCCTTCTCAAGCTCATTCATCATTTGCTAGTTCATGAAAGAGGGCGATGGCACTAACCTGCTCATTCATCATCTGGCTGCCGCAGCTGGCAGGTCATAAGCCCTGTTGAGGTCACCGGATATGTTGCTGTTGTGAATGAGCTTCTGACAGTCCAGAATAAAACTTACGATCGACCCACTATCCTGGTGGCAAAGAGCGTGAAGGGCGAGGAGGAAATCCCGGATGGAGCTGTAGCAGTGTTGACGCCCGACATGCCAGATGTTCTCTCCCACGTTTCTGTGCGAGCAAGAAACAGCAAGGTGGAGCCTCTTTTTCCTGCAACCAGAGAATTCTTGAGCCTTCTTCATTGCATGCTATGAATATATGAGGAATAGTTAGTTTTCGGGTTAAGTACCAGTCAGAAACTTTTGAATGCGATTTTATTTTCTCGGGCAGGTTTGTTTTGCTACATGCTTTGACCCCAATATCCTGAGCGATCTCCAACAGAAAGAAGGGAAATTACTCCAGCTGAAGCCAACATCTGCTGATGTTGTTTACAGGCAAGTGTGCTTGTCTTCTCCGGAGGTGGCCTTTTTCTGGGAAAGTAATGCATGTCTCGATGTCTCATTGTCTTCTCTCTGATAACTGTGTTTTGTTTTATTTTGTTGGTTCTAGCGAAATAAATGAGAGTGAACTCTTCGGGAGAAGCTCACAAAATCTGAAGGAAGACCAATCTTCTGTGTCCATATCCCTGGCCAAGAAACAGTTCAGTGGCAAATACGCCATATCGGCTCAGGAGTTCAACAGTGACATGGTTGGCCTCATAAACTATTATCTTCATCACATATCATGTTATCTCTCAGTTCTTTGACTAGACTTGGATCATTTTGTTTCTGCCAGGTTGGAGCTAAATCTCGCAACATCTCATATTTAAGAGGAAAGGTGCCAGATTGGGTGGGAATTCCGACCTCAGTTGCCCTTCCTTTTGGGGTCTTTGAAAAGGTCCTAGAAGACAAATCCAATAAGGTCAGACTCGGTTTATTGGGCTTCCTTTGATCTGACACTTTCCTAATATTCTTCTCTGGGGGCAAGAAATATTTACCCTAAACCGTTTAGCATACAAGCTGTTCCTTTTGGGAGATCATCATAAACATCGTTGATATTAAGGATGCAAAGGAATTAAAGATATATGATCAGGATCATGCCTAGGATGGTGCCAACCAGTTAGCTAATTTCAGGTGGTCTCTAAAACTGGCTCTGACCCTGCTGTGCTCTCTGAGGTGACCATATTGAAGATCATGTGCCAAATCATCCAAGTATTCTAGCAAACTATGATCCTTACACTGTTTTCAGTGCATTGGGTGGGTATCTGGTAGACAAAAGAGTCTAAGAATTTGGCAGCAGCACTAAAACAGGAATAATGTAATTCTCCTTTTCCCATTTTTGTGTAGTTTAACATTGAATAAATGCAATATTTTTCTTTGGTGATCACATAAATACTATAAAATACCCTAGATAGACCCGATGTTTTTCTACCTCTTACCTGAAGGAGTTAGTACAGAAACACCCTAGAAATATAGATTTGTTCCCCTTATTTTATGATGGTAAGACATGCGTCAAGTTTAGGAATGGCATCATCTCTCTCTCTCTCTCTCTCTCAATGATAATAGAAGAATAGTTAGTGTCATTCATAAGACCAAGGTTCAACTATTGAGATGCCATATTGCCTGTCAACGTGCAAAGAATCCGATTTTTTTAGTTTTTTTTCCCTTCTAATGCTTACCTGGTCTCATACAAAAATTATGGCCTATGTATTTTCAGTCCCATGATATATTCCTTGGATCAATATCTTGCTGCACATAGCAACTCACCTTTCCATCATTGACCTCCATCTTCTACAGGCAGTGGCAGATGAACTGCAGATCTTGAAGGCAAAGCTAGATGAAGGAGACTTCAGCAAGCTGGGAGAGATTCGCAAGACGGTTCTGCAGCTAGCCGCTCCACCTCAGCTGGTAAAGTTCTTCAGCAGCCAGAAAAAAAACACATCCTTTAAATAATACCATGATAAATAAATGAATCAATGATTTAAGACTAGTATAGAACTATGCTAATCAAATTTCCGGCACATCCAGCATATGCTTATTAGTGCCTAAACTATCCTTTCGACCTGCGTGTTGATGTGATGATTCACCTACGTTTTCCTGAAATATTTTCTCTTCTACTGCTGTTGGGCTCGATATCTGATGATGCATGGTGAGCAACGGCTGGTTTCAGGTTGAAGAGCTCAAGCAGAAGATGGTCGAGTCGGGGATGCCTTGGCCTGGTAACGAAGGTGATCGGAGATGGCAGCAGGCATGGTTGGCCATAAAGAAGGTGAGACTTCTCTTCAGTAAATTGACATCAAAACAAATTGGGAAGCTCTCTTCCAATGGAGACCACTACACGTCCTCCAGGTCTGGGCGTCAAAGTGGAACGAGAGGGCGTACTTCAGCACGCGGAAGGTGAAGCTCGACCATGACTATCTATGCATGGCTGTCCTTGTTCAAGAAGTCGTGAGCGCAGACTACGCATTCGTCATCCACACTACAAACCCATCTTCCGGGGACGCATCAGAGATCTATACGGAGGTATCTCTGTTTATCACGGCGCCAAATGATCCATTTTTTCCTCGAGAGAACGGGGTGTTTCTGATTTGCTTCAGCTTCCTCTCTGGTGTAGGTTGTCAAAGGGCTTGGCGAAACCCTTGTTGGGGCTTACCCAGGCCGGGCCTTGAGTTACATCTGCAAAAAAGATGATCTTGGCTCTCCTAAGGTGCGTAATGCTATGATTATTTATTTATTTATTTATTATTATATGCTTCCTCTTTTTTTTTTCCCGGAATTCGATTTCGAATGGTTTGAGCTCACAATTTTTTATTTTATGTTGTTTAATTTTATTTCCAGGTGCTAGGGTACCCAAGCAAACCAATTGGTCTATTCATTCGACGATCTATTATCTTCAGATCCGACTCTAATGGTGAAGACTTGGAGGGTTATGCAGGCGCAGGTCTCTACGACAGGTCAGTCTAATCCTCGATGCTATGAAGAAATTTCCTGAACTATCGCGCGACTTTTATTTCTGATTAATAAATTCTGAATTATTTTGCCATTTCCATGCCAAAACCCAAAACACCAGTGATGAACACACTTGGTTCACTCCATCGCCGATCGCACGATCGGTTCCAAGTTTCCAGAACCCTAGGCCCTAACCTGTAGCATCAGTTCTCTGTTTTCCGGAAACGGCCAGCAACGAACCCTAGTTTCTACGTCCTCCTGAACCCTAGATTTACCGAACCCTAAGCTCTGAGAATGGCGAACTCACCTGATTGACTCCGTCGCGGTCGCAGCGTGCCGATGGACGAAGCCGAGAAGGTCGTTCTCGACTACGCCTCCGATCCGCTGATCGTGGACGCCGGTTTCCGCAAGTCGATCCTCTCCAACATCGCGCGCGCTGGGAGCGCGATCGAGGAGCTCTACGGCTCCCCGCAGGACATCGAAGGCGTGGTGAAGGACGGGAAGATCTTCGTCGTCCAGACGCGCCCCCAGATGTGATGATCTCCACCCGCCCGCTTCCGCTTCACTCCCCCCCCTCGATCGGATCAGCTTTGGGTTTTTTCCCTTAAAAAAAAAAGTACCCGATATTAATTTAAAAAATAATCGAAATAAGATAAAACGGCTAGTTCAATTTTTGTGGGAAATAAGAAAAATAAAGCCAGGTTAATGAGAAATTTTCAATTTACGTTGCGATTTTCGATAATGCATTAAAATAGTTCGCAGTGAATGATTTCATCATTTTTCCCTGTATTGATATGTCTACAAATATTTTCGAAATTAGAGGAATACTTCAAATTATTTATTTAAATGCTACATATTGATTTTTAAAAGAAATAAATAAATAATGCAACCCAGCTCATCATTAATCGAGAGAAATTATAAAAAATTGAGACGGAGGAATTTATTAAATAACAGATGAAGTGGGGCACCACAAAACTGCTGCTTCAGACAAGCCCCGAGTATGACATGGCCCCCACGTGTTGCCACGGGTGAACGTGCCCTCCACGTGGACATGCTTGGCTTAAAAATGAGACCTTTATTATTTCCTTACCGAAGGTCCATTTAAAACCCATTTACACAAGAAATGAAGAACCATAGTTCTGGGCAAGATCATCATCGACATTTCGAACTCATTTGCCCCTTTTTCTTTTTATTTTTTTCATTTTTCGAGAGATTTCAGCTGCCCAAGAGACCACATCAATTTAAAGTATGAACTGGAAGTCAACAACCTGGGGGGGTACCGACCCATAAATGGCAACCAAGAAGTCAACCTCTGAAGCTCGCGGGTGTCGTCGCCTCTGTGAAGTACTCCCTCCGCACAGTCTCAGCATCACAGAATCTCACCTGGTGCACATAAAAGGGGAGATGAGAAGGTGCCACCCAATCATCCCTGCCTATGGCAAGTCCTTACAAAATGGCAACCACATTAATTTGAAGTAAAAACTGGAAGTCAACAAACAACTTGGGGGTATCGATCCATAAATGGCAACCAAGAAGTCAACCTCTGAAATACTCCCTGCCGCAGTCTCCAAAACACAAAATCTCACCTGGTGCACATAAAGGGGCAAGTTCCCTGGCTATGGCAATTTCTTCTTGCAGAGTCAAGCCTAATCAAATCTAAATAAATAAACGCTGCCATTATCATGGTTTCATCCGCGAGTTTTCTAAAATTGAGTTTCTTCCAGACCCACTGTCGGTTTATTGCTAAAAATGGAAATAATTTGTTGACTCGCTCACCAGAGAGGCGTATGACTTGAGCCATGGTCTGACGAGCTGCCAGACTGGTTGAAACACAAAGGGAGCATCGACGAAGAGGACCTGGCTGAGTCTCTTTGGGTAATAGTAGTAGAAGACATCGATCTGCCAGATAGAAGAAGGAAGCACGTTAGAGAGAGAGAGAGAGAGAGAGAGAGAGAGAGAGAGCTCGGAAGAAGATCTGTACATCACAGGCATGCTGTGAAACGTTGGGGCAAAAAAGCTTGAGCCCAGTTACTTTGGGATCTTTTTCTGGCTCAAGTGAAAGAGTAGAACCTGGGAGGTTCGTGAACATAATAAGACTTGCCCGAAATGGGCAACATTTAAGATCCAAATACGTAAATGAATATTCTTTTGTCGGGGAAAAAAAAATAAAAATTGTTTACGAATCTTCTGTCAGTTGTTCACTGAACTACAACTGGGGTGGATTGAACTTGCCGGAAAAAAATATAGAAAATCTTTGGAAAGGGTTACAACCATTCAGGAATCCACTGTTCATTGGAAAAGGTGTGAATATGTTTCATGATGTGTGCGCACCCTTTAATAGATTCTAACATGTATCAGAATCTACTCCAAGTATTATTTTGGAATAATTTATTTCAGTAATAGTTTTACATGCTACCCTGAACATATTGAATAATGATCATTATAATCATTAGAAGCGCAAATCCCCATCTGAAGCAAAAGGGACGAATGATTTTATTTATTTTTACCAGAATCAAATATTAAATAATGATGGTCGATAGATCATATGACATTGCACAAAAAACGCCAATCCCCATCTGAAGCAAGAAAAGAAAGAAGAAGAGATCATCATAATCATTAGACCCATAAACATTGGACATTTATATCAGCTGACATGATATTTAAATCTCCATTCAAGCGAAAAAAAACCAGCCAAATCACAGTGGCATATAAATCAGCACAGTTATCAATACTAATAATAGAAATAGCTGATAGTATAGGTTACCAAGAAGCGTAGGAACGAGATGTCCCCATTTTCTGTGCGGAACCCTCGTAGATCAATTATTGCAAGTATCTGTTCCTCCCCTTTGGGAAGTCTGGATAGTGCCTTCTCGATGAGAAATACACATAGCTTTTCATTCTCTCTGGAATCCTGCCTCTGATAGTGGGTAGTGATATGTCACAAGGATGCACAAGAAGGTGTGCCACATACATCGGAGAACTTACAAATATCATGAGAAGAAAAAATATTTCACCAAACACATAAAGTTAGTTTCTCGTGAGATGCATACTAAAAACCAGAGGAAATTCGAATGAAAACCCATGTTAAATTCTGACTAGAACAGTATGCAAAATCATACAAGAAAATCATATGCATATATCACCCAAAGTCAATCGATTAGTTCCATAATTTACTGAAGTATAAGAAGTTCATTTCTCTATCCGTTCTTCTGGAAGTTGAGAGAAAAGATAAAAAGGTGGTTCCTGTAATAGATAGATATGTTGGTCATAGATGCGACACAAATGCAGACATGCTGATGAATCATTAAGTTAATACAGAATCCAGAGATTCAAAGGAGAATAATTCATATTTCGCAACTCATGCTAAGCCCAGATTACCTTTTCATTGAAGATGGCAAGTCACCGAGTCCTTTGCCGATGCGACTTTTGACCTTAGGTACCCACAGACTATGTAGCTATACGATTTGTTGAATTTAGATTGCACCTACTAGCAGTTAGGCAGGAAAGTTCATGCTCCACTATTAGGGATGAATGTGATGATAGAAAAAGGTTGGAGCATTTTTCTCCGCTTGAAGTTTTATAAAATATTTGGGGAAGCATGCCCAGTTTGGCATGTGAAACACCACAAAGCCTACATTCATTGAATAGAGTTATCTAGCAATCGGATCATCCTTCAAGCTTGTGGCATATTCCCTGAGGCAGGTCGATATCAAATCAGCTGACTGCTGAGAACAAGTTAAGTGGTAGCCCAGGCGATTAGCTACCCTTTCAGGACAAGTAGGCCCAAGTCAAAATATGGCAGTATCAACTGGTAAAGTCAACACCACAATCTAGGTTGAACCCTACCTCGTGTTCCAAACCGAGTAAACCATATGTCATGTGTCAAATGTGCCCTCCTTCCCCAAAGCTATGCGTAAATCTATTTGTCACTGGGAATGCCAGAGAAGAAAGCAGAGGCAAACTTAGCAGCCGAAGAGTAAAAGGTCACCATGCTTCAAGGCTAGAGATTGATTCCTGCACCAGCAGACCATCCTAAACTCCTAGTTTAACCAGGAAGTTCTCAGTTTGTTTTTAAAAAAAATTATAATATATAACTACCAATACAGCTAATTTTATTTTAGAATAGAAAAAGAAGTCGTTTATCCATGTCGTAGCAGAATCAGGATTGACCTCATCTACTAGTTGTTCAGAAGAGAGCCGTGTGTAAACCCAAATGAGCCACAGCGTCGCAGCACCAGGCTACCGCATACCTTTCTATTGTAACGTAGATGCCCACTCCAGGGCTTGACAAGGAAATGAAACTACCAATTTGAGGACCATCAGACAGGCGCAAGATTATTCGTTAACTGGATGAAAGAGAGCTTTCAATTATAGTTAACTAAAAAAGTCAAATCAATGCTTTATTAGGTTAAGGCCTACCCCAGGGAAATGCTTTGATGCAACCACCACAAGCACTGCTCTGCCCTGCACATCTAGAAAGTCATGGACATAAGCTTTTCCAGTTTCGTACAATTTCCTGATAGATTCCTCCGTCAATTCTGACACACCGAACTCCTGACGCCATATCTAACAGTGACATCATGGAAAAACAATGATATTTGTAAATGAATTTAAGAAATAAAATGATTTCTGTGCACGTCTTTTCTTCTGTTACGCAGATAAGTTTTTTCCTACATCTCAATGTTCATGCCTTTCACTCAAGCAAAATCAGTTGAAGAAAGGAGTAAAAACCCTGTTTAAACAAACAAAACGTGGAAACAAAAACAAAACCCAGTTCCTCGTAAGATCAGATTTGCAGTTTGAAAAATAAACTAGAATTTAGAAAAATCCCTTAAATGATGAAACAAGTTTGGGACATGAGAAAAGTTGAAGTCTCAGATAATGATAGATGCGCATACTTCAACCTTGTAATCTCAGCGAGGATTTTTTCACCCCTTCAAGAAACGAATAAGACGTACTTCAAAAAATATTCAGACCTACGAAGGAGGTTCATAAGTGACGGATTCAATCAAAACCCGTAAACCAAAGTAGAGGGACAGAGGGAGGAAAGCAAGAACAATGACACCCCCAAAACATGCGGACACTATCTGTTACAAAGAAGGGGAGAATGTCGGGTTTACACGAGAGAGAGAAATAAAAACAAACCAGAATACCCCAACAAGAAAATAAAATGATTACATAGTCTAACAATAAGTAATCTTTGATTATTTTGAGCTATGCATTTTCTATTGTTGATACCTCCGAGCTCTCAAGTATAATGATCAACTGTACTTCAGAACATGTCAATATATCTAGATGACATAAATGAATTGGCTTGGATACAATGGCTTTTGTTAATTTGAAGATGGCATCATCAACTGAAAACTTTCTGTCCCTCAGAAACCAAAGTATCAAATCTTCATCATCTCTTCCGTTTTTTCCTTCTGGGAGATCAGAATGCTCTTTCTCAAGCTTTTCTTTGACTTCCAGCACAAGCTATGATAAACATAAAACTCAATCCAGTGAGTAGATGACCGTGAAAACAAAAGGAAACGCAAAATCAACCGACTGAAGTAATTGAGATAGGTGTAAAAATAAAAAACCCATTAGGCAGAAGTGACTTATTTTTCTCTAAATGATGAATCACATGATCTATTAACCCATTAGGTAGTTGGCACTACCATAAAGGGAGAAAAAAGAAGCAACACAGCTCATGGAAAAGTGTGGCCTAGTCTTGAAGTCATCAGTGGAACCTAGACGTCTCAGATTGGAGAGAGATGGATTATGGGGAAAACAATGACGAAAATGACTGCATGATGTTTTTTCTTAAACCAATAAACTTAAGTATTTTGAAGAAAAACGTCAGTTATATGACATATTAATCCCGATACTAACAAATCTAAAAAAATTCGTCCATTTATGTGTAAAAAAGCACCTTGGTGCACTAAAATACTACCACTGTTTCCTGCAGCGTTTTATACAAATCAACATGCAGGGTCAGACATGGTTTGTATTATTTTCTACTCTCTACTGGACAAGTTCTTTTGATTATGGGCCGCAGAGAAAAATAGCAACAGGAAGTGGCACATACCAACGGAAACATGAGACATACATAAATACATACATATTAATGTATAGAAATATACATATTCCCTCTAAGATGAGATGGAATCAGACATTTATTTTTTTAAAAACTTGAAAATACCTGTAATGTGGTACTAATGCTTCTCCTCCAAACCTGATCTAAATACCGGCATGACTGAAAAGTCTGAACTGATTTCCTTCATAATTTGAGAAATTAATTTTAAATGTGCGTCAGACATATTGAAATTTTTGGTCGCATGCATATCTTCATTTCTTCATATGCTGATATATCGTTCTGAATTTTAGTTTCTGCCATTAAGTCTACTAACACACGTATTTATCATTCTCATTTCTTGATTCTCCTATAATACAAATGCTTGAAAAAATGCACAAGAGAATGAAACGTATTTCAGATTACCAATGAGAAACGAAACATAAGAGAATTAGGACGTAAAACACAATCAATTGGCCATGAGTGGAGTACACCCACATGAATTATTATATCAAACGAGTAAGAAAACCCGCTCATTTTTCAGGTTAATTTCAAGATAGCTCTGTCATGTATACAATACAAATGGAGGATATAACCAAAGATTTATGCTGACACCTTATTACAATGTGAAAGAGGTGTGTTTTCAAACTCAAAACCAATAACTGTAAGTGGAATATGAATGCATCCCTCAGATTATAAGGGTAAAACACAAATTTAGTTACGTGCTCATATGCCAATAACTAGAGAAATAGTGAAAACTGTTGGGACTCTGTACAGTAAGATAAGAAATTCCCATGTATTACCATTAGGGGGTGAGAATTTTATACGCGTTACCAATGTCTTCCACCATTAAATCTTGGCTAATCCTCCTCAACACCACCTATGTCTTCCATCATTAAGTCTTGACTAATGCTCCTCAACGAGTGATGGATCTTCAGAACATCATCATCTAAACTATCTCCCACTCTAAATTCATGAACTTCCCCATGCAATTCAATAGAACTACAGCCGGGGTTCTTTCTAATTGATCTATCTTTCATTAGCTTCCACATTTTACTGGCACTTTCAAATTGGCACCTGGAAACATAAATACTAGACAACAGAACATAAGAACTACTATCATTCGGCTCCAACTCAAAAAGATGCCTTGCTGCACGCTCTGCAATTTCTGTGTTGCCATGATTAGTAGAAGCAGCAAGGAGGGCCCTCCAGACAACATCATTGGGTCTTATTGGCATGCTGGTCACCAATTTCATTGCTGCATCCAAACCTCCAGATCGACTTAGAAGGTCAACCATGCAGCCATAGTGCTGGATCGTAGGACAAAGTCTGTACTTGGATCTCATAAGCTCAAAGTACAGCTGACCTTCGTGCACTAAGCCAGCATGGCTGCAAGCATTTAGAATATTGACAAAAGTTATATCATCAGGTTCTACATTAGACAGTTCCATCTGCTCAAATAGGGAAACAGCAAGACTGCCAAAACCATGTATCGCAACACCTGATATCATTGAGTTCCAGTGATCCCTGGTTTTCCGAGGAATGTGATTAAAAAACTGTAGAGCCATACCTACATACCCACACTTGGAGTACATGTCTATGAGGGAGACGCCAACCATGCCACTGACCGGATAGCTTTTTCTTTCAGCATAGGCGTGAACCCATGTTCCCTGTACATATAGGCCCAAGTCAGCAATGACAGAAAGAACTGTTGCCAAGGTACAGCAATCAGGTTTTCCTCCGCTCTCAAGCATTTCACAGAAAAGTAAAATGGCTTCTTCGGGAAAACCATTTTGTTTGTAGCCAGAAATCAGTGCATTCCATGAAATTATGTCCCTATACGGCAAAGTATCAAATAATACCCTAGCGAATTCCATGTTTCCAATCCTAGCGTATCCATCAATCATAACATTCCAAGCAACAATGTCTTTATCGGCCATTGTATTGAATAACTGATAGGCCATTTCTATTTTTCCACCCTTCACGTATGCATCAAGCATGATGTTGTATGAGACTGAATTCTTAACTGGCATTATAGCAAATAATTTATATGCACTCTCAATGCTCTCACATTTTGCATAACCACGGATTAAAGAATTCCATGTTATCAAGCTCTTGTGTGGAACTTTTTCAAAACAGCAGTGTCCAATCTCAACATGTCCACTTTTAGAATATCCGTTGATCATGATGCCCCAAGTAACCACATCTTTTAAGGGCATTTGATCAAATAAGTCCTTTGCGGATTCCATATCCCCACATTTCGCATAACCAGCGATCATGGAATTCCACGAGATAATATCTCTGATTGGCATTTCATCAAACAAATTCCTGGCAGCACCAATTTGTTCATACTTTGCATACCCATCGATCATCACATTCCACGAGAAAATATCTCGTTGAGGCATATAATCAAATAATTCCCGTGCAGTGTCCAAATCTCCATGCTTCACATACCCGTCAATCATCATATTCCAGCAAATCAATCTTTTATGAGGCAATAAATCAAACGCAAGGCGTGCATCTTCAATTTTACCACACTTTGAATACATAAGAAGCAAGGAATCCAGCACATACGTGTCTTGCCTAAAAGGACTCTTCAAAACCTGGCAATGTATTTGTTTTCCTTCTTCAAGCGCACGAATATTTGCACAGGCTTTGAGTACAAAAGGAAATGTGAATTTGTCAGGGCGGACCAAGTTTTGCCACATCTGTTGGTATAATTGTACGGCTTTCCTTGAACTGTGACTCTGTTCATATTCTCTGATGGCTGCATTCCAACAGAAAGCAGAAGGTTCCTCAACATGTTTCAATAAAAGTACCGCAAAATCCAATTTTCTTGTTCCCCTAGCTGAGCAGTGACTCAAAAGTTTGCTCACTGCATGAGAATTCTTGGAAATCCCAGCGAGAATTACATGCGTAAGCAGTGGCTCCAAATCCTTCACCGTGTTGCATTTGTGGAGAAACGATAAAACTGAACCATACGCCAGCTTTACTTCATTGGTAACAGACGGTCAAGGGTTTGGAATTGCACCTAACGTAATGTGCATTTCCTCAGCATTCGTCCTGTTCATATTGAAACTTGTGAACTAGATCCTATAATGCAAATGAAGAATGAGGTTATGGTTATATAACACTAAAATGCATACTTCAGCTCATAAAATCCCTGCTGATGAAAAGCGGGGAAAAGGGAAAGGAATAATTGGTACGAGCCTAAACTATCAGCCGCTACTGGTAACGTTATAAAAAAAATTATGATGAAAAATAGATCAGTTCCTTGTCTTCAAGGACCAAATAACGATCAGCTTGTCAGCGTCACTCAATAGAACAGCTAACAGAGCCAAAATTCCGGAACTGCAATGCAAAGAGCACATGTAATGAAGCCGTTTGGGAGGAAATAAGCAAAAACCTATTGAGCATAAACATAAATTCAACCACAGCATCCAAAAGGAGACAAGAATAGACAGATGCGACTCGAGCCCCTCTGTAATCCAGGAATTCAGATCAAGCCAATAATCTCAAAGGACAGAACCGCTTTTTTGCAGCACAAACAGAGAGTCACAGCTTCATGCGCAGCCAGCGACGTCCCAAGAACAACTAACACACCCATTCCCACAATTAAAAACACGCGCAGTCATACAGAAGAAACTCAACATGGACTCAGTTCTGCAGGGAAGTATACCTTGCGGGAATCGACGGATCGCAGCGTTGTCTGGCCATCTGAGGAGCACCTTACTACGCCGGGGAACTTCCTAGAGGGGCGGAGGGAGGAGGGAGAGGAAGTGGAGCAACGGAGGAGGCCAAGCGCATGCGGGAGGCAAAGCGCCATTCTGTTCTAACCTCTTCCTGCTCCCTACCTCCCCCGGCGAGATCGATGGTGAGGAAGCTGGCGCCTCATCCGATGTGGCTTTTGCCGCCTCGCTGGTTTTTTTCCACGTCCACAATCAAGGCCCAATAAATAGATCACCTAAATGGGCCATAAGGAAGTAATGGCCCAATAATACATCGGTGGGGCTTTTTGGACCGGCCCAGTCCACATGGTAAGGATACGTGGCAATTAGTCATTAATCTCACCTTTTCGACGGTAGAGATTGGTCAGGCATGTCCGATTGTGGCCCATCTGGGGGAATATTTTCGACTGTGTTCCAACAAGACGACCGAGAGAGGGAGAGAGAGAAGGGAGGTTCCCTATCGAAAAGATGACGGTGGGTCGGCGTCGTCTTTCAAGTTTCCCGGGTGGCGCTATCCCCTGGGGAGGAAAAAGGTTCGGCGGGGCCTCTGTGGGTGCTTCATCGTCATCTTCGTCTCTCCGCAGGGCCTTGATGGATCTCTCAAATGGGGGTGGAGCTTCTGTTTCAGTCACTTCAACGAACGCTCGCAGGTCGTGAGCTCGAAAAAGGCGGAGGGTGGCATAATAGTAGCTTCCCATGGCTGGAGGGGAGGCGCAGAGGTTGACTGCGACGGCCAGTGAGGGGTATTAATGCGGGCGCTGCGGAGCGTATCAGGAGAACAGAGAGCAGAAATGGCCGACGGTGAATGGCCTCCGCGAAGACAGACCCCTTTCCTGTTCATCGGCCTTAAATGCTTTCAACCTGGAATGGCCAATAATGGCGCCGTTGCTTCCCAGGAGGTCGCCCATGTGGTCGGCAAAGTATGAGATGGCTGGTGCCAGCGGCGCCGGCGGCTCTGCCGGAGACGAACGCAGTGGAAGGAAGGGATCTGTCGTGCACTGGCGGGCCATCTCGCCGGAGTCTGTGCGGAAGAGCAGCCGAGCAAGCTGCCGGAGGACGGAAAGAAGACGGCAGGCGATGAGGGAAGCTTCCAAAATGAACCAAATGGGAGTTCTGGATGAGCTGAAGCGTGAGGAGAGAACGCCATCCGGGGCCATGCAGGAAGGGACCGTCTGCTTAGCGGAGTGCATTCATTGCGGAGAGAACAACCGCAGAAGGGACAGACGGACTGTACATACACAGAGAGGGGGGAGAGCGCCTGGATGGCGCAGAGCCTCTCCTCTCCTCTCCTCTCGTCGCCATGAATTCGGACAGCGCGAGAATCAAAGATGAAGGTTTGCAGGTCGTGGCCCTATCCTGCTCGGAAATCCGAGCAGGGAAAAGTGTCTCCATATTGATGCGTGATGCGAGGGGAGCTGACGGCGGCAGAGCTACGGCGAAGACCACGATCGGCCACAAGGAAGCACTGTGCTAGCTGCTCTTCACAGATAGTATTACAGTTAAAGATAATTCTTCTCTATGAACGATCAAACTGTGAAATTGTTCGCAAAAGTAAATTAAACACAGTAAGGAATTCTCGTCTCTCATGGAGAGCTTCCTTAACTCTCTCAATTCGATTTCAAAGATAAACAACAAGAGAACTTGTTTGGATCTCGATAGAGTCCGATTGACGGCTCTTCAGTCACCATGTAACATCTCTCTCTCCCTACCTCTCTCTCTCTCTCTCTCTCTCTCTCTCACTCACTCACAGACACAAACACAGAGGCACGCACGCACACACGTCAGGGAGGTTGATAAGAACAGGTAACAGAACAAGACGCCCAAAGTCTTAGTGCTTCAACTCTCATTTTAGTTGTGATCCAGTCCGGATCAGGAGGAAAACCCGAAAACAGCCTTCGGGATCAACCTATGTGGGAATTAGACCAAGCTATGAGATAATATATATATCGACAGAGAGAGAGAGGGATTCAGGCTATGTACCCAACTAGAACCATAGCTGAATTGAGTAGAGAATCCACTTTTATTGAATAATGGAGATTCTCGAGTCTACCCCCCTCTCCGTCCGTCCCCCCCTCTCTCGCTCGCTTTGTGAATTTATAATTGATTACCCATTGTCATCGTGATCGCACTGAAGTCAGCTACGTTTTTCACGACACAGTCCTAAAGTCACCCCATGGTATCTAATCTCTCTCTCTCTAAGGTTCTTTATGACTGCCCGTGGCCATCATAACTACATTTTATCGTGGAGATGGGAAGTAAACAATATTTTCCACGGCACGAATGTTCTAAAAACATCCACATGGTATATAATCTCTCTCTCTCTCTCTCTCTCTCTCTTCCTTCTCTCTCTAAGATGAACTGGTGCACACAGAGGCTGGTCCAGCCCTAATTGTGTGGGGCTCAGGGTGCATAGGTACCCGAGCACAGTGAGCTGAGATCTGAGATATAAATATAACGAGGACGTGCCACATGCAGGAATGTCAATGTAGGAATTCCCGAAGAGGTCCAGCCCCCTCTTTTTCTCTCTGCGGTCTCAAGATCAAGTCCGGAAGAGACGCATTTTATCTCTGTGAACTGCAGTTAGACCTTTGATCTCCAGGTCTGCAGTGGATTTTCTTACAACGCGAGTACCCTGAAATCATCCCACTGTAGTCAATCTCTCTCTCTCTCTCTCTCTCTCTCTCTCTCTCTCTCTATTTCTCTCTCTCTCTCTCTTGATGTGTATGCATATATACGTATAAAATTATGTACACTTAAATGGGGGGGTACAGGGGACTGTGCGGTCAAGTTGTAATTTTCTCTAGGATTCACCATTTATTTAGGCTTCTCACAGTCGCAGTTCATCAACTAGATTATTCACAGGGGCGGAGTTCGAGCTTCCAGACATATTTAATGGCGCTATTCAAGTGGCACTCCGACAGGTCAATGGCATTGAGTTATCTAATCTACCGAGGGCCGCGAGAGCCCACCTACTACTCCAATTCTTCCGCTGACCACCTCACCTACTCCGGCTCCCGCCGGCCGATCAACCGGCGGCGGGCAGCCCTGCCGCCTGCGCCGCCTTAATGAGGCCAGAGATAGCGATGCTCAGCGGGCAGTTGAACCCTTCATAACACTACACCAGAAACCATTAAATGCCTCTTCCTGCAAGGCCATCCCGAGGGATAAGTACTCAGAGCTGTCAATCTTCCCCCTCCCCCCACCCACGCAGGTTCTCATGGTCTTTCCAGCGATGAAGGCTACTGATTCGTGCATAATCTCCTTCACATGGTAATGTGAATCCACATCCTTGAAAATCCGCAGACGTCCCTCTCAGCGATCAATGGAGAGAGCTGGCTACCGAGTGAGCTTAAGGACCACACCTCACCTCGACTGTACACTGCGCACTACTATCACATCAATGGCCTATATATTCCATGTGAGGACCATGTCGGTGTGGGGCCTCCTCCCTCTTCTCTACATTCCTCACCTCCTCTATCAGATTGGCGTGGGGAGTCTGAAAACAGCATAAAGCATCGAGCTTTATGCACTCCGGTGCTCGGACGAATCCGCTGGTCAGTTTCTTTCCTCCCATTTTCGCCGACGGAGGTTGGTTCCCCGCCACTTTCCGATCCCCTTCGTCGAAGGCTCCATGATTCCATCTTAAGCCAATAGTTATTACCATATTGAATGGTATATTGAGCCGTAGTTGGAAATCTCTCTCTGTATTCATGTAGAATATGATACGAATCTCTTTGTTAGGGAAATCTCATTTATATTGTTCAAGGGGGCTCCCACTTACGATGGGCAGTGTGAATAATCCACAATTAATCGTATAAATAAATAAATTTTCCAATTTTCAATTAATTCTGAGCTGGACGGTGGTCGTCAGTGCATGCAGCTCCTACTTATACGAGGCTTTCAGACACGGGCGGGGTCTTCGTCTCCACAAGTGCCAGCACACGCGGCGCCCACACTTAGTCTCCCAGGAACAGGACCGATAGATAGATACTTCTCGCGTGGATGCGCCCGGGATAGCAGAGACGGTCTTTCTTTCTCCGGCCTCTGCGTACCATGCTATTGAATGCTCCACAGTCTGCGTATTGCGGCCGCTGTGCTCATAAATTGCCGTCGCCGGAGACGAGGTGCCGCCGCTTCCGCCGTGGCCGTCCCCGGGTGGACGGGGAGGAGGGAATTCATGAGTGGGGGGCGAGAACCCCCACCGACTCGAGGAATAGAATATGAGGGGATATGAAGGAAGGGAGGATGGGTTATTTTATTCGGTCCAAGGTTTTATTTTTCCCATTGGTGGGACTGGAATCTATTCTCCACGGCCCCGAGCTCGTAAAGCGCAGGCTCCACTGAGATATCCGAGCCTTCCTTTCCCTCCTTCCCGCGTGGGGAGGTGCTCTGGGAGGGAAGCCGTAGGGCAGTCACTACGAGCTTCTCTTTTGAATATGGTGAGGCAGTGATGCTGGCTTTGGGCAGGAGTGGAGGGTGAAAAAAAACACGTAAAGATGGGTAGAAAGAGAGAGAGAGAGAGAGAGAGTGGCGAGCATGATGGCGCAGGGAGAATGAGAACCCACTACGCCACTTCCATCCGAAGTCTAACCAGTTATACCCTTCGCGTGAGTTCGAAGATGAGCTAGTTTCTGCTATTGGGTCGGAAAATAAAGAAGAAAACCTGGTCGCAGCAATAGCTATCCGAGCACCGAAGAGAGGAACTTTATCGTAGTGAATGACGGGGAAAACCCGACCCTTCTTCTTGGATGACAAACCAGAAGAAGTGATTAAGAAAAGAAAGGCCGTTAAGTTGGAGTTTTTCAGGGGAGGAAAGAAAGGCTGAGGCCCGTGCTTTGTATCGTTATTGGAAAACAATCAGTGCTTGCCGTCAAGTAAACTCAGGACATCTAGGGAAAAGAGAAAGAATGCCCATGAAAAGAGAGCTGGACATAACACGCCCCGTTAGCTTTGCCTCTCCCAACTAGAGAAAAGAAGAACGGGATGAGAGAGAGAAAGAGGATATTAAAGGACGGGTCTCCGAGAAACCTCCCTAAAAGAGAAACCCAACCTCTCAGTCGGCAGCTTCGGCGACACCATGGCCTTGGAAGCCTAGAGAAATCCGAAACAGTGGTAACTCGTAGTACACTTTAATAACTCGAGCCTGAGCGTTGAGAGTCCTGCCGGTTGGAAACCATTACCATAGGTATTAGAGAGAGAGAGAGAGAGAGAGAGAGAGAGAGAGAGAGAGAGAGAGAGAGAGACTTTTTTTATTATTATTTACTTGAGGTCTATTAAGCTTTGGGAAAGGTCGACAGCCGTGGTGAGCCGAGGAAGTTCTTGAGTACCGAGTGGGCTGGGCTGGCTCGCAAATGGCACTTCTCTCGCCGTGGAGGGAGGAGCCGGGAAGCTTTTATATTGGAAGCCAACTCAGTGATCTCCCAACAACAGCAACGAGACAACCACACCAATGCACAGAGACAAGGACAGATCCAGGAGGAGGAACCCGGCACCAAAATTCCCCTACCATGGCCTCTAGCTACGTCAGATCCCCCCGAATCATCGCCTTCTTTATTGGTTTCTTCCTCCTCGTCTCCGTCTGCGCCGCCAACGCCGCGCCGGCGACGAACAACACGTTCCAGCCCGGCGAAGAGCTCGCGAAGCTAAAGAGGATCAGAGCTCACCTCAGGCGGTTGAACAAGCCTTCGGCAAAGACAATTCAGGTCTGTCCGCCGGAGTTCTCCAGCATCCCCTCTCTTCCTTTTCTGTCGGGAAACAGAAGGCTGAGAATATTTCTGCATTTTTTTGTAGAGCCCCGACGGAGATCTGATCGACTGCGTTCCATCACATCTCCAGCCCGCTTTTGACCACCCAGAGCTCAAGGGGCAGAAGCCTCTGGTAAGTAGGAAATCTCCCTCCCCTCGTTCTTTCTCTCACCCCCCGTCCCTACTTCCTCTCTACCGCTCACTCTACAAGCTCCGTTTGTTGGATGCTTCAACAACTTGTATGATCTCTGTCTTCCAGGAACCACCGGAGAGGCCTAAAGGCCCAGAACCGGCGGATCCCGCCACCGTGGAGAGCTTACAGTTGTGGGCTGTTTCCGGCGAGTCTTGCCCGGAGGGGACGGTTCCCATAAGGAGGACGACGGAGGCGGACATGCTAAGAGCCAGCTCCCTCAGAGGATTTGGGAGGAAGCCGGCGGCCATGGTGCGGCGTGACTCTACCAGCGGCGGGCACGAGGTAAGTTCTAGAGGGAAATGGAGGAGAAATACAGCTCAGCTTGCTCAACGCTTCTCTATCCATGTGATCATCTTCTATATATACCCTCTATTTGCAGAACGAAGAAATGTCTAGGAATTCCTAAAGATAGTCTTTGCGGACATTCAAATGAGAAGCGCCCAGAGGCACAAATTTCTTCCATCTTCTGTCCTGCGTAGCCATAAGAGGAGAGGTACCGTGGGCTATCTTCCATGTGCGAGAACAGAAACCCCTTTGAGTTCCTGAAAGATGTTCACTGTTCTTCCAGCTTTCTCATCCCGATCCGCCATTGACTTTTCACTCCTGACCTCCCACATCACACAAATCCAGCTGCTTGCGCAAAGAACCTTTGTCCAACGGTCCATACCCATCAACTTCTCTCGTGCTGGGTCATTTTAGAAGGCTTTCAGAAAGAACTTATAATTGAAGGGTGGTCGACTTTAGAGACCATTCAAAACTTCTACCGTATAGTCTTGTTCATTAGAAATCTATACTGGAGCATTTAATAAACTCCCTCTTCAAATATATTCTGCAAACTTTCATCATATGTGCATCGAGACTAACAAATAATTCACTTGGGTGCAGCATGCAGTTGGATATGTGACGGGGGAGCAGTACTTCGGTGCGAAGGCCAGCTTGAATGTGTGGGCGCCTAGGGTTACTACCCCTTCTGAGTTCAGCTTGTCTCAGATTTGGGTGATCTCTGGCTCCTTCGGCGGTGACCTCAACACCATCGAAGCTGGTTGGCAGGTGAATCTCTCTCTCTCTCTCTCTCTCTCTCTCTCTTCACAGCTTATTAATGAGGTCTTAACGTTCATATTTATATTTTTGAACGAGAGAAGTTCAAACTTTTAATCCGATCTTCAGCATCATAGCTTTTATTCTGGTTGCATGGTATTTCTCAGGTCAGCCCTGAGTTATATGGCGACAACCGGCCGAGGTTCTTCACATACTGGACGGTGAGGTTCCTTGTTCCTTTATATATTATCTTCCTCGTCGATGAACTCCAAGTCAGTATGGTGCGATATAACTCGACGATATGATCATATCGTGCAGACCGACGCCTACCAAGCCACGGGATGCTACAACCTGCTGTGCTCCGGCTTTGTCCAGACGAACAACCGGGTCGCCATCGGCGCCGCCATCTCCCCGTTGTCGGCCTTGAGCGGCAGGCAGTTCGACATCAGCCTTCTCGTCTGGAAGGTATTAACTACACCTCATCGAACTTCCCCTAGATGCTTCCCTCCCACGGAAACGCCCAGGATGAGAGAGAGAGAGCTTACGTAGGATTGGGATCCGCTCCCCGCGGTCTGAGGGGGAAGATAATCTAATGAGGACAAGTTTGAATAGACGGATGGGCAACGTGCTTCTCTCGGGATTGGGTTAGATCGGACGGATGAGGAAACGAGTGCTAGCACGCCGGAACGCACTTTCCGAGTCGGTCGGCAGGCCGGACGGTGGGCACGGCGACTCATCATCCCCACGCCTACTCCGGTGAGCTATTGCCGGCGGGGAAAAGAGAGTTCTCATTCATTGCTCTTGTTTTCAGGACCCGAAGCACGGGAACTGGTGGCTGGAGTTCGGGCCGGGGCTGCTCGTCGGATACTGGCCATCGTTCCTGTTCAGCCGGCTGGCGCAGCACGCCAGCATGGTGCAGTTTGGTGGCGAGGTGGTGAACACGAAGGCCGCCGGCGGGCACACGGGGACACAGATGGGCAGCGGCCACTTCGCCGGAGAGGGCTTCGGCAGGGCAGCGTATTTCCGCAACCTGCAGGTGGTCGATTGGGACAACAGCTTGGTTCCCCTGGGAAATCTCCGGGTGCTGGCCGACCACCCTAATTGCTACGACATCAAGGGCGGAATCAACAAGGGATGGGGACATTACTTCTACTATGGAGGGCCAGGGAGGAACATGAGATGCTCTTAGCTGTATGAGAGAAAAATTAGAGAGAGAGGGAGAGAGGGAGGGTAATTCTTAGTTTTTTTCTCTCTTTCTCTGAGGGGTAATGAGCTATTCTTAGATTTTTCAGGGTTTTTTTACCCAGGCTACGTTTAATTTATTGTTTCGTTTCTGTCCTAACAAGCAATTAATTTATGTAAATTTGGAAATGAAATGGTAAATATAAATCCCTTTGTTTGTGCGTATCTCTCCCTCTCTCTGGAACTTCTTTCCCCGCTTTGGCATGCAGTCAAGATCACCATGCGTTGTTGATATGATGAAGATTATCAAATCCAGCATTACTGAGGAACTTCAGAAGCATTATGGATAATACGAAACAAGGTTGCCAACGAAATTAAATGCTATTCTTAGAAAACAGTAGGACAATATTTATTGTCGTACTGTTTTCTAAGAATAGCATTTAATTTCATATTATTGCGACAACTTTAGTAATGTCAATGAAATCACCCACTTGTATCATAAAAAACCGTCCTAGTAGAATCGATAATTGCTTATAGTTGCGCGTTATAGTCTCACTTAGGAAATAAAATTGATAGAATCTTACGATCGTATGGACTTGCTCAGTTTAGTTGAATTATGGAGCCTGAGATGGTGATGGCGACGTTGTTGACAGCAACCGGCGCAGTTCTTGACAAGATACGTGCCATCTTATCGGCTTCTCCCTCTCTTTCATCCCAGCTCGAGGACAGATTCTGGAGGAGCGATGTCGCCATAAAAGTGCTCGTTCTTAGACCCAGAAGAGATGCGCCTCGGAAGAGGAATTCTTTCCTTCCTCATCAATGCCACTGAAACTTAGACTCCCGTTGAAGTTCTGGCGCTTCTCATCCACCTCCTCTGAGCCGCCGGAGGTCTTCCATCCCAACAGGAGCCTCCCTCCGCAGATGTCCACGCGACCGGCAGAGCCTGTCGAGCTTCAGTCCGCCATTAAACCGAGCTGTACGAGTCCGTCGTCCTCCCCAGTCAGCTGATGCCCATACTGAGGGCGTCCCCCACCAGAAGTCTAAGCCCAGAAGAGTGGCCATTAATGGACGCCGTCATCGTCCTTTCTAACATTCAGAGCCCAGGAATGGCCGTTGCCGACGGCCCCTACCCTCCCCGCTCATCGCCGCCGGCGAGGCTGGTGGCTGCCTTGAAGTCGAGACCGTACTCCACCCTAATTACTACCCTCTATTTCTGTCCAGGCACTGAGATCTTGGGAACTAACTAAGCAAGAAGCAGGAAAATTTCTTGGTGTTATTCACAGCGTGGAACATGACGGTGAACTCCCCAGGGCCAGAGACCGCCATCTTCTATGGCTTCCGGGTCATGGGAGTGGGTCGAATCTGAGATGGGCCTCAGTCCATCCTTAAAGAAAGTGCAGAAAACTAGACCATAAGTCTAGAGAGAGAGAGAGAGAGAGTCAAGTGAATGGATGAAGGGTCATCGGTGGTCTTTGTTGGTTTGATAAATTAGTATACTTAATAAGACAGTTCCGTAAATTATATCAATTCATGTGCGCTCAAAATGAGAGCATACCCAATCTAACTGATTTTACTTAATTAGATAGAATGTGAGATGAAGAGCGAGTGCGACAGTAATGCCTACCATGCTGTCAACGGCGGTCACCGTCGCCCAACTCTCACTCGGGAAGAAACCCGATCAGGCTGATGGAGGCCACGACAGCCGCCGATCATCAGATTCCCCCATAGAGGTCAACGACCAAAAACTGTACACCGGCGGCCCAACGGTGGTTATCCTAGCCGAACTTAAGGCAAGTCAAAGGTACCCCGCTTTCCGCGGCGGGGGGGCTCGGCTGGTCTGCCTCCTTGGGACTTCCGAGCGCCGCTGCCTTCTGCGCGCCGCCGCCGGCGGCAGCGGCAGCGGCGGCGGCGGAGTCCTGCTGGATGCCCCTCAGCAGCGCGGCCACGTCCTTCATGGTGGGGCGGTCCTCGGCACGGTAGCTGGAGCAGAGCAGCGCTATGCCGAGAGCCTGCAACATCTCCTGCACCTGAGAGTCCTCCCGCCCCTGCAACCTTCGGTCGATGACCTCCGCCAAGCTCCGCTTCCACCGCAGATGCTCCTTGACCCACGCCACCACTCCCTGTCCTTCGCCGAACTCCGGGTCCCCCGCAGCCCTCCTCCCGGTGATGATCTCCAGCAGCACCACTCCGTAGCTGTAGACGTCGCTCTTCCGGGTGACCTTCCTCAGGCACCCGTATTCTGCGGAGGCGGGGGAGAAGTTTCAGTCGCCGGCGCTGAGAAAGGAGAAGGAGGAGGGCGGGGGCGCACCTGGGGCGATATAGCCGTAGGAGCCGGCGAAGGGCGGCGGCGCCTCGGTGGCGCTGCCGCCTCCCTCGCCATCGACGAAGCTGGAGAGGCCGAAATCGGCGAGACACGGCTCGTAGAATTCCCCGAGGAGGACGTTGTCAGCTTTGACATCGCGGTGGAGAATCCCCGGGACGCAGTCGTGGTGGAGGTAGGCGAGACCCTCCGCCACCCCGACAGCGATGTCCAGCCGCATCCCCCACTCCGGCGGCGGCGCCGCCCCGTGCAGCAGCGCCCCCAGGCTCCCGTTGGGGAGGTAGTCGTAGATTAGTAGGCGTGTCTTGCGGTTGGTGGCCCAGCCGAGGAGGCGGACGATGTTCCGGTGCCGCACGCGTCCCAGCGTGGCGATCTCGCCGGCGAACGCCGCCGTCGAGAGGTCGTCGCAGGTGCGGAACATCTTCACGGCGACCGGCTCCGCCGACGGTGGTATCGGCACCCTGTAGACGCTCCCCGACCAGCCCGTCCCGATCTCGTTCGCCGGCGTGAGCCACCGCACCACGTCGGCCATGGAGACGTCCATCTTCTGGAACAGCGTCACCTCCCATGGAGGACTCATCTCCAGGTCGCCGTCCTCCACCGCCGTGCCACCCCGTCGCCGGCGCCTTTCGAGGAACGCCAACGCTGCTGCGGCGAGCAGGATGCAGGCGGCCGAGAGAAGGATGGCGGTGGCGACCCGCGCCGCCCGCCGAGCGGCGAGGTGAGAGTCCCCATCGCCGTTGAGTGTGGAGGCGGCGCGGGAGAGGCTGAGCGCAGGGTTGCCCTCCAGGTCGCTGATGGGCAGCTCGGAGAAGAAGGCGGCGGAGGGGAGGCTCCCGGAGAGGTTGTTGTAGGAGACGTTCAAGGCGACGAGGTTCTGCAGCTCTGCGAGGGAGTGGAGATCGCCGGAGAGGCGATTATGGGAGAGGTCCATCACCGCAAGGCGGACGAGCTCCGAAAACTCAGCCGGGATATGACCGGAGAGATCGTTCCAGCTGAGGTTCAGGGCGATCTCAAGTGCCGGAATCTTTCCAATGGCCTCCGGTATCTCGCCGGAGAAGACGTTCGCGCTGAGGTCGACCACCTGCAACCTGGTGCAGGAACCGATCTCCTGCGGGATCCTTCCCGAAAACTTGTTCCCTGCGAGGATCAGCTTCGTGAGCGAGGTTAATTTACCGATGCCGGGGCCTAATTCCCCGCTCAGGGAGTTGCGGGAGAGGTCGAGCAACTGTAGCGACGCAAGGCCGGCGAAGAATGCCTCCGGCAGGCCACCGGATAATCGGTTGGAACGCAGGTTGAGGAAGGTCAGATTCCGGCAGCCCGCGATCTCCGCAGGCAGAGCTCCGTCGAGCCGGTTGTCCCCCAGGTCGAGGAAAGTCAACCTCTTCAGGAGGCCCATCTCTGGGGGTATCTTCCCGACGATTCGATTGCCATTTGCGCGAAATCGGAGCAGAGACGAGCAGTAGCCGATGTCCGCCGGGATTTCCCCGGAGAGATTGTTCGACAGGAGTAGCAGCTTGTTGAGACGGGGGAGGCGGAAGATCCCCCTTGGGATCGACCCAGTTAACCCGTTCTGAGAGAGATCGAGCGCCTCCAGCTCCCGGCAAGACTCAATCTCCGGTGGGATGCTCCCCTCGAGCTTGTTCTGCCAGAGGAACAGCAAGCGGAGGCCCCTCAGCCGTCCCAGCTCCGCCGGTATCGTCCCGGTGATGGCATTGTTGTCGAGCTCAATGTCTGTGAGGTTTCCGCAGTCTGCGAGCTGTGCGGGGATGGGCCCGGAGATCTGGTTCATGCTGAGCTGCAGCTGCTGGAGCGCCGTCAGGTTGCCGAAGGTGGCGGGGACGACGCCGCTGAGCGTGTTCATGGAGAGGTCAACCACTGTAAGCTCCGAGCACCTGCCGAGCTCCGGCGGGATGAACCCTACCAGATTGTTCTTCCAGAGGAGAAGATTCCTGAGCCTTTTGAGGTTGCCCAGCTGGGGAGGAATGGAACCCGAGAGGCTGTTCTCGTAGAGATAGATGTTCTCAAGCTCCTCGCAGTCCCCCAATTCCGGCGGAATCTCGCCGGAGAGCAGCGCCGTGTACACGGCGAGCGTCTGAAGCCTCTTGAGCCGCCCCAGCGCCGGCGGAAGGAACCCGGAGATGCTCGTCTCCGCCAGCCCGATCATCCGCAGACTCGAGCAGTTGCCCATCGCCGGCGGCAACGGGCCGTGGAGGTTCCTGTTGCCACCGGCACGGAACACCTCGAGCTTCCCCAGTTGGCCGACGGACGGCGGTATCTCCCCGTCGAGCTGGTTGTCGAAGAGGATCAGTCGCCGGAGGGCGGAGAGGTTGCCGATGGCGGCGGGGATGGAGCCCTCGAGGAGGTTGGAGTTGAACAGCAGATCTTCGAGCTTGCTCGAAGGGCGGCATAGCTCGGCGGGGATCTCGCCGGTGAGGGCATTTTCGCTGAGGTCGAGGACGGTGAGCTCCGGCAGGTCGCCGAGCTGAGGGGGAATGGTGCCAGAGAGGTTCGTGCCGGAGAGGACGAGCCTGCGGAGGAACTTGAGGGGATGGAGATCGGAGGGGAGATGGCCGAGCAGGTCGATGTACTTCAAGTTGAGCTCCACGACTCCGCCGGCGCCGTCGCAGGTGATGCCGAACCACCGGCACGGCGTCCGGTCACCGGAGTTCCAGTCCGAGAGCGCCAAGAGGGACCCATTCAAGCTGCGCTTCCACGACAGAAGCGCCTCGCCTTGCTCGTCTACCGCGGAGCCTCCGCCGGCCATTAGAGCGAGCAAGAGGAGGAACGGAAGATACGCCCTCCTCGGAGGCTTCGCCGCTGGACGCATCATCTCTGCAGAACTCAGACCGGATAGGATGATGGCGTACTGTTGGGATATGGATCGAATAGAGGGCGAGGGACAGGGAGAGGGAGGGGTAGAGGACGGTGACGCACAGAGATCATCCTCCCATGGGCTCCTGAACCTGGGTTTCTAAAATACCCAGCTTACAGATGTTTATAAATCTGACGGGGCGTGACCTCAAGACCCTGAAACTCCGGATCCAAGACCAGCCAGGTCACGCTCATGTTAGAGAGGGAGAGAGAGAGAGAGGCATCAGCATTGAGGGATTAACATGATATAGAAGCGGCGGCGATGGTGGACCCACTGCTCAGAGAGTGCAGACTCTTGGAAGGAAGTTCCTCGTCCGGCAACGTGCACCGTGAAGAGAGAGAGAGAGAGAGAGAGAGAGAGAGCCCTACCTCGACAACTACCCTCTGTGGGCGCCGCTTTTCAACGGCGCAGCGGGGGTGAAGGGGGAGGAAAGAGAAAAGGTACCGCAGGGCCCCCGCAGATTACTCCAGGCTTTCATCTCTGCATCTCACCAGCGCCAACCGTGACCCGTGAGGAAGAAGAAGGAAGAAGAAGGAGAAGAGGGGGGGGGGGGACAGGACGACGCTGCCCCCAGAGCGCGGGAATATTTCTCCACGTGGCGCGCAACCCAGCACGTGACACGTACGGTTAAGTAGGCCCGTGGACGTTGGGGAGGAGATCTAAGAGAGGGAGAGAGAGAATCCAGGGAAGCCCGGGATTCGCCGCCACGTGACGCCGCGAGCTAGCCCCGCCGTCAGCCGCCTACCTCTATCGCCGTCTACCTATCTGTTCATGTGTCTGCTCTCCACTAAGTTCACTCGACTCAAATGCAGCAGCAGAGACGATGGAGATTTATAGGTTACCCTACTTTGGAAGCCATGGACTGTACTAGCCCGGAGAGAAAGAGAGAGAAGGGAGAAAGAGATGGAGAGAGGGAGAGAGAGAGAGAGAGAGAGAGAGAGAGGAGGGAATCTAGGCACGAGGGAAAGAGGTGGAGGCAGCACATGCAGGCGATGGAGATGGTGGACTGATAATGGCTGGGGGAGGGGGGGTAGTGTGTGACACTCCAGCTATTTTAAACACAAGCTTTCTATACTGGGTTCGCCAGTATTATATGATATTCCTCCTTTTGAAGGGCCACGCCGTCCCTTCCGCCGAACAGCCTTTGGAGGCGAGTAGGAAGACAACTGGATATCTCTCTCTCTCTCTCCCCCCCACTCCCTTCCTTCCTCCCTCTCTCTTGGAGCTAATAGGAGCCGGATCTTCTCCAGGATCGGATCTTCAACCCCGAAAACAACAGAGAAGACTCACTTCTGCCACAATCCATGCAGAAACCGGGGGATCCCGGAGACCAGCAGAGACGATGAAGCAGGTTTAGCTGACTGGATCTCCCCCAGGACTCCCCTACGTGTTTCATACGCTACGTTATGCACCATGCTTGATGGTTTTCGTCTCAGAGGGCCGCGTTTCTACTGCGAACGACTCAGCGGAGTAGGGGTAGAAGTGAACATGGCAACGGGATGAAGTTACCCGGGGGTGGGAGCCCACTCCTATGGAGGCATTTTTTAAGCCGAGGCCCCACGCGTATGATTTAATGGACTTGTATACTATCGCACGAATGGATGGAATATCGCCGCTAAACTTTGGGCTGTTGATCCTCATTGATTGAGTTAACTACTCTCAGTTTGAGATCTACGCCCATCTGATAATGTTTCTATATACGATTACATTAGATACTCGTCATTTTCATCGACTAAAATATTTTCCATCAGGTGTTGAATTTTCTATCTTTGGCCCATATCTGAATGTGCGTTTATTGGTGAATCGGATGACTGGATCCAGTCCCTTTGATGGGTTTCTGGATTTTGATACGTTTTAACCATAGGATTAGACAAAAAACGACCATGGTTTTAAAAAGGCAGAATCTTGGGGATTATTTATCTATTTTTTGACTGGTTTGTTGGACTGTGAGATGATCTCGGATGAAAGAAAAGACTCGGTCGGTCACTGTTGGATACGACTCAAAGAGGCCTCCATCCGCGAGACGCGGCGCCCGGCGGAGGCGGAGGCGGACGGTGTAGGTCCGATCCCCGATCACGGGTTGTCCTCATGTCTGTCGTTTCATCTACAGAAAACAGACTCTTCACGAAATCTACCTTACGTGAGGGATTCACCCGGTGGTAGTCATGATTAATGTGTTGGCTGCTATGGAGTGGGAGATTGAGGCCGAGCCCTCGGGACTGGCGCCGTCAGCGGAGGAGGAGGATGGAGAAAGGGGACCGTCGTCGTGAAGGGATCGCCCCCGGGTTTTAAGAGCAACGATTTGACTTTTTTGGCACCCACGGGGGGCCTCCTAGCTATCATGATTCCCGGATGTCTTCCCTTGTATGCTTCTTCTTGCTTGTCCATCTACACCTTGCTCTGGTTTCTTCCGCCGGCAGCTCCGTTGACCGGTCACCTCGCCCCTCTCACGGGAAAAAGGGAGCGGGAGGGCTACTCCGTGTAGTCCTGTCAATCTATATAGGCTTCGAGCTCGAGTATCCGATGATGCGAGTTTACATGGCGATGCGGACCTCACTTGACTTCGTCGCCATTGTTCCTCTGAATCCTTGATTCCTCCGTGGGTGATACTAAGGACACCATGGGTAGGGGACGTAGGGTTATCAGCTGGCCTGGCAACCACAGATGTCTTAACCTCCGGGAGAGTCAGTCCATCTGCTCGAACAGTTCCAGCCAATTATTGACGGTTCCGATTCTCATCCCCATCCAAACTAAGCTCCCAGATTCATCAGTTATAGGTGTTCATGGCCTGCCATTGAGCTTAACCATCGATCACAGCCTTTCAACTTATGTTACGCATTGTACAGACATTCTTGATCGCAAGCTTAACATACCCATCGCAATGATCCGTGCTTATCTTTGGCATACTTCGTTGCAAGGTGTTTTACAGAGATCGTATAGTGATTCCCTCTTCATTCGTTTTCTCATCCCATTCCCAGCTCCAATCCAGCCAGTGGGCGAGCTGGGAGACACTGCCCATCTCGGTTCCGACCCAAGTAAGCTCTCTCTGTTCATGCAGAATATCACGGTCATGATAAGTATGCCGCTGGGTTAATAAGACGCAATATTCGAGTACTACTCACGCACGTCTGCTCCTCGTCTCTCCCTTCTAGCGGTGATCCGATCCCATTTCAGAACAGTCGTATGATCTGATAGTAGAGTACGCGTGCATGAAGCAACTCGTTGACTTCCGTTGATCCCCGGCTCCCTCATCTTGTCCGAGTCTCACGATCCTTCCAAATAGCTTTCCAGAAGCGTCATGTTCTTGGTTTCCATGCTTTTGTTATCATCTTTTTTCAGTATGACTACCCATAAATTCATGAAGCAACTCGTTGACTTCCGTGGATCCCCGGCTCACTCATCTTGTCCGAGTCTCACGATCCTTCAAAAGCGCCATGTTCTTGGTTTACATGCTATTTTTATCATCTTATTCCAGTACGACTGCCCATAAATTAATGCAGTCGTCTTCGATCGCATTTTCATCTGTTGATGCTGCAGACGCGAGGAACTTCTCATAAAAGAATGAACTTATGCATTCGCTGGGTTATAAATAATAAAATCTAAGTCATGACGATATTCCACACCTTTGTTCAGAGCGGTCCATCTAAAGCGTTTCGAGTGAGGACGAGACATCGAATCTGCCCCAAAGAGTCAGAAAGTGAGATTTAGTTTCTTGTTCTAGGAAATTATCTAAGTGGAGGGTGGATATTTACGCATCCGATAAATGGTTGTTTAGACTGGTAAATTTGCCATATCTGGGTCGGAGTTGATATTTCATAATTGGATTTGAATCGTGAACCTTTCTTTCCCCTCACCGCAGCTTTTGCCATCCATAGATGAGAAAAAAGGCTGCACCAATGTGATGAATAGTCTTTCCATGAATGAACTCTTCATGATGCCTTACCATCATCAGCCTCTCCCATCCTGTCCGTGGTGGCACTGGGTTGACACCGATTTTCACTCCTTGTTCCTGCATGAAAGAGAGAGAGAGGGCTGGGTGAGAGGGCAGGCAGATAGACAAGCCCAATCTTCCCACCGGAGAAAACTCCGCCGTCAAGTGGGGAGATGACCGCCCAAAGCATGATCGTGCTCACAGAGAGAGAGAGAGAGAGAGAGAGAGAGAGAGAGAGAGAGATTCCTCTTGAAAAGCTATCCTTCGAGAACAACAAAGGGTAAAAGCAAAGTCTTCAGCTTCAAGGGCCTACGCCTATTCGCCCTGGAATTTCTACACATGCGCTGTCCAGGAAGGCCGCCAGATTTCAACGCCAAACCAGAAACAAGCACGAAGGAGCAATCGAACATCGCCCAACAACCAGAAAAGCAGCGAGATACATCGGACGAGGGGCAGAATCATTTGGGTTCCCACGCTTATGGTTTCATTTATAACCCTGCGGCAAACAAACGGGGGCATGGGCAGATATAATTCTCTCTCTTAACCTTTGGGGGCCAGAGCCTTCGCCTCACCAAGAAAAGAGAGCATGATTACTGAACTACTCTTTCGGTCCTCCAACCCAAGCCCGCAGTGCCCTTGTTTCCAGCGACCTGGAGCGGTTGCAGCAGACCCTTGTTCGTTCTCCCGATGGCCTCACCCTGGTCGCACATTAGGAACCAATGCCAGAAGTCAACGCGCCAATGCCTTAAAAATAATGAGCAATGCCACCATCTATGCACGAATTGAGAGGGATCTAGCTTTGGGGAGAATAGTTTAGTAGGTGGACATACTTGCTTCAATTATTTTCCTAAATATGTAGTAAAATCAACATGAAGCGAATAAAACGTCTCAAACGGTAATCATCACACACACACAAAAGAAAAAAATAACTAAAAATATTAAAAAAAAGATACATAAATCATCTAAATTTCTGTGTTTTAATAGCCATGAACGGCCGCACTGTAATTGTAAAGTACAATGCAAATTACCCTTTATAACTAGCTACTCCTGGATATGATAGGCAATGCTGATTGAACAGTTTTCTCTACAGAAGGAATTCATTCCATCCCCCGACTCAAGGGAATGGGCAGTGCATGTAGTTCCTGGACTACTGAAACCCATGGGAATGGGCAAATTTCTATAGGTGAGCATGGCACAGTGGTCGTCTGATGAGGCCCTATGCTTCTAAACAGGAGGCAGTCAAGGAAAATGGATTCAGTGAGTCACAAAGATATCTAGCGGGTAGCATACCTCTTTCCAGCCCATGCTCTCCAAAACCCGCCTTCCATAGCTATGCCCTCCAAAAGGGTTGGTGCCCTCCGGTCCAGATTCTTCTGCACGAGATGATTCAGAAAACATGTCCCCTTCGTCGACAGCATCGTCGAGAAAATTATTTTGCTTGATCCCAATGCCAGCGCTACCATGCAGTGCTCTTCTCTCGGCAGCTCTGTCCCGATATTTCTGACGATTATTCTAAGAATAAAAGAAATAAAAAATAAGATAGAAAATTATGTTAGATTAACCGTCTGGCATGCATCACATAAGATCGAATTGCAATAATTTGATCCAACCCTGATAAGCATTATATCTTAGATAAATGGTCCAGATATTGTCTTGCTTTATTCCAAACCTGAACCTAATGTCAAGAAGAAAAGCTTTCCTAATGTTCGTTAGAATCCCAAAGATCAATTCCAATCTACAACGAAGTACAAAAAGGCAATATTTAACTTCTATGCGAGCCCAGAAACTGCAGAACATGCAAATGAAAGGCCTCGGAACAGGAATTCTACAAGCAGAAGCCACCTTGGAAAAAGTGGAGTCAGGTTGGAGTGAAGTACTCGATGAATCCTTGTGCCTGATTGAATTTGACGATTCAACTGGACCAGTTCCCGTGGCAGTACGCAACGAAAGGGATTCAATATTCAGTCTTGGGAAGCACCAATCTTTTGTGGGATCAGAAGAGTCATAAGTTGATAAAGATGACAAGTATTCTGCACTTGGACTCCTCAATCTATATATTTTCCCTGAAATGCATGTATGGAAAACAAAGTAACATATACTGTTTAGAACAAGATTCATTTATCCCTTGGAAGAATGAACTAACAGATGACATTGATTATTGATCGGCCTAGTTTCTCTTCAATATTTACTCATAGGTGCCATTCTAAACATGGTGGTACAAGTTCTTCTATTAAGAGATATAGAAAGATTGCACTTAATGCGCAGTTCCATGAGATATAGAAAATCAATGAACAGATAGATTTACCACATGCACCACTACTGATTTATCTGGTCTTCATCAATTTGCATACAATCTCTCCACTTTGGGCTTCCTATCCTTTAACTACACACTCATGAGACACTGAGATCACATAAATTCATGCTTGAGAAATTTCACAGACTATTTCTCAGCTGGATCCAAGCATATGTGTCTTTATGTGGCCAGAGTCGCCTTCACTCTCCAACAGCGGTATACTCAAGTCCTTGCTGCGCGCAGCTAAGAGTTCTTCATGGTGTCCCTCTTTTGGATTATGTTTTCGTTTGCCAATCACATAAATTATTTAACTTTAACGGGGATCAAACCTATGACATTTGAATCTAAAAACATTTATAACCTTTGGAAAGACCTGGGAAGAATACCTTTTTTCGCTTTTATGTATTATAATGCCCTCAATCAGATTCAGTTCTTCAGTGAGATTCATCAGGAAATCTAGTTTGGAATTTCTCAATCGTTATTACCCCTCCAAAAACTAAACTCTTCTCCCACACTCGACAGTCAGATTCATCTAAATTTCTTTTCGCCTGTTATGACACCACAGAGAGAACTGACCTTGACCTGTAAACTATTTCCAAGCCCTCTCGCAAAACACGGACAAGCATTCATCCTCCCTCAACAGCCTCACCCAAATTCACTGTCACATGCCCCAAACTTTTCCTTTCTCCAATGGACTTCCTGCTCACAGTAACTATCACATATTGTCTATCTCCAGAAAACTTCTCGTGATATAAGTAAAAGTCAAGGATGCTCAACCAGCAATTTTTCAGCCTTGGAAGGAAGCTATTTAGATGTCCTGACAACTCCTTTACCAGTACTAAGCTATATTCTTACAGGTTTATCCTTGTGTCACCAATCACTCAAACGCTTCAACGTTAAGCCCACAAATTCTAGCCTAAAAGTGAGAAGCATGTAAGGAGGGGAATTTCAAAACGTTAATTTTTTTTTATTATTTTCTTTTTGTTAAAAAAAGGGAACAGAGAGTCAGTCACTTAAATTATCAAGTAACTAGACTACACAAAAGAAATGCTGCTCGAATAGAGGAGATACCAGTCTCAACTTGTACCAGATCAAGGTAGACTTCACAAATGCGAGCAGTTTTCAGAAAGCCACCACCAGCAGACACGGAAGGGTGAACCTTCACTGAGCGTTTAGCCAATCTTCCAGCAAGCCTCATAACTTTCTTTCTCCCCTTGCCAATTTCTTCGACCAATCTCCACTCCCATAGGTCAACAACAGGGAAAGCCAATGCAGCCTCATCCTCTGGTTTAACAACTTGACCATACTGAGCAAGCCAATTTTCTTCGCATCTTGAAGTATCTGCATCAGAATAATCTCCTAAGATCATAACAACCCCTAACTATAAGGTATGGAAATGGCAAGGAAAACACCAGATTAGACACCACCCTTCTCAAGGAATAGCATAAAATGAAACCAAGGAAGTTGCAGGATTAGTGTGAGGCATCACCTTCTTCAAAGGGTCTGCCACTTGATTCTGCCTCTTCTACCGCTTCTTCCACAATATTCATGGCATTTTCTACATCAAACGTTTCTTCATTGTGATGCTCCTCATACGTATCAGCTGAAGATAATTCATGAAACTGCAATCAGTATATGGGACTGTTTAATCTGAATGCTCCATCACACAGATCTATTCTCAACGACTGAAAAAATATAATCATTTAACAGCAAATCAATGAATATATGGAGTCTTACCATCAGTCTCATAAGTTGAAGAGCATCTAGCGTTGGCTAGCTCATTGGAATAACAACTTAAATAAAGGTTAATGAGCGTCTCTTCTAGCCTGAAGGTAATTGTTCAGCCAATCTATGAGAAACACATGGAAGGAAAACAAGGAAGAGAGATGCAACAACCGGATGTGGAGATACCATTCCGAAGGTGGAGGTGGGTTCTCAGTTCCCTCATCGACAGAGACCGGAGCACTCCCTGTTTAAGGAAACCTGTTAATTGACCATGGAGCGGTCTGATGTTATCATCTCATGCATTGTTACTCAGGTGGTTGACTTCACATTCCTCATAAATTATTTCTTTAGCTCAGGGATGCATGAGACCAGTTAAAAAGAAAAACGAGGAAAACAGCGAAAATTCAGAGATTATGAGTATGGCATTACATGCCTGAATGGTCTTGACTTGCATCCTCAAAGGCGTTACAAGTTGATTGCTGAGGGTTCTCATTTTTCTAACAATGAGTCAGCAGACTGTTCATCAGTCCCACGAATGATCTCTGGACGTCCGTTGAAAATCAGAAAAGTCACATTCAACGGCACAGGTACAGTAAATACCTCATCAGAGTCCCATGCAACATAATGACCATCCTCAAATCTGTAATAGCGGCCATCCTTGGTGCTATAGTACCACCCGGCGCTGGGGTCATGATAAAATCCACTACTGCGGCAGATAGAGCTTCGAAGTTTCAGCCCAAATGAACCACTCAATAAAAGACAGATCCAGAAGGCTTGTTAATGAGATGAAGAAAAAAAAAAGAGGTGAAACACCGAAGACGATCGAATTATCATGACTGGGACCTCTCTTTCCTCTAATGGATCAACGAATTGAGACGGACATCGCCGCCTGAGCTAGGCTCCATGGAAACCCTTAGAGCAACCGAACAGAGGAAACCAAACATGCTGCCATGGATCTACTCGCCTGGAGTGATAGTACAGCTGCGACTGATCATCCCACACGAAGGAACACTCTCCTCCGTCGCCCTCGTCGCCGCGGGGACGACCTCCGCCTTCGTCTTCATCGTCATCCCTCGTTCCCGCCATTTCCTCTCTTCTAGGACGGTGGGCGGTAGATGGGGTCGACAAGGTCATTCTCAGCCAAGAGAATGAATGAATGGTGTTGGCCCTTTCTGGTGGACCCCACTCGAGATGCTAAGGCCCGGTGGAAAGGAGAATGCCCGATGCTAAGGCCTGGAGTGATACTCCAGCTGCGACTGATCATCCCACACGAAGGAACACTCTCCTCCGTCGCCCTCGTCGCCGCGGGGACGACCTCCACCTTCGTCTTCATCTTCATCCCTCGTTTCGGTTATTCCTCTCCACTAGGGCGGTGAGCGGTGGATGGGGGTGATAAGGTCATTCTCAGCCAAGAGGCTGAATGAGTGGTGTTGGCCCTTTCTGGTGGACCCCACTCGAGATGCTAAGGCCCGGTGGAAAGGAGAATGCCCGATGCTAAGGCCTGGAGTGATACTCCAGCTGCGACTGATCATCCCACACGAAGGAACACTCTCCTCCGTCGCCCTCGTCGCCGCGGGGACGACCTCCACCTTCGTCTTCATCTTCATCCCTCGTTTCGGTCATTCCTCTCCACTAGGGCGGTGAGCGGTGGATGGGGGTGATAAGGTCATTCTCAGCCAAGAGGATGAATGAGTGGTGCTGGCCCTTTCTGGTGGACCCCACTCGAGATGCTAAGGCCCGGTGGAAAGGAGAATGCCCGATGCTAAGGCCTGGAGTGATACTACAGCTGCGACTGATCATCCCACACGAAGGAACACTCTCCTCCGTCGCCCTCGTCGCCGCGGGGACGACCTCCACCTTCGTCTTCATCTTCATCCCTCGTTTCGGTTATTCCTCTCCACTAGGGCGGTGGGCGGTGGATGGGTGTGCTAAGGTCATTCTCAGCCAAGAGGATGAATGAGTGGTTCTGGCCTTTTAGCGTGGGCCCCACTCAAGATGCTAAGGCCGGGTGGAGGAGAGGAGAAGGGCCGATGCTCTGCCTTGGCTTCCCCTGCTTCCCCCTCCTCGCAGGCTTTGTCTCTCCTTCGGTACAGAGCGAGAGGAAGAGGGAGAGGGTTGCCGAGAATGGCCCCGCTTGATCCGAATCAGAGGAAGAACGCTGAGGCCATCGCGTTGGCGGCCGCCATGGGTGGGCACAAGCCGGCTTCCACCATCGCCCTGCAAGATCGCACCTTTTCGGCAAACGGGCAACCCTTCCTCCTCGACGTGCCACTCTCCGTCGTCGCCACACCCGCCTCCTCCGTCCTGCCGGAAGACTCCTCCTACGCCGGCACCTTCGTCGGGTTTGAGGCACCCGGCGGCGCCGCGGGGAGCTGGCACGCGTTTCAACTCGGCCGCCTCCTCGGCATTCGGTTCATGAGCATCTTCCGCTTCAAGGTCTGGTGGACGACCCACTGGGTAGGCAACCGCGGCGGTGACCTGGAGCATGAGACCCAGTTCATGATCCTCGACAAGTCTAGCGATGGCGCTCGTCCCTACGTTCTCCTCCTCCCCATCATCGAGGGGCCCTTCAGATCATCCCTCCAGCCCGGCGCCGACGACTACGTCGAAGTCTGCGTTGAGAGCGGGTCGACCCGTGTGACGGCGGCGAGCTTCCGCAGCTCCCTCTTCATGCATGCCGGCGATGACCCCTTCGTCCTCGTCAGGGAAGCCATGAAAGTAATGCAGCTCCATATGGGCACCTTCCGCCTCCTCGAGGAGAAGACTCCTCCGCCGATCGTCGACAAGTTCGGGTGGTGCACTTGGGACGCATTCTACTTGAATGTCCACCCCGAAGGGATCTGGGAGGGAGTGAAGGGGCTAGTGGACGGCGGCTGCCCACCGGGTCTGGTTATCATCGACGACGGCTGGCAGTCCATCTGCCATGACGACGACGACCCAGCTTCTGGATTTGAGGGCATGAACAGGACCTCCGCGGGGGAGCAGATGCCCTGTCGGCTCATCCAGTTCCAGGAGAACTACAAATTCCGTGACTACCAATCCCCCAACGGTGGCGAATCCTCCGGCATGGGGGCCTTCACCAGAGACCTCAAGGCGACCTTCAAGACTGTGGAGGATGTGTACGTGTGGCACGCCCTCTGCGGGTACTGGGGAGGGCTGCGACCCGGAACGAAGGGGCTGCCCGAGTCGAAGGTTGTGGCGCCGGTGTTGACCCCCGGGCTGAAGATGACCATGGAAGACCTCGCCGTTGACAAGATCGTCAACAACGGCGTGGGGATGGTGCCGCCTGAGAAGGCCTGGGAGATGTACGACGGCCTGCACAGCCATCTCGCCTCCTTGGGCATCAGCGGCGTCAAGGTGGACGTGATCCACGTACGTCCTCTTCTACTTTCCCTCCCCCCTCCTACTTTCTAAATGTGGTGCATTTCATCGAGCAAATGATGGCCATTCCATAAAATGCCGTTGACGTTCAGCTGCTGGAGATGCTGTGCGAGGACTTCGGCGGTCGGGTGGATCTCGCCAAGCCTTACTACAAGGCGCTGACCGACTCCGTCAGGAAGAACTTTAGCGGCAACGGCGTCATCGCCAGCATGGAACACTGCAACGACTTCATGTTCCTGGGGACGGAGACCATCTCCCTCGGCCGAGTGGGTAAGGAAATCTTCTCCCCCTCCTGCTGATCTTCTCCTTTCTTCTCTCCCGTGTAGCCATCTGACCTGTGGGGGGCCTCGTCGCCTGCGCAGGGGACGATTTCTGGTGCACCGACCCGTCGGGGGACCCCAACGGCGCCTTCTGGCTTCAGGGATGCCACATGGTGCACTGCGCGTACAACAGCTTGTGGATGGCCAACTTCATCCACCCCGATTGGGACATGTTCCAGTCCACCCATCCCTGCGCCGAGTTCCACGCCGCCTCCCGTGCCATCTCCGGCGGACCCATCTACGTGAGCGACTCCGTGGGGCAGCATGATTTCCGGCTACTCAAGAGCTTTGTGCTCCCCGATGGTAGCATCCTCCGCTGCGAGCACTACGCCCTCCCCACCAGGGACTGCCTCTTCGAGGATCCCCTCCACGACGGGAAGACCATGCTCAAGATCTGGAATCTCAACAAGGTAAGCTCGCCGGAAATTCATCTCCACTCTCTTCCTCGCTGAATTTGCAGTCTGCAATGGGAAAACTTTCGTCTTCAGTGCACCGGAGTGCTGGGGGCCTTCAATTGCCAAGGGGGAGGGTGGTGCCGCCAGTCCCGGCGGAACAAATGCTTCGCGGAGTTCTCCGTCGCCGTCAAAGCCACCGCTCGTCCCAGAGAAATCGAGTGGAGCAACGGAAAATCCTCCATTGTCGTCGACGATGGTACAGAGCTCTTCGCCGTCTACTCCTCCAAATCAGGGAAGCTGTCTCTGCTGAGCCTCGACGACGGCATCGACGTGTATCTCGAGCCATTCGACTGCGTGCTCTTCACCGTCTCCCCCATAAAGACCTTACCTTCTTCTTCCTCCGAGATGCCCGGAGTCCAGTTCGCCCCTATCGGGCTGACCAACATGCTCAACTCCGGCGGCGCCGTCCGGTCCGTCGAGTTCGCCGCCGGTGGGTTCAAAGTAGCGGTGAGGGGCTCGGGGGAGATGAAGGCGTTCGCGTCAGAGCAGCCAGCGACCTGCCGCATCAATGGGGAAGACGCGAGCTTCACCTACGCGGACGGCATCGTCTCCATCAAGCTTCCATGGCCGGGCTCGTCGGAGCCGTCGGTGATTGATTACTTGTTTTGACAGATCGACACCGACGCACGAATGATGCTGCATGCATGAACACACCAGAAGCTTGCTTGAAACGAAGACCACCCTTCCGTCTATAGCTTGGTTGATTGTAATAAAGTTGTGCCCACTAAGGGGGATAATTTATCAGTGAGTACTTAGTTGACTGGAGAATTCTTGAACCTGAAAGCGTCTAGTTACATGAAGATGACAGTGAGCTAAGAAGGCACCTCAGGGACCTCAGCATCCCCATACGTTCAGAGTATCAGAAAGAGGAAACGATAACCCTAGCACGAGTAAGAAAGGCAGCACTGTGGATCTGCAACGGTTCTTGCTTGTGGGAAGCTAATTATCTGGATTCTATCTTGGTAGATAGATGCTAAAGTTGACTTTACGATTCATCATATACGAGATACGAGACTTGAGGAAATAGGCTAAAGGAAAGACGGAAGGAGCGAAAAACGAGGCGTGATGGGCGATCAGATGGTACATGTGTCGACGAAGCACCGTTCTATATTTAAACCCGGCTAACCACCGGGGGATGAGAGGGGAGGGAGAGGAGAGAAGGGTCTGTGGGAAGAGGAGGAGAGAATGGGCGTGATGAACGAGAAGAGGCAACAGGTGTCGACAAGGGTTCGCCGTGTGTTCAAACCCGGATAAGTGGCACTGGGAAGAACAGAGGAGACGGAGAGCCTCTGACACCTATCATGACCCTCACTGCCAGATTTCGCCTCCCGCCGGTCAACGTATGGAGAATGTCTACAGACGTTTCGCCTATTTTGAGATTCAGAAAATGACAGTAGAGGCGGCGCCACCGAGGCTCGGCTTCTCGTCCTAACACGTCATCCCTCCAGCCCGGATTCCCACTCCCTCTCTTGTCATTGGTTTTTTCTTCCGCTTCTTTCAGAGTTCAACGGTGAAAGAGGAAAATCCCATATTAATCCGCGTCTCTTTGCGATTTTGTTTCCTTTCTGAGTCATTGGAGAAAGTTTGGCGCCTCTTGGTGACGGCTCTTCGTCGTTGAAGAAAGAAGAAAGCGAGACGCTGAGAAGAAATAGTGGGCACACGTACATTGTGAGGCGGTTGGAGATGGCAAAGAAGGCGACTGTAAGTGGCGTTAGAAGCGAGAGGAAGGGGAGCGGCTCCATTTGTGGACACAGGATGCCGGCACCGTTGACCTATGTTGCTGCCGCCATCGCCCTTCTGTCCTTGACGTCGAATATCGTCATCTTCTACAAGTTTCAGAGAGAGGGAGCCATGACACTCGGTCACGGCGTTAGCGGTAGCAACAGCCACCTTCTCAGCGAGGTAGAGGGGAAGACTCCGAGCACGGACACTGACTCTGTTGTGATAAACCTCGATCAGTGAGTCCCAAGAAAGAACCCCCGTTTTCTTCCATCATATACTGCCGTCGTTGACTCTGTATAGGAGATGTTCCTCCGTAACGCCGTTGACTTCCCACCGTCTTATTGGCTATTCTCGTCTTCCGTCGGCTACTTGGTCTTTGCCGATTAGTTTTATTTTCCGGTGAACTGAGAGATCGGAACTCTTTCTTTTTATCCTACAGTGGCGATCCCACGATGTTCGAACCGTTCTGGAGGGCGACGGGAGAGAGAGGTATCGTAGTTGTCCCGGGGTGGCAGACCATGAGCTACTTCTCTAGGGCAGATGGTCTCTGCTGGTTCATGGAGCCGAAGCTTGCCGGAGAGATCATCCGTCTTCACCGTCTGGTCGGCAACGCGAGAACGGAAGGCAGGCACATCGTCGTGGGCACCGGCTCCACCCAGCTCTTCCAGGCCGCCCTCTACGCGCTGTCTTCTCCCGACGCCTTGGAACCTGTCAGCGTCGTGTCTGCAGCCCCGTTCTACTCGGTGAGAGGAGCCCTGAAAAATTGGTATCACCTTTAGCTTGTTTCCATATCCTCAGAAACGTATGATTCCAATTATTTTGATGGAAAATTGTTGACTCGGCTTCTTCATTCAGAGTAAAGATACACAACATTATTCCCCATCCGTCCGAGTCAAAGAAGATTAGCACATGCAAAAATTTGTTTTCAACTAATAATTTTGATAATTACGTGTTTTTCTCGACAAAATTCCAGGCCATAGTTCTGTTATCTTAACTTCGTAGGTTAAAAGTATGATCTTATGGTAATCATTATTAACTGATTTTTGTTAATATGTTTGACGCTGTAAAAACTTCAATTTTCTCTATAAACAAATTTCGGGAATTTTTTTTAAAAATGAAAGTGGAGGCTTACGTAGGGTAGGTACGAAGCAAAAGTCAACAGGGAAGATTTCAGCTTTCATACAGAAGATTAGCAGATGTCACGTTTCTCAACGATTCCTTCTTTTCAGGAGAGCACAGTAGGGATTGAGGCGGAAACGTACGAACTGACCTCTGTTTCTCAGTCTTATCCCGCAGTGACGGACTTTCTGCGATCAGGGCTCTACCGATGGGCTGGAGACGCGAGATCCTTCAACGGCGATGGCCCATACATTGAACTCGTCTGCTCCCCCAATAATCCCGACGGGTTCGTGATGGAAGCTGTTGTGAACAAAGAGGAGGGCAAGACCATTCACGACCTGGCATACTACTGGCCGCAGTACGCCCCCATCACCGGCGCCTCCTCTCATGACATCATGCTCTTCACCTTCTCCAAGATCACGGGCCACGCCGGAACCCGTATCGGGTGAGTCCCTCCGTCAAGTTGAATTCTCCTCCTTTCTGTCCCTGCAGCTCGAGACGCGTGTTTTCCTACCATTCTTCCCGAGATGATCTTCTCTACAGGTGGGCGTTGGTGAAGGACAGAGACGTTGCGGAGAAGATGACCAAGTTCATAGAGCTGAACACCATCGGGGTGTCCAAGGACTCCCAGCTCCGAGCCGCCCGAATTCTAGGAGCAGTATCCGACGGGTACGAACTGGACGGACACCGCCGCCATGGGAGGATCTTCGTTTTCGGTCGGCGGTTGATGGCGGAGAGATGGGACCGCCTCCGTGAGGCAGTTCGGATCACCGGCAGCTTCAGTGTGCCCGAGTACCCTTCGGCGGACTGCAACTTTACCGGGGAGAGCACCCCGTTGCTTCCTGGTAATAGAATCTAAGCAACACATTAAAAGTTTCTCCCTTTTTATGTGAAATCATGAAGTCTTTAATACTCCGGCTATTCCTTTATGCTTTCTACTGCAGCCTTCGCCTGGTTGAGATGTGAAAAGGAAGGTGTGGATGACTGCCGGGGGTTCCTCAGAAGCCGCGGTATACTGACGAGGAGTGGGAAGCTTTTCGGGTCGGGGCCGGACTACGTCAGGGTGAGCATGCTGGACAGAGACGACAAGTTCAACCTCTTCATACAGCGGCTCCTCTCGGCTGCCTGATCATCTTCGCTGCTAAGCTTGCTATTTCAGCTTTCTATTGTGTAGTTGAGCCAACTTGGAGGACAAAGAAATGGGAGCTGAGTATCGACTCGTCCCGTTTCACGTTGCTTTCCTCACTTACTGATCTATGTGAATTATATTCGAAAGAAATCTCAGTAAAAGGAATAATAGATGACCATACCCAGATGGTGGACTCCTCTTCCTACCCAGATGAATGAAAACGAAACTTGGAATCAGATAATATGGTGTCTTGGTTTCTTTAAGCAGGATCTACGAACGATGCGGACAAGAAGTGAATGTCAGGTACGATGATCTATCCACTCTGCAGGTGATGAGTGACCATCTTCCTATCGTTGCCAAGTCGTCAATCATATATGTCAGACCAAAAAATAATCAGAAAAGCCTTTTTTATATAACCATGGTACACTAAAATATGGATTCATGTAGACCCATCCCATTTTTCCAAGGGAAAATCCTGAAATTGCGGCTATAAAGTATGATTATAACCATTGAAGAATCATCTTGGGAATCACATACATAGAAATTGTGGGGGTTACACCTAATTTAGGGTTTTTCTTGGTGTATCTTGGATCATAGAGGGATGCTGGTGATGTCCACTCTCTTATCGGATGTTGATATGGAATCGGGTCTAAATGCCCGATCTAGGGAAAAAAAAGATTCAAGCAACGACAAAAAAGGGAAAAAAAATAATTATGCAATTGATTATATAATAATATTTTGCTAGAAACCCATAAACGAATTACCCCCCTCCCCCCACCCCCGCCACGTAACACCGAAATCGCTTTTTCGCGAGTTCATGCAAGAGGGTGCATGGGGAAGATATCTAGGGGCAGCGACTAGCGGCCATCTGCTCATTTCTTTGGCCGGAGAGAAGTGGGAGCAATTGGAGAAGGGAACAGTTTTATTGTCATTCTACCCCCTTCTTTGTTGCCCTTTATTATTCCTCTTCGTTCATAAGGTAAGGATCGACAGATCCTTCATCTGGCAATAAATCTTGCCCTAATTATTATTCATCGGAAAGATATTTCTCTTCTGAAAATGGATCGGGTAGTGAAGAAGATGTGGAGCAGCTTGTTAGAATTCAATTACCACACTTGTCAAAGGATCACACAAAAATGCCCAAGACTTAAAACCAAATCATGCATCGACTCACATAATAAAAGCATAAGGTTTGAAGGAAGGGCAACATGATAACAAGCATGGTAGTCATGGTCTATTTGAAGAAAATGCGATCATCATCTAAATAAATTATAGCATTTGAAAGAAAATGGGGTTTGAGCATACATGATAACAAATGTTTAAGAATATTAGAGGCATCTACATACCATCTCCTTTGGTTTTGGCAACAATCCATGACCTCTTCTGCTCACTCCATAGCCCCTCTTCTTTGTTGGACATAACATCTAATTTTGTAAGTCCTAAAATCTAAAGGGATTGAGAGCCTTGACAGATCATATGCTCACTCAAAATACTAAAGAGTGTGAATGAGCATTTGAGAAGAACCACATTGTGTAGAGTTGAGTTTCACCTACCTTTAGAGGAAGATGGTAATACTCTAGGATAGGTATGATCGTCATTTACCATGTATCATGTGAAATTCAAAGATATCTGTCGACGCAAGACGATAATTTATTCGTGACATACAAAGTTGAGCTAACACGTGTTTTGCAACCATCATAAAAATATGCAATAATCTATAAAAGAAAAGAGTTATCATATGTGATGTGGCAATAAAAGAGAGTTGTTGAAGCAAGAAGACAATTTATTCATGGCAAACAAAGTTAAGAGAACACGTGGTCCGCAAGCATGGTAAAAAATATATGACACTACAAAGAAGATATGAGCTAATGTATGTGACGTAGTATATATAGTGTCTCTGACACAAGAAAATAATTTATTTATGTTAGAAAATAGTAAGATACTATGTGCCATGTAGACCATAAAATTAGATCATAATAGGGGAAAAGGAGTTATCATATACAATGTGGCACATTTATACGAACATATCAACACATTATAAACCCATTTAAGATATAAAAAGTTTAGATAGCATGTTTCTTGCAAAAATCAAGAATAAAATAAAATAGTTATTACATGTCATGTGGCATTTATAAAGAATTTGAAAAAATATGATAATTTAGTACAAATTGTAAAAATATATCCAAGATGCACAATATATTTTATTAAAAAATATTAATGTAATAAGGTAATTATATTTCTAAGGTTACATCAAAATTTCCTTCTCCTAGATTCTTAAATTCCAAGCTCAGTAACCTATTAGATTCTTAAATATTCTCCTAGATTTCACACCTCTAGTCAGCCCAACTAAAGGAGATGAAGTTCTTTCTTCTAGATTCACAAGTCTAAGAGGCCAACAAGATCAACCACTATTGATCTCTACAAGGTTCAGACTCTAGATAGGCTTTTCGAATTTATGCACTCTAAATATAAATTTAGAATGAGTTATTAATATTGACCTTTAATTTTTAGCTTCTTGAATGATTTAATATATTAATTTCTTGTTGAGAGAGAGATTTTGTGTGAAAGAGTCATTGAAGAGCTTGTGTAACATCACATCTTCAACGATTTTAGATGCCCAAAGATGCAATAATAAGGCCTGAACTCACATGAGGAAAGTGGAGGATGTGGTTCCTTTTTTCGGATTTTTCTCTCAATTTTTATATTTTTTTTCTCTTCCTCTTCTTCTTTTTCTTTTTCTTTCTCTTCTTCTTCCCATTCTTCCTCCCCCCGCCCCCTCTCTTCTTCTTCTTCTCCTCTTATTCTTCATTTTCCTCTTCTTTTATCTCCTTCCTCTCCTTCCACGGCCACGCCCTCTTTTTCTTTTCTCACGCTCAGAAATCAAATAGATAAAGCGAGTAACTAGAATTAGGGTTACTCGGCCGAGAAATGGGCTGAAAAACACAAAACAGACGGATCGGTCCATTTCATTAAACTCTCGGGTCTGGTTTTACGGAGATCCGTTTCGTTTACCCAATTTCAATATGATCCGAGATCCTTTATCCCGGATCCAATACACCTTAATTAATGGCCCACTAACCAGATCCAGTACTTTAAATTCAGGCCCATTAGTCTGGCCTATTGCCATTTATTTCCAGGCCTAATAAAAAAAAATCAAAACACCCAAATCTCCTCATCTTCTCACATTATCCTATCACTACTTAGGGTGACATTTATCATCTGCATACTCTTTCATAGCTTGTGTTCATCATCAAGAAGGATAAAGGAGAAAGAATCAGTAATTCTCCACATTCTTCATTGCTCATGCATGGTCAGTAGTGGGTGTAGCCACTCCACAAAATCCTCAATTTCTGTCACATATCACCTAATTCTTCAGTATCAAAAGGCTGATAAAACCATAATTTTCGTAGTATTTATCATAAAGATCGAATATTTTCTTTTATCTGCAAGGTATCATATCGTTCACCATGATATCAAAAATGAGGAAGAACAGTGGCAAAGAATGGCCCACTTCAAGGGTTTCTGTCTCACATACCTCTGGGCAGAGGAGATCGACACTCTGATCATCCGAAGTTGGTTTGACTCATGCTCTAGAACAAAGGAAGGGTTCTTCAGCCTTTTCAGCTTTCCTGTAGTCAGCTGTCGACCAATTATCACATGCTTTGCAACGTTGATTACCTAAGAAATAATAACTGGTAACTTCACCCCTGGTTGAATGTAGGTAGCGAGGAGAACCCACAGCCCAGAGATGGAAATCTTCCCCTCGTATATGGTAACAAGGAATGAATCGACTTGTAAACATTGAGAAAAGTTAGCAGTCGGGAATGGGTATTTCTGGTCATGTCAAAAAATGAAGAACTAAATGACTGGAGATGGATATTACCATATACTAAATACGGCCATAGTTTCTTAGCATTCCAGGATGGATATGTGGAATCACAGGCACATATTGCATGAAAACTCAAGACCCATCTTTAGTTTGACTTGAGAAATCCAAAACCGACCATCTGACGTTCGAAGATACAAAAAGTCCACATTTGAGTCAAAGTCAACGCTGAAAGAGCTCCTGTTTATTGTGATCGGATAACCAGTTTTCCACGATGGTAAGACTTTTAAAAAGTAAAAAATCTTGACAAGAACTTACTATTAAAGCCAACCGGATAGAACACAATAAAAAAATGAAATACACGAGTAATATATCTGCCTAAAAATAGAAATTATTATTATTTTGACATTAAATAAGATTTAAACCCAATCATTAGAAACTTATATTTCACACAAGATGTTCAGCGTGAAGCCTGGAGAAACTTCTACATAACCATATATATATGCTCTACAACAAGAAGCTTCTCCTTCAGGAATAATTATCCTCATGCTTTGGAGAAGAACTCGTGGACATTGTAGTACTTGTCCAGAACAAGATTGTGAAGGGGGTGAACAGGCTCCAGCAGATTAGCGTATGGACCCAGGACAGTCATTGGCAAACCAGGGCCGTTCACATTCTTGGACCAGCTGTATTGACACAAAGATAGACCGCTCAGACAGTAGCATGAGTGGTAGTGATCTCTCTGCTTGCCGGGCTTGTCCCTGAAACCCCCCTCTGGAACCTGTGTTAATCCAAATCTTAGTTATTTCAGAGCACACAAGGGATATTATCCACCAATCAACTGAAACCATATGACAGTAAAACCATTCTTTTGACCTCACAGACGTATATATTAAAACATGAATTGAAAGGGGCTTCATCGCTATTTGTTGTGATTTTGACCAGCTGGTGATGTCCATTAGGACGATAACGGGCGGTGGTTTCTTTCAAGAAAGGGAAGTGATCTGTAAGATCAAAGATGCAGCTTCATACTAAATACATGCAGCCCATTAAACATCAAAGTTCAACGACTATGTGATGCTGTAATTCATGCGGGTTCTTTAAACATATGGCAATATGCACAGAGCCAAAGTTTGCTTTGTATTTTCTGAAGAACATAAGGCACGCCTAACAAGTCTCCAGATTGGCGAAAAAATAAAGTTCTTACATTCTTTTGTCATAGCGTGATCCGAACATATAGAACCCGAAGTTCTACAAAAGACAGTATCAGCACCAGATTGAAGGCGTGATGAGAAGGATTTCAACGGGCCATAAAAGGGAATTGATGCCGATGAGAGATTAAGCTATAGTTCTGAATGCGTTCTTTTTATTTCAGCTTTCCAAGAACCAATGATATGATCTCAGACTATCGTGCCAAACAGCATTCAGATAGGTAGTACTCTGAAATTAACGAATTAAAAAAAACTAAAAATTCCACTTGATCACAATATCACAGCAAATATAACTGTAAACCCTGCTGTAATAGATGACAAAAAAACATATCAGCATCGGTGATAAGATCATGTCAATGTATGTATATTCATACAGGGAGCAGGCAAGACGGGAAAGTTTTCAATGTACCTGACAGTGTAGGAGGACGTACTGCTGCAAAGCAGCGCTATGGAATAGAGATCCCCATCCACTTTCTCTCTCGAGGAAATAAAAACCAATATCTGAAAATTGACCTGTGCTCATAAGACATTCGTCAGATGAAAATGAGCACCATAAAATAATAGCCCTTGCCTTTTTAATAATAGCTCATTCAGGTCTTTAATGTACTTTTGTAAAGGGTATTATTGCTTCAAATTGAATTATATTGTGAACCTACCCTCAATACTTTTGCTACTGGTTTCATGATCTCCACATGGATGCTCATCTAGATCAGAATCCCCTTCTGACATGTACGGAGATGAAGTACTGCAATTGTTTTTCGCGACTTTCTTTCCTTCAAGAAAGGATGACTTCAACTGTTCATCCACAAATGATAATAACCTTTGTGCAACTGCCAGAGCACCTCCCTGATAAAATTATATTTTAAATCAATGATCGCAAGAGTGAACCAATAAATAACATACGATTCAAAAGACCATCACCTGCCAGAAAGAATAGCAGCCATCAACAAGTTTGTTTGTCCGGCCTTGAAATCCATATTCCACTCCTTGACGGAAAACCACCCAGTCCTACACAGAGACACAGGTAGCTTAGGACGAATCCTATGAGACTATATGCATAGAAGCTTCAATTATTGATATTGGCAAATATCACTATCATTCTCATTCAACTCAATTTTAAGACTGGATCGATTATCTTACCCCTCTTCCAACAGTGTGCACTATTAATATCCCTAAATACAGTATTTATAGTGATAGTGGGAACTTGGCATAAGATCAATAGGCTCTGCAATCCCACAGCAACTCAAAAAGGTCTGTAACAATGGTGTCTGTATAAACAGTAAAAATCAACTGTGTACCCCTCTTCCATCAGCTTCATATAAAAGATCTGACATTGTCTCTTCCCTTCTCTTTTTCTCGCTTGGACTTCATGGAATGGTTTGTTAGCCATGGTTATGTCATAGCAGCAATGTTGCACTAGTTATTGCCGAGCTGAAATGGCAATTGCGTGGTCGTTTCTTATATGGAAAGAGGGGGAAAGTGCACGTCTGTCAACAGGTAGATTCCTCCACCGCTCAACGCAAATAAAGAAAAGAGAGAAGAAAGAAGGTACGAAGAAGCTTCATGACCTAAGAAAAGAACTAAAAAGATCCTAGAAATGCATCCAGCTCAATTATGTTCCACTATCCAATGCGTTAGCCTAGTCGGGTCAGTTTACAATATCAGCGGGAACAAACTTCTGAAGTTTAATATCCAATTCTACTGAAAGGCAGCTCTAAATCTTTACTCCACTCTAAACCCTAATGCAACCAGGGCCCTAAACCCAACATTTTAGAAAAGGGAACGCAGCAATATTGTGTCCTTCACCTGAAATCAGCCCCCTTATTGAATAGGAATTCGTCACCCATCTTTCGACTGTCATCAACTTATCTCCTTTGAGACCCGAAAAGCATAAGTACAAAATCACTGTAACTGTTACTGTTCTTCAAGGCAAAAAATTTGCTCACATAAATCAACAAACACCCATGATGCCAGCTGTGAACAATGTTTCAATCTAGTGGTCAGATGCCCACCATAGTCACACACATAAAATATGAGTATCAAATAAACAGTTTGCACAAAAAATAAGGGTCATTAGTCGCTGAGGTGATTGTCGTAGGTTGTTAAAAGAATCTGTGGGAAAAGCTTCAGTTTTCCTAAAACGGGAAAAAAGTGATGATCCTCCAGAGAAGTTAATGGCTTCTGCATAGGTTCAATACGAGATCAATGTTGGGCTTAATTCACTGTTCAAAAACCGTTGACCCTAAGCCCGGGCTTGATGTACATACCTCACAAACCTGTCTTCAGATGAAAATACGAATATTCTTTCCGAAACATCATATATCTATTGCTGGCAGAATTCAAGTTGATGTACATCAATAAGTATGAAGAAAGGGATGGAAGTGACATCTATTGGTAAAATGCTCTTGCATTGGAGATTTTCGGGAGTTTATTAATGAACGAGAGCCACAACGAGACGCACATCATTTCATCAACCTCGTCCTGAAAACTGAGAAAGAGACCAACATTTCTCATGGAGGAAAATTTTCTTGTTTCTTTCGTATTTTATGCTGGAAATAGATAAAAAAACAAGAAAAAACATATTTCATCATTGGAAAATTAAAACAGTTAAACCCTATTTGGAAAGTAGGACAAAATGTTTCAAGGCAACAGAGGTCGCTACAGAAGGGAAGTAATTCACCAATATTGAGAGCTGGTAGTCTTTGGTCTTCATCGTATGATATTAAATAGTGTTTAAATAGAAAAGTTACGAAAGGAAAGCTAATAAAAATCCTAATGACAACGTTACCCTTTTATTAAGACGGCCAAAACTTAAAATGCTTCAGCAGCTGAAAATAAGAAATAAGTGTTTGAAGAGGAAATTTTTTGGAGGAAAAAATAATTTTGAGAGTGGCTACTCAAGGTTAAGATTGTTGCTTTTTCTGAGGGAGTGCAAGATACTTTCTAGAAAAATAGGGATGCCCAAATAAACAATCTTGTCAAAAATAGAAATAGAAACCAATGAGACAGCGTACCAAGGAAAACATACTTTTCCACATGTTTACCTCTGTACTAGTTCAGATGCTGAGAGAATTGTGTCAGGAAGGCAAAGAAGAAATGCAAAAGGTGAGAAAGGAACATCTCATGATAAGGGCCTAGAAGTGAAAGGAAACGAGTTGTAATGATCAACTTCCAGTTCATAATTTATAACATCGACTGGTCATGGTAGACTGAAGGCAAACCCATCAATTTGTCAAAGCAAGAAGAAACAGCGGCAAAATCAGAGGCACCAATCAGTCAACGCAAATAAACCATGAAGCTGCAAAGAAGGGGCAGTAATGATAGGATTGACAGAGATCCAGTCGGTTGCCTCAGCCCCCTACTCTTCAATGTCACTTCTCACCCTACCTTGAACACGAATCAGAGGGAAACTAAAGCATTGTGCATATTGCTCTCAAGTAGTGTTTACATAGTCTACACAGCTCCTTCTATGCTAAGTTTCCAACTTCTATGCTAGCAGATTCAAGGTTCTCTACGCATTATCCAAGCCCCTCTAGTGCGATAAAGACGAACATTCTTTGGTCGTGCTACCCAGTCACAGATAACATTGATATTCAATGACCATAATTTCATAACTTGTTACTTCCTTTCTGTTCCATTTCGAATTCTCTCACAAAAACGAAGGTTTCTCCAATGCTCATCCAACATTCTTCTTTCCACATGCCCACACCATCTCAAAAAAAATCCCCAGAGCACTCTCATTTGTCAGTGTGATATTTCATGGAAGTTCAACACCACATATGTGATGATGATGATGATGGCCTTTTTTTCACATACAGGAACTTTTCAATTGCCCAAATACTCCTGAACGAAGTAACAAGTCTCTTGAACGTAGATGAAAAGGGCAAATATTAAACATTAAACTCACTTTACATTAACTTGATTTAGTATGCCCCACATGCAGCTACTAAGTAAAATTAGAATAGAATGTCATTTTAGGGGGCAGAGTGAGATTTTATGGACGACACGCTTTCAGGCACTCGTTGTCAACCACCAGTTAGTAACAGCATATGACACTAGCACAAATTCATTGTCATCTATGTTGAAGAATCCCACATATGCCAGGGCAAATAACATCTGAAGAAAAAAAACTTATATCCAATATTTCTTCCAACATTCAAGTAGATTAAAAATCTGCTCACAATAAGGGTAGGTAGATCCAACTTATCCGCCTCGCCAATAAGGACCATAGTAGCCAATCCACAAAACGTGTACCTACAGACAAGAGAATCAAACAATAAGTCAAGACCAGATAGAGAGGAAAATATGAAGAAAATTGAGAATCTAACCTTTCACAGCACAATGCTTTGCAAAGAAAGGGATTTAAAAGATAACACAATGATACTGATGAAAGTAGATCAAGCTGAAGGAACTACTGCAGAACAGAAACATACCCACCATGAGCTTCAGAACCAGGCTCCCCAGCAATACCACCTTCATATGTCTGACAGCTAAAAAATCGACACAGGTGTTAACTCAATTTAACACCAAATAAAGAAAATAACAACAAATATTGAGAAAATCTAACCATCTCATTAGATTTAGAACCATTAAGTAAGAAGACACAATTCTGAAATTCTCAGAGCCTCGAGTCCCAACATACTGCTCTGTACACCAAAGTCGAAAGAAAACACAATACGCAACAAAAAAATCACAGCAAGACTATCACCCAATCAAGGGTAAATACTGACACAGGAATATGCATATTACCCATAAAAGTTATTGGAATTCTACTTCAGTTGACCAACGTTTGTTGATGATAGAGAAATTCGAGGCGGAGTACAGCAGCTCCATGGATGTGTGTAGTTTGGAGCGTGTATGCTCCATGATTGTGTATGCTGTATGTAGGAGTTTCAAATTTCACCATCATAGCGTTACCATGAAGCAAACCCGAGTCTCCAATGGGAACTTGTAGATCGTAGCCACTTGCATTGTCATAATTTTTTTTATGAACCCATAAAAATGGCAAAAAAGTATAGGTGTAAGGGATTCTAATTGAACGCCCAGCATTGATTATGCATTTTGATTGCCTTTTTTCTAGCTCAATAAAAAATAACGCAAATGGAAAATACATGTCGCAAAATCTACTTGTTTTAGCTGCGAAGTCATTGTTAATGAAAATAATGCAACGAACCTTAAAATGTAATTCCCAACATCCTCCACGAGTTCCCGGCCTAAAATGTTCAAGCAGCTAGCAACCTAGATGAAATACGAAGCAGGATCATAGAGGTTATGCGAAGCAGCAAATGGATCATGAACTGAAAACAGAATGTATTGATTCTCCCGAATGAATGGAACATATGAAATCAACAGCAATCACAAACCAGCAAACAATGCTTGAAGATACCCAAAAATTATTTTTTATTAACAGAACAAATATCTGATCTAATAGGAACTAAAGGCATCCATTAAAAAAAAGTTGAATACGATGGATCCCTATTTACCAGAACGTCTTAGATTCAGAGTGTATTAACTCAGTAGCTGGGCTGGGCATCTATTTCCGTCTATCATTCATTTCTTTACCAATCCGTTGCAGACTTTGCTGTTCCTTGGTCTGTCTATCCTGCAGATACTAATCTCAGGCTATTCTACGACCAGCCAAATTTTAGCAGTTAGGTACTAGTTTTAGATCAGATATCAAGGACTTAGACATGCATAGCTCCACATAAAGCTAGGGAAACGGAATGAAAAGCTCAATCTATTAAGAGTTTATTCATCTCACAAGGCTCCTTCTCCCTCTCCGTTAATCAAATATGCAAGGATTGAATCAGAGTGTAATTCTTCCTAGGAATAACTTATTGATTACCATCACTTGAGCCCAAAAGAATGGGGTAGGAGAACCCATCAGTCCGAAACTTATTTCCTTACAAAACAAGCCTCTAAAACGAAAAACCCAGTGAGAATTAAGTTTCATCAACAATGCGGTTCGTGATATCAATGAGGCATTCAGCATCCTATCGTATCCAATTATCTATACACCAGGAAGAAAGAAGAAAGATGAATTCCTTTGCAAACATCCATTCACAAAATGCATTTCAAGCAACTAGACAACATTAACATTAGAAGATCAAACATGGGAGGATGGACGTATCAGTTATGGAAATTGTGAGGCTAACATTATTGTCCCTTCTACCGACCTGATATAACAGGTCAGATACACATGGTAGGGAGTTCATTTAGACGTCAAAGATGTCATTGAACTGGATAGAAACAAAACTCCAGTAGAAGACGCCACATTGGAAACCTCATTCATTGTGTAATGGATGGGTTGAATTTTTCTTAAGAGATTTTGTGTGGATAGAACGATTTTTTTTGCTGGAGATGCCTGAAAATGTACCATATCAAATTTTGTCAGAATCTTGCAACTTAATATCATATGTTGGAGATGTCTGAGAAAACTGGTATTTGATGAGCCTATGTTTTTTCCTTCTGAAATCCGCACCACTAACGACCAGACGATGCTAATTTTCCAAGGAAATCCCAATTCAAACTGATATTGCCTTTCTAATTGTCTTATAACACAAGCAAATAGCTTCTTCAAGAAAGAAAATACAGAAACGAAGAAACGGAAAATTATGCCCTCATAAAATTGTCTAATTACGATGGAAACTTCTGCCCTAGAACCATTCGTAAAGAAGAGGAAACAATTTATCATCACGTGACAAGGACACAAATCACTTAATGACGGGTCAGCTATTAGTACATAACAATGAGAGTTACAGTCCCGAACCCAGTATATCCTGTCAACGAATATTCTATGCAAGCAATGTCCAAAACAGATACTCGTGAGTAAGATACATCAGCCCAAAGTATAGGTATGAGCAACAGTAGGAATAATATATTTTAAAACAGGCTATAAATATAGGTAAGAAAACCTATGACACAATGACAAAGATTAGCAATAGAAATGACTCACAGAAATTGCTGTATAGCAAGCCCGAACATCAATTTCTCCTCCATCATGCATTCTAGTGAAAATAAAGTAAAACTCGTTATTGGATGAGAGTGCATATCTCGTGAGTTCGTTTTCAAAAGGCGAATGGATAAAAATTGTATAAATCAAGTTCATATCTCTTAGATTTTAATAGTAAAGTGAATGATGCTTTCAGATCAAGCGAATAAATTTAAGGTATCCATAGTAGCCATACTCAACACATGAGGAGAAAAATGTAAAAGATTGCTGGATAGGATCAAGAACATTCTTAATTAATTACTAAGAATGATCCCTTATTAACTACGATAACAGCAAATATATGATTTAAAAAATAAGGATACTTCCTTCCTAATCACTTTGAACTAGATAACCAGATTACCTTAACAAGATGTCAAACCCAAGGATTGCTCTTAGACCACATGCAACTCCTCTACAGTGTATACATGACAATGACAGCAAATTGGGTCTAACAAGAGGGAATGTTAAGAATGCTCACACTTCGATGATTACAAATTAATAATAAAGATTAACCTACTTCACTCATTGCCACTGGGTTAGGTTTTGAGTTGGTGGACCCACCAAGGTTAGCAATAACTAATAATTGCTTAAAGCAGTTGTAAAGTGGGTTATTTGAAGTTATCTAAAAAATAGATGAGCCCAGAATCTGGTACAGTTAAGTTCCGAGTGACAATTTATAAAAATAAAATAGGCCAGTGCATAGCCATATCACTTCACAAGAGAGGTAAAATCAGACTTTTATCTTGGAAGGGCGATGTACCTGACAGCACCACAGCCCAATTAGCAGTTATTTTAGACAGCTAATTGAGTTGTTATTTTCGACAGGCTAAAATGAGTAAACTAGCACCGCAGCCCAATTAGCTGTAAGACAAAAAGTATGGGCCATCCTCTTCTTGAGAATAAAACAAGGATCAAATAAAGCGTATAGGCATTCAATTTCCACACAGCAAATGTTATGTTGGTAAGTTCCTTCTAAATAGCCATCTACGGCATTTTCTAAGGGTAAGATGTATTTTACTGGTGCTCAGTAAATCTATCAAGCGTAGGAAAATGTAGGCATCTGCTTGTTTTGAGGCAGATGATGCAGGGTTGCCATAGGGAAAACAGAAGTGTCTCATATCTGGATGATGACAAATGATCGAGAGAAGATGGACCATAGTTATAGTGGAAGAATGGAAATCCAACACGGAGAAGATGGAACGGTTATTGAAGATGTTTCTTCGTCAATTCAGTTAATCATTCTAACTTCTCCATTTGGGAATGAGCCACAACGGAAGCAAAGGCATTAATTCCATTGCATGAAATGATATGGTGACGTAATGGTGTATTGCCCAGTAGGTCGTAAATAAGTAGAATCCTATTCTATTGATATGATATGGTACCAAATTTTCTCACAGACAAATCTGATAATATGACGCAAATTTAAATTTTATCAAGAAAAAAAAATCTTCAAGTACATGGTTCGGACATATTAAAACAAACCCTCCAAGCTTTGTGTCCCAAATACAAGAAGTTTCTGTGTTGTATAAGATAAAGATCTTCTACATAAGATTAATTATGGCCAATAATGCCTATCATTAAAAATGTTATCTTAAACTGCAAAAGAAAGAAATAGGTAGACCGTGAAATCCCTAAATCAAATAAGACTTTCATATCATTGATTCCCTTTCCCTGACTGATGTCTAAGAGAAAAACGTGCCACGTGAAAGACTTTCAAAGACAATGCTAAGATGATGAACGTGTATACTAGGCAAGGAGTATTCAAAGTGTAAGTAATCTCACCTAAAGCCCCCGGAGAGATCCTTCATTCGCAATAAAAATGAGTGTATTTTATGTCTGAAATATGGAAAATTATCTGATAAGCTTGTATAAATCATAAAATGAGCGAATATTTTCATAAAAAGATACTAATAAAGTAAAAATGACCACCTATTTATTGATGACAAGGCCCTCTCTGTTCCCAACGTAATAAGGGAGTTTACAGCGGCATATGTTGTGGCTAGATGAGGCAACTGACACAACCATTCATGAAGGCTCGATGAGAACAAAATAAATGAACTGATTTCACATCTTCAATCATAGTTCGCGCCCATACTTAAAGTTGAAGCATTCCTAACAAAGGAGGAAAACGCTGAACACAGTTTTGAAGAATCAAACCTGACCAGGTCCACCACCATATCCTCCTTCACTGTCCTGCAAAGAAAATCAAAATCACCACAGTTAACATTGCCAATTAAGTGATTCGACAGTTTGACAGAGTTGAGGTACATTGTAGGCCATCGAGCTGGATATGAGGCAATATGTTTCCCAATAATTCATCATAAATTATAACCTTCCGGTATTTCACTACGGTGAGCATTCCATTACAAGTCCAAAAATTATATCATTTCTTCCCATTGATTCTTTGCTGATTCAACAAACAACAGGGATAAGAAGATGGCACATTTCATCAATACCCATATAAAAACTTTGTGAACAATAATCAACGCCCCGTCATGTAAAATAGCAGCATTACCAGAGTCATCTGATGATTAATCTAAGTCGATCGACCTGTAACTGAACTGGCAGCTGACATTGAATGAGAAGAGAAGTTGAGCGTGAGAGATTCAATACCTGACAACGGGATAAGAAATCCACCACATTGTTCTCGATCTCTGAATCCACGGACTCTCCCAACAAGGCAAGTGAGTGCAGAATCCAGTAGCACAACCAAGGACGACTGGAGCAATTAGAAGAAGAGTAAGGATCTATGAGATAAACTAATTCAAAGGCTCACGGCGAATTGTACAAAAATAGTCAGACATAGCAAGGACCCGTCGACCAATCACAGAAAAAAAAGCGCGGGAAAGAAGAGGAAAAAGCGATGCGTCGAACTTGCTTGGCATCGAGGACATGAAAGCTTGGCCCCAGCTGTTTCAAACCCCTAGTTAAGAACACGATATGCTTGTCACGCCAGAGCTTCAACCTACACAAAACACCGAAACATGAATTTAAGCAATCACCCAGACATGGAATTAAACAAAATACCCAAAAATAAAGTCCTTGAGCTGTGGGATGTAAAAAAGTGCGCGACTATACGCATTATCTCCGGAGAACTAAATGCAAACAACGAGCTCCCCCCAAACCAGCAGAAAAGAGATGAGAAGAGACGCCGAAACAAAGCAACCGCGGAAGTGGGCACAGGAATTACATGATTTCCTGCGTTTGAACCGATGCGTCGACCAGGGACCGCAATATCCCAAAAACGTTCCTCTCAACGGCGATCTGATCCCGCTGGGTCACCGTCAGTCTCCTCTGGGGAGGTGCCGCCGAAGAAGAAGGCGAGGAACCGTCACCCGTAAACTCCTCCATAGCCGCCCCGCCTTCCCTCCTCTCACCCCTTCTGCTACTGGCGACTAGTCCTCTTCTCCTCTCTCCTTCCTTCACCGCCTTCTCCATCGCCACGTCGGGATATCCCGCGAAAAGCCGCCGCCGGCCACCCCACTCGGCTCAGTAGAACACCAGCAAATCGGATCTTGACTCAGCTGAAGGTCAGCTGTTTTTCATCAATTTATTTTTTAAAATGAATTTTTAAGACAAAATAAATATCAGAAAATCTTCTTCCTTTGGACTCTCTCTCTCTCTCTCTCTCTCTCTCTCTCTCTCTCTCTATCTCTTCTGTATGAGAATTCATGGGCCGAATCTCTAAAAGCTCAATGTATAGACCATTAACTGGTAATTTACAGAGGACTGGGCCGAATCGGAACTTCGTATAACGCTTTCGACGCAGAACCGGTAACTACCGAGATTCCAAGGGCCCAGATCGTGCCACGTGTTCATATGTCCCTTCAGAAGGTTAGATGAATAATACTTTGATTTCAAGGGTCTAATATCAATAAAATTACGTCGACGAAGGTATCACTTAGGTGGGATCTTTGCGCCGTCCTAGTCCGCGGCGATCCGGCGCAGATCTCCTTCTCCTCCTCCTCAGATCCTCTTCCTTTATCGCCGACAGAAAGGTGACGGTATGTCCTGGTGCTCGGATCTGTGTTGTGGTGCTTTGCTGTTTTATTGTTTTTTTGCATATTCTGGATGAATGAACGGCTTTCGTGGTTTGTCCGAGGGCCTCAGGGTTTCATATTGACAGCCCTTCATCCTTGTATGGCGGATCGCGTCTTCGTTTCCATGACTTTAATTGTGGATTTGATTACGAGTTTGGACTTATTCAATTGAGTACCGAGTGTCGCTTTGAACTTTTCATGTCATCAGAATGTTGACAGCTGATTACCAAACTAGGAATTGTTGGTTGTCGTTTTGTTTATATGTTTTGCCTTTTCGCATTTGCATGCTGGTTTTTAGGTCTCATCCTGATTGTGATCATGCCGATCGCGATGGTGGACGTCTCTGTGAGAAGACGACGCACTTCGAGATTCTACCTGGCAATTTAAACCGTCTTGTTGCCTTTTGCATGGTTGTTTTTGAATGGTAATTGGGTATCCCACTTCCGTTGATATGAGATTCAGGTTACTATTGGCGTATAAATAGTGAAATCATGTGGGTTTTGCTCGGTTAATTAATGGACTGGTTAATTAATGTGGGTGTTCCTTGTTTCTAAACCATGTACGTAAGTGGATAAATTTATCGTATTTTCACCATTCAGGAAGTATGGCTGAGGCTAAGGCTGAAATGAGGAAACCGGTGCTCACCAAGGTCAACCAACTTCGTCCGGGCACCAGTGGTCATACTCTGACGGTGAAGGTCGTTAGTTCAAAAATGGTAATGCAGAAGGGGCGTTCAGATGGGCCTCAAATGCGCCAGATGCGCATTGCAGAGTGCTTGGTCGGTGATGAAACTGGAATGATTGTTTTCACAGCTAGAAATGACCAAGGTAACATCTTACTTTTTAATGAATCACTTGTGACATTCTATGAGACTAATCTTTTGTTGTGATAATTTGATCGACCAAGGTTCTTAATGGAATTGAAAGATAACAAATTGGCTGTGTCACTTTCCTGACTTATTTCAACAAAATTTTACTGGTTTTGATGCAGATGAAATTGCTATTTGAATTTCATTTAATTGATGTGGAAGTATTTTGTCCAATGCCCCAACTGTGCTCTCTCAGTGCAGAACTCTTGTGTGGACTTCAACAAAAACTTTAATAGTTGTTTCTGAATATTTTTAGCCAGCGGATAGCCTCTACTTTTTGCAATAGTGACGTGTTGTCTTACTTGTGGTACATGATTCAGGCACTTGTAGTTTCCTGGAGGGATTTATCAAACTTTCACTCGCTTGAATATGAGAGCATTCATAGAAAGCATAGGAGAAACTTGTAGAAAGGTCTGGGAGAAGCACATCTTGGGAATTAATTTAAAAGTTGTTTGAATATAATGGATACATGTTCTCCAGGTGGCTTTAAAAAAAGAAGATTATCAGAATTCAGTTGCGTTTTGGTCAATGATGTTATGCCATTTTTATTTTCCCTTATTTTAAGACTTCATACAATGTCATCTTCCTCCCGAAGAGTGTATATCTAGAAAATGTTCTATGATTTTATTGTTTTCCACATAGATACTCAATATCAGAAGATAAGGCATGTCATTATTTTCTACTATAAAGAAGATTGAAGAAATCTCAGTCTCCTCTCCCTCCCTTGGTTGAACGTAGAGGTGGGAGATGAAAGAGTGGGCTGGCATAGTCCTTGTTTTTCTACCTATTTGAGGTTCACAAGATTTAATTTCAATGACTGACTTTGAAAATACTCTCGAGATCAATTAAGACATGTTTTTAACCCATTGAGAATCCAAAGAGAAACCTGAAAAGTGAAAACAGAATCAGAAACAGATATATTAATTAATTTTTGCGGAATATATACTTAATTAGGTGAAGCAGTACAATATCAGTCATGAGTGCAGAGGTCAAACGGTGTAATATTCTGTCGGCTGGGAACCAGTCCTGGCAGCCGAGTCCCTTTTAATTTTAGCTGACCAATTCACCGAAAAGAATTTCCTATTAAAATTTGAATGAGAATATCGGCTTAAGATTTTTTTTAACTGGGAAGAAGAATAAGATTTTTGGGATAGATGGTCTCAGTACCTACCATTCGATTAGCATTTAAACTTTTCAAGATGAGTTGTTAAACTGTATAAGTGTGAATCAGGTTTGTGGGGTACTGAGAAAGTATACATTTGTCCAAGAAGACTTTTGTGCAATAACTCATATGTGTTAAGAAGATGATAAAAGAGGTCGATTAAGGCTCAGTTTGCTTACAGGAAACAAAAATGATGATGATTGTCCTGCATTTGGGCTACTTGTATTACAGAAAAATGAGAGACTGGGCGTATATCCCTACAAATGGATAAAGTGGATCATGTGACGGGGGTAAATAGTTACGGGATAGGTCAGATTCAGCGACTAGTCAGTGAATCGTAATCTTCAAATTTTAAAAACGATGGTCGGAATGGTTGTGCTGGAGTCTATGTGCCCATTATTGTAAACAGAAAAGAGACATGACATTCGAATGGTGTGATCTTCGGCAAGGAGACTTCCAAGTCTACAGAGCTTCCATTGGAAGAAGTACCACAAACTCCTGTCGACCAAAGACAAGATATCCTGCAGAATAGTCCGAATGGAAAACTCCATTTACTTGTTTGTGTTGAGAAGCCTTTGTCTGGTCTCCTACAGAGTCTCATTGCTGGTGGGAAGTGCCGTATACCCCTGGCCAGGGAGATTCCGGCCACAAATCATCTGAAGGAACTCTCCTATCAAACCATTTATTGTGGTAATAATTTCAAGAAAAGTACTGGAAACAAAGGCCATCCTTCCCTCTAAATGATCCTCATTCTTTTGTCCTGTTTTTCTTACTCTTTTCCTCGTTCCCCGTTTCCTTTATCTACTATGATTTACTTCTCAAGTGAATGGGGAAGATTCCCAACAACACTCAACTGAACTGAATGGAGCTCACAAATGTTTGTAGATGGTGACTAGACATGACTCAAAGCTAGAATGGAAGTTCAAGTATAAAACGCATGTCTAGATGGTCCGAGAATTAAGTATCTCCCATGTTAGACTACATATGGTGCGTACAAAGGTGATGAGTTTGGCCAGGCCTGACAACTGAGCTCATTGCATCAATCGTATACTCCACACCCAAGGCTGCAGGTCTAATTAGACCCAAAATATTAATGGCAGGTTGGACCCTATCGAGGGAATTCCGCTTTTCTCAATTTCATGAGAAAAGTCACGCGCTATATATAGACAGTGGAAATATTCAATTCAATTATACAAGTTTTATCAGCTCAGATTGAAGAATGTGGCCTGAAAATAGCCACTACCTTTCAATTTTACGTATATTGTAGAATGGAGTATGATTTAAAGGAGGAATGGAAACTAGTTCATACCATTGAATGTTCAATGCCTCTTATAAGGACTAGAAGACAGCAGCTCATTGCTTGCTATTCGGTGTGAGAAGAATTGACATGAAGAGTCGTTCTAATGTAATGTTCCATATTAGCTTAGCTAAGGAGAGTAATGGAAGCTGTCATATTACTGTTCAGAAATAAAATCTCATGAGGATGCAGTTGCCTTGGCAGAACCATTCTCTAAAGTTGATGAGAACCTGGCAGCCGTCTGTCACTCCACGCAGCACATAATCCAGAACAATATGATCCGATATACTAGACAGACTTTAGACCACTCTGTGCTAAATGCAATATATTAACTGAAACCATAGCCTATGATAGTTAGAAGGATTTGTGGATGGCGTTATAGGCCATGGGAAATGTTGTCAATAACTGGAAAAAAATGCCTCATTGTCTCAAAACAGGCTTCGAAAAAACCATAACAAGTTTGCTGTTTGAGACGATTAACTTCGATGCCTCTTTCAGAACACCAACTTACTCCCCTTATTATTTGCTATCATCATACGAGCTTCTAGCTCTGATTGAGAATGCCTTCAAGCATTCTGGTTTCAGAAAATGATGCTCAGGTGGGGTGGCGATGACAAGCAGCATCTCTCTAATGCTGTGAATGGGGGGATTGAAGTCCTGTTTCTCTGGCACAAGACTGCAGATGGATTCCTAGGAGAGAAACTTAGGGCACGACATAGTGATGCAATTACCACCCTCCAACTTCCCTGAAAATTTCAGCTGAATAATGCTACATACTTTGGAATCTCAACTATGCAATGGCTATTTCTGTGTAAATATATTTCTACATAAAATCGGAGTCCATAATCCTTAGAAGGAAAAGAAACCCTAGAGGGGTGAGATATCTACTGCTTTGAAAAATGATCAACAGACCATGTGAATCGTAACATGCCGATTTCAGACGAAACCTTGGTTTAATTTAGGAAATTTTTCCATGGAATATGAATAGATGATGTAATATTTTCCTGTAGTGGGTCAATTCTTTGTTTTTTTTCCCTTCCAAGATGCGTTTTTTTTCATGCTAGTGGGTACTTCATCTGGGTGCAGTGGACATTGTGAAGCCAGATGCAACCATAATCCTGCGGAACGCCAAAATCGACATGTTCAAAGGTTCGATGAGGCTTGCCGTGGACAAATGGGGCCGTGTTGAAGCCACCGACCCCTCAGATTTCTCGGTCAAAACAGACAACAACCTCTCCCTCCTGGAGTTTGAAATGGTCAACGTCGTCGAATGATTGACCTGATCAATAGTGGTAGCATCTTCCCTCTCCAGATACGGAAATGAGGGGATGAAGTATGTTTGGCAGACGTTGACTTCCTCTCTGTTGGTTGACTTCAGCGAACGATTGCTATTTATAGAGCTTATTGGGTCCTTCTCTGTTCTTCGGTATTGACTCGTGGGGCTTTAGTTCCTCCCTTGCTTTGACAACGGGGCTAATACTCGCATCATTGGTGATCGATACCCTTTCATGATTCTCCCATCAACTTCCATCTCTGGAGGGGTGGAAGATAGGGAAATGACTGCATTGCCCATCGGGTCAAACCTGGTCTTTCCTGTGGGTCGCCACTTGGCCTTCCTGCCTGCCTGTCTGTAGATGTGCCCGGTACAGAGGTTGAGGTTGCTTCGCGTGTAGCTTTCTATCTGTCTGTGGGTCTCAACCTCCCCAGCTTTGCGCAAAGTGGACGTGAACGAATTTGGTGGTGGGTGACTCTCGTGTTTCTCTCTCTCTCTCTCTCTCTCTCTCTCTACACTGCATCATTCCTCCCACTGCACATCACGGAGGCAGTCATGGTGAAAGATGGTGGATATTGAGGGGGGGGGGGGGGGGGGGGGGCCAAATCTTGAATCGGAAGGAAAGAATAAGGGGAATGATCGGCGAAGCATTGATCATTATCTGTGGCGATGATGGGCCCGCCGCAGGGGGAGGAGGACCCAACGGACGCATCTCTAGCGCGATGATGGCCCCCCGGAGGGGAAGGAGGACCCAACGGAAGCATCTCTAACGTGCCATGGAATCGAAGGTTCTCTCACTTCTTCTTCTTAAAGAAAGAGGAAGAGAGAACATGTGAGCGAAAGGGAGCTGGAGAAGCAAGCCCCGGAAGAAATCGGGCCCTGGCCGGCCTCCTGTGACGCTCTCCATTCAAATAGAGAGAGAAAGAGATAGAGAGAGAGAGAGAGACTGACATATGGGGATCATAAGATGACTGCAGGACCGGGCCGGGCCCATCGTTCTGTCCGGACATGATTACGAGGCGGCGTCCGGGAAATCTGAGAAGGTCCCCTCTAATTACACCCACAAGATCCATTTATCAGAGAGAATTTGCTGTTATTGTGAAGGAAGCGGGTCACATGGACGAGCAAGGGGGAGGAGAAGGAGACTGGATGGATGACCTTTTGGCACAGCGTACGTGTGGGGACGGCGAATGTGTGGGTAGAGCCGCTTTCACGGGAGGGGCTCCGAGATCCCCCCACCCCTCCTCGTTCTCCTCTCGTGAAAACTCCCCGGCGGGCCCTGACTGCTTCTTCCTCCTTTGGCCCCGCGTCCTCTTCCGCCCCGTGCCAAGGGAAACCGTGTGGCGTCCCAGCGTCTGCTCCACCGTCGCCACTCGGCTAGCTAGGAACATGTGCAACCCCCCCCCCCCTCTTGAAGAGAGAGAGAGAGAGAGAGAGAGAGAGAGAGAGAGAGAGAGTTAATGTATAGTTTAGTCTCCGGGGTTTGTTGCTGCTGTAGGGACGTGGGTACACGGGAGATAGAGAGGAAGGGGAGAGAAGAGGGAAAGAGGGAGAGGGTCTGTCTTAGACTGTAGTTTATTATCTTGGTTTGTTGCAACTAGAAGAGCATGTGTCCATGAGAGACTCAGAGAGGGATACAGAGAGAGAGAGAGAGAGAGAGAGTCGGTCTAAATCTGTACGTTATATTAACTTGGTCTGTTGCTACCATTGGAACATGGGTACAGTGATACGTGTCAGTCTTAATGTGTATGGTCTTATCTTCCTCTCTTTACTGGAGGAACATCTGTACATCAGAGATAAAGATACATAAATGGATAGAGAGAGAGGGAGAGGGAGTCAGTCTTAGTTCTATAGTTTATTATCTTGGTGTGTAACTAAATGAACATCTGAAGAGTATAGAGAGAGAGAGAGAGAGAGAGAGACAGACAGACAGACAGACAGGAGGGAGGTACGCATACAACCCAGCAACACATTGGTCGCCTAGGGAGCAATAGTTCAATAAACAAGAAAAATTGAATGCCTCAACAACTATTTTGAAAGGAGACCGGGAACAGGGGGGCAGAATATATCTGCCCTCCCTGGCATGAATTTTAATACCGGCGGTGGTTTTATTGCATACCCACTGAAGACGATGAGCTCCGGGACCACGGCTACTTCTCAAAGAGAGAGAGAGAGCGAGAGAGAGAGAGAGCGAGAGAGAGAGAGAGAGAGAGACTTGCTTAGGTGGGGTCTCCCCTTCCCCCGTGTATAAGCAAGGAGAGGAGAGAGAGAGAGAGAGAGAGAGAGAGAGAGACCGTGTTTTACGTACATCACTGTTGCATGACACCTCCCCCACGGAAGAAGAAGAAGGTACATGACGACCGTGGCTCTGGGCAGCGCCCAAACGAGGAAAGAAGGATCAAATAACTTGTTTTCATGTGGATTGATGCCTCGATGTAAATAAACGAACAAATGTAAGTGTGTCTGTAATCTTGGTGTTGCTTAGATAAATATAGAATATTTTAGAAAGTTGGAATAACAAAGTCGAGGGTGGCTGGTTCATGCGACAGGGATAAGGACTAGAAAATTGGAAGGAGAAAGAGCTCTCTGGCAGCTGAGCTTCTCCTCCGTGGACGGCAGGGCAGGCAGAGAAATAAACAAGAGCGCAAACCCTAGATGCGAAAGGCTCTTCTTCCTCCCCAACCCGGTCGGTGGTGATGGAGTTTGGGGCCCCGGGAACGGCTAGGCTTGCTAGATCCTTGCTTCTGGTTTCTTCTCCCATAGAATATTGATGTGGAGGATTCACAATCTTCGCCGGGGAAGGAGTAAGAAGGTGACCGTGGGTTGAGATAGAGAGAAAGAGAGAGAGAGAGAGAGAGAGAGAGAGAGAGAGAGAGAGAGAGAGAGAGAAACACACAAAGAGGGGGAGAGGAGGCATAGCTTCTCATGGTATCTTCCACCTCTCTCTCCCTCTCTGTCTATCTTTCTCTATCTCTGGCATTGACGTAATAATATTTAGTGGTTGGTGTAGGTAAGTGAGATCCGGGGAAGTTATAGCAACGAAAAGGGTTAAGCCAGTCTGAAATCCTGACACTGACGTCATGAAGTTGGTGGGGGCGTCAAGGGAGAGAGAGAGAGAAGGGGGGGGGAGGGTGGGAGCAGTGGAATGCGAAGACTCTGTTCAACGCGTTTTCTACGTTCCTTTTTCTTTTTCTTTCGAGGAAAGTCGATGCTACAAACCAAAAACGATGGGCAAAAAACAAAACAAAATAAAACAAGGAACGTATCAGAAGGAGGGGGAGGAGGAATCCCCCCTCTCTCTCATCTTCCCCCCCCCCCCCCAATCGCCAAACACCGAGACTCTTCTCTCAACCCTCCTCTCTCTTCCTCTCTCATGCCACTGTAAGGGCCCGCCGTCAAAAACTTCAGGCTTCTCCGTGGGGGAAAGCCGTCGGGAACCACATGCTCGCGGGAGCGTCCGTACGCGTCGGACTCGAACATTTCGGGGGAAATCCAAGGCGCCACCCATGAACTCACCTCATTCTCTCTCCCTTCTTTCTCTCTCTCTCTAAATCTCTCTATCACTCTCTCTCACTCTCACTCTCTCTCTTTCGGGTGGAAAGCATCGTATGCTACTGGCGGGGGGGACTCTCAGATCGGACACGTGACCAGCGCACAGTTTTGGATCCACCTGCGGCCTTCGAATCGGATCCACCTGGGTTCAGCGGGCTCACCTGATCTCAACCGCACGATGCCCATCTGCCGGCCGTTATCAGACAGCTGCCCCTTTTAGACCGTCTTATTTAATCGTATTCAATAATCAAATAAAATTATTTCACGGAATTTATTTCCCGCCGTTTTTTATGTATTTTTAGGCCATTTCGGGGCAAACTGCGAAATACTTGATTATTTTCTTATTGCCTTTGTGTCCTCGAGTAAGAGAGAGAGTGAGAGGGGGGCGGGGGGGCGGGGGGGCGGTGGTAGTAAAAAGGGAGGGAAGGGAGGGGGATGAGGGGAGCGGGGGAGTAGTAAATTACTATTATAGCCATTCTGTCGTTTACTGTGTATGTAATATCCACCGCGTCTCTCCCAACATTTCAAAGCCCCAACCTTTCCTCTTCCTCCTCCATTGTCATCCCCAATCTTCCGCCCTCCCCCAGAAGCCGCTCGCCAAGATGGGCAGCGCCGCCGCGGACCGCCGCCGCCCCTGCTCCCTCCTCCTCATCCTCGCCGCCATGTTCGGCGTTGCGAGTGGTGCGACGGGCCCCACGGCATTCGCCACCATCACCACCAGAACCGAGCCCCTCGCAACCGCCAGCGACGACACGCCGGCGGCGGTTGTCGCCGCCGCTGCCGCCGGGAGGGCGCCCGCCGCCGTGTTCAGCGGTGGCCCGAGGGGGTTCGCCACCGTGAGCAGCAGGGGGGACGACGGCGCCGCCGCTGAGAACCCTTTCTCCGCCAAGGCGGCGCTGATCAGATACTGGTCGAGGAAGGTCCCCAACGGGCGGCCCAAGCCGGCATTCCTCCTCTCCAAGGCCTCCCCATTGTCCGGCGCAGAGGCCGCCCTCTATGAGCGCCTCGCGTCGGTGCCGAGCGCGCTGGCGGAGCGCCTTCCGTCTTTCTGCTCCGCGGCGGCGCTCTTCTGCTTCCCCGAACTGGCCGCGCCGCTGGACCAGCGCGGCGGCGCTGCCAACTTCGCCGTGTACAGCAGCAAGGACTTCTCCAACTACGCCACCGGCAAGGTCGGCGGCGCCAGCTCCTTCAAGAACTACTCCGACAACGAGAACGTCCCCATCGACTCCTTCCGCCGCTACAGCCGCGGCTCCTCCGCCCACGCCGATGGCTTCGCCAACTACGCCCCAAACGGCAACGTCGTCACCGCTAACTTCACTAGCTACGCCACCGGCGCCGCCGGCGGCACCGGCGACTTCACCAACTACGACCGCGGCTCCAACGTCCCCGACCTCAAGTTCACCAACTACGATGCCGACGCCGACGGCCGCGTGCAGTCCTTCAGCAGCTACTCCGACGACACCAACGCCGGCGACCAGTCCTTCTCCGGCTACGGCAAGCGCGGCGTCGGCGTTCCCCTCACCTTTAAGAGCTACGCCACCAACTCCAACGTCATCGGATCCACCTTCCGCAACTACGGCGAGGAGGGAACCTCCGGGAACGACACATTCACCAATTACGGCTTCAACGGGAACGTGCCGGAGAACAGGTTCTCCAGCTACGGCAGCGCCGGCCATGGCGGCTCGGAGAGCTTCTCCAGCTACCGGGAGCAGTCCAACGTTGGCGACGATAGTTTCTCCTCCTACGCCAAAGGCGTCACTGGCGGCGCCGCCGCGTCCTTCTCCGGCTACGGCCAGTCCTTCAACCTCGGCAGCGACACCTTCGCCGGCTACGGCGAGCAGGCAGTCGGCAAGACCCCCGTCGGGTTCACCACCTACGGCGAGAACACCACCTTCAAGGACTACGCCGACAAGAAGTCCGTCTCCTTCAAGGCCTATAACGTCTCCTCCTCCTCCGCCACCACTGCGACGGCGGCAGCGACAGCGACGGCGACGGCGATGGAGAAGAAGACGAGCAGGTGGGTGGAACCTGGGAGGTTCTTCAGGCAGAGCATGCTGAAGACGGGCACGGCGATGGCGATGCCGGATCTCCGGGACAGGATGCCTCGGCGGGCATTTCTCCCCCGTTCCATTGCGCAGAAGCTCCCCTTCTCCACAGCCCGCTTGGAGGACATGAACAGGGCCTTCAACGCGACGCCGGACACGGCGCTGGCCAAGGCCATGGCCAGCACGGTGGCGGAGTGCGAGCGAGCCCCCAGCAGGGGGGAGACGAAGCGGTGCGCCACCTCCGTGGAGGACATGATCGACTTTGCGACGGCGGTGCTCGGAAGCGACGTGGTGGTGCGGTCGACGGAGAGCGCCGCCGGGTCCCGCCGGAGCGTCGTGGTGGGGAAGGTCACCGGAGTCGACGGGGGAAGGGTGACGCGAGCGGTGTCCTGCCACCAGAGTCTCTTTCCCTTCCAGGTCTACTACTGCCACTCCGTCCCCAAGGTGAGGGTCTACGAGGCGGAGATTCTCGCCGGCGCCGCCGAGAAGATCAACCACGGGGTGGCCATCTGTCACCTCGACACGTCGGAGTGGAGCCCCGGGCACGGGGCTTTCGTGGCCCTCGGTGACGGGCCAGGTCGGATCGAGGTGTGCCACTGGATCTTCCCGGGCGACATGACGTGGACGGTTTCTGATTGACCTCCGATGCCCAAGACTTTCCGTCGGATCGATGTCTCCTCCCTGTGGCCTCGTGGATCGGACGGTGCTGCTCTGTTTCTAATACTACTACTGGCGGGGTAGTACCTGGCGTACGATGGACCCTGTGGGTGCGATTGATTCTACGGTGAACCGTGGGGGGTAGGGAGGACGAGAGGGGGGTTGTGTCTGTGTGCACGTGAAAAGGATATGTTGCACGTGCGTGTGTCTGTGTGATGGGGGGAGAATATTCCATCATGTTGTAAGACCTCCAAACGGAGGGTCGGATTTTATCGCAGCGATATAATTGCCAAGCCAGGCCTTCTTCTAAGTTCTTATTGGGCCTCTCTGTCTCCATTGGGTCAACCATGATCGTGGAGTGGGCCACATTGTGGGCTCTTTCCTCTGGCCCACGCTTTTGTACCCCGGACGTGTCAGCTCGTCGAATCTTCTGTCGATCCTCCCTCTCTCTCTCTTTCTCTCTCTCTCAGCACAGTGCTAGTCTGTAGTTGTTTTCGTTGAGCTTAGCTCCTTCCAGAAAGCTTCTTCAAACCTAGAAGCAACGAAACCATTATGATTCCCACAGGGAAGTACAGTAATACTCTCTCCCACTCTCTCTCTCTCTCTCTCTCTCTCTCGCTCTCTCTCGCCCTCTCTCTCTCTCTCTCTCTCTACTTCTTTTTCCTCTTCTTCCGCGGCTTGGTCTTTACCGAAGGCTGACATCTCCACTCGTTGCTGCGGCAGCGAAGATTTAGGGGTCGCCAGGGTCCCTGAGGCGACTTCACCTCGCTGTACGGTCAACACCTACCGCGAGTAATGTCACGGTTCTCCGTGCCCCTCGCTAGACCGAGGCTCATTAAGAGAGAGAGAGGGAGAGATAGAGAGCGAACAAGTGCATGAAGGAACAGAAAGCCATGACGTCCTGCGCGTCCTGATTAAACTACAAGGCAAGTGGAGAGAGAGAGAGGAGTAGTGAAGAGAGAGAGTGGTCCAAGGACGACGCTACAATGGAGGAAAGAAGAAGATGACCAGGGGACCAGCGGGTCTTCTGCTGAGACGTGAATAATGAGAAGGGAGCAACGGGGAGGTTGCCAATAAGGGAATCTTGATCAAAGAGACCCAGTATACCTTCCACACTAGAACGAGTTAGAGAGAGAGAGAGAGAGGGATGGAGAGAGGGAGAATCGTTGCATGTAATTGATCGTTAGGTCACCTTGAACTTGATATCCGAACTGAGGTTGGTAAATGATTCTTGAAGTACTCTCTCTATCTCTATCTCTGTGGTGGTTTTCTCCAGCTATGGAGCACCCAGAAGCATCGACGTTGACTGAGCACTTCTGCCTGCCGGGAATCCCACTAATAGTTGACCAAAGGCATCCCTTACTAGACATTTCCATTTCCAACGGGCCACACTAGGCCCGGGTCAAAAGAAGTCCACCATCAATCCGCGTATCTCCTGCGCGCACCAGACCTAGCCAGGCCCAGAGACTATATTAAGAACTGTGGTCTGGACCAGCCCGACCCTACCCATCTAGAGAGAGAGAGAGAGAGAGAGGGGGGGGCGGAGGACATGGGGCCCCTCTCTCTCTTTTTGGGGATATGGAGTGAGATGCATAAAAGAACGATCTTTTTGGGCCACGGGAAACATAGATAGAAAGATAGAAAAAAAGATTGATAGAGATAGAGAGAGATAGATAGAGATAGAGAGAGGTAGAGAGAGAGAGAGAGAGAGAGAGAGAGAGAAAGAGAGAGAGAGAGGACTATTTTTATTCTAAATTCGTGTTTCTAAAAAATGAGAACACAAAAAATATTTAAAAAGGAAATCATGGGTATTTCATAAAAATATATATTATAAAGCTAAATATTACTCACTGCGATGGTCGGCGTTGGGCACGTGGGAGGAAGCAAGTGGGCCTGATCGTCGTGAATGAGCCCACTTGCGGAGCTCTGAGGGCGACTAACGCCCCTCTGAAGGCGAGTAACTGCGTAGTCGAGACGTCACCACGGTTTTTTATTTCGAACAAAAATAAGATATTCCCCGCTTTTACCGTCGCTTTTTATTTTATGGTGTAATTTTAAAAAAATATTCTTTAAAATAATTCGAGGATTTACTGTGGAGAAGAGGCCTCTCTACGACGAGCCATGATCGGACAAGTGGGCCGGATCATACTAGGCCAACCACCAATCCAGTCGGTCAAATCGGTCCAGGTCAATGTGGTTGACTAATTGTTGATTCCGTGCCGTCGAATTGGCTTGGGCCGACACGATGGTCAGATCCAGATTGGCCCAGATGGGCCCATCTAGTAATGGGCTTCAGAATCAGGGAACAAACGCCATCGTGTGAAGGCCCATGTGATCAACGGCCATGATGCGAATATAGGGTTCTTCATGAACGTTTTCCCCCGATCGCGGTTTCGGCGGCTTCCGGTTCACGCTGCTTCGCGGAACTAACTGCTTCGCGGAATTATGTGAGAATATGCCGAAGGAGCCAGTACGAGAAGATGGGAAGGACTATGCATGTCCTAATTACGCCGCGGTTCAACGGAACATGAGCTGCCCTCAAGCAGCCTCGCTGATACGGGGGCCGAGGGAGCTTGGGGGAAGAGGAGTGAGGAGAGAGAATGGCAGCTGGTGGCTGCGCTCGGCGGGCCCTTCTGGGTTCCGCATCTTCGCCGGCGAGATTACTCGCCGGCGGTATCAGGTCTCCTGCCCCTTCTTCTGCTCCGGCCTCCTGCGCCAGGAGTTTCTCCAGGCGCCGGCTTGCTCCGAGCTTCTGCCGGTATGTTCTCGGATCTTCCGTGGAATCTTTCTGATGGGGTCCTCATTCGTTTTTTTTTTTGTTCTAATCTGAGAACCCTACGTGCGTTTGATTCGTATCGGGATAATTTATTCGTCTGACCAGTCCCCTCTCTATTTCTTCTCTTGTTGTGAACGTTCTGATGCAGGGCGCCGGTTGAGCTGGGCTGTGTGCAGTCCTTGATGCCTTTGCACAGCGTCACTGCATCTGCGCTGCTTACTTCCATGCTTTCTGGGGAAAACGGGAAATGGGCTTGGCTTTCCGAAGGTACTCTATTATCAACGCCTAAAACTTACATTCATAACATTCGTTTCTGTTCGTTAAGCGCATTCCCCATTCATTTTCTCATATATGAATACATTCACGAACTTATGTTGTCCACTGTGTCCGAAATTTTAGCATATCAAATCAACTTTTATGGTCTCTTTCTGTGCCTGATGGTTCGACGCAAGGAACTACTTTGGCCGCTTCATCTTGTGGGCCATTTATTTGCAATACTTCATTGATGGATTGTTTGATCGCGTGGAGGTTGATTGGGCATAAACCCATGCTAGCATAAATAATCTTGAATCAATGGCGCGACGACTAAAGAGAAATTGACATTAGTAAATAGCCTGTTCTTGGACCAGACGTTAGCTGGAGTCTCGTGTGAATTCTTGGTCACTCTTATGTCACATGCCATTAGCATTTTGTTGGCTTCATAATGCCAAGGTGCAGAGCCTTACACTGGCTAGTTTCCCTCACAACTGGTCGCTCTTCGCTGTTGGGCTGTTGTGTTTTGTAGGCACACGTGTTATGATACCAATGATTGGAGGCCTGGTCTCTATCCTTTTTATTTATTTTTAAGTGGATTGCTCCAAAATTTTGTGAGTATAAAAAATGGATGCAATGATAGACGCGTGTGTGTGTGTGTGTGATCAACACTGGGAAATACTTACTATTCATTACGTAATAAATCTCAGTGCCTCTTGAATGTTGAATCAAAATGGTCTGAGCTTTGTAGATCATCGGTTTTGGGTTGATCCTTATTACTTGCAAAATAGCTGAAGAAGAAGAGAAACCAGAGGATGATAAGTAGAACATGTTCCAGTACCTTTGTGTCACATGTTGATACTACAACTCATTCAAGGAAGCTCATCACCACCGCCATCATCAGATGTTAAAGAGCTACATGAGCATACGAATCCTGTGAGGAAGGTAGCTCTCAACAATTGGTGGATTTGTCGAATTCCAGAAGATTAGTAGAGTGGTAAGAATATTACCTGACTCACTGTAGAACTTACATTCAAGTAGCCCTGGTTTGTCCTTTGTACGTTCCCCTCAAGTATGGCCTGAGTTTAGGCAATGAAAAGGCTGTTCTTGTGAGCCGCAAATGTCTTCTCAGAACTAGGCAAAAGCTGAGATTCAGAGATTCTGAGGGAAGATAAATCTGGACTAGATGGCTTGCAAATCAGTTGATTCTGGTTCTGACTGCTCAAATCAGTTTTGAATTGACATGATCTTATAAAAAAGTTCAGCTCAGTGGGCTGCAACTGGTCCAGAATTGTGATACGATTCCGTCCTTTTTCATTTGTCAAGAAAAGAGAAAGTCAACGTAGAATACCACTACTCATCCATATCAAGTGCGCTCCTATGTTAGACGTTTCTATGCCGGGCGTAGCTGTTTTCTTGGGTTTCCATGAGAATTGAAGATGGATCTACTTGCGTGAGGTGTTGAATGGTGAAGAGGATGATAGTTGGCAGAAGTCAATTCTCTTACATTATGGGGTGGCAGTAGGCGGGAGCTGTTTCTCTCGATCAGTGGTGTTGTTCATCCGTAATAGAGATGGCAGAAACTAGGAACTAATTTCGTTGATCTGTGCTGGTGATTATCTTTAAGGGGCTAATTCTCTGCGTCTGCTCATATTCTTCTCGTAGGAGAGAGGACAGTAGCTGCGAACTCTCTTACGTCTTCTGTGCTCATCTGTAGAAGAGATGGCCGTGGGTGGGAACTATATTTCTTCATGCGGGTTGGTGTTCATCTGCAGGAGAGGTGGGTGGGTCCCCCTTGATGGGGATGGGGAGAGGTGGACCCCCCCCCCAGGAGGCTGTTGGTCCCGCTGTTGGGTGGGGTGGTCCTTGGTGAGCCATTCCCTTGCTGACTGCGGGCCCTCTCTTTGTGGGGTTGGCCGTCTCCAACATGTTTCTGGTTAGGGAGCGAGACGCATCAAGAGACTTTTCGCCGGGCATTTTTGTTTTCATTTTTGTATGGTTGGTTCTCTTGAGATGTTTTTTTCGTTTTTGTGGGCGTGGACTTTTCGCCGGCATTTGCTAACGGTTGACTTTTCACTCCGATCGCAGGGTTTGCCACGCCTCTATAGCGATGGTGACGAGCTGGGCCCTTGCAGATGCTGGTGGCTGTGGTCTCTCGCTGACCGGTTACTTCGAATCATCAGTTCTCCGCTTCCTTTGTGGTTGAAGAAAATGGACCAGGCAGTGGAGCAGGATTGCTTTCAAGCCCTAGTTTTCTATTGCCGTCGTGTTCTCACCGAGACTAATTATTTTTCTTGGAATAATCGTGGCCACTTTAGTCAGGAGTGATTCCTCTTTCCGATGTTTGAACTCTTCTTGAAGGGCCCCACGAGGTGGGTGGATCCCGCGTGGACTTTTCGCATCGAGCGACGTCATTTCCAAAGTCAAACCCTCACGCGCAGCTCTATCTCTGATTGTCAAGTCAACATCTGCGAGGGAAGATAACTACTGTAGGCTGGCACGAGGAATAAAACCTCAGCTTATCATGCACTCATTTTGGAGGGCCCAGAAGACGTGACTGGATCCTACGTGAGGTGATGGTTGACTTTCCGCAACGAGCGACGTCATTTCCAAAGTCAGACCCTCACGCAGCACGATCTCAGAGTTATAAAGTCAACAGCTGCTGCGAGGGAAAAGAACTACCACGGGCTTACACGATGAACAAAACATCACTTTTTCATGAACTCTTTTTGGAGGGCCCCGAAAACATGACTGGATCCCGCGTGGGTTAATGATTGCCTTTCCGCACTGAGTGACGTCCTTTCCAAAGTCGGACCCTCACACAGCTCGATCTCAGAGTTGTCAAGTCAACAGCTCATGTGAGGATAGAGAACTACTACGGGCTTACACGATGAACAAAACCTCACTTTATCATGAACTCTTTTTGGATGGCCCCGAAGACGTGACTGGATCCCGCGTGGGGTAATGGTTGACTTTCCGCATCGAGCAACGTCCTTTCCAAAGTCAGACCCTAACACAGCTCGATCTCAGAGTTGCTAAGTCAACAGCAGCGAGGGAAGAGAAGTACTATGGGCTTATACGATGAACAAATCCTCAGTTTATCATGCACGGGCAGGTAATCTTCACTGAATAATAGAAAATTGTTCCCAAAATAGCGAGGACTTTTTCGAAGTCAAACGTTTGACTTGATGGGAGGAACGCGATTGAAGGCCTGCGCGATAAAGAAAACCACCGCCATTCATGCCCAGCAGTTGAAGACTTCCTCTATTAAGCTGGGGACGTTTTCAAACTCAAGCACTTTAACAGCTCGATCTCAAATGTCTTTGGCCGATGGTTGCGACTGCTGTTCGGTTTTCAGACCCTCCCTAGATTCTCGGCGCCAACTGGACCTCACGCGGATTCCGGATGATCAACTTACTTTTTACTTCTGTAGAATTCCTGGCATATGTTGAGGAGCTCATGTTTGACAAGGACTAGTTCCAGCTGTCCACGGCGATCGCCCAGTTAGCGCAATCGTAGCTTCAACTCGGCCTCTCAAGTCTGAATCAACATCTCCATCACGGCACGTCGACCATGGGGAATTCAAATGGCAGTACGTCATCTGTTATCCCTCTCTCTCTCTCAGAGGGACGGTGATGAGTCAAGCCAAAAATCTAATCGGGACCCGAGTTGGCTTGACCAGGAACCTTCATGGCGTCGATTGCTGGTCGTCGCACGTGAGAAATTTACGCCGCGTTGTTGTGCTCCGTCCCCGTAGGAATGATGGTGACGGCGCCAGGACCGCGGCCAGCACGGTATCTTCCGACGGCGCGACGCGGAGTGTTCAATTCCCAGCCACCATGGAGACAACTGGGTTTCCAGTTGCTTTCGAACTTGTGGCCGGTGCGGTCCCACGAGATGGTGGAGAGAGAGAGAGGGTTGCCAAGTGGTAATAGATAATTGGTCTTATCCGTACGATGGTTCGGAGTCTTGATGGAAAGATGAGCTGTAAAAAATGCGACATGTGCTTGTTACCATGTGTAGATTCTTCTGGTCGTCTCCTTCCAAGTGTCCTTTTTAAGTGGTCACCCCGCCGTCTTCCTCCACGAGGACGCACAGCCCCATCCAGCAGCACAGGTCGCCTGAGACCTTCCCCCCTCCTCACATCCTCCCCCTGAAGCCCTCACCTTTCTCCTCTCTCCTCTCCTGCCCAATCGGGGACTCGTCTATTGGCGACCCGGGGAAGAGAGGAGAATGAAGAGCAGCGACGCGCGCACCCGAGTGGAGAGGAAGACGGTGGAGAAGAACCGGAGGATACACATGAAGAACTTATGCTTCAAGTTATCCTCCCTCATCCCAAAAAGCGGCATCTCCAAGGTATGGTTTCTCTAAAAAGCTCGTCTTCCGACGAGAAGCATCGGTTCTCTGAATCCCGGGGAGATTACCATGAAATCTGCTTTCCGCTTAGTTGCCCTCTCTTGGGCACCAGGGGATCGAGATGGGGGACACACCCATCTTCTTCCGGCCGATGGCCTCTTCGCCAACGCGCCACCAGGGCCCCGGGTGAAGAAAAGTTTCCCGGAGGGTCGCCGGAGCCGGATGAGTCTCTTCCCTCCACCGGCTCCTTTCCTCCAACGGGTCCCGGACGGGGAATCAGCGCAAGGGATTCCCCTCTTCCGCGAGACTTTGTCAACGTGCTCGAGAGATAAGCTTTTGGTGGTTCAATATCTACGCTATAAAATATAAATATTTTCGTAGGTTTCTGTCAATACGTGTTATTATATTCGAGGGAATCCCACGTGATGAATTTGGTCTGAGAGAAGGTTATAGAAGATCTCTTGGACAGTAGTTCTGCTTTCACCATCTGTGGTTAAATGAGACGACTGCAACGGAACCCGCTCGGTGCGTTAATGGACTTTGTTTTTTAAGTGTTTCTCTTCAGGAGGTATTCTTTGTCTGGTTCCGAGGCCAGGGAACTCGAGCACTTCTGGCCAGTCGGCGGCAGAATGACGAGCGTTTGGGAGCGCCCCCATGGGATTCTTGATGGCCTCCCGCCTCCTGTGGCCCGACGAGAACAAACAGTGTCGCTTTGTAGATGCTGAACTTGGAAAAACTGGTTTCTACGGAGAAACCATTTTCCGTTCGGAAATCTCGTTCGAGATTGAGAGAGAGAGAGAGAGAGAGAGAGAGAGAGAGAGAGAGAGAGAGAGAGAGAGAGAGGCAGAGGGACCGTCGAAAGAGTGGGCTACACTGCAGAATAGACGGGAAGGATGGAGAGAGGAGGCTTTAAGAGAGAAGCAGGAGAGTGACCTCCGTCTGTGGCCAACCCTCAAGATCCAGAAGTAGACGAGAAGAGGGAGTGACTAGAGAGTGGAAATTATTGAGGGATATCACAATCTCTCTTTCTCTCTTTCTCTATCTATCTATCTATCTCTATGTTGTTGGTCTTCAATGGGTGTTGCCTTCCTACTCACCAAGTACTTCAACAGTGCAATTCAATAAAGCCTCCATCCCCCCCTCACCCCTCTCTAACTCGCCTGCTCATCTGTCTCAGGACTCGCTGACCCAGCAAGATCATCTGGACCAAGCGGCCGCCTACATCAAGACCCTTAGAGAGCGTATCGACCGTTTAAAGCAGAAGAAGGAGCTCACCGTTGACAGAGCCGCTGAGGGCGGCGCCGCCACCCCCGACAAGTCCGGCGCCGCTCCTGAGCTGATGATCGGCCTCCGGCTGCCACTGGTAGAGATCCGTGCCCTGGAGTCAACGCTGGAAGTGGTCCTCATCTGCGGGCCTGACAGGAGGTCCCTCTTCTACGAGGTTATCGGGGTTCTGGAGGAAGAGGGAGCAGACGTGGTCAACGCCAGCTTCTCCAGTGTCAACGAGAAGACCTTCTACACAATCCACGCTCAAGTAAACCTAACCCTCCCCTCCTCACTCTCTTAGAAGCTGGAATCTGGTTCTCTCTGGTGCTGTTATTCTCATCTTCCTCCCTCTGCAGGTGCGTTGTCCTCGGATTGGCCTGGAGGCTTCGCGACTATCAGAGAGGCTGAAGCGGCTGGTCAGCCATGATTAGGCTTCCTCGAAGCTCTGCTCCAATCCCCCATTTCTGGACGTTTTGAATGCAACTTTACAATCTTTCTGAAGCCTTGGTGGGAGGTGATGCTGTAGCAGGCTTTCTAGAACATCTGGGTGTTTTTTCCAGTGCTTACACCACTGTATGAACTGTTCGATATCCCCATGAACACACCTGTTCACAAATGTTAGCCGGTGACCGTCATCTGCCTGTTATTGGCCCACACTCAGTTCTCTATGCTAAATTTATATTGGTCCCTGCATTGAGTCGTGCAGCTGCCTCAACTGATTTATTGTTATTACACTTTGGTGACGGCCCCAATTCAGATCTCAGGCACATCACTTACAGATGAGCTTGCACTAATATTTTAGAGAGAGAGAGAGAGAGAGAGAGAGAGAGAGAGAGAGAGAATGCATCGTGCTCAATCAGATATCTTGGAAGATCTCATAAGACCTTCAGATCTTCCTATAGAGCTTGACCCTTTGTAATTCGTGCATAGCTTGAGTAGTAGCTCTAAACTCTGATTCTATAACTGATCTTGCTACAAACCTTATTTTTTACTTCTTTATGTAATAATATTTCTGCCGAGGAAGGTACAATATCTAATGATAGACCAATTGTCTAATATGGAACTTGTCAAATCAGTATCAATAAAAATATCAAATTTTAATATTCCATATAATTTGAATAATATATATTTTCTGAGTGTACCTTTACATCATAATATTTGATGTATTGAATCTGTGTATTTATTTGAGGTTTTACATAAATTGAGTAATTATACTTATGGCATAATATATATCAGGTCATGTATGTAAAAGATAAATCAGTTGTCCAATTAAGTGCAAAGATATCTCCTAATCTACTTTATTAGATTCCTCTATATTCTCAAATTTAACATTGTCATATATGAGAGTATTACATGGCTGACAAACTATCATACATATCTCATTCTAGAGATCTATGATAGATTTTTATTGAGAAATAAAGATTCTCTTTCTCAAATGAACTACAATTTTAAAAAACTACTTTACTTTGACTTTTCTAGTATTTTAATTTCAAATTACATTTTCAATCACTGATTTAAATATTCTTTTTCTTTCTCATAATTTTCAGTCAAAATGATGTCATTGACATATACTAACAATATGCAACTCCCCTTAAAAGAGATTGTTTCAGTCCATATAAAGTCTTATTTAATTTACAAAAAATATTCTCAAATAATTTAGTCTTATATCTCACTAGGAGTTCTATAAACAAAAAAGTATTTCTGACATTAAACTATAGGAAGTTCTAGTTAAACTTAGTAATTAGTGATAACAAAATTATGATAGTGTTCATTTTTCCTACATGTAAAAAAGTTTATAAATAATCAATTCCGTAAGTTTGCATACATCTCTTTGAAACTAGACATGTCTTGAATCCTTCTATATTACCATTAACTTTATATTTCATTATGTAGATTCATTTGCAACCAATAAGTTTTTTCTTTGTTGATAGCGTTATATGTTCTCAAATTTTATTTTTCTTCTAACACATCTATTCCTTTGTCCATAATTTATTTCTATTATTTACTAGAGTGTACCTTGGAAATATTGGGCTACAACCAAGACTAGAATTAAGAATAGATGACTCTACTTTTTTAGCTCTATTTATTATTTCTATTACTTATTTCTATTATTTAGCTCTATCTAAATTTACAAAAGTGACTCTACTTTTTCTCTATCAACAAGGTTTGTGTAATCCCTCTAGCTTAGTGGTTACAAGGTAAATATATTTTATATTGGCTCAGCACGCTACCTACTTATTATACTTATCTGATCATATACTACTAACTACAAGGTTCAACTCAAGTTAAATTTCACATTGAAATTATCTTCTAGACTTATGACTCTAGGAGGCTAACAATTATTTCAAGTGATAACTTTCACAAGTGATCAAATAATATTTTAATCATAAGTTCATCCCACAATAATATGAAATGATGCCATTATGATAAATATTCTGGAGATGATGTGAACTTTGAGTATTTTTAAAATTTCGATGGAGAAGATAAATATTGATGAAATGATGTCCCCTTTTAGTTGATTTGTTAGCCATAGATTGAAAAACTTTCATACTATAGATAGTGCAAGAAGGATCATTGAATGTTGCTGCAGCCCTTCTTGAGTCAATACCTTTGTATAGATTGACTTGGTAACTCATTTTCATTCTATACTTGAATTTCTTATGTGAGAGGCTTAAATGTAGAGCATGAGATATTTTCTCTAAAATATGATTAATTCAAAGTGTTAAGAAACTAAAATGATATGTTCTTTTAAATGTTATGGATATCCTTAGGTGAAACCAATATATGACTCTTTTATCACTTAATGATCATATCTAAATTGTATCAATTCATGTTAATCTAATTAAGAATTTGATATCATGTGAACTGACGTTAATAAAATCATGTCTTAGTAAAATCATAATAAAGTACTCAAAATTGATTTTGAATTATGCCAAATAAAATGTGATGTCCAAGAAAATATCTTGATCAACGATCATAGTATATTAAATCACAACTTTAGTGATTTAGATAATCACATGATTCTAAATATATATTTGATATTGTTAAGAAAATCATATTTGTTATAAATAAATAGTTTGAATACATTCTATTAATTCAAAGTGAAAACCTTTCAAAACTTATGATGTGAGATCATGAGTCTATAGACAAAGCTTTTACTCACATTTTACTTCATGAAATCTTGTTGATTTAATTACATTTATTACCTTTTTATTACTATCTGAATTTCTAAAAATATTAATAATTTTGATAGTAATATATAAAATAATAGTTTTTCATGATATAATCAACCAAGTAAGCTAGTTTAACATCATGGATCACAAATACATTTAGTATGATCTCATCTAGACTTCTACTAATGTTATTTTGAGATGTACTTAAATATTCTATGTTTCATATGTAATCATGCATATTATGAATTAAACGTAATTCAATCTCTTATCATGCTCCCATCTTTCAATTTTAATACTTCAACATGAAATAGAAGATGATATTCTAATTTTATCTAGGTTTGTAGTAAAGGATTTATGAGACAATGAGAGTTGTTTTAAGAAATAAAATAAGTAATAGAATAGTGAGGTGTTTTATAAATGTTGTTATACTATTGAGTTATTTTCTTAAGAACAATATATAATCATCACTGTCATTCATAGGTAGATTATTGATCTCATTATCTCTAGGAGAAGTTGACTCAATTGAGACTTTATATTAATATTTAGATTTAATTCTACTAAATGTTTGTTTTCTCTTTCAAATATATCATTTTGTTGGGGGGCATTGACACATGAAGACTCATGTATAATGTCCCTCTTTTGAAAAACATAATCATATTGTAGTTAAAATATTCTCTAATATATATATACTATTTATATAAATTTATTTTTTAAAAGAGTGAAATTTTGTGAATGTAATATGAACTTTCAATTTATGTCTAAGTAAATAAACCCATATGTTGTATGCAATCATCTACGAAGGTGATAAATTATCTAACATATATGATGTTTAGAGTGGGAGAGAGGTCTTAAATTAAAAATATCACCAACACTTTCTATCCACGTCTGAACCAAAGTATGATTCATTTTTTTCTCACATCTCTCCCTCTCTCTCTCCCTCTCTCTCTCTCTCTCACACACTCACTCACTCACTCACTCACTCTTCATGAAGTACATAGCTGAGTCTATAGGTTTTACATAATCCCACGTGGTCATTTCTAGTCCAATCTAACCTTAATTTTCAACTTGCCTTTACATCATTGATGAACTACATGAATGTGATTTGACTTACATTGGATCTAACATGACCAAGATTATTATGTCATTGAACTTATTTTAAAATTATATTGATATCAAGAGTTTTCGAATAAGAATAATATTGGTCATACATATGCATCGTCAATTGTGATTTAAGGCCCTTTGTTGTCTAAGACATTGTAAGATTATAGTTGGGGGAGTTGAGAGGTCAAAAATTAATGAACTTTGAGCCCAGAGTCATCATTTGTTGTTTGTAGGTATACATCATTTTTCTCTTTTTTCATCTATCACACACCTTCAATAGTGAAATTTAGGATGACTAATGTAATGTACATTGTCATCAAATATTATTTCACTATTACATGTTTCCTTTTTATGTTTAATTAGATTAAACTAACATATAGCAACCTAATCTAATCATATAAAAGACTTAGTTACAATTAAACCCAACTATTTCAAAGAATAATATGAAGCCTTAATTTCAGATGTTAGCTATAAGCCTCTCATCTATCAATAGTGTCTACTCTATGATAGATAGTCTTTTAATTTTTGAATTAAAAGACATCAAACTTAATATTTATACTGAATTTGGATTTTGAAAATCAGATTTTAAATACTAGTGAATTTAGGTAGGTTATTAGGGATGAATGTTGAATTCTTTATATGAGCTTTGTGTTCTCAAATACTTCAAAAAAATAAAAAAGAGAATGGAAATTTTTTGAGATGGTTAACTCTCTCTCAAATCCCTAATAAAAAGGGGAAAGAAGAAGAAGAGTGAGAATAAATAGTATTCACTAATATGATAATATTCATATTTAAGCTGAAAGTCATAGACATCACTACTATGATAAAAAGGCAAATTGAAATATGGTTGAAAACAAGTTAGTCATTTGCTATTATCCTAGGACAAAAAATGAACATGAGTACTAAAATTAATTTGTCATACATAACTAACTAGAGAATTAAATCCGTGTTTCTATGGTCTAATTTCACCGTGCACATATTACACAACTAGATTGAGGAATCTAACAATAGGTTAAAGACATTATTGTAAAAATATGGTCAACATAACAATGTGAAGATGAGATACCTTATGAATGTAACTATTTTTCGAGATTCAATAGAGAGAGATAGAATCAATGATTTCTTAATGAGACTAAGGGATGAATTTAATAAAATAC